CCACCCCTTCTCTGTCCGTCGTGCTCGTATGTGTTACAGCGCCAACAGTATTTTATTGCAGTGGAGGTGCTGACTTACAAAGTTGACAGTTGGGGCATGGGGCACTTTTCATTCCACCTTCACTCTCAGCTTGTGTTCGTTTGCGTTGTCAACAAACAGGCACGAGAAAACATCCCATGCGCTTGTATTTCGTTTGTGCACCCGTCCCGCAAGCCCCCCACGTAATCCGTTTCATACCAATCAAGTCCAGTGTCGCTGGTTGACACACTGCTGTCATATTTTATTCTCCTTTGTTGGCCGTCCATTTGCGTTGTTTAACGTTGATGGCCACATAGAACGTTGTAAGCAAAAGAAAATACCCCCCCCCCCCCAAAATAAGCTAGCCAACTCTGTAAAAGGCTCTGTAATGGGACGTCGTTTCTTTCTCGTTCGTTTCCTTTGGTGCGATTTTTTTTCTTTTCTTTTCCTATTTTTCTTTCTTTTCTTTTCTGTTCAAAGTCAAAAAGAAGAGGTAAAATTGAACAGAATCAAACATCGACCAGCAAAGCCGTCCACCAACAGCAGACCAGGGGCTCTACCCCAACGAAGCGCTCCAGAATTCTCCAGAACGTTGCCGTCTCCACTTTGAATCAAACGACAGCACCCCTGCTCTTTCCTTATTTTCGCCTTTCTCGCCTTTCTCGCCTTTCTGGTATTAATTATCTTATTTTTTTTTTATAAAACGAACCTGTGCTTCTTTGCCTCTCCTTCCTTGGCTCGCTAAGATGGCCAAACGCGAGCAGCCTGGTAAAAGCCGGTTGTGATTTGACGAACCAGTGATCCAGTGGATGGTCGTGTTTGAAATTAATGGCCGACAAGTTGAAATCAGAAACTAGATACCAAAGCAATCCAAAATAAATACAATAGACACTAAATCAAAGCCAGTCCGTAACAAATGCACGCAGCCGGCTGTGTTGGTTTGCCTAGTTTGCCTAGTTCGCCTGCTCTCTCTGCTCGGGAGAGAGAGGCTGCAGTCTCTGCACAATTTCTGTACTCTTGCACTGGGGCGCTCGTTGGTCGACCACGGCTGATATTAAACTTGTGCGACAGCCGGCGACAGATGTGGGAGGTCGTGCGATACGACGATACCGTGAAAGTACGACAAAACGACAGGACGACCAAGATGGAACCACAGAGGACAAGGCAGAGCAGCCGGCCAGTTGTTTGGTGCTCAAGTGTTTTTGTGTGCTCGGATGGTGTGGACCGTTGGTGTTCTGCTTTCTGCGGTGGCGAGGGAGAAGTGTAGATGCAGGCGACACGTCTTTTTTATTTTCTTTTGTTTCCTTTTGGTCTTTCCCTTGTCCTATTTTCTCTGGCTGTTTCTTCTCCATGCTCCTATGGCGTCACCGTCTGTACGTGATATCTAGAGCCAGCGTGTGGACTACAAACATGGCCAGCAGGGCTTGGTCAAACCGATAGCCATGTACGCGGGCTAGAAATGACATGGATTGAGCAAGAGACACGCTAGGGGAAATAAATAAACTGATAGACAGTAGATAGACAGTAGGTAGACAGCAGACAGACGCCAGACAACAGGACGGACTCTTCCACGGATCTCCAGAGTCTCGCCCCGGCGTGTGTCACCTCTCTCTTTCCTCCTCCCCCGTCGCCTCCTTTATCGCCATGTCTTATCCTTCACACGCTTCACTGCTGTCCCTCTGCTCCTCTCAGCCTGTCATTTGCACCTTCGCTTCGCCAGAGGGCACAACCCCTGGTAACGATTCACCCGATGCAGGGTTGCACAAGGGCGTCTCTACCAGGTTTACCCGCCGGCCAATGGACGACGCCTGTCACTTTTTTCGTCGTCTTCTTCTGTCCGTCTCTGCTGCAGTGGTTGTGCCACAAGGCCGACATTGCAAACGACCACAGGACCGACCGTCTCGCCTGCATCAACCGTCAAAGGTCCTCGCAACCAACCCCTCCAACATAGCAAATGCCCTCGTATCTCCTCTCCATGCCATGTTCCTTGCAGCCATTGGTCTCTCGACGGCTGCTCTGTCTCTGCTGTCTCTCTCTTTCACGCTTTCTTTCTTTCTCTCTCCAGCCTCCCCCTCGCCAGCAGGAAAGGATAGACGAGGGCTTGAACCTTGTCGACGCAAGCAAGACATCAAGTGGCAGGGCAATGTGTGGTATCATATTGAAAGGTGAAAGTGAACTGTATCCTAGAGAAGGCTCCGATTGTCGTACATGCGCAAGTAAAGCAATAAATGGAATTAGTAGATCCAAATACAGACAGCTTACCGACGACGGCGGTCCCTATCGCGGTCCCTATCGCGGTCTCTGTCTCGGTCTCTGTCCTTGTCTCTGTACCTGTCTCTGTCCCTGTCTCTGTCTCTGTCCCTGTCTCTATCCCCGTCTCGCCCTTGATCCCGGCCCCATTCGCGGTCTCGCCCTTGCCCCCGCCTTGGACTCCGACTGCGGGCGTCGGACCGGGGCTTGTCGTGTCTGTAACGGTCCTGTCTGTAACGGTCATCGCGTCTGCTCCGACTGCCGTCTCGTCTCTCGTGTCTCTCATTGTACCGCCCTAGGCCACGGCCCCGTTCTCTGTCCTTGTCGTAGTCGCGGTCTCTATCCCTGTCGTCGCGTCTGCCGCCGCGGCGATCTCCGCCGTAGTCTCGTATTTGGTCGCCGTGGCCATTGTGCCTGTCCTCCGATTTGTTCGCGGCCGCCTCCTTCTTGGCAAACGCCTGCGCATGGCGGCCTCGGATCTCCTCGTCGCTGTGCACCATGCCGTACGACGACGGCCCGCCAGCATCGTCGTCGTCTTCGTTGCGGTACTTGCGCCACTTTTCCAGCTCGCGCACACCGCCCCAGCCGCCGCCGCGCCCGCGCGCCTGTTTCTGGCGCTTGGCGTTGGTGTCGCTGCGCCACGCGTCGCTGAGCTTGCTGACGCTCTGGCTAAAGTCAATGTGGATGCGGCGGTCGTCAATCAGCACGTCCTGCATCTTAAAGTACGCCGCCTCGCAGGCGGCCTTGTCCTCAAACTCGATAAACGCGTACTGCAGGCTGTCGCCCGTCTTGCGGTCGCGGATGACCTCGCACGAGAGGATGGTGCCGAACCGGCTAAAGATGAGCTCGAGGTCGGCGTCCTGCGTGACCGGGTTGAGCTTGCAGACAAACAGCACGTTCTCGGGCGGCTTGACCTCGGCAAACGGCAGGTCGCCCATCATCTCGAGCGTCAGCGCCTGGGCGCGCGCCTCGCGCTCGCGGCGTGTCTTTTCGGCCGCCGCCGCTCTGTCTTCCGAGTCGGCGCCCGGGTCGTCGTCCATGGTCGTCTGGTCCTCCTCGCCGAGGCGCGCCGTGTCCAGCTGCGCGCGCGACGGCGGCGGCGACGAGGGCGGCTCCACGAGGCCGGCCGGGTCTGGGTAGGGGTCGTCGAGGATGGCCGTATGCTTGATGCGGATGTCGACGAGCGGATAGCCGTTGTCGTCGACAATGGCCTTGTTGATGCTCTCGAGCACGTCAAAGCCCTCGACGACGCGCCCAAAGATGGCCGATTTGCCGTCCAGAAAGTCCGTGTCGTCGCCGAGGCTCACGATAAACTGCGACGCCGCCAGCCGCACGTCCGGATCGGTGGGGTGCGCCACGGTGGCCATGCCGACGGTGCCACGCTCGACATGCTTCAGCTTCGGGTGGAACAGCGCTGGGAACGTGCGGCGCGCCGGGTCGCCCGAGAGCACGCCCCAGATGCTGGAGCCGCCATCGGACAGTTTCGAGAGGGGACCAAGCGGGTCGCCGGTCTGGAAGGAGAATGATTTTTGGATAGAGTGGACGGGCGCGTAGTTGTAGTATTTGATCTTGCAGAGTTTGAGGAAGCTGCAAAGCGGTTGTTAGTAGAATATAAGGAATCGACAAAACGAAACGAAAAAGAAACCTCGTAGAATGGAACTCACTTTTCGCACAGCTTTGGTGCATAGTCTACCAAAAGGTCAATCACAATGTCACCCTTGCTGGTCTCGAGGAGGACAGACATGGCGTTTTGTAGGTGGCTGTGGCCGATCGTTGAAGAAGGAACATGAACGATGACGACAGGTCGACGTCGGCTACGCCCAGCGAACGGTCGCGTTGGTATGGTGGATCACAAGGTGGGTGCATGTGACTAATCACGTGAACAAAACGTCAATACTCAAAACTGTTTATGCTTCCAGGATATCGTCCGTTTTGGGAACTGGCTGAGACGTCAAGCATCTATGCCGATCTTCTTTTGCGTACAGTTTTTGTGCAGTGTTTTGCAAGCTTTTTGTCTCAAATTGAGTTCGCTGTGCAAAATCCCATCGAGAAGCCAGTTTCAACCCAGCTGGCTCAACGTGGCCAACCGTTGCAAAATCTGTTGAAATCTGTTGAAATCAAAAGAAATCCATTTAACCTAATGCCCAACATGGTTGTCACTTAGCACACTTGCAGGTCGGCTGTACTGCACTGTGGCCCGGAATCAAAGTGTGAATGTAAAGGACGTAGGTGGCAATCCTGGACGACAATGCTGTTGGAACCGTTTAGAGATTGCCATCAGTCGACCGTCATCAGCTGATTTTACCCGCCAAAAGAATTGCTGTTTGATTGAAATAGGAGAAGCACTGCTGTTGGGAGGCACAATTGGTGTTGGCCGTGTGCAATTTGAGGTTTGCGCTGCACAGAGAATATCCAACATCGCTTGTCATACAATTCAATAGGGACATGACAGCCGAACTCCGACGTCTCAATATGAAATGCCTCAACAAGCTTGTTGGTTTCATTGATATGAGAAGGACAATACTGTTGTAACCAAGGGAATTTGGCCAGCTACATTTGCCTGTGGTCTATTTGGAAATTGGTCAACTCGAGCTTGTTGGCTCGTGGTCTATGGACTTGAGATAAATATCATGAAGCCTCGTTCCTCAAGTTCATTTTTTGTCTCATCGTCAATAATCCACCTTATTTACTCCATAATCCTTCTTTTGCAAAATTCCTCCACTGTTGAAAACATGTGGCGCTCGGGTCTCTGCGCCCTCCTTCTCGGTGTGGCTACCCATGTGGCCGCTTTCGCCATCCCTCCGGGGCAGGCAGACGGTGTTTACAGTGTTTGGACTCGTCCTGATGGAACCGAGGAACACACGATGATCATGAATGCCACAGAAGCCCTGCTCATCCGCAGCGAGCCCCACGGTCTTGGCCGCTCTCTCGCGCGTCGGGATAGGCTCGCTTCTCGGTGGGCCATAAACGAAGGCGTCAGTTGCGCTTCCGGCCAAGAACGACTCGACCCTGGCGATTGCGACGCTGCCAATAGCATGCTCGACAACCAATGCGGCAACGGTGCCACTGTACGAATGGGAATGGACTTTTACTCCATCCGCAACTGTGCAGTGGCCTATTTTTGCAACTTCAGTGGCTATTACGACGCAAATTGCGATGCCCAAACACGGCGAGACTGGTCTGCAGCCATTACACAAAAGTGTGGGCTGTACATGCCAGGTTGGGGCCGGCACATCTCCAACGATGACGGGCCATTCAGCAAGGAGAACAACTTTTCCTATGGCTACGAGAATTATTGTCACGGGGGCAATAACTTTTGCAGCCGTGGCATCAAAGGTTAAGTCTTCCATGGCTTTGCCGAGAAAGGGGATTTAAGTAGGGGACGTGTATGTCTAACTGGGGATGCTTGGCTTTGTCGTTTTTTCTCTTTGTCCGAACTTTTATTTTGTTTGCTACCCCTTTTTTCCCTGGAGGAGGGTGTTCTCGTCTCGTGATTTCTTCTATTTTTCAATTCCTCTACGGATCTCTTCTTCTGTTCTTCATCCCTTTTAAATACCATTACTCTTTTATTTGATAGGTCGTCGATTCAGCACATTGTGCTTTGAAAACTTTCTCCTGTCGAAATCGAAATGTTAATTAGCCAAAATGAGAGATAGCATGTCACTTGTGGATATGCCAAACAGTGTCTAGCTTTCCGCCTTAAGGCACTAAAAAAGGTCCAAAAATCAAAGCACGGCAACATCGCCAACTTCAATCACAGCCACGGGCGTGACCCATGACGCGGACCATTGCACGATGCTGTATTTGAAAATATTAAAACACCCATACTGTGACTCTTCTGACCCTACTAACAAAAAGCTCTGTGTCAACGCACCCACCAGCCGGGCTTGGCCTCTATACTGGCAGAACAATACAATCGCGAAACGACATCATGAGATCGCTCATATTGCCCACCATGCTCCTCCCGTCGTCCAAAATAGAACGTTCGCAGGACCACGGCTTGTTTATTCGTCTCTATGGTGTCCCGGTGCTTTTTCTCCCGGGTCTTGTTGAGCCCATGTCGTCAAAAATGCACAACCACCATGAATTCGACGCCTTCCTAATGTGGACATACTGGTCTTCCCTTCGCTCTTTCTCCCCCTCCTTCCACGGTCTCCTCTTTCCGCTTCATGCTCCAACTAAAAACTTCTCGTCATGTTTGTTCTCTTCTCTCTCTTTTTCTTCTCCCCTGTTCTCCGTCCGCCTCGATTAACCTTACTGTTTGCCCGTCTGCCCCAGAACCCGGTTCTTAGCCTAATCTGGGCCCAATCAGCTCTCTCCCGGGCTGCACAAAAACTGCGGCTTGACTCCGTGTACGGTTCTCCGGATATTGCGCTCTATATTGCGTATAATGTCTATTTTCTGTTTTCCAATTACCCCGTCGCCTCATTCGTCACCATCGTCACCAGTTTTGCGTCGTTTGCCCACATCGGTTGCGGGAATACCATCTCATCTCCCCATCTCCCCATCCCCAATATGGGCGTTCCCCATCATGCGGCCTGCGAGTCACGCGGTCCATTGGGACGGTCGTGGACGAGCGCAATGGGCATCCCATGGCATAGGAAATTCGGTCTCTTTTGTTTTCTGTTTTCTGTTACGCGTGGCATATTGACATTGCCTCATATACGGCCTTGGCAGGCCATGGGCCGTGACTGGCGGAGGCTGCGATCATCCAGTATGGACTGCTCTCTGTGGCGGGTGATAAAGACTCCTGGTCTCCCAGTCAGTTTGCTGTCTTCTCTCGTCGTTTGCTTCCGTCCTCTCGTCTCGTGACTGGATATCGGGCCTTGACGCCAGCGACACGGACATGGCACGCTTTGCATTTGCGCTGCCGCTTGCGGCACTGCTGTTTACGGCCTCGGTCTACTCCCAGCAATGCGGCTGCATGGGCCTCGACTACACCGACGGAGGCTCGTATCTGATTGACGGCAGCTCGCAGCTGAACTTTACCTTCCATTCCTCGTTCGAGGGCTGCCAGGACGGCTTTGTCACGCCCATCCTCATCGATCCCAATGGCAACCAGTATGCCTGCGATGACATTGAGTCGCAGCCCGACGACAGCCAGCAGGCGTCTCAGTGGTGAGTTCGTGGTCTGTTTGCCATGCGCTTCGCCGTTGCTAACAAGCTCAGCAATCTCACGTACGACCAGATGGTGACAGGCCAGTACACCATCATCCTGCAGTCGACCGACATTGAGTTTGCCTCGCAGCGGCAGTTCCAGATCACGGTTGGCAACCAAGGCCTTGTCGTGGTGACTGTCACGCCCACAGAGACGGTTGGCGTCACTGTGACGCCTACAGCGATCAGTACGTCCCCCTGGCCACCTTCTTTTGCTTTTTGTGTTTCCTCCAACCTACCGTTCTAACACGCCCAGCCCAAATCAACGAGGTCGTCGAGACACAGACCGTCATCGGCTACCCCGAAACCGTCACCTCCGACTGTGACGCGCCCACGCAGACCATTATCAGCTACGTTCCCGGTCCCACGTCCGTCATTGACACCGTCATCCAGCGATGGGTCACTGCCGGTATCGTCACAAATTACTACCAGACCACCGTCGAGGTCGACGCATATTGCCACTGGCCCGCAACCTGGCGCTCGCCCACCGTGGATCGTCCGCCGCCGCCCACGTCGCGGCCCACCAACTGCGACGGTTGCCGGCCCTGGTACACAAGCAGCAGCTGGGTCTACACGCGGCCGAGCAGAACGCCGACGCGGCCCCACACGATCCCGCCCAAGTCGACGACGTCACGCCACCGCAACCCGCCGCCCCCGTCGTCCACTCGTCATAATGACCCGCCTCCGTCGTCAACTTGGCACAACGACCCGCCTCCATCCTCGACGCGCCACAACGATCCGCCTCCATCATCTACCCGGCACAATGATCCTCCCCCGTCGTCAACCAGGCACAGCGACCCCCCTCCATCATCCACGCGTCACAACGATCCTCCACCGTCATCCACACGCCATAATGACCCACCTCCATCGTCAACGCGACACAACGATCCACCGCCATCATCTACTCGGCATAATGACCCCCCTCCGTCGTCAACACGCCACAACGACCCGCCTCCGTCATCTACCCGGCACGAAGATCCGCCTCCGTCATCTACCCGACACAATGATCCTCCTCCGTCATCAACTCGCCATAATGACCCCCCGCCGTCGTCGACACGCCACAACGATCCTCCTCCGTCTTCGTCTAGACACAATGACCCCCTCCATCGTCATCCCGGCACAATGACCCGCCACCATCTTCAACGCGGCACAACGATCCTCCACCGTCGTCGACACGCCACAACGATCCTCCGCCGTCGTCTACCCGCAGGCCCGACCCGCCCCACACGAACCCGACCACCCGTCAGCCAGATCCCCCTCGATCAACGTCGCAGCCAGGCAATGGAGGCAACAATGGAGGAGGCAGGGGCGGCGGCAACAACGGAGGAGGCAACAACGGAGGCAACAACGGAGGCAACAATGGAGGCAACAACGGAGGTGGAAACAACGGAGGGAACAACGGGGGTAATAGGGGCGGTGAGAATGGCGGCGGCCATAATGGCGGTAACGAAGGCGGGAACAACGGTGGAAACAATGGAGGTAACAGGGGTGGAGGAGCTGGCGGGAACAACGGAGGCAACAACGGGGGTAACAACGGGGGTAACAATGGAGGGAACAGGGGCGGAGGAGGTGGCGGGAACAACGGAGGCAACAACGGAGGGAATAATGGCGGTAACAGGGGAGGCGGCAACGGAGGCAACAATGGTGGCAACAACGGAGGGAACAACGGAGGGAACAACGGTGGAAACAATGGAGGGAACAGGGGTGGAGGAGGTGGAGGGAAAAATGGACGCGGTGAAGGCGGCAATAACGGCGGCGGCAACAACGGTGGTAACAGAGGAGGTGGCGGAGGCGGCAATAACGGCGGCAGCAACAACGGCGGTAACAGAGGAGGCGGCGGCGGCGGCGGCAACAATGGCGGCAACAGAGGAGGCGGCGGAAACAACGGCGGAGGTAACAATGGTGGTGGACGGGGTGGTGGCGGCGGCGGCAACAACGGCGGCGGAAACAACGGCGGTAACAGAGGAGGCGGCGGCGGTAACAATGGCGGTGGACGGGGTGGCGGCGGCGGTCACAGGCCGGATGCCACCGAGGGCGTCGACAGCGTGCCCCAAAGCACGCCGGCGCCTGCTCTGGCTCGGCGCACCCTTCTCAAGATCCAGGATGTGACGAGCACTGTCGTCGAGACGACGTACACGGCCACCGTCACCGTCACGTCCACGGCCGAGACGCCGACGAGCACCGAGGACAACTTCTACACCGTCACGAGCACCTTTGAGCCGCCGGCAGAAACGGTCTGCGACGACGACGACGACGTGCCGACAGTCACGTACTTTTACCAGGGCCCTGCGCAGACGCAGTACCATGTGCACTACGAGACGTACAACACGTGGGCCACGGTCTGGGTCGGGCAGACGCAGACCTACACGTACACGGACCGCGACGCGATGACGCAGTGCTGGCAGGGTGGCGGACGATACGGCGTGTAGCGTGTAGCGTGGTGTGGGTTGTGTGGGAGCTTGAGTTTTTGGTGGAAGTCGCATGAGGAGACTATTCTTGCCCGATGTTTGCATGCGGTATAAGCTTTGTAGGACAAACGGGTTCGACATTGACATATGTAATTTCTACACTGGCTAATTCAGCCATCTATTGATTCTTTTTTTTTTCTTTCTTTTGTTTAATTTCTCAGAAATTCTATATTCGTCAATTATGGCATATTTACAGTTCGTCGTCTCACCAATTTGTACGCACACATTGCCCCTGTTGTTTACTGGAAGTTAACTAGACAGTTTAGTATGGCAGCACACGGCTTGTCACGTGCCACTCACACTATACGTGCGGCAGGCAGGCGCATTCCACTCGCTTTATCTGGAGCTGCGCCCCCGACCCCGCTAATTCAACGTCAGCATCCCAGGACCAACCCGCCCAGCCATTCCGAGACGCTGCAGTGGCTTCCATCGTCCTCCCTGCCGCACATCGCCAGCGCAAGGCAAAGCGACATCCTGCGACTCTCGACATCACTCTCCGACCGCGTGTGCCGCACATTCTACCACCATGGCGTCACCTCCCCCGATTGGTACGTATAGACTGGATCTTTGGATCGCCGTGGCTGTTGTTGTGGGGTTGGTCTGTCCCTCCGCGCCTGAGCATCCGAGCTCCCCTCCTCTGGGAACATCGCCATCGGCGCTGTCGTCACCCGCCTCGCACCTACCATTGTCCCTCCCGTGGCCCGTCTTCGACTCTCACTCTGGCCCCTGCTAACCTGTCCAGTCCTTGATGGCGGCACGGGCTTCCTCAAGGTCGGCTATGCCGCGCAGAACTTCCCTGAATTCCAATACCCCTCCATCGTCGGCCGGCCCATCCTGCGCACAGAAGAAAAGGGCGACAATGACCTGGTCATCAAGGACATTATGTGCGGCGACGAGGCCGCCGCCGCGCGCACGATGCTGCAGATCAGCTACCCCATGGAGAACGGCATCGTCAAGAAGTGGGACGACATGCAGCACCTCTGGGACTACACCTTTTACGAGAAGATGCAGATCGACACGACGGACCGCAAGATCCTGCTGACCGAGCCGCCCATGAACCCGCTCAAGAACCGCGAGCAGATGTGCGAGGTCATGTTTGACCGCTACAACTTTGGCGGCGTCTACGTGGCCATCCAGGCCGTGCTGGCCCTCTACGCCCAGGGCCTGTCGTCGGGCGTGGTCGTCGACTCGGGCGACGGCGTCACGCACATTGTGCCCGTCTACGAGTCGGTCGTGCTCAACCACCTGACGCGCCGCCTCGACGTGGCCGGCCGCGACGTCACCCAGAACCTGATTGCGCTGCTGCTGCGCCGCGGCTACGCCCTGAACCGCACGGCCGACTTTGAGACGGTGCGCCAGATCAAGGAGAAGCTGTGCTACGTCAGCTACGACCTCGAGCTCGACAAGCGCCTCAGCGAGGACACCACCGTGCTCGTCGAGAGCTACACGCTGCCCGACGGCCGCGTCATCCGCGTCGGCAGCGAGCGCTTCGAGGCGCCCGAGTGCCTGTTCCAGCCGCACCTCGTCGACTGCGAGCAGCCCGGTATGGCCGAGTTTCTGTTCAACACCATCCAGCAGGCCGACGTCGACGTGCGCTCGTCGCTCTTCAAGGCCATTGTGCTGTCGGGCGGCAGCAGCATGTACCCCGGCCTGCCCTCGCGCCTCGAGAAGGAGCTCAAGCAGCTGTGGCTGACGCGCGTCCTGGGCGGCAACCCGGAGCGCCTGAGCAAGTTCAAGGTGCGAATAGAAGACCCGCCGCGCCGGCGACACATGGTGTTCCTGGGCGGCGCCGTGCTCGCCAACATCATGGCCGACAAGGAGTCCATGTGGGTGACAAAGGCGGAGTGGCAGGAGCAGGGTGCCCGCGTGCTAGAGAAGCTAGGGCCGCGATAGAGAGTGAAAGGATGTGGTGTTTATAGGCGGGCGGCGGCTGCATTGCGCGTGTGAAACTGGTTCTTTATGTGCTGTCAAGACGAAAAGGCGACCTGTCGCCGCACAATCAAGTTTCTTTGCATATCGTGATGCCGCAGTGTTCGCAGTGTGATTGTCGCCATTATGCGCTGAAGATGTTCTGTAACCTCGCCTAAAGCTCGTCCCATACTACCCTGTAAATTGTAAGCCAAGCGCTGACGGCGATCTCAAACCCGCGCCATTTTGTCAGCCATAGCGCATGCCTCCAAACCCCACCCCGCTAAAAATCGATAAACGGCACTGGCGTCCGTCATCGCCAGCCGCTTCTCCACCTCGTTCCAGCATCGCCGACATCCGCCACGACGCTCACTCCGACAACAGAGTGACGACTTCCCTTGTTACGACAAAGCCCTCCGCACATCCCCGATTGACACCGCACTGCGTCAGCCTTCTTTCTGCCCTCGCATCTCAGCGCCCATGCGGTCCATCGACGGCTGCTCATAGAGCCGCCCAGGGCGACCTCGGCATCGCATCTCCCTCGTGCCATCGTCCTTCCATCAACCGTCGATCGGCATCGCTTATCGGCATCTCAATCTATCTCTCCCCGTCCCAAGATGAGCCACACAAACCCGCCGACGGGCACGTCAGGGCCGGCGTCGGGCTCAGCGATGCGCACACATGCTCTTAAGCGGAGTGTCCAGCAGGCCTTTGAAGGTGAGTCCTTGTCCCGGTGACGCCCGAACGTGGTGATGTAGCTAACCCGGCGTCCGTGGCCCCTCAGACACCGTCGACCGCAATGTGGGCTACGTCGGCTACCAGAGCAAGGTGCGGGTGACGGACAAGTACCGCGTGATCGGCTTCATTAGTAGCGGCACATACGGCCGCGTGTACAAAGCCGTCAGCCGCCAAGGGATGCCGGGCGAGTTTGCCATCAAGAAGTTCAAGCCCGACAAGGAGGGCGAGCAGGTCACGTACACGGGCATCAGCCAGTCGGCGATCCGCGAGATGGCGCTGTGCAGCGAGCTGTCGCACTACAACGTGATCCGGCTCGTCGAGATCATCCTCGAGGACAAGTGCATCTTCATGGTCTTTGAGTACGCCGAGCACGACCTGCTCCAAATCATCCACCACCACACGCAGCAGCCGCGCCACCCGATCCCGGCGTCGACCATCCGCAGCATCATGTTCCAGCTGCTCAACGGGAGCCAGTACCTGCACACCAACTGGGTGCTGCACCGCGACCTGAAGCCGGCCAACATCATGGTGACGTCGGCCGGGCAGGTCAAGATTGGCGACTTGGGGCTGGCGCGCCTGTTCTACAAGCCCCTGCACTCGCTCTTTTCCGGCGATAAGGTCGTCGTGACGATCTGGTACCGCGCGCCCGAGCTGCTCCTGGGCTCCCGCCACTACACGCCGGCCATTGACATGTGGGCCATTGGCTGCATCTTTGCCGAGCTGCTGTCGCTGCGGCCCATTTTCAAGGGCGAGGAGGCCAAGATGGACTCCAAGAAGACGGTGCCCTTCCAGCGCAACCAGATGCAAAAGATTGTCGACATCATGGGCCTGCCCACCAAGGAGCGGTGGCCGCTGCTGGCCAACATGCCCGAGTACCAGCAGCTGAGCACGCTCAGCAGCCACCATCACCAGCACAGTCACCACGCATCGTCGTCGTCGTCGTCGTCCGGCAACCTCGAAAAGTGGTACTACAGCACCATCAGCCAGGGCCAGACATCGGCGCCGCTGCCGCCGTCGGCCGCGGCCCATGCCAACCCGTCGTCGCTGGCCAGCCTCGGCGCCAACGGCTTCTCGCTGCTCGCCGGCCTGCTCGAGTACGACCCCGAAAAGCGCCTGACGGCCGAGGCGGCGCTCGAGCACCCCTTTTTCACGAGCGGCGACGCGCTGCACAGCAACTGCTTCGAAGGCCTCAAGACCGAGTATCCGCACCGGCGCGTCAGCCAGGACGACAACGACATTCGCACGAGCAGCCTCCCCGGGACGAAGCGGAGCGGGCTGCCAGACGACTCTCTTGTGCGGGCAAGCAAACGGGTAAAGGAATAATCCTGGAGGTCCCCGGTGTCCTGGTGTTGTTTGTTTTGTATGCCGCATGCCATATGTCGCATGTCTGCTATGCTTTCTTCTACTGTGCCCCTTTCTTATACCCCTTTGCGTCTGGTTTCTTTGGTGTTGCGTTGATTTTATTTTCTTTTTGCTTGTCCCCTTACTACTTCTTGACGAATAGGATGCTGAAATTCAATCATTTTTAAAAGATGCAACAAGGTCGAATTACGAGGTATCTATAAAAGGGTACGGAGTACTACGCGGTACACGGAGTAGACTGAAGAAATCGAACAACACGAAGAATGCGGTGCGGGACAAGACAAGCCTAGAGGCAGCCTGGAGGCAGCCTCGCACCTTGAGTATACCCTTTTTATCCATCTCCCGACGCAACACCCAGTACAGAAAAGGAACAAGAGGAAGAAAGTAAGAGCCAGAAAAAAAGGAAACAGAACAAATCGAGCGAGGCAGACGCGAAATAGCAAAATCAAACTGACATTGTGGGAAAATAGGGGGCAGAAGATCGGAGCAGTAGAGAGTAGACCGGATGAGGCTTTGAGGCCAAGACGGGACAGGCGAGCAGACAGGACAGGTCAGAGTGAAGGGCAACAACAACGGGAGCATATTAGAAAGCCATACATAGACCATACGACCACAATAGATCACCATCCACCATGCATTTCCCCGTCTTCACCGCGGATGGCGCCCTCACTTCTTGGCCGGCGCCGGCGGAGCCTTGACGTTGTTGGACAGCCAGGCCAGGCCCTCGAGCAAGCCCTCGCCCGTGGTGGCGCAACTTGGCACGACGTACCAGATCTTGTCCTTGAGCTTGGACAGCTGCAGCGCCTCGGTGACCTCCTGGGGCTTCATGCTGTTGTCGAGGTCCTGCTTGTTGGCAAACACGAGCAGCAGGCTGTCCTTCATCTCGCGGTCGTTGATGATGCGGTGCAGCTCCTGCTTGGCCTCGTCCATGCGTGCCCGGTCGGACGAGTCGACGACGAAGATGAGACCTTGGGTTCCTGGGCAAGTTAGTACGCCTGTTACAGGCAGAACAGGCAGAACAGGCAGAGCAGACAGAGCAGACAGAGCAGACAGAGCAGACAGAGGACGCAGGGGCGGGGCTGACGTACCGCTAAAGTAATGTCTCCAGAGAGGCCGAATCTTGTCCTGGCCACCGACGTCCCAGACGTTGAACTTGACATTCTTATACGTCACAGTCTCGACGTTGAAGCCGACGGTGGGAATGGTCGTGACGTCCTGGCCCAGCTTCAGCTTGTACAGGATCGTCGTCTTGCCGGCCGCGTCGAGGCCCAGCATCAGCAGGCGCATCTCCTTGGATCCGAAGATCTTGCCCATCATCTTGGAAAACTGGCCGCCCATGGTGACGGATGTCTGTGTGATCGTGCGACGGTGGCAGGGGGGAGGGGGGTATCAAGGCGGAGGGAGGGGGGTGCAGAGAGAGTTGTCGAGAAAGTCCAAGGCGGTCGAGCGCGAGGTCGTCGCGTCTACGTTTGCGCGCGTTCGAGCGTATGCTGCGAAGGAACCGGCGGCGGAGGCGCAAAGAGAGTCGTACCTCGAGCGGCGGCAGTCGCAGAAGCGAAACAACCAAGAAAGGAACGTCTACTCTGGATATCTGTCGAGTCCACACAATAACGTCGCGGTCGTCCGGTCGCGCGACAACAAAAGACGGAAAAGGGGGCGCGCAATGGGATCGGCGATTGGGGATCGGAGTCGTGTCGTGGTGGTTGCAGATGAGATCGCTGTCTCGTCACAGCCTCGTCGTGTTTTCCTTTGCTGTTGTCTCGTGTTTTCTTTTCCTCTTTCTGTTCCGCTTTGGTGAAAGCTCCCTCCTTTTTGCGGTTCACCTGTTTTCTTGCTTTTTCTGGGGAATTTGTTAAATTGGCAGTCGACTGAAGGTGGGCCGCCCGGCTCACAGGTGGCAGGTGCGCCTTCCCTTCGTTCCTGCCCCTGACCGTTGTGCACGGCACACGCACCCCAAAGCGTCCAAGCGCCAAAGCGTTCCAGGGGTCAAGTGGGGTTGGCCGTAAGGTGAGTGAAGAGCCTCAGAGGCTACAACGCTGTAGGCGCAATTTTAGGGGACTGTCGCAGCAGCAGACTGAAATTACAGTGGGAAGCCGACTGGCACATGCAACGACAGAGTCTTGCAGCACAATTAAAGTTACGGAACACCCCGGTGCTAAACGCACTGCTAGCAGACGTAGTATCTTACAGGACCTTGATACGGTGCACGACGTCGTTGAAACATATGTAAACACCTACTGAGTACAGTCCACAGCAAACTCGATCTGGGTTTCCATTTGAATATACTCTCGCGTGACAAACAAAGCTGTACCGTCCCGGATCCCTTTCCTGGGTATTCAATATCCAAACCTCTCGTGTCCCAATAAGCAAATAAAGTGCCCACCCAAAGCCATTGCGCCGTGCCATCCCTAGAAAACACATTGATAACGACAGAATCAGCACACAACGACGGACCACTGTAACCAATGGCCCAACAACAGGCCCCCAAACCACTCGCCGCCTAGTTCCGGTACTCGACAACAAAGCGCCGCTCGACCTCCTGCAGTGTGCCCGAGTTCTCCTCTCCCTCGAAGCGCAGGTTCACGCGCCCCGTCGCCTTGTCCGTGCTCATCACCTCTGCCTTGTAGAAGGTCGTGCTGTCCGGGTACAGGGCGAGCACGGTGCGGCCGGCCTCGAGCTCCGTCAGGTCCTGGCCCGGCGGCGGCAGCGGGATCATGTTGCTGGCGCTGGTCCGGTATTCCTGGCGCTGCTCCGGCGCAACGTCCGGGTCTTCGTCCTTGACCTTGTAGCGCCGCGACTTGCCCTCGCCGAGCACCTGCTGCACCTTGCCCAGGAACCACTCGGCCGAGTCGTTGAGGTTGGCCGGCTTGGGCTTGAACACAACGTCTTGGCCCTTCACAAACATGACGCGTGACCGCTGTGCCGCCGACGTCATGGCGCTGCCCGGTCCTTGTGGCTCGACGCTGTCCGCCTTCACCGACGAGGCCGTGTCGCGGTCGCCGCCACGAGGCGGAACACTGTCGCGGGCGTGGGACGAGCGGTCGCCGCGGTCGCCGCGGTCGCCGCGGTCGTTTCCGTTGCCCGCACCGCTCTTGCGTCCGTGGCCATTGCCATTGCCGCTGCCCTGGCTCGGCTCCATGTCCATCTCGTCGCCGGGGCCCTCAAACTCGTACGGGTCCTTTTCGCGCTCCTTCTCGCGCTCCAGCTCGCGCTCCTTTTCTCGTTCCTTTTCTGCCTTTTCCCGCTCGCGCTCGCGGTCCTTCTCCTTTTGCGCCTTTTCCTTTTCCTTTTCGCGCTCCTTCTCCTTCTCCCGCTCCTTTTCCCGTTCCTTTTCCCGTTCCCGCTCCCTCTCCTTTTCCTTCTCGCGCTCCTTCTCGCGGTCGCGCTCCTTGTCTCGGTCGCGTTCGCGCTCGCGCTCGCGCTCTCGCTCGCGCTCCTTTTCCCGCTCGCGCGTGCTGGTCCGGCCCGTGCTGCGCGACGACGAGCCGCCGCTCAAGAGGCTCGACCGCGACGGCGTGGCGCCCTGCTTCGCATCGGCCTCGTCCTCCTTCAGTTTCTGGATCGTCCGCAGCAGCTCCAGGTTCTCGAGCACGCGCTTGAGGTTGTCCTGCACGGCGTCAGACGTGCGCACCCCTTTGCGGAACAGGTCCTCCTGCTGCTTCTCTTCGGCCTCGGCGTCCATGGTGTCGCCGCTCTCGTGCATGCGCGTGTCCTGGTCGATGATCTTGCGCAGGCCGTCGTTGTCCGCGTTCTGCAACTCAACGTGGTTGCGGATTTCGTCCTTGATGCTCTGCCACAGGTTGTACTCCTCGCCCTGCTGGCTGCCGCGGTTGGGCCCCGAGCGGCCGGTGCGGTTTCGTGACGAGGACATGGCGGCGACGTGTGCGTCCTCCCCGCTCTGCGACTCGGGTTCCGATTCCTAGGCAATGCCGAGATCGCTACGCAGGTTAGCGAGCATTCTATTGGAGTTTGGGCGAGCCATCGGGGGCGGTTTGTGGTTGATTGTTGTGTCTAGTGGTGTCTGGTATGGTGGGAGAAAAAACAGAGACATGCCACCGCATGCATATATTGACTTCCCGGAGTCGACTGGTGGGATATGGGTGTAGTGAATGAGAGTGGCTGGCCAACCGTTGCCAGGGCAGTTGCTCGTGTCTGCTTACCTTTCACCAAAATACAACCACCTACTGTTTGATGACCACGATGGTGGACACGAGCGGAAAGAAGGTCGAAGGTCCGCCCGGGGTGCGATGAATGAACGGTGCAAAGGTGCGTTCAGCGATCGCGAATGAAGTTAAACAGTTGCGTGGAGAAGCTCAGAGCGCCGACAAGCTCGGTGGGGAAGCTCTTTCGTCAAAGCAAATCCACGCACGTGACATTTTGTGGGTTGTTTGAATGCATGCGCCCCAATCAGGGAAGCTAGACATATCTGCTCTACGTACCGAAAGTCGCTGACGAGCGCTATTAAGAGACCCTTACGGATGCCCCACGCTTATGAATCGGGAAATACCGAGGAAACCCAAAGTACGATTATCATGACATAAAATATCGGCGCTTGAATACGTGAGAAGTCATCGTTCTTAACTGAGAAGCGCGCTCATTTTGTTAATAATCGGCCACTGGCCGACCTTCCCTGTTCGAACAACATGGCGTCTCCAAAGGACACAGTGCGGATTCTCGTCCTCAACCCGAACTCGTCGACCGACATGACGCATGGCGTCGAGGAGGCCCTTCGCAGCATCGACCTTCCCACGGTGAGTGACGTGTTGTGTCGTCTTGATTTCCGTTCTGCAGTGGGTGGCTCTTATTTTATGTATTTTGTGAGCCGAGATTTTCGACCTGGGATTTTTTATTTGTTTTTATTTTTACGTGTCGATTTTCTTGAGCAAAATGCTGTAAGAAAACGTCATAAGAGTGAAAACATTTGCGACGATGTATTCCAGCAAATGAAATTGAAAACACGGTAGCCACAGAGTCTACAGTTTAATTCGATATTCCTAGAAAACCTTTTTGCCCTTCATAAGAAAGTCCTGCTAACAACACAAGTCAATCCAACTCTCGACCTACACGGCACCCAAGGACAGTCCGGCCAGCATCAACGACGGCGACGACCTCGAAAAGAGCACGGCCGTCGTGCTGGACGATTTTGATCTCGTGCATGCCGCCCAGAACTACGACGCAATCCTCGTCGCCTGCTTCAGTGTCCATCCGCTGGTGGCCAAGCTGAGCGACCTGCTGGCCGACCGTGGCGTCGTCGTCACGGGCATCTTTGAGGCCAGCATCCTCACGGCGTTGTCGCTGCTGCCGCCGTATGCGCTGGGTACGAGCAACGGTACCGGGGCCTTCAAGACATGGGGCGTTGTGACAACGGGCAAGTTCTGGGAGGAGCACCTGACGGCGGGCGCGGCCGCGTACTTGGGAGCGGAGCAGCACGAAACGGCGCGCAGCGGCAAGTTTGCCGGCATTTACTCGACCGGCCTCAATGCGGGCGATTTCCACGGCGGCGTGTCGCCCGAGGTGATTCGGGAAAAGCTCAAGACGGCGGCGAAGCAGCTGCTGGCGAGCTCGGATGTGGCCTGCGTGGTGATGGGCTGCGCCGGCATGGCTGGGCTGGAAGAGATCATCCGCGACGCGGCGCGGGAGCAGTACGGCGCCGAGGCGGGCAACCGCCTTCTCATCGTCGACGGTGTCAAGGCCGGTGCGGGTCTGCTGGACCAGGCCGTCAAGAACGCCCGCTTGTTCCGGGCGTGAATGTGGCATACGGCACGATTATAGCGGAAGCGAAGGTTTGGGCGAACCATAATAACCATTTCCGATTGAACCCCCGGCGCCAAACACAATCGCTAGCCATAAACATAAGACCCTGGACTTTCCTAAACTGTATAATAAAACAATGGTATGCCAACCACAAAAGCACATAGAAAACAGACAAAGCATAAAGCCGACTACTCGGGTACATCAGAGGTCGGGTACAAAGCCCAAAGACTAGGCCGTGCTCGTCCGGTCGCCAGGCCCAGGCTGCTAGTCAATGCGCGACGTGCGGCCCCAGACCTCGTCGGCGTCCTTCTTGCCGTTCGTCTCCGGTACATAGAACCAAAAGAAGACGGTGGAGAGAGCGGCGAAGAGGGCAAACAAAAAGTAGACCCAGCCAGCACCGCCAAAGCGGTTGTTGAGGGCAGTGTTGATGAGGGGGAAGAACTGGGCGACCAAGAAGGTGGCCACGTAGTTGGCGCCCAGCGCCCACGACTGCGTCGCTCCGACAGCTTCCTGACCGACGAGCTCGGCCGCCAGAATGAAGGGCACGGGGCCCAGGCCGACGGCGAAAAAGGCGACAAACGTCAGCACCGAAAACGCCGACAAGATCTTGACGCCGTAGACGATGGAAAAGGCAAGGACGAACGCGCTGGAGCCCTGGCCGATGACCGACAGCAGGAGACACGCCTTGCGGCCGAGGCGGTCCGGCAGCGGGGCGCAGAGCATCGTGGTCACTAAGTTGACGCAGGAGATAATAATGGTGAGGAGGGCCGAGTTGAGCGGCAGCATGCCGTTGAGTAGGGACACGGAGTACATGATGACAGAGTTGATACCGCACACCTGCTGCGCAAACATGATTCCTATGACGGCGATGAGCGCAGGGCGGTAGTGGGCGTCGACAAGCAGTTCAAAGAAGCCGACCGGGGCCCGGGCCTTTTGCTTGGCATCCAGGGCGACGGGGCCACGGGGCGAGGGCGGCGCAACGGCGACGATGCCGCCGGACAGGGACGTAGCGTCCAGCGCGGAAGGTTCGTCCAGCTCGGGGACGGCAGCGACGGCGGCGCCGTTGTTCTGGTCCAGAAGGGCCTGTTCCTCGGCAGAGCCAGCGGCTGGCCAGGGGCCCACCTCGTCGTCCAAGTTGGCGGCCTTGCCCCGGATGCGCTGCAGGATGCGCTTCGCCTCGACCGTCTTGCCCTCGCCGCCGCGCGCCGCCAGCCAGGCCGGGCTCTCGGGCACGGCCAGCAGGCCCACGAACTGGACGGCGGCCAGGGCCATGCCGGTGCCCAGAATGGACCGCCACGCCGCGCCGTGGCTCAAAAAGAAGCCGAGCGTCTGGGTGAACAGGATGCCAACGTTGACGGTGATCTGGGTGAAGGCGCCAAAGAAGCCGCGTGCCTGCGCGGGGGCGACCTCGCTGATGTAGAGCGGCACAATCACCGTCGACGCTCCTGCGCCGAGACCGTTGAGGACGCGGCCGATGGCGAGCACAGCGACCGACGGCGCAAACGTCTCGGTGACGGAGCCCAGCAAAAAGACAGCGGCCGTCAGACGCATGGCGAGCAGGCGGCCCTCACGGCTGCAAAAGGGTCCCGCCACAAGGGCCCCGATCAGGCCGCCGATGGTGAAGACGGACGAGACGGTCGCGAACTGGGCCTCTGTCATGGGGATGCAGTCGGGGAGGGACGTGCCGGTGGTCTTGCCGGCCGGCATGCCCTGTTGGTGGCAGGTCAGGACATCCTGGGGCGCGTTGAGCTCGGCCAGATGGAAGCCGAACTGGTGCGGGCCGAGTGTGACGACGACCAGCAGCAGGCAAAAGTACGGCGTGACGCCGTCCGTGACGCGCCGCAGCGCGGCAGGAAGCATGGCGGATGGGAGAAGCGATCGGTGCACTAATGGATGAATGCAGACCCGAAATGTATGGATATTCGAGCGACGAACGTGCGGGGCTATGATGCTGGCGCTGATGCTGGTGATGGCGATGATGTTGGATGTGTCGGAGTGTCGGTTTGTTGTGAAGCGATCCCCATCTTTGATGTGGAGCTCAGCTGGTCGGACCATCAGCCGCATGGTAATTCATTTGGGGAAGGAGCGCCAATACAGTTGATACGTGGGGAAGCTACGACCCCAGCGAGCCAAGCCACTGGCCCCCCAATTGGAGTTTGGAGGTGCATTCGATGGGATGGCCAGCTTATCAGTAAGACTGGCTGCACGGGTTACCGCTCGGAGCGAGTACAAGTTTCCAATTCGGACGACTTTCGTACTACTTGTTGATTCTCCATTGCATGTATACTATTCACTGAATTTCAACTTGCGTCGGCACTGCTACGGTGCCTGGCGTCCAGCGAGAAGCTCCACTAGCGGACAGCGCTACTCATTTGCACTAGAGCACGCCCTGGGCCCAAAGTTCTTCCGCCAACATCACCAACCCCAGTTCTCACCCATCTGTTCTTTAGTTACTTGCCAGCGCCCGGCCCACGGCCGTTGCCAGGCTGTCCGTGTCGTTGGGGCCGACGCCAATCAGCTCGTTGTCGTTCTTCTCGTACAGGGTGCCGCCCTCGGCCCAGATGCGGCGCAGCGTGTAGGCCGTGGCCGTAGGAATGCCGTCCGCCCATGCCTTTTCCTCGAGCGCCTGCAGCTCGGCCAGCGGCACCTTGGTGACCTGCCACTTGTCGCCGCCCGTCTGCTTCTCGTACGCGGCGACCACCTCGTTGGGCGTGACGACAAAGGACTGCACCTTGAGGGCCTTGCCAAAGGACTCTTGCGGGTGGCGCAGGGCAGCCACCAAGAACTTGCCGACGTCGAGCATCGTGCAGAAGCCGATCTTGCCCTCGCCGTCCTCAATGACATAGGCCTGCTTGTTGGCCGCGTCGAACCTGCCCAGCTTGGGGTCGGTGGGCGAGGCCACCCACATGTCAAAGTACGGGCCGGTGACCAGGTAGGTGACGTGCAGCTTCTTGACGTTCTCGCGGATGTACTTGCGCAGGGCCAGCTTGTTCTGGTGCGGCTTCTCGTTGGGGCTCTTGGCGTTGTGCTCAATGTCGGTGCCGTACTCGGACGGGAACAGCCACTTGACCGACTCCGACGCCTCGGCGAGCTCGACGAGCTTGGTCTGGACGTGGAGCGCGCCGCGGCCCAGCGCCGAGATGACCGTGTCGGGCTTCTCGGACTTGTAGGCGTTGGCGACGTCGTCGGCACTGGTAACGTCGCCGACGACGACGGACAGCGAGACGCCCGAGGCCTTCCAGCGGGACAGCAGCTCCGGCTTGGTGGTGGCGGTATTGGTCGACGTGAAGATGGACACGTGCGAGAACGCCGGCTTGGCTGCCAGGACGGCCTCGGTGATGTACTTGCCAATGGCGCCGGTGGCGCCAAAGATGAGCAGGCGAGAAGGCGCGAACGACATGTTGGATATGTGTGAAGCGTGAAGCGCAAAGCGTGAGGCTGTAAAGTGAGGAGTGTGTATGGAATGACGAAAGGTGAGGAGGTAAAAAGGCAAGTTGTCGAGAAAAGCAGTTTATGAGTGTCGGATTGACAGAAGGAGAGAGCAAGAGCTAAGGAAACATTGACAACCTGGCAAACAAACGCTGGCCGGGAAAATGTTTAAGAACCGCGAAGCTCCCAAGTTTATTAATGGCGTCCATGACCTTGCCGGCGCCGATCCCGCATTGGAGGGGCGTGAGCTCCAAATCAGCACTACTGGCGACGCAGTGAAGCTCCACGCGATGTCGATGGCGTCTTTATGTTAGCGGGGCACGGCATGCCACCCACTGCGTAGTTCGGCTACTACAGAAGCAGAAGCTCCTAGGAGGCAGACATCCGCTATCCGGAGGCTAACGCCTAAGCCGAACCCTAGAACTTCCAGTCAGATTTTCGGACTGCAGTGCAGTGGGAATCTGTGTCTGACAAAACGCTGTTGGCAAACATGTCGAAAGCATGAGAATATTACAAGGAAGACATAAGACTTTCATGGTAATTCCACAATGTATTGAACGAGCTGGACCAAATAGGGCGCAAATGCGCTGTGCCTTGAAACAACGAGTGACGCCTTCGTTATGCAGAAATGTGCAGAAATAACGTAGAATGAGAACCCAAATGCAAGGCCGGATAAACGAACAATAAAACGACAATTCAACGACTCGACAGCACACGTGTATGCTGTCTCTCACTCTCTCATGCACACCCTACTCTGGCGATCCGGGCTGGCTGCCCTTGTACAGCTCCACCTTCTGCCCGCTCTCTTCCTCCTCCTCCTCCCTGCCAAACTGCGTGATGCTGAACTCGGGCAGCCGGCGCACCTTTTGGCCTGTAATGTAGCTGTCGCGGCCACGGGCCATGCGTGCGCGCTCCTTGGCTTTCAGTGCACGCTCCTCGTCGGCAGGCAGCATGGTGCCCTCAATGGCAATGTAGCCGTTGTCGCCGGCTAGGCCGACGTCGAAGTCCTTGATGCGGAAGCGGATCTTGCCCTCGACCGGCCGGCCGTCGGCGTCTGCCCAGTACCCCGTCGCCTGCAGCGGCGCGACAGACTCTGTGTCTGTGGGGGCGCCTGGCGGGGCCCCATGCGCCTCGCCGTCCTCGGCAGTGTCCATGTCGTCGCCGTTTGTCGCACTGGCACCTGTTTCCGCAACGTCCTCCAGCTCGACGTACTGCCAGCCTGTGGGCAACCGTGCCGCCTCAATACTGGCATTGAACTTGTCCCAGCAGCTGACGCCAATGGCGCCCTCGTTTTGGAGGATGACGGTGCCCTCGAGCCAGGCACCGCGGCTTGGCACAAAGAGGTCGACATCGGCTGTCATCCAGCCAAAACCCACGGCGTACTCGTCAATCGAGGTGAGCGTAGCCGGCGTGGCATCCGTCGGAGGGTTGCGGGGGTCGGCACGGGTAGCGGTTTCGGACAGGTTGACGTTGCGGTAGGCCAAGAGGTAGCCGCCGAGCTGCGGCGCGTAGTGGTCGACGAGGCCCGCCAGATGCTGGCTGGCGGCGCTGGTGATGGGCTTGTCGAAGCCGAGTGGAAAGAGGGGCACCCAGAGGGAGACGGTCTGCGTGTAAAAGGGAAAGACGGCGGCGTCCGGATCATCGGACGGCAGGCTGAGGTGGCCTGCAGTTTGGCTTTGTGGTGCTGGTGTTGATGCTGACGTCGTTTCCTTGTTTTCTCTGCTCTTCTTCTCTTTCTTCCCTTTGCTGTCCTTTTCTTTGCTCTTCTTGTCCTTTCTGTCCTTCTTGTCTTTCTTGTCCTTCTTGTCCTTCTTCTCCTTCTTGTCAGCCTCGCCCTCCTTGGCTTTCTTAGACTTGCGTGGTGTCTCGTCGTTGTCGGCGCGCGGCCGCTTCCGATCCGCGAGTTCGGTCATTGTGTATTGCGAGGGCAGGCCAATTGCAGAGGGCATTGTGGAGGAGTGTGTGTGATGGCGGTCGGCGAGGGCTAGTAAGACGAAGGAAGTCGTAAACGCAGTCAAACCACAGCCGCCCGGCTTCAATGCGCAACGAGGCCTGGGTCGGTGTCTAGGAAGAAAAAGTTTAAAGTGGGCCGGCGCAGTCTGATAGCGAGACCGTTATCTCCACGTGCAAATGTGCTGTGAGTAACGTGACTCTCATTCAAAGCCTTCAATACCCCACATTGCCTGCCGGCACCAACTCTTGGTCTGGACCGTCCACCTAGAAGATGTTAGCACCAGCGACGCTGCGTACAAACAGGGAGATGTGCTTCATTTTCAAATTTCGTAGGTGACCTTCCTTTCTGGGGAGAGGACTTGACTTGCCCCACAGATAAGTTCGTTGTACGACCAACATAAAAGGTCGTATTTTCAGTTTAGCTCACCTCAGTATCGGACCTCGGCGTCGCTTCGACTGTCCGCATTCGCCCAAGCTCCGTCATAGCCAGTCATAAACCCGGTCTGACATCTCGGTAGCCACTGATTGCCAAAGATACGACATTGGCGGCGATGCCGTCGTACATTGATGGAAAGGGAATGGCCATAAAAAAAGAAGGATAGTGCTGCAACGGCGGAACGCCCCAGAGGCTGGGCGCGTGCACAACAGAATGTGGAAAGAGGGGACGTGGGAACGTGGGGACTTTGGACGTCAGCTTGGAGGCGTGACTGCCTTTATGACGACGGGCTGCAGCAAGAGGCGACAAGAGACAGCGAGGGCCAACAAGGAAAGAGCAACCAAGCACAGCATCACTGAAGGGAACTGCCGGCAACAGCAATGTTTACACAATCGAGCCACCAAATGGAAACCACGCCCGGTTCGCAGCCAGTCACAGCACAGCGCCATCGACTCTGCCACCTCCACTCCGTATCTGCATCCGAGCCAGGCCACCCCCCTCGTCTTCTCGTCTAGCGAGTCCACTGATAACCGGACGCTTGTTGTTAGAGCGATGGCTTTGGCTCGTTCGCGCGACACTACCCCATCTTTCGGTTCCTTTTGTTCCTTTTGGTCTTAGATTCGTTCCGACCAAGGCAACTTTGCCTCAGAGTCTCGACTCGCCCGACTGCCGTCTTTATCTTGCCAAGCTCACCCAGTGGCCAGTTTCTTGCTGGTTATCGTGCAGAGTCACAACTGGCAACTGGCGTGGATAAGCATAAAAGACAAACGATCGCCTGCTGACGTGCCTTGTCTGCGAGCCCGTTTTCGGACTGTTGACTTGCTTGCCTGGTTGTAAAGAGTGTCTGTCTTCAGCGGGGTCAACTTTACACTGTCGTTGTTGTCCTCTGAAACAGTCGTATCGTCACCAACCTGATTTTCGATTGCGACCGCGGCACTCCCTTATCTGCTGAGCGACATATCACGCGACACAGGTCGTCGGACGCTTTGGCCGTTATCTCCCTCAACTACGACATACGACAACTGCATCGCGGCTGCGAAAATGGCCGACGGAGCTGTGCTTGAGCGCCAGCCGACCAACACGGTCGCCGAGCAGGACGAAGATCGTCTGGCCAGTTTTGGCTACAAGCAGGAGCTGCGGCGCGATTGGGGCCTGGCACACAACTTTGGCGTGTCGTTTTCCATCATCAGTGTCATTACGGGCCTGACGACCCTCTTTTCCTATGGCCTCAACACTGGCGGCCCGGCAGGTAAGCGTCGTCTCTCACGCCCTTCATACGCATCCCCCACCCATATTCTATCCACTAACACACGTGTCCCCCAGTCATGTCTGTCGGCTGGATCCTCGTCTCCTTCTTCACCATGCTCGTCGCCATCGCCATGGCCGAGATCGTGTCGGCCATCCCCACGAGCGGTGGCCCGTACTTTTGGTCGGCCCTGCTGGCCCCGCCGCGCTGGTCGCCCTTTGCCGCCTGGCTGACTGGCTGGTTCAACTTGCTTGGCCAGGTCGCCGTCACCACGGGCATCTCGTTTGGTCTCGCCGGCTTGATTGCCACGGCCGCGAGCGTCAAGAGCACCACCTACACGCCGACCGCGGGCAAGACCATTGGCATCTACGCCGCTATTCTCGTGTCCCACGCGCTGGTCAACACGTTTGGCGTGCGCGTACTCAAATACCTGAACAACACGTCCATCTTTTTGCACTCGGCGGGCGTCAGCGCCATCTGCATTGCCGTGCTGGCCAAGGCACCCACACACCAGCCGGCCTCGTTTGTCTTCCAGACGTTCTACGACGGCACCGGCCTGGACACGGTCGGCTGGAGCATCCGCGCGAGCCCGGCCTACGTGGCGCTGTGCGGCGCCCTGCTGTCGCAGTACACGCTGACGGGCTTCGACGCGTCGGCGCATCTGAGCGAGGAGACCAAGAACGCCTCGTGGAGCGCGCCCATTGGCGTCGTGTCCAGCGTCGGCTTCAGCGCGCTCTTTGGCTTCTTCGTGCTCATGGCCTTTTTGTTCAGCGTCCAGGACTTTGCGGGCACCATCAACAGCCAGTATGGCCAGCCCGTCCTGCAGATTTTTGTCGACGTCTTTGGCGAGGACGGCGCCCTGGCCGTCTTTATCATCATCATGATTTGCGTCTGGCACTGCGGCCTCTTCAGCATGACCAGCAACAGCCGCATGATGTTTGCCTTTGCCCGCGACGGCGGCATCCACCCCTTCTTCCACAGCGTCGACCGCCGCTTCCAGTCGCCCGTGCGCACCGTCTGGCTCGCCGCCCTGCTGTCCTTCATCCTGGCCCTGCCCTCGCTGGGCTCGACCGTCGCGTTTTCCGCCGCCACGTCCATTGCCACCATTGGCCTGTACATTAGCTATGGCCTGCCCATTCTGATCGGCCTCATCTGGCACACGTCCTTTGTCGCCATCAAGGGCCCCTTTAACCTGGGCATCTTCAGCCGGCCCATTGCCGCCGGTGCCTGTGCCTGGATCGGCTGCATCTCCGTGGTGTTCTGCCTGCCCACCACCAACCCCGTGACCGATCAGACGCTCAACTACACCGTGGTTGCTGTCGGCATCATCGGCATCTTTGCCATTGGCAGCTGGGTGCTGTGGGCGCACAGGTGGTTCACGGGCCCGGCGGGCGAGGCCATGGAGGCCATGCGCGCGGGCGTCGACCCCACGGAACCGGGCGCGCTGGAAGCCAAGGAGGCCGAGGCCATGCGGGACTCGCAGCAGAGTCACGGAGCCGAGCTCTCTGGCTAGGGGGGTTGTGGCGCGCGCGGCGAACCATGGGAGGCGTGATGTGTGCGTTGGACGGGCTGCACGCTCGTGCAATTTTGTCTGTCATGTGTGGTACCAATTATACCCAAGAGCTAGAATGCGGTAGACCAAGTGATACAATCTATGGAAGTGATGATAGTTGTCTGAGGAAGCATGAGGTGGAGAGATTAACGTCGACTATCGTGATGCTTGCCAATGGGCAATTTGGATATGAGGTGGGTGTTTGTCAGTATTGCCATACGCAGCACCTGACAAGTATCCCGTAATTCAACGCAATAATGCCACGTGCGTGACTGAACATGAACTCCCATTCTTTTGGTTGCAAAAACCACTTCTATTGCGATCTTCCATAGGCGATGTATGTCGACGTCGGTGGCTATTCGAAGTGAAAGTCGGATTATGTAATACGCGACGCGCCCTGGACGCGTAGCTGTGCGGCCCACTTTGCGCACCTGCCCTAAATGGCCTCGCTGTTCCCTGATTCCGTTCCCCCAGAATCTCTGCCTCAGGCTTCGACTACAGGTTTAATTGATTTTCGCGCGTCGGCACGCGTCTCCCCATTCTCTCTCTGCCACTCTACGCGTCTCTCTGCGTTCCTCTTTTCGCTTCCCTTCCCGAATCCTGGTCGAAAACGAGGAACGAGATCACGCCTAGACCTTTTCTTGCCCGAGCCGCGCATGACACACTTACGACGTACTGGCCCATTCACTTGTCATATTTCTCAATCGTTTGCTTTTCGTACATCGACATCCATTCCTGCTGCCCTCGCTGTTCTCGATCCTGGCAACCGACGACATCTTCGATCAAAACCCGATCTCGGCGACTCCCCTCATTTGCCTCCATTGTGAACGCTCCGTGCCGACTCGACGTCACCCGTCGCCACCTCCGTCTTTCATCCCTCACCTCTCCTTTTGCCGTCCTCAGGACCGTCGCCCACGATGGCGACAAAGGAGCCCGGCGTGTACAGCGCGACATACAGTGGTGTATGATGCTGACCTGTTACCTGTTGGCCTATTGATTGTCTATCTGCCACTGTCATGAACGCACTTGGAAACTAACTGCCCCCCTGCCCCTGTCCTAGATCCCCGTGTATGAGTACCAGTTCGGCGTCGACCTGAAAGAGCATGTGATGCGCCGGCGGCATGACGACTGGATCAATGCAACACACATTCTGAAGGCGGCCGGGTTCGACAAGCCGCTGCGCACACGAATTCTGGAGCGCGAAGTGCAAAAGGACGTGCACGAGAAGATCCAGGGCGGCTACGGCAAATACCAGGGCACATGGATCCCGCTGGAGAGCGGCATGCTGCTGGCCCAGCGCAACAACGTGTACGACCGGCTGCGGCCCATTTTTGAGTTTACGCCCGGCGACGTCAGCCCGCCACCGGCCCCGCGGCACACGAGCAAGCCCAAGGCACCCCGCGCGCGGCCGGCGGTGCCCAAGTGGACGGCGCCGCCGCCGATCCACGAAGAGATGGTCGACGGGGCAGACGTGGCGATGGGCGACGACGACACGCCGGACAACCTGACGGTTGCGTCGGTGTCGTACGCAGCCGACGACGACCTGCACCACAACGACCTGTCCCAGTTTTCGGTGGGGCCGTCGCAGGCACAATCGGTGTCGACGCAGCAGCAGCGCAAGCGCAAGCGAGAGGAGATGATCCAGGACATGAAGGAGCAGCAGCACTCGGTGTACGGCGACGAGCTCTTGGACTACTTTTTGCTGTCGCGCAACGAGCAGCCGGCGATCCGGCCGGACCCGCCGACCAACTTCCAGCCCAACTGGGTGATTGACACGGAGCGGCACACGGCGCTGCACTGGGCGTGCGCCATGGGCGACGTCGAGGTGGTGAAGCAGCTCAAGCGGTTCGGGGCCACGCTCAATGTGCAGAACGAGCGCGGCGAGACGCCCTTTATGCGGGCGGTCAGCTTTACCAACTGCTACGAAAAGCAGACGTTCCCGGCGGTGATGAAGGAGCTCTTCGAGACGGTCGACGCGCGCGACAATGCCGGGTGCACCATCATCCACCACGCCGCCATTATGAAGAGCGGCCGCGTGACGAGCCAGTCGTGCGCGCGCTACTACCTGGACAACATCCTGAACCGGCTGCAGGAAACGCACGACCCCCACTTTGTGCAGCAGCTCATCGACGCGCAGGACAACGACGGCAACACGGCGGTGCACCTGGCGGCGATGAAGCACGCGAGCAAGTGCATCCGGGCGCTGCTGGGCCGCGGCGCGTCGACGGACATTCCCAACCACGAGGGCGTGCGGGCCGAGGACCTGATCAAGGACTTTAACGCCAGCAAGAAGGCACGCGGTGCCGCGGGGGGCATGCTGGGCGGTGGAGGCGGCGGCGGCAGTGGTGCTGCTGGCCTGGGCGGCGCGGCCCACATGCAGCGGTCGTCGTCGCCGTTTGCGCCCGACTCGACGCGGCGCCCGGGCGTGCTGCGGGACGACGGGCTGGACGGTGCGGCCGGCGGTGGTGGTCTGGGCGTGTCGTCGTTTGGGGCCGGGACATATGCCAGCAAAGCCTTGGCGGCGGCGGCGGTCTCGTACCAGTCAGAAGCGGCCAACACGGTGCAGTCGCGCATCACGTCGCTGGTCCTCGACAAGTTCCAGGACCTCTCGACGCGCTACGAGGAGGAGTTCCGGGAAAAGGCCGACGCCGAGAAGGAGGCGCAGCAGATCCTGGACAACGCGCAGGGCGAGCTGCTGGCGGTGAAGACGGAGACGGCGGACCTCGAGGCGCGCATCGAGGCGGACGACGTGGCGGCCAAGATTGCGCTGGAGGCCGAGGCGTCGCAGAAACAGCTGGCGTCGCTGCTGACGCGGCGGAACCGCTTGGCCCTGGACGCGGACGCCGAGCAGGAGCTGACGAGCACAAAAAGCGCAACAAACGGGGCGAACGGCCACGACGACTCGCTGGCCGCGCGACAGGCGCTGGCGGCCGACCTGCGGCAGCTGGCGGCCGAGCAGAAGCAGGCCGAGGAGGACTACGTGGACGCGCTGGCGGCGGTGGGCACGAGCGACAACATTGAAAAGTACCGGCGGCTGCTGCGGAGCTGTCTGGGGCCGGAGGCGGAGAGTCTCGAGGAAAACCTGGACGGCATGATTGCCATGATGGAGGAAGAGGCCAGCGATAGTCTGCGGACCGGCGGCGGCGGTGTGGCGGCAGTGGAGGCGGTGGATGCTATGGAGATCGCGGCATTATAGGGTGTGACTGTGACTACGCTGCTGTTTGTTGTATTTACGTCGTGCTGTCACTGTACATAGGGATTTGGAGTTTTTCTTTTTCTTCTTTCGTTTTTTCTTCTTCGGTCTTTTTTGGCAATTGGGTGCTCGTTGGGAGCAAAGAGCAAAACCGGCACAGGCACAGTTACAAGCATAAGCAATGAACAATACGAGCATTGCTCGTCTACTCGTCTATAGCAGTTGATGCATATTCATATGTTTACTTGTGCAGTAGAGAAATTCGACGAGCGGCGTGATTACGGTTTACTATGCATACAGGCCAGGCCAGCTGAATCGGGCAAGCCGCCGAACCGGACATGGACTGGCCCGTTCCAAACGAGGGCAGACCGCTGCAGTGGATCAAGAGGCTGCATCTTCAGCTATCCGATCGCGGAGGGGCGAGCTGGATCTGGAACCAGCATCGTGTATTCTGTACTGGGCGTGACTTGACGCGATGGGATCCCTGTGACTGTGATGCAGGTGATATTTGATGTCCAGCTGGGATGCGGCACGATTGAAGATTGATGCAGGGCCCGACTGCATCAGTAGACACAGTCGACGTTGGCGATGTTAGTGGACCGTCGGACAGCCCATTGAGAATTGGTCATGCCATCAGCTGGGCGGTCCATGGGTACAGTATCCTGCATGCATGCAATGGGGATCGAAAGCGTCGAAGGCTGTGGATGCGCCGATCGAGCTGGAAGAGCCATCCAAGAACAAGAAGAATGTCGCATCGAGATGGAGATGCAGAAAAAGAGGCCTGAACCAGAACGTGCTGAGGCCCCACTAAAAGCTGCCCTAAAAGCTGCCCGGCCCAGCTGAACGGACTGCCCGGTTGGGGGAGGAAAGTGGGACCTGGCAGCTAAAAACAGCAATGACGAGCCTAAAGCCGGCAAACGACAGAGACAACAGCCCTGGGCGAAACTCAACCTCAGCTGAGCATGCCCGGCTTGGGTGGCCACTAGCGTCATAGTTTGCCACTAACCGCTAGGGCGTAGAGACACCAAAGAGCGAACGAGCAAATAGCGAAAGAACAAGATCACCATCTCTCCCGTCCACGCCCAGATGCAGACAGGGCTGGCGTCGGCTGTAAGTGGTTGCCTGTGTGGATGGTTTCAGCAGAGGTATGGCAATAGTTTGTCGGCTCGTCGCCTGGCGGGCCAATGGCAGTGCGGGAGACCAGGCCCTGCGACAGGGAATCGGATTGATCTGCTCCCGATGCAAGGACACGGATACATCTGCAGCCGAAAACAGGTTGATCTCAGCTCTGGTGATGCGCATGGAGCGCTGCACATCACCCAATAGCGCGTCAGGGGCGCATCGAAGCAGGCATGGAACGCAGGGAACGGCGCGATGGGCAATGGACAGAGCCCAAAGGGGAAAACGGAGGGACAATATTGAGGGGAGAGTGGACGCAGACAAAAGATGCGGTCAACGGCAGAGGGAGCGGTGAATAAGAAAAGCCATGTGTTTGTCAAATTGGAGGGAGTGGGTTTGGACGGATCGCCGGTGGGAAGAAGAGTGATTGGTGGTGTGGTGAGGATGCAAATTGGTGTTTACGCTGTTGTTTGTTGTTTGCAGGGATTCTACGAAATACAGAGTCAACATGATTCAAGGCGCTCAAGAGGAGAGAAACGTCCGGCGTCCCTCGCACCGGCGTCCCTCAGGTCCCGTATAGACAATCTGACGGGCGTTTCGTGTCAGCATGATCATTCGACGGCTACATTGGCCACAACCTTTTCTGCGCGCGTGATGTGCGTCGCTTTCTGACATGCCGAATTCCATATCCCAGAACCCTGTCCACTGTCCCGAGTGACATTCCACCGCATCGTACTTGGACATGCTCCGTCGTATGTTTGCGATCATCCTGCAATACGTCTTGTGTCTGCGACCTCGACACGTTGACTGGTTGGCTCGCTACGGACAAGAATCACGAGACTCGCTGAACTGGAAGGGCTTGCATCCAGCTCTACTCTATCTGGACAACCCAGCACGCCTCAGCTCGATTCAGCACAAGTCAGCACAACCCAGCTGGCGGCTCTGTGCGGATTCGCAAGTGGCGTGGCGAGTGTGGAGTGTCTGCAGCGGAATTGGAATTTTGATTTGAGTTTGAATCTGCACCTAACCACACTCCACCCACGCCGACTCTGCACGACGACATATCGTCCTGCACCCTGCGCCTGCATGCAAGACAAAACAGGACGGATGCGCCGTCGATCCGGCCCAAGCTCAATCAAGCAACACATCTAGCAGACTGCAGCTGGCTCTGGTCCGGCGTGGTCCAGTCTAGCCAGACCGAGACAGACCAGCCCATCGGTTTGTTCTTCTTTGGTCTTGCCTCTTTGTCTGATTCTGTCATCCCTCGTCAACTCAACTACTCAACTGATCCACGGCATGCCCGCGGACCATTGGGCCCGAGGGCCCCTGGCAAAGGGTGGAAAGCAGACGTCCTGGTACCGTCTTCAGCTGGCCTCGCTCCCCGCGACTCCCCAAACGGATCTAAACCATGCACAAAGACGCACTCGATCCATGGATCTAACTACATTGATTGACACCAGATCATGATCCGTCTGTTCGCGGTCCTCTGCAATACGAAGTACATTATGTTATCAGGACGACTACGTCGTTAGTCGTACTTGGTACATCAATCGTCCTACATCCCACACGTAGCCCAACGTCGCACTCAGTATTTAATTCGATTTGATTCCACTCCTGGCGACATCTGCCGTGCTGTTGCATTTTGCTTTTCCGCTCGCCTACCAATACGACGTGCGTCGTTCCGACTGCGACGACAACTGCGGAGTCAACCAAAGGCCCAGCACACACACCACGCCTGCAGCCCCCCTACAACACCACTACCACAGCCCTACGCGCGCGCGTCGCATCCGTCGTACATCTTGGCCTTGCGACTCTTCGCTCTTTGGACGGCGTAGGCTCACCTCGGCCCTGCACCTTCTCGGAACGAGAGGGGCCCCATTCTCACCTCGGTCCGACGTCCCCAGGCCATCTCATCCTCACCACTCCTCTGGATACCTGGGCCTTTGATTCTCGACTCGATTGTCTATTTGTCTCGTCTGTTGTCTTTTTCGTATTATTGGTTGCACTGCGGATCGGCCGAAGGAACAGCGGGTCAGCGGCGAAATTCATACAAACGAAGGAGTAAATACCAAGAAGAACAAAGAGGCGAAAAAAATAAAATACAACGACGGGAAACAAAAGGGGCGGCGAATAAGAAGACACGACAAGGAAACGACAAATACCGTCTGGAGGGGCAGTGACGACCACGACAATATCACAAACGCAACCAACGGAACATCAACACAAAACACCAAACACCAACAAACGCCGAGGCTCGAGGCCGTCTTGTCGGATCCAAAACAGCCCCTTCATCCACCACGCAATAAACAGATTCCCCAGTAAGCGCTTGTCTGCTTTTGGCAACTCTTGACAGGCCGACAGGGCTACAGGGCAAGCCGACACCCGCATTACAGGGGGACGAAGGCCCTTGCTGGCGCAAAAGGCGAAACAACGAAAAGAGACGAAGAGGAACGAAGAGAGAGAGAGGGAAAATACGACAAAAAGCCATAAGCAAAGGCGACGGGACAGTCTTACAACGGAACCATGCCAGCCGTTGTGTTTCCTCCGCCACTTTGGGCAGGAGGTGAGGAGGAGCACGAACGAAACAGACACGAGGAGGTCGAGCAAATCGAACAGCTCGAACAGCTCGATCAACACAATCAACAAAGTCAGCTGAATCAACCAAGTCAACCAAGTCAAAACCTAGTTGAACTAAATCAACACGATCCTCTCTTCACGCTCAGCACCGCTTCCCCACCCTCTTCGTCCGTTTCTCCCTTCTCTTCCTTGTCCTCCTTTTTCTCGTTTCGTCCCACTGCCTTTCCTCCACTTCTGTCGCACTCGCGCGCATCGACCGCTCACTGGCTGCTTCTGGCCGCGACGCTGGTCCTTGTCAGCTCGTTGTTGGTGGCGGCTCGTCGTCTCGTGTGCGGCAGACCGAAGCGTCGGCGTTTGTCGCCGTCGACCGCCTCAGCCGTTGGCCGACAAACCACGAAGACAACACACGACGGCAACGTCCACGTTCTGTCCGAAAAGGATAAGACGCGCAACGAGCCCATCAACAACGCCAAGGACAAGTCGATCCATGACCAGAGACCACGCGCCAGCTTTGACGCATTCACTTACACGTCGCCCACGTCTGCATCTCCATCGGCACCTACATCCACATCCACATCCACATCCACAGCCCCATTTCCTGTCCCATTCATCCCATTTACACACCCGCCTACACGCCCACCTTCGCTCGGCTTTCCCCATCCCTTTCCCACCCCGGCCAACTTTACTGGCAACTACAACGCCAGCTACAAGGTCAGCACCCACCCGCAGGCGCAGCCCCAGAAACGCCTTCGTCGCGTCCGTGTCTACCACCTGCAGAACCGCTGGCCGGCTGACACCATGGACAAGTCGCGGAGAGCATCATCGGCGTCGTCGTCGACGTCAATGACGACGACGACGACGACGACGACTTTGGTCCCGGACCATGCCGCAGCACCCCGGCCGCCACCGTTGCCGCTGTCCACATCCAGCTTTGCCTTTGAGCGGCCGTCGTTGGGCGGTGGCAGGGCGGGGCAGGACGACGACATGGACGGCAACGACAACAACGGCGACGAAGCACCGGGGATGGCGTCGTCCACCCGCGTGGCAGCGTCCATTGCCTTTATCCACCAGCCCAACCCAGACTACGCCAACGTGGGCGACGAGGAGACGTTGACGGCGGCGACGGCGACGGCCCCGCCGCCGGCCGAGCTGCCCCCGTCCCCGTCCGTGTCGACCGTCACGGAGACGCTCCCTGCGCTCGACACGGCCGCCACCGACGAACTGCTGTCCGTCCTCGGCGCCGTCCCCGACGACGCTGCGGCCGGCGACGGCGACTGGGGCCGGCATACGCGCGTGTACGGCGGCGGGGTGTGTCTGGCCTGCTTGGCGGCCGAGAGCAGTGGTGGCCAAGGGGGCGAGTACGGCGCCAGCGTGCCAATGGAGCAGCGGCGGTAACAGGGAAACAGGACTGTCAGAGGCAGTCGCTCATTGTCGAAGACGTCGAGAACGTCCAAACGTCGAGGACGTCCAAACATCGACGGACATATTGCTACTTTTCTCTTCTTTGTTTTTCGTCTTTTTCCCATTTTATCTTGTTTTCTTCTTGTATTTACTTGGAAATGTAGAAGGTGTCGGACGGCAATCGTCATTATGAGTGGAACGGTTTAGGAGGACCTGCACAGGATGCTCATGAGAGCGAGTGCATGATGAGATATGTAATGCACATGTGATGTATTTGTTTCCTTTTTTTATACTTAATATTATATACTGTTTATTCATGAGTTGTCGTTCGTTTGAAGTTTTGTCATTCGTTTGATAAGTAATTATTACCTTGAGTCTGAATAATAATGTTGACAAAGTATTACCTGTATAATTGTGAATGCTATTTCGGCTCAAATAGACAATGTATCTTTATCTTTACCCAACTCTCTGTTCACCATCTACACTAACCAAACTCACGTGTTGCGCAACCATCGATCCCAGGGTATCTTGTTGGACGACGATATATTATCTATCGGAGTATGCAGTCTGGTTATAGTTATAGTTATAGTCACACGACTTCAGTTCACCCTCACAACCGGCTCTGCTCCACCGGCCCGCCTTGCTCTACCTCGCGGACGGCGGCGGCAAACGAGGCCTGCACGTCGTGCTCATGCAGCCAGGTGGCGTCTGTCCTGTTGCGGATGCGCGCCCGCAGCTGCTCGTCCGTCTCCGGGACGTAGCCCGGACGCAGACTCGCGCGCAGGCTCTCGACACGGGCCTGGTTGGAGGCGTGGACGATGCGGAGCAGACGGTCGGTGTGGCCCTTGCGCGTCTTTTCGTAGATGTGGACGGCGTGCAGCAGATCGGCCGTGCTGGGCTGGGCCGTGGCGGCGGCGGTTGGCGGGAACACGTGCAGCAGCGCGGCCGCAAACGCCCAGGCGTCGTCGAGGGCGAGGCTGCCGCCCGTGGCAAAGGCGCCGCCGTGGGCGTGCGCGGCATCGCCGACGAGCGTGACGCGGCCGGCGGGGACGTTGGCCGTGGTGCCGCTCAGGACCCAGGTGGGCAGGCTGTCCGAGGACGAGTTGGGGTACAGCTCGATGTGCGGGACGGCATTGACGAGGTTCTTGGCCAGGCTGCCCCAGCTGGTGTACAGGCCGCGGAGCGTCTCCAAGCTGCCGTCGGACGCCCACGCCTTGGCGGTGTCCCTAAGGTCGGGCCCCGCGCCGCCACCCGGCGCCGCGGTGTCCTCGGCCGGGTCGTACTGCACCTGGCCGACGACGGTGTACAGGTCCCGGCCCAGGGGCGAGAAGAAGAGGTTGCGGTCGTGGCCCCAGACGTGGGTGGCCTCGTGCGGCAGGCCCTCGATGTGGGCCACGTGCGCGCGCGGGAAGACGGAGCGGAGGGCCAGCGAGCCCGTCCACTGCGGCCGCGACGCCGGCACGAAAAACGTGCGCACGCGCGAATGCAGGCCGTCGGCGCCCACGAGCAGGTCGGCCGCGGCCGTGCTGCCGTCGGCAAAGGACAGGACCAGCTCGCCCTTGGCCGGGTCCCACGCGACGCTCGAAAAGGCCTTGCTCAGGTGGATCTGCTGCGGGTCGACGTGGGCCGCCAGCGACTCCTGCAGGTGCGCGCGGTAGTAGCGCGCGGTCCAGTGCCGCTTCAGGATGTTCTTGTCGGCCTGGCTGGCGTCCGTCGAGACGATCTCGCCCGTCTTGTAGTGCCGGTAGACCATGGGGAAGCCCGAGGCGTTGCGGAAGGACAGGCCGTTGGCCGCGTCGTCGGCCGCGTCGACGAGCGCATTGGCCACGCCGAGGCGGTCCAGCGTGCGCATGCCGTTGGGGCCCAGCGCAATGGACGCGCCAATCTCGCGCAGCTGCGTGGCCCGCTCGTACAGGTCAACGCGGATGCCCGGGTGCTGCTTGAGGGCAATGGCCACGGCGAGGCCCGCGATGCCCGAGCCGGCGACGGCGACACGGAAGGGACGCGCGTTGTCGGCAGCCATGGCAATGGGAGACGTGCGGTGGTGAGTCTGGGTGGTGTTGTGATGCTGTGGTGCTGTGATGCTGTGATGCTGTGATGCTGTGGTGTTCTGTAATGGGCTGCAGCGGCTGTTGCATACGGTTGACGTGATGCCCTTGGCAGACCCTGAATTATGTACCATTCACGGCGTGCACAGACAAACGACACGCTCCGATCGACCACGGATGCTTCGTGTGCGCCGTATATCACATAAAGTGTGCTCCGTAAGCCGTCAAACGAATGCTCGGATGATGCCACAGCCCGCCATTATGGTGCTTGTCCGCATCGGCGAGAACGCGCACTGCGCAGTTGGGTGTTCTTTTGCCTATATTCGGCCTACTGGCGATTGCACCATAGGGCGGGGTGCTTTGGCCGAAGCGCTGCAGAACGAACCGCCAGCGCCACTCCGCGAGGCTACTGCCGGCCGATCACCAGCACGTTTGTTCCACCAGTGCCACCACACCATCAGCCACTTACGTCGGCCGCTGGGGTTGCGTTTGCGGTAGCTCGTCAACGGGGTTGGATATGGCGATTGACGCGTTGGAGGCAGCAGCAGGGAGAAACCCTCCGGCGCCGTCACACAGTCCACAGTGAGGTCTATTAAAAATACAAAAATACATGCAAAATACATCAAGGCAAACGGGATGGGAACGTCTTATCAGCGTCGTGGAGGCAGCCCTGCGTCTTCTCTGTTATCGGAACCGCCCCGACGGACAAAATTTTCCTTTCCTGGAGCGATCGTCACTCTCAAGATGCTGCCATGGACTGTGGGGGTCCATTGCCGCGGACCTTGCGAAGCTGACAATGTACCGACAAAGTACCGACGAGCAGCTTGTAAGCGTCACGTTGGCTTCGGTAGATGCGTAGACGGGTTGGCAGGACTCTGTATAATTGCCAGCCAACAGGCAGACCAACAAGACATGTCGTACGACGCACGACCGGCGTCAGACACTGTGCGCTGACTCTCTTGAATATAAGACTTGGCACACTCGAATGCTCCCGCCTTTCTTTTCCTTCTCATCGCCCTTCCCGTTCTTTATAATCATTTTCCTTTTGCTTTCGCTACCATCGTAGCTCGCCCCATACACAACACCATGGGGAAGACGGCAAGCCCCGGCGAGTCGGCCGTGTCCGTCCTCGAGACACCGGCCGGTTCCGTCCCCGCGGCCCCGCAAGCGCACCTGGCCAAACGGTCCGACCGCTATGCCGACGAGAGCTACCGGCTGCTGTCGTCGATCAAGGTCGAGCCGCCGACGCCCGACGAAGCAGCCCGGCTCCGGCGCAAGGCCATCCGCTGGATCCTGCCGCTGATCTGCGTCGGCTACCACCTGATGTACGTCGACAAGCAGACGCTCGGCAGCTCCGCGATTCTGGGCATCCTGGACGACGCGCACCTCAGCGCCAACCAGTACAACTGGCTGTCGTCCATCTTCTACGTGGGCTACCTGCTGGCCGAATGGCCGCAGAACCTGGCCCTGCAGCGCTTCCCCGTGGGCAAGTGGCTGGCGGGCAACCTGGTGGTCTGGGGCGGCATCTTGCTGCTGCACATCCCCTGCCGCAGCTTCGGCGCGCTCTTTGCCGTGCGCTTCCTCCTGGGCCTGGCCGAGGCCTGCGTCGTGCCCGCGTTCCTGCTGACGCTCTCCATGTTCTTCACGTACGACGAGCAGGCGTGGCTGATGCCGAGCATGTGGGCCGCCGGCAACTCGAGCCCCATCTCGTCGGGCCTGCTGTCGTACGGCGTGCTCTTCATCGACACGGGCGGCTTCGCGCCGTGGAAGTGGTTCATGGTGATCACCGGCACGCTGACGGTGCTGTACGGCGTGGCCGTGTGGTTCTTTTTTCCCGACAGCCCCGTGTCGGCGCATTTCTACAAGACGCCCGACGAGCGCGCCCAGTCGATCCTGCGCATTGCCTCCAACCACTCGGGCATCGAGCAGAAGCGCTTCCAGCGCTACCAGCTGGTCGAGGCCCTCACGGACCCCAAGACGTGGCTCTTCTTCTTCCACGCCTGGTCGCAGGAGATGGCCAACGGCCTGACCAACCAGTACTCGCTCATCATCCAGTCGTTTGGCTTCACGACGCTGCAGACGACCCTGCTCGGCTGCCTGACGGGCCTCGTGTCCCTGGTCTCGCTGCTGGCCGCCGCCTGGACGCTCGCCAAGACCAAGAACGCGCGCGCCTGGATCTCCGCCGCCTCCTACATCCTCCCCATCGTGTCGTGCATCATGCTGCTGACGCTGCCCTGGTCCAACCGCAACGGCCTGCTCGTGGCCATCTACATCCGCGGCACCGCCGGCATCGCCTACAGCGTCGTCATGATCTGGGCCGCCAACTGCTCGGCCGGCCACACCAAGAAGACCGCCGTCATCGCCCTGTACCACGTCGGCTACGGCCTCGGCAACATCCTGTCGCCGCAGCTGTTCCAGCCGCAGTACAAGCCGCGCTACCTCGTGACGTGGGCCGTCATCCTGGGCGTCGCGTGTGTCCTGCCTACCATCATCATCCTCTACCTGCGGTGGTACCTCCAAAAAGAGAATGCGCGCCGGGACGCCCTGGCGGCGCAGCAGCTGATCCAAGAGATTGGCGTGGTCGAGCACGTCGACGAGTCCGGCGAGCGCGTCGAGGAAGTGGTGGACGCCCGCCAGCTCGACTTGACCGACCGCGAAAATCTTGCCTTGTACGTGCCGCCTGACCTTGACTTTGATATGGACATGACAGTCTACTGACACAAGCAGCCGTTACGTTTTGTAAGGACGCCGGGACGGGGCCGTGGTGAAAGGCAAAGAGTATGGGACGAGCAGAGCAAAATGTATATGAAATGTCCGACGTCCGACGTCCGACGGTCGACGTCCTTTTCCAGCATGTCGTACGCATGAAATGCAGAGACTTGTTACTATACATGCGACGCAACGAGTACGGCCTTGCTTAATAAGCGGTGAAATGGCCAACTACGCCAAGTAACCGGTGTAAAAGAGTAAATGTCGCCTTTCCTTGTTTGGTAACTGCTTGTTCTTCCCAGACGGGCAATGTGGAGTCGACTGTCGCCTCGCTTTTATCTCTGCAATCTAAAATCTATCCAAGACGGCCTACATAAACAACTATTTAATGGGCTCGTTTTTTTCCCCTTCCCCTCGCCACCTCCACTCTACGTCTCGCGCTCCTCAAAGGCGGGCTCGCAGTCGAGGCCCTACGGCACACCGGACGTCAGCTGGTCGTCCATAGCAAGCGCCCGTTGTGTGTCTAGAGTGTTGCGCAGCGTTGCATTTGCCTGTTGTATGGCGAGATAAGCGAGGACATCCTTCATCGACGAGGCAGCACGACCTCCTCTATATTTCGCAATATATATATATATATATATCTCTCTCTTATACTCTGCACAGTACAGCGTAGGCGTGATGTGACAATAGAAAAATCAAAGAGTGTATGGGATAGAGATTGTGCAGCCACTGTGGATGAAAACGGCCAGAGCCTGTCGTTGGGGTAGAACGGCTGCGCACACAGTTGCCCAAGTGCAAAATTACGTTATCACAGCCGGCAAGAGTGTATCAGGTAGTCGTAGACGGTGGTCGTCTCCGAGCACAACCTCCCTGTTGTAGGCGATGTTTGAAAGCGTGACAGATGATACTTTGAACCTTATGAAGAGGAGTGCTGCAAGTGCGAAAGACAAGAGAATTAAACGGGAGATACAATCTACAAACCATATCGTTGTTAACGATAGCTTCTCTTTGTTAATACACATATACTGATCTTGTCTGGCGTGTTATGAAGCTGCTGTGTCATTTGCTTTTGTTATTTGCGCAAACAGCTTCAGTATCCTTTCTTCATAGGCCCTACGATCGGCAAGTTTGCCTGCCACGGTCTCCTCTGGGTTTGTACACCACGTTGAGAAGACCGCGGGCACAGGAAACTCCCCCGGGTAATGCAGGGGAACAAGCTGCCTCTCTGTAAGGAGATCGATAGCGTGGGACGACAGCAATGCCCGGTAAAACCAGACCTGCTTTGAAACCCAGCTCGCATCCAAGATCGAGCTTAGAGTTCCGCCATGGGCTGCCTCCAGCGCACTTGTGTCCGCATGGCGCTCTTCTTCTTTGAATACCTCCATAAAGGCACCTCGCATCCGGTCGTATTCCCCATATCCCTCGCCGGCAATGCAGTCGATCTGTTCCCACGTGAGCCAGCGTGGCGTGTGAGGCATGTCGATGGGCGCGGAGACAATCCACTCTAAATCGAAGATCCCAGTCACATTCCAATTGGAGTCCACCATGATATTCGTCGCGTTTTGGTCCGCCATAAACAAGGCAAAGGGCCCGTTCCGTCGACTGTTGTCTACAAAACGAGGTGCGACGGCACGGAGGAATGCTCGAATTGCCATTTGGCCCTTGCAGTCGGCTTCGTTGTGTGCTGCATGTGGTGCCGCGAGGAAGCGTTCGTCGTGGAACGTCATTGTATCCAAGACATACTGGCCGACATCAGTGTACGTCTTGTCGACGGCCATCGTCCTCGGCGCCCCTTCGTTCTCGGAACGAACTATGTCCCACGTAAGCGGCCGGTTGTCCAAGGAGATCGTGCCGTCGTCGTTGAAACAAAATGCGCCGATCCTCGGCTGGGGAATGCGGGCCAACGCGAGGATGATTTGGGAGATGCCGCGAAACAAGTTGCGCATCTTGGCAGGCTCTTTTGTCATCGGCTGGTTTCGAATGACAAGGGGCAGCTGCTGCCCAAAAGAATCACCAAAGTGCTCGAGAACCATATAGCCTGTCCGGATCGGGACGTCCCCAATTTGAAGACGAAGGTAGGGCGAGGGGACAGGTCGCCGGAGGAAGGATGCAACGAATTGTCGAAGAGACAAGGTCACCCGGCAGACAATCGAGAGCTGGCTGGCATGGGCAAACTAGTTTGTCAGGCGGACGAAAAGAGAAAAATGCGAGACCAAGAGGAAGGAGTCCATACTGGGGTGCTATTTGGAAAGCCAAACCCGTATAGGTGGGGGATCCGAACTTCGGGGCAGTGGCGCTGCATCCACACATACGATGCCACCTCACACCGCATCTTTTCCAGAATCGAACCGGGGTAGTTCGTCTCGGCGCAGCTCATCGGCAGTGGGCAGCGAAGCACAACACGCCTGACCTGCTGATTCTCAGGCGTCTCGGTCGGCTTGTCGTGCTGGTCTTCTGCTGCATCCGCGCAATCGAACAGAAGCAGCGGGATGGCCACGTTGAAGGAGCCTGCGCGCCATGTCTTGGGATGTCCGGTCTTCACACACGCCGCATCAACCCCGACATGCAAGGCAACAAGCCGTTCCAAAGCCGCTCGCCGCTGCCACAGATGGAACTTGAACGCAACCTCGCCCATATATTGGTGGTGCTCCGAGAGGACATTGGCCTCACTGCCGAGAGCGGCCGTGATGTCAATTCTCTGCCCATCGGCGCGACAAATCGTTGTAGGCATATCGTTGCATCGAAACGCGGAGGGCGGGAAGTGAAATAACGTTCACGGGTACCGATACGCGATACGGCGGGAGAGAGAACAGTAGTCGACAAGACGAGTACAATGCATGGCAGGAAAGCACTGCCAGCGTGGCCTGAGCAAATCAGACAGGCATGGTGTGGGAATAAAGTGCATCGTATTCTACAGGAATTGCAGGCGAGGCATCTCAGGGGCAGGATAACATATCTAGGGACCAGCACGTGACCTGGCGGGTGGTGGGTCCTACATATGGTGTTCACGTGGATTGTCACGTGATGTAGCGCTAACTGTCATTGTCCGTTATTATTGGACAGAATAACAAAATTTTGTGGGGTGCCCAAGACAATTTTGTGTCAGGCAATGCGGAGCGACAATAAAGTAGATAGTTAGGAAGAACAGCAATATTACTTATGGAGAATGTCACCACCTTTTAAAACTTGTTAACCAAATATTCTCTCTCCAAAGTTTGGTTGGTTGGAGCCTGCCTAGCGTAATATTTTGTGTTAGGACATCCCTAATCTCGTACAGACCTGGCTTCCAGCGCCAAAGAAAGCGGAGACAACAACGAATAACTTATGAATTGCTTTACTGTCTATCAACCTCTTGAGTTTTAAGTGACTTAACCGGTAGTTGTGAGCCTTATTTTATCCTAAGAATTCGGGGCCGGAAGCCGTACTAATACGAGCCGGCCTGCACTGATCGTTAGGTTGCGTGAGATGTTTAGCTACGTAGTCATAAGTAACATACGACCACGAACACTTTGGTTGCCAAGAAGAACGACCCGACACCGGCCGTCGTAAGTGTTATCAACGTAATGTATATCCTTTACAATCTCATATCCACTCTGTTTGCTCCTACTTTGCCTGTGCTCGTCGACAGGGTCTTGAATCTGTTCCCTCGTCCCGTCCAAGTGGCAGACCTGTGAAGATGCGCTCTTTGACGACGTTGTCAAGTTGAAGCCTGGGGCCCTCCACGCAGTAGAGACGCGTTTAAAGGTTCTCAACAAGATCCAAAGAGCTTGGACCTGACAACAATTCCCACTTATAGCAATGACAGGCAGTTGTTCTTTTGGCATCGTGCTGGAAAAATATTATTATCCATGTTCACTTTTTGACCATGGCAACAACCCTAACTAAGCGCGGTGATGCGCCGCATCTGAGTGGTCTCGTGCACAACTATATCGAGCGGTCGCTGGACGTGCTGGCGGAGAACTTGGCACGAACGGCCGCGGGCAAGGATATATCGTCGTACTCTATCCAGAAACTGGTCCTATAGTCTTAATTCTGATTTCCCACTCGAATTTCCCAATTTCCAGCAGCTCAGTTCGCTTCGGAGTAGGATCTTCCTTTTCTACGTGAATGATGTACACAAGTTCAAGGGCAGGTTCTATCTCACTTATTTATTTTACGACCAGTACATTCAGAGATTTATTTGACCATTTTTGTTGTCGTCCTTTTGTGCAACTCCCACTAGCATTGCACGTGTCCCACGGCCGCCTTTACAACACACCCCATGCATTAGCACGCCATTCAACGGTCACCTTGTCTTATCACATCCCCGCAAGATCTCCCATGTTCTCCGAAGACGGCCACATTCCCGCGGAAACGGAGCAGAGCAATCACAAAAGACGTCTGCATCTCGCAACATTGTCAGCAAACAGTGCCGTCTATCCGTTCAGGATCCTCACCACCGTCACCACCCTACCGCCCTCGCAAGCACCATGGCTCCCAAACTTGACCACATTGTGCTCCTCGTGCCACACGCGGTGCTCTCGACGCTGCCGACCTGGCTGACCGGTGCGTTGACAGTCGTCCCCGGCGGCCAGCATGCGGGCGGCGTCACGGAGAACCAGCTGGTGCTGTTTCAAGACGGCGTCTACGTCGAAATTATAGCGTTTGTCGGCGACGACGCAAAGAAACGGGAGGCGCACCGCTGGGGCCGTCAACCAGAGGGCCATTTCGTCGACTGGGCCGTGAGCCTGGACAAGCCGACACAGAAAGAGAACGACGATGCCTTTGCAGAGATTCAAAAGCGGGTGGCCGCAGCCGGTGCGGGCCTGGGCTACCACGACCTGGTGGACGGCGGCCGGACGACGCCGGACGGGGTCGTTCTCCAGTGGGCGACGGCGTCGCCCGTCGCCCTGCCGGGACACGGCGCCGTGTCGGGCGGCCTGCTCCCGTTCTGGTGCATTGACCGGACCGACCGGACGCTGCGGGTGCCGTATGCGACGCGGCCGGAACTAGCACAGCACCCATCCCAGGCCGTCGGCGTGGCGGGTGTGACGCTGCACGTTGCGGACGCGGCAGTCGTGGACCGGCTGCGCACGGCCTACGACGTCTTGCTGACAAGGAGTGGAGACGGCGCGGAAGACGCGTGGGACGTGGCGGCGCCCGAGACGCCGTCGCACGGGCAGACGGCGACACTGAGCATTGCCGTGCTGGACAGGACGACAGCAGGACCGGGGATTCACAGCTGGATCGAGCTTGCCTTGTTCACGACCGGCCCGGCCAAGATAGTTGGCGGGCACATTGTGGACGGCTGGCGAATCGACATTCGGCTCGAGTCCGTGGCGTAATGGTGGAGTGGAGGATGGGGGGGGGGAGGTTAGAGTACGGAGTACGACAGGGTCCAACCATTCCATAGCCGCATTACTGCTCGCGGACGTCGGCAGACAACGGACCGCCGATCCCGTCCGTCTTGGTCGTTGTGATGGTGAGCATGACCGATGTCTGTGACTCAGACGAGGCACACCTTTGACGGGCGGACGGCAGACCAACGGGTTTGTTGCGAGCGTCGCGTGGAGCGACAGGCACATCTGGCGTGTCTGGAGTGGCTCCTCATGCAGCAATACAGCCGTGAGACACGACGCGCAGAAACGCGAACATGACGTGATTAGCCGAGGGGCACGATCGATAGAAAAGGGGGTGGTGGAGGGCAATGATGGAGGGTAATGATGGAGGGCAGTCGCAGCAGCTATGGTGCCATGTTTTTAGTTGTTAGATAATACAGACTTTTTGAAACCGGGGCGTTGTCTTTGTGGTCGCTGGTATAGCGGATTCCGCAGCTCGCGTAGAATGCGAGTTCGATGGCGTTATGCAATGGTGGCAGTCGACAGACGAATCGCGGATCAGGCACGAATCACCGTTCCGGCACCGAGCAGCGCTAGACTGGAGTTGCAGTTTGGGCAGAGGAGACGATGTACATAGTATTGATAGTAATATCTCGAGTATAAATAAAGTGTGTTTGCCGTGACGTCTGTTCTATATTTCAAACTCTCATAACCTTACACAACGCATAGTCACCACCATCATCGCCAACGCCCACAATGGCCCCCTCTGCGATTGAGACCGTCGTTCCCGACGTGTCGACGCTCAAGCTGCACTCGACACTCAACAACGCGCAGGCCGGCGCCCAGCGTGCTGCCCGCGCACTGTTTGCGCCCAAGTACGACGCAGACGTGGAAGCCGGCAAGACGGGCGAGCCGGCTGCCAAGGTGCGTCGTTTCCATGTCCCATTGACACACAATCATACTCACCGGACCGCAGTATCCCAACTACCTCCCGACGTGGAACCCGGAGCAAAAGTACCCGCCCCTGGAGCCGTTTGAGCACCACGACCACGGCAAGGACGCCGACCCGACGTACCCGGACCTGCTGCCCAAGGACAAGGCGGTGCGGCTGGACCTGACGCCGACGATTGGCTCCGAGGTGCGCGGCGTGCAGCTGAGCGCGCTGAGCGACGCGGGCAAGGACCAGCTGGCGCGGCTGGTGGCGGAGCGCAAGGTGGTGGCGTTCCGCGACCAGGACTTTGCGGACCTGTCGGTGGCGGACGCGCTCAAGTTCGGCGGCTACTTTGGCCGGCACCACATCCACCCGACGTCGGGGTCGCCCGCGGGCCACCCGGAGGTGCACCTGGTGCACCGCGGCGCGGGCGACCACTCGATCGACAGCTTCTACGAGCTGCGCACGTCGTCGATCGGCTGGCACTCGGACGTGACGTACGAGGCGCAGCCGCCGGGCACGACGTTCCTGTACGTGCTGGACAAGCCGGAGGTGGGCGGCGACACGCTGTTTGTGGACGCGGTGGAGGCGTACAAGCGGCTGTCGCCGGCGTTCCAGGAGCGGCTGCACGGGCTGCGGGCGGTGCACTCGGGCATCGAGCAGGCCAACTTCTCGCGCAACAAGGGCGGCGTGGTGCGGCGCGAGCCGGTGTACAACACGCACCCGATTGTGCGGACGCACCCGGTGACGGGCGAGAAGGCGCTGTTTGTGAACCCGGGGTTCGTGCGCGAGGTGGTGGGCCTCAAGAAGGAGGAGAGCGACTGGCTGCTCAAGTTCCTGTACGACCACCTGGCGCACGGGGCCGACTTCCAGGCGCGCGTGCGGTGGGAGGAGGGCACGGTGGTGGTGTGGGACAACCGGATCACGCAGCACTCGGCGGTGGTGGACTGGAAGTCGGGCGAGCGGCGGCACCTGGCGCGGATTACGCCGCAGGCCGAGCGGCCGTTTGAGACGCCGTTCAAGGCGGAGTAGGGGAGAGGAGGCAGAGTGCGTCAGGATGTAGAAGCAGTAGATACGTCAATGACCGGTAGATACGTCAATGACCGAGACATCGACAGCCCTTGCACACTACAAGTCTACAAGTAACGAAACGTTCTCGTGAGCAAAAGTCCCCCCACCAGCATGGCCAGCCCCGAAAACACGACGGCCATGCTCCAGTCGTCGTGGCCGCCGTGACCATTGTGACCGCTGTGGCTGCGGCCGGCGACAATGGCATTGGCCACGCTGGGGCCGGCCAGCACGCCGACACCGACAATGCTGTTGAACAAGCCGACTTTGCTGGCGAGGTTGTCGCTGCCAAAGAGGTCGGACACGACGACGGGAATCAGGCTGACAAAGCCGGACCCCAGCAGGCCGACAAAGACGACAAAGACGGTCAGCAGGGCGACTGCGTCGTGGCCCGTGCGGAGGACGCCGGGCAGCCAGAACAGCAGGTGGCCGGCGCCGCAGAGCAGGAAACTCGCCACGAGGCCCGTCAGCGTGCCGTAGCGGTCGGCAAAGGCGCCGATGCCCAGGCGGCCGGCAATGGACAGGCCGTTCATGAGGCCGAGCAGCCAGGCGGCATAGGCGGCATCGACGCCCTGGGCGACGGCGGAGGGCGTGATGAGAAAGTAGCGCGGCAGGAAGCCGGTCATGGCGACGCTGGTGGCGGCCAGCAGGACGAGGAAGCGGCGGTCGCGCAGGAGCGCGAGGTCCAGCAGACGTGCCGTCGGCCGGCCGCGGGGCCGCACCACCGGCGTGTCGAGCCAGCAAAACGCCGCCCACGCGCACCCCAAAAGAGCGGCGGCCAGGCAGCCGAGCGTGCGGAAGGTGGCGGGCAGGCCGTGGCGCCGGAGCAGCACGCGCGTCGCGTATGGCAGCACACAGCCGCCCAGGGCGCCGCCGGACACCACGACGGCGTTGGCCACGCCGTGGCGGCGCGCAAACAGGCGGCGCGACACGCTGACGGCCGGGTAGTAGACGAAGGCGGCGCCGAGGCCAAAGGTGACGCCCTGCGCCAGCAGGAACTGGTAGAAGCGGGTGCAGACGCTGGCGGCAAAGAGGCCGGCGACGACCAGAACGGCGCCCACCAGCACGGCCACGTCGTATCCGAAGCGGTCGGCAAAGCGTCCGGCGGGCGCGCCCAGGATCATGTAGAGGCTCGACGCGAGCGAGCCCACCAGGATGATCTGCGCGGGCGGCGTGTCCGGGAAGAGCGTGGACGCGTAGTAGTCCTGGAAGATGCCAAACGAGTTGGGCATGCCGACGGCGACAAAGGTGATGGCGAACGCGGCGACGACAAGGGCGCCATTTTTGTGTTGGCGAGGCGGAGGCGGTGCCGGGGGCGGTGCAGCCGGGGACGGCAGTGATGGGCGTGTGCGCGCGTCATCGTCGTCTGGACGACGTGCAGGGTGCACCGGCGTGGTGAGCACCGCGAGCTGTGTGGCCGACATGTGATTTGTAGTGATGGTGATGATGTTTGGTGGATGCGATGAAAGAGCGTCCCCTCCTCAACGGCATTACCCATAACTATCCGGGATAGCGGCTAGCCATTGATCCTTGTAGCGGCCCAATGTGCTATTGGTTCCCTAAACCACGAACCCAACCGCCTGAAACACCCCGCACGCACACTGGAGCACCAGGCCTTGGTGCCGCATGCCAGACTTGCGCACGAAGACGTCTGTCGTTTAGAACTGCGACTACGGCAAACACATGATCGAATGCACCGCCTAGCAGAGCCGCGTGCTAATTACAGCGCTGTCAAGTAAGACGACCAGTCCATGACTCGGTTCGGGGGCTTTTCTGACACGAAATACAGCCCCATCACAACGGCTACCCGCACGTGCCCATCGTCACGATTTCAACGAGGGCGCGTGTCTGCAGCTGGTGGCCGGCCACGCCCGACACCTGGAGTGGCCGGGCGCGCACGGCGCGGTGTTGCCACCGTGGCGGGTCTGCAGCACGCGGACCGGCGGCCGTACCGCCTGCGCCCCGGCGCCGCGCCCCCGCGCCTGTGTTTTGCCACAATGACCTAAACGGCGCCAATGTGCTGGTCGACCGGAGACGCTGAACATGACGGACATCTGTCGACGGGGAGTGCGCCGGTTCAGCTGTCCTGCCCAAGTTTGAGGGGTCGAGGCGTGGGGTTGACGTAGGTGAGGGAGTTTCCGTAGGGCAGTTGAGAGTTGGGCAGTTAGGGCGTAATACGAGGCCGGGGCTGTGTCATGCAACAATGTGTAAAATCGGTACTTTTGCGCCACTACCACCGCCCTTTCGATTGGGCGCTCTTGGCGATGGCTGTGATGGCGGCCATTTGTCGAGAGCCGCCGGTGACGAACTTGCCACGCTGCTAGTCTTTGGAATCGGCATCTTGGCCTTTGTTCCGTATGGTGTTAGTCACCGTAGTCCGGTTAGTCGCGCTGTTTGGTCGATCTTGGTGCGATCTTGGTCGGTCTTGGTCGGTCTTGGCCTTGGACTGGCCGGTCTTGGTGTCTCGGCAGCTCCTGGTACGACGCCCTACGCACTCGCACGAAAGCCGATCGTATATAATATATACAGAGGGGTGTCGACAACGTCTCGTCCTTTCTTTTCTTCTTTCGTTCTTCCCAATGCATCCCGGTTCTGCGTCACGATTGCCCAACATGACCGACATGTCGACCATTGTGGCTGCCTCGCCCGCCCCGGCCGCCTCGCTTCCCTACCACGAGCCGTCGATGCCCGCCATCCTCGTGCAGACATCCTTCTTGCTGCTCCTCCACGTCGCCAACTGGGCGCTCGATCGCCTGATCTACTGCGGCCTCGTCGGCCAGATCCTCGTGGGCATCGCCTGGGGCACGCCCGGCGCCAAGCTGCTGTCCACCGAGGCCGAGGACACCTTTGTGCAGCTGGGCTACCTCGGCCTGCTGCTCATCGTCTTCGAGGGCGGCCTGTCGACGTCGCTGCCCGCCATGCGCGCCAACCTGTTCCGGTCCGCCAGCGTCGCCGCCACGGGCATCGCCGCCCCGATTGCGCTCTCGTTTGTGCTGGCCCCGATGACCGGCGCGACGTACCTGGCCTGCTTTGCGGCCGGCGCCGCGCTGTGCTCGACCAGCCTGGGCACGACGTTTACCGTCATTCGCGCGTGCGGGCTCGGCCCCACGCGCCTCGGCGTCGTCCTGACCAGCGCGGCCATGCTCGACGACGTCGTCGGCCTGGTCATGGTGCAGGTGATTGCCAATCTGGGGTCGGGCGGCGGCGACAGCGACGGCGGCGGGCTGTCGGCCCTCACCGTCGTCCGCCCCATCCTCGTGTCCATTGCCTTTGCCACCGTGTCCATTGCGGCGTGCTGGTGGCTGGCGCCCCGTCTGCGGTACGTCCTCCGGCGAAAGCTTGCAGCACAGCGCTGGGCCCGGCCGGGCACGCTCGTGGGCCGTGTCCTGCGCGCCAAGGCCACCAAGCTGGTCCTGGCCACGGCCTTCTTCGTCGGCCTGGCCACGGCCGCCACCTACGCCGGCACGTCCAACCTGTTTGCCGCCTACATTGCCGGCGCCGTGCTGGGATGGTGGGATTCGTTGGAGGTGGCGGGCGAGGGCGAAGGAGAGGGCGCGGCAGCGGCCGACCCGCCCCGCGTGACCACGGCCGCCCTCTTCGACGAGTACTTCCACCCGGCCCTGCGCTGGATCCTGCAGCCCTACTTCTTTGCGTCCGTCGGCTTCTCCATCCCCATCCGCCACATGTTTGCGGGCTCCATTGTGTGGAAGGGCCTTGTCTACGGCGTGCTGATGGGCCTCGCCAAGTTGATCTGTGGCGTGTGGCTGGTGCGCATGCCGCAGACCCTGCGTCTGTCCGGCGTGCCTGTGCCGCGCAGTGTGCAGCGTCTGTGGTCGACGGTGAAGCGGAGGCAAGTGGTGAAGAAGGAGACGGACACCGAGCCGGAGAAGGTGAAGTCGAACGGCAGGGCGACAAAGACCGTAGCGGCCCCCGGGACCTTGCCGACGCCGGCGACGGCAGCAACACCAGACACACCAGAGAACAAAGGCAATGAGCCTGCTGCGAGCGGCGTCGATGCCGACATGACCGATGCTGACACGGCCGCGTCCTCCCAGCCGTCCGAGGCGCTGTCGCGATGCCCATCGCCCCCTCGCGGCGCAGAGACCGAGACAGAGACAGACGCAGTTCGCACCCTCGCCGCCACCTCCCCACATGCCACGCCAGCCGCGCCCACGCCCTACTCGCTCTACCCGGCCGCCATTCTGGGCCTGGCCATGGTCCCGCGCGGCGAGATTGGCTTCTTGATTTCGTCGGTGGCGTCCACCAACGGCATCTTTATGACCAATGCCGACAGACAGGCGTCGTCGTCGTCCTCCTCCTCCTCCTCCTCCTCCTCCTCTCGCCAGTCCGACATCTTTCTCATCGTCACATGGGCCATTGTGCTGTGCACCGTCTTTGGGCCGCTGTCCGTCGGTCTGCTTGTCCGCCGCGTGAAGCGGCTGTCTGAGCGCCAGGACAATACGGCAAGGAGCCCGCTGGGCGTATGGGGTGTTCAATAGTGGATACGCTAGATAGATACAATGACAATACGGCATAATACGACAGATAGACAAAAATGGACAAAAATACAAACAACATGAATCAATGTCTGACCACACGTCCTTGACAACACGTCCTACGCCTGCTTGTGCACCGCCTGTACTACGTCTGCCAGGTGCTCGAGAACCAATACAAACGCAAGGACAACGCAGGATGGTATGCAGTGCAGACGGTAAAGTCGGCGAGTTCTATTACAGTGTACCATACAACACGGAGCAATGCATGCCCCGACTCGGGTTGCTTTCTCGGACATGAATGCAGGCCGACCGGCCGACTGTTCAACACGAGTTCCCGTGGGGCGGTCTTTGTCTATTTGATATTGGGCCATTCTGCCACCAGAACAACAGGTCACTCGAGGAACATGGGGAATCTTTGGCACTTTCACCCTTGCAGGCAGCAGATCAGAGGAGGTCAGGGCAAAGGAGAATGTACGAGAATCTGTCCGCTTGACGCTGGAAGCAGCCCCGGGCCGTTCTCTTTGGAACTTTTCCTGGTTCCCTCATTTGTACAACATGCTCCGTACAGCCACTCTTCATCGGTCCAATGGCCCCTTATTGGTTAGAAAAGCTCCTCACTTACCTCTCTTTACCTCTCTTCTTACGAGACAAGAGTTTCGACTGTCGGGGGTCAGCCTTATTTAGGGGCCGGCCCAGCGACCTTGGTGGCCCCACAGCGGATCGGCACTAATCATCAGGGCCCTGGCAGCCTGGAACTTTTTTACGCTATCTAATTGGTCCGTCGTGTAAGTCGTTACAGTGGGCTGTCAACAACTGCAAAACGTCGTCATGGCCGTCTCCATCTCTCCTTTGTGTAGAAGGGACTCGTCTGGTAACATAAGGAGCACGCAGTTTGCGTGAATTCGAGGACCCAAAGTAGGCCGTGCGTTTGGACGAGCAACAACCTAACCGACCGGCGAGTTTCGCCAGAGTCCGTTCTGCTGCTGCAACGGTCGACAACAGACAATCAGACCAGACAATCAGACCCGGCGAGATCTGTCACGTCCGTCAAGTCCATAGGACTGTTTCCTGCCGAGTCCGTGTCATGTCCCTTATTAAAGATGCCAAAATGGCCTCGTCCAACACTCTTGTTGTTTTCACGACTCTGGCTGACAGAAATTTCGACTCTCGACATTTCTCGACTCTTTCACATTTCTCGACATCTCGTCCCTCTACATAATGGCCGACACCACCGACCATACCGACACGGCCGTGGACGAAAAGGGTGTCGGCACACCCGTCCACAGCGACCACAACAGTGATCCTGGCGTGGCGGAAAAGACAGTCGACATCGAGGCTTCTGCTGCTGCCTCAACCTCCCCCACCGACAACGCCGCGTACCCGTCCGGCTTCAAGCTGGTCGTGCTCCTCAGCGCCGTCATGGTCGACGTCTTTCTGGTGGCCCTCGACCAGACGATTGTGGGCACGGCCATCCCCAAGATCACCGACGAGTTCCACGGCCTCAGCGACGTGTCGTGGTACGCGGCGGCCTACTTTATGACCTTTGGCGCGGCCCAGGCGTCGGCCGGCAAGGTCTACAAGTACTACAACCTCAAGTGGAGCTTTCTGGCCTCGATGCTGCTGTTCGAGGCCGGCAGCCTCGTGTGCGCCGTGGCGCCCAGCTCCAAGGCCCTGGTCGTGGGCCGCGCGCTGGCCGGCCTGGGCGGCGCCGGCCTGTCCGTGGGCGGCACGAGCATCGTGGCCCTGGCGGTGCCGCCCGTGCAGCGGCCGCTGATGATGGGCGTCGTGGGGGCGACGTATGCGGTGGCGGCGGTGCTGGGCCCGCTGGTGGGCGGCGCCTTCACCGCCAGCGTCTCGTGGCGGTGGTGCTTCTACCTGAACCTGCCGCTGGGCGGCGCGGCGGCCGTCGCCGTGCTGGTCTTCTTGGACGCGTCTTCGCAGCCGCCAGACGCCGCACGGGCGGCCACCACCGGGCGGCAGAGGCTGCTGCACCTCGACCCCGTGGGCATCGCGCTGGCCATGGGCGCCATCACGTCGCTCATTCTGGCGCTGCAGTACGGCGGCAACACGCACCCGTGGCGCAGCAGCGTCGTCGTCGGCCTGCTCGTGGGCTTCGTGCTGCTGGCGGCCGCGCTGGTCGCGTGGGAGGCCTGGCTCGGCGAGTACGCCATGCTGCTGCCGCGGCTGTTCCGGCAGCGCTCGCTCTGGGCCACGGCGCTGTTCCAGTTTTTCTTCATGGGCGCCTACGTCGTCCTGCTCTACTACCTGCCGCTCTACTTCCAGAGCATCCGCGGCGCCAGCCCCATCCGCTCCGGCGTCGACAACCTGCCGCTCGTCGTCACCGCCACCGTCTTTGCCGTCGTCGGCGGCGCCGTAGTCGCCCAGACGGGCCGCGCCCAGCAGGTCATGCTGGCCGGCGCCGCGCTCGCGACCGTCGGCATCGGCCTCATCTACTCGTGGGACCAGTCCACGTCCACGGCCCGCTGGGTCGGCTACCAGCTCTTCACCGGCGCCGCCATGGCTTTCGCCATCATGCACGGCCTCAGCATCGCCCAGGCCCACGTCGCCGCCGACGACATCCCCGCCGTCACCGCCAACCTGCTCGTCTGCCAGACCGTCGGCGGCGCCTTCAGCACCTCCATCGGCCAGGCCGCGTTCGTCAACCGCCTGCTCGCCGTGCTGCCGTCCACCGCGCCCCGCGTCGACCCCCGCCTCGTCATCGTGACCGGCGCCTCTGAGCTGCGCAACGTGTTTGCCGCCGACGTGCTGCCCGGCGTCCTCGACGCCTACATGGCCGCGCTCAAAGCCGCCTTTGCCGTCGGCATCGGCTTCTGCGGCGTGGCCGTGCTGTGTTCGCTGGCCATTCCCACGAAGCGCCTCCCCAAGGCGGCCGGGGACGCAGCAATGGCGGCCGTGGCGTAGGCGGTGATGCGTGGGTGGAGTGGTCCGGGTTGTGGATGTGTCTCGCCTGGATGGCTATCTTCGTCTCTTCTTTCCAGTCTCCTTTGACCATCTCTCGTCTGTCTGGATGCATATTCATAGATTCACAGTATCGTAGTCATAACATAGTATTAATATACAGTCAATATACAGCCATACAGCCATACAGCCATATAGCCACGTACCTACGCCGCATCCACGGGGATGTCGCGCACATACCGCTCTATGCGCGCATACGTGTCCTGTTCCACCTTGCGAGCCTCGGCCGCATTGCCCGCCGCATCCAATGCCTTTTGCAGCAGCCACATCTCGCGCAAGACCTGCGGGTCGTGGGCGCCGTCCGACAGCGTGCGGAGGTCGATGACGGTGCGGATCTGCTCGACGGGGTTCATGGGCGCGTCATGCGTGTTGTGTGCGTCGCGTGTGTCGGCCACGCCAGAAGGACGGAGAATGTCGGCAAGCAGCTTGTTGGTCGTCGGCTGGCTGCTGCTCTTCTGCGCGTCAATGTCCAAGAGGGTGCGCAGCACACAGGCCACGTTGCCCAGGTGGACGTTTGGCGTCTGCGCAAGCTGTCCGTTCTCGTCGGCGGGCGACGGCCCACGGACATCGACATTGGCCGCGACGGACGCGGTGGCGGGAACGGCCTGCAGGATCTTGGCCGTCGTCAGGCCGGCGAGCATGCGGAGCAGCAGGGTGGTGTCGCCGCGGAAGCTGGCGGCCGCGTCGTGGAAGATTTCGTTGCCGTGGGCGCGCAGGGCGGCCACGCTGCTGGCGTGCAGGCGCGCAAAGTCGGACGGTTGCGGTGGCGGTACGGGCAGGTCCTCGGACACAACACGGCGCTCGTTGGGCACGCGCCCGGCGTCAACGGTGCGGAACCAATGCGAGAGGGCGCCGATCATGGCGACGGGCGGGCCGATGGAGCAGTTTTCCCACAGGATGCAGCAGTAGAGGCTGAAGAGGCTGGGGTCGTAGTGGGCAAACAAAATCTCGGCGTTGAGGGTCCAGGCTTGGGCCAGCAAGGTGCGGATGAGGTCATGAGGGCCGTGAGGGCCGTCGGCGCCGTCAGGGGAGGACGACGCCGACGACGCCGCCGCCGCAGATGCCGTCACGCCCCGCAGACTGTGCAGCAGCGCCAGCAGGGGATGCCCGCCGGCCAGCTCGGGCTTGCTGCCCACCAGCGCAATGACGTGCGCCAGCAGCATCTGGAAGAGCCGGACCTGGCCCAGGGACACGATGTGGTGCATAATTTCCAGCAGGTTCCAGACGAGCGCGGGCGCCTCCAGCATCAGCAGCATGTCTTCGACGAGCAAAAAAGCCTTGCGGGCGGTCCGGCCGGCCAGGTCGCCGCGGCCGCGCTCCAGCAGGTCCATGGCCAGTTTGAAGACGAAGCTGATTTCTTTGGCCTTGGCCGGACGGGGTGGAACGTAGCCGGTGGGGGTGGGGGGAGGTCGTAGTTGTGGATGTTGGCGAGGAAGAGGACGACGACGACGACGACGACGACGACGGTGCCACGCCCTCAAAGTAAGCACCACTCCACGTCTTGATGGACGTCAACAGCAGCAGCGTCAGCGTGTCCTCGGGGCCCAATGCGGGCAGGCCGGGGATCGACAAGTAGCCGTTGTCGATGCCCTTTTGGACGTGTCCGGCTCTCCCGGCTCTCCCGAGTCTCTCGACCTGCCCGACGCTCTGTACCGACTGGACAGCCAGCCTTCGTCGGGCATTCTTCTGGAAGCCCCATTTGGCAAATCTCTTCTTGTACATCTGGACCCTGCCGGCCGTCGACAGTCAGTAGACGGCACACACGCGCGCACCCCTCCAAGTCTCCACTTACGTCGCCGCAAAGTTGTGCTCCCGCTCCATGTACTGCATGACGTGCCGCAGTTTCCGCCGTTCGCGAACGTACAGCCGCTCGATCTCGGGGAACGCGGCCGCCCACTCGGCATCGCTGTGATGGAGAGACGGCGGGTGTTCAGACTGGTGTTGGACGACGGCCGCCGACGCCGTGTCTGTGATGGACCGGCCATTGGGCCGCGGAGCCAATATTTGTGCTTTCATGGGTGTCTTGACATGCGCGTGGGCGGTGATGTGTGAGGAGAGAGGAGGAGGTGCGAACGAAGCAGACAAATGCGCTGCCCATGGTGAAGGAAACATTGCTTACAAACGCTGTCGACACGGCTTTACAGCGGGATCCTGCCAAGGTCTTGGCGGGATTTGGCAGGAATAGCGCTGGACCACAGCCTACGCACCACTAAAGAGTCGCGAACGCCGCCAATGCGAGTCATGCGCAACGCTCTTTGCTTCGGTTTCCCTGCTGAACCCGAGCGCCGCGCCGCCTCACTTTCTCGCTCTCGCTCGTTCCGAGGTCACCGATTTACACAACGCCACCCTCGCACAATGCAAGGATCGTCACCACAGACGACTGCCGCCTCGCCGGCGTCACATACCCGAAAGCGCCGCCACTTTAAGAGCCGTCTCGGCTGTGCCATTTGCAAGCGACGCAAGATCAAAGTAGGTCGTCTCGGTGTTGTTCAGATCTTCTTGGTGTTTTCATGACTTCGTCGTAGCTTCGTCATGTCGTCTTGAGGCCCCTTGACATCTTCTGACCACGACGCCACCACAGTGCGATGAGTCTCGGCCGGGATGCGCCAACTGCGCAAAGCATGGCGTCGACTGTGACTTTCTGAACGAGCCGGCGGCGGTGCCGAGCCGGTCCAATGCCGCGTCGCCAGATGCACCGCCGGCTTCGCACTCGTATCTACGTTCACATTTCCGTCCACAGCCACGTCCATCCGTCGCAACACCACGGGGCACTGCTCCAACCTGCACAACTCACGCCAACGACGACCTCACACCCGCACAGGTCCCCCTGCAGCTCGCCCACCTCGAGATGCTGCACAACTTTGCCACGTCGACGGCCCTCACGCTGTCGCCGGACCCCGTGCTGCGCACCATCTGGCGCCTCAACGCGCCGCGCGAAGGGTTTCGGCCGGGGCACGGCTTTGTCCTGCGCAGCATCTTTGCGCTGTCGGCGCTGCACATGGCCGTGTTTGCGACGGACCCGGCGGCCAAGCAGCAGCATCTCGCGCGCGCGCGCGCCGAGCACGGCATTGCGCTTCGGGACACGGCGGCGGCGCTGCGGCACGCGTCCGCCAGCAACTGCTCGGCCGTGTTCATCTCGGCGACCCTGACGTTTCTGTATGCCTGGGCGTGTCCACGGCAGCCGGGCGACATCTTTTTGGTGTCTCCGTCGACGACGACAGCCCCCACCACCTCCCACCCCAGCCAGCCCGCCGACTGGGTCTTTTTCCTGCGCGGCATCCGCACCATTACCGACGCCTGGTCGGCCGAGCTGCTGCGTGGGCCCTTTGGCACCATGATGCGGCTCGGCTGGGAGAGCACGCACTTTACAAAGATGAGCGCGTACCGGCAACGCGGTGGGTGGGACGAGCGCGACGGCGGCAGCGACGTCGGCGCTGGCCAGGCCGCGCTCGTGGCGTCGCCGGCGTGGCAGGCCACGGCCGAGCACGCCCAGTTTCTGTGCCTACGGCGCACCGTCGCGCGCGCCGCGGCCGCCGACGAGGAGCCCATCTACCAGAAATCCATTGACAGTCTGGAGTTTGGATTTGCCTGCACCTACCGGTCCATGGGGACGTTTCACGCGGCGGCGACAGCTGCGACGACTACGGCGACTACGCCATCGACGCCGTCGGCCATGTCGAATGCGGCCCAGGTCGACGGCCGCCCACCCGGCGCCGCTGCATTGGCCGGCGCCGCCTTGACGTCCGGCGTCTACTACTGGCTCTACTGCATGGACGACGACTTCCTGGACCTCATCATGCGGCGTCGGCCGCTGGCGCTCGTCGTGTTTGCCCACTTTGTCGTGCTGCTGCGCGTGCTGAGCAGCTGCTGGTGGATGCAGGGGTGGACGACCCACTTGATGCAGGAGATTTGGGGGCTGCTGGACGAGGACCATCGGCTGTGGATCTGCTGGCCGATTGAGGAGCTGGGATGGCGACCGAGTGTGTGAGGAGGACGAAGAGCGAGTGGGTGACGGGTGCAGTGAGGAGCTTGCGTGGACGCGGAGAGGCCAGGCAACGTCATTCTCGTGATTGTGATAGGCCAGCCTGCCGGCAATGAGAAGATACGTGGCAGACGGAGTGCCGAGGGGCACGAAACAGGCTGGCTGCAAAGGCCGTGGGCTGCAAAGGTATGGAGTCGCCAGGGGAGACAACTCCGCCCGTTGAGACCAACCAGGTACAACGCGCGCAACGGCAGATGTAGAGACCCCATTAAACTGAACTGGGCTAGGCACCAGCAATAGATGAGAACAAAAAGAAATAAAGTAAAAGGGGGGAATGAGAAGGGAAATCACAAATAGAATCCTGCCTGTACGCCATCTCGTTTCGCGGCAAGCAGGTATCTGTGGAGGCGCTCGGGTTACAGTGGGGATGTTCTCGGATTGTGCTCGGGTTGGGTGCTCTAGTGGATTTTTCTCGGCTTGCCAGGGCTACACGACCTTTCTCGGGTTCGTCCAATCGACTAACACCATTCGTACGCTCTTATTGACAGTGGCCATCCATCGTATCTTCTTCTCTTCCTATAAGAACAACCATCTTCGTCCTCTTGTTAAAATGGCCTTCGATGCCGTGCTAGACATGCGAGAGACACCATCTCCGGCCGTGCTTTGTGACCTCCATCGCCATTCGAGCATCACCATCGCATCGCCAGCACGCTTCCACAAAGCCCACCCAAGATGCCTTCCATCGAAACTCACAACGGCTACCCCCTGTGGCACTACATCCCCAACCGCCCGGCAGCCATTGTCTTTGTCGTCTTGTTTGCCTTGATGACGGCTCTTCATGGCATCCGCATGGTCCGCCACCGCATGTGGTTCTGCATCCCCTTTGTTACTGGCGGTGTCTGTAAGTCGTGCAGGCGGAGGCAGCTGGACAGGTGCCAGGGTTCGTGACTACTGACCTGTCCCCAGTCGAGACCATCGGCTACCTCGGCCGCGTCCTGGCCTACGACCACACCGGCGAGCTCATCCCCTACGTCCTGCAGTCTGTCTTTTTGCTGCTGGCCCCCGTCTTCTTTGCCGCCACGCTCTACATGGTCCTGGGCCGCGTCGTCCTGTACACCCTGACCACCGTCAACGACGCCGCCCACGCGCACCACTCGGTCCACGCCGTCGTCGCCGCCTCGTCCCTGTCGCTGCTGCCGCCGCGCTGGACCACCCGCGTCTTCGTGGCGGCCGACGTGGTCAGCTTCTTCATCCAGGCCGGCGGCGCCGGCATTCTCGTGCAGGCCCGCTCGGCCTCGTCCTCCAAGACCGGCCAGACCGTCATTGTCGGCGGTCTCGTCTTCCAGCTCGTCTCCTTTGCCGTCTTTGTCCTGTCCGCCCTTGTGTTTGACGTCCGCAGCCGCAGCCGCAAACGCCGGCAGGGCGCCAGCAGCAGCCCCGCGGCCCGCAACATCCTGGCCATGCTCTACGCCACCTCGCTGCTCGTCATGCTGCGCAACGTCGTCCGCGCCGCCGAGTACGCAGCCGGCCAGGACAGCTATCTGCTGGCGCATGAGTGGGTCATTTACGTGCTGGACGGCGCGCCCATGCTGGCTGTCATGGCCGTCTTTGCCGCGGGCTACCCGGCGGCCCTGCAGCACGGCCAGCGCGGGATGCAGCCGGTGGCCACGCGGGCAAGCGACGATGTCGAGCTGGCCGGCGGGCGCAAGTCGAACAATCGGACGTAGGGTGTATGCATGGGGCGATGGTGGATGTGGAGAGGACGCGTGCGATGTTAGTTCGACTGCGTTTGCATGATACACTGGATGATCGTAGTTATAAACGTCAGACGTTGGCTTCGTTTGTGTATTGTCAAGATTGACGAAAAGACGACACATTGAGATACGACACCATATGCGATTGTGGATAATGTGAAAAAGTGGTATTGTTTCTTTATTATGATGAGATTTTCTTAAATTGTATTTTAAAAATAAAAATAAATAAATATAAATATAAATAAGAAATTTAGTTAAAGAAAATGGAAATTGAATGAAGACCTTTTATATATTTACCATTCTTCTCTCTTTTTTTTTTAAAAAAAAAAGACGCGAATTAAATTTTTCGAAATTCTCTTATTTAAAGATTACAACGTTTGGTATGCCCTTAGAAAATGGTATTTGTTGGCGTTGTCTCGTATGGACGTTCTCAAAGTTAATGTAAACGACACTACGACATTCACGACACTCACGACGTTCAAACATGTCATCACGTTTGTGTAAGCCTCCGGCCACAAGGGTTTGCGTAGCGAAAGACTTCGCCATGAACATAGGCATGGTTACGACATGCATGGCAAGAAAAGAGTACTTGGGTAGCTTCTATGTCCGGGTCTGCATGGGTCCTGCTTGTACCAATGTTTCACTGTTTGTTTGCCTGACGTTGAACGTTGTCGCTACACCAGTCCGCAGGTTGTTTTCAGCTACGAACCCCAAAGATTACGATACATTCTGGTTCCGGCAACGACGTCGCTTCTGTTCCACTGCAAGCTCTTCCGTTGAGCTGCCATACGTCTCCTTCTCTGATCCTCAAGAGGTCTGAATTTTTCTACATCAACTGAAACCCCAAGAAAGCTTAAGACACGGTATGGATTGCACATTTCGGTAGTCATATCGTTTAGTCGTTTGTGGTTAGGCCGAGGTCAAAGTTGGTCTGTCGCAGGACGATATGGAATGTACTCCGTACGCGGGCCGGGGAGCAGACAGCAGACAGAGACAGCAGACAGAGACAGCAGACAGAGACAGCAGACAGAGACAGCAGACAGAGACAGCAGACAGAGACAGCAGACAGAGACAGCAGACAGAGACAGCAGACAGAGACAGCAGACAGAGACAGCAGACAGAGACAGCAGACAGAGACAGCAGACAGAGACAGCAGACAGAGACAGCAGACAGAGACAGCAGACAGAGACAGCAGACAGAGACAGCAGACAGAGACAGCAGACAGAGACAGCAGACAGAGACATGGACAGAGACGCAGCGGGACTTTGCGGACAAGCATTCGTACTTTTGGCGGGTGTGTCTTGGCGGTGCCTAATCTGGGGCAGACGTGCTGGGCAAGCGCAGAAAAACGCAGGAAGAATGGAGGGAGAGGGATCGACAGGTTCGAAAGAAAAAAGAAAAAAAAGAAAAGAAAAAAAACCTAAAAAAGAAAACAAAAAAGAAAACCAAAGAAAACCGAAAGACTTCATAATTCGTCACTGTTGGCGTCACGTGTGTCTCGTATTGTAGTGAAACTTGCATCCACTTAGCAATTGTTCCTCGTCCTTCCGGTAGAGAGATGAATGCTCACCTTACCTTGCCTTGCTCACCTCGTCCCAAGAGCTTCCTCCAGTCTGCTCCTCCCCGCCGAGACTGCCATCACAAATCCTCACCATCGCGAGGCGATGACGAGCGCATTATCCGGCGCCAACGCACCGGGCAAGACAGGGATTCAATGCACTCTCAGTGGATAGGACTGTGCAGACAAAGAGCTGCAAGAGCTGCACGAGCTGCACGAACTGCACCTTGGCTGCACAAGACGTGTTTTCGTGTGCTGTTTTCGTTCTCTCGTGCATTCCTGTACTTTGCACAGAATAGGCCGTGGCCCGCTGGCTGCGTCGCGTGATTGGCTGGCGCCAGCGCAAATGAGCACACTTCTAGGCGCTTACCCACAGGCGGGTGCTGGTTGTGTCGTTCGTCGACCATTTTTAGGTTTGGGACAGGGGGCGCTGTACAGGTACTTGGCAGCGACGTGTCCCCAAGTACCACCAACGACTCGCACACGCCAATTTCCGACGCGTTTTGGTGCCGTTTCATGTTGAGAGTACTTGGCCACTAGCTCCGTTGAGGTAGCATCCCTGCCTCCTGCCACCCTCACGCCGTTTCGATAGCGCCGTTTGTCTTTTTGTCCCCCTTTCCTAGGTCTCGTGCGCCGCTATTGGCCCAGCGACTGCTCTGGCGTCGTTTTGGCGTCCATTTTCGTTGACTTCTTTACCTTTTCGGCGGACTCTGGGGGCTGTTCATTTCCCGTGCATCCTCGCGTCGTTCAACGATCAGCTTGCCAGCTTGCCTCACCCGTTCTCCATCGTCTTTTTCGACGATTGCCTGTCGCATGTCACCTTTTCAGATTTTCACTGCCACGCGCCAATAGCGGGCGATCCTATGCTGTTCCATCCAGGTCCCGTCGAGCCTGTCTCCTTTTGGGTTGTGCCTATCGCTCCGTTTGCAGTCTGTGCGTGCTGTGAGTGTTGGCGTGTTCAGTGATACAGCGCCCCCTTTCGCTAAGGCTTTGGTGAACCCCCTGAAAGTCCCCCCCCCCAATCCCCGTTGCAACCCCCTGTTTCTGACGCTCCCTTACTCCGCCATGCGCACACACGTTCGTGGTTGAAGAGTGCCTCGACGTGACGCCTGTATTGCATTCAAGCGACGTCCAATGCCTTGAATTGGGTTGGCATTCGGCCGTCTGAGCTTGTCGGACCACCAGCACGTCCAAAACGACAAAACGCCCCCTTCGCCTCGTGTCCTGGAATGCCGCACGCTTTTGCCCTTGCTCCTGAATGCGTCGCACATACGACGTCCAGACTACGAAGTAATACGGCTCCCTTTGGTGGTCCTCATGCTCTGCAAAGGCTCCCCCTACCTCCGTAAATGCACGCACTTTGTTGGCACCCCTGTCCGACTGCGACCGACTTAGCTGTCTGGCGTGAATGGCGCACGGAATACGGAGTATTAACGCGGACTCTCTGCCCGCCGTGTCTGCTGTGATTGCCAGCCCCAGCCCGTCACAGATTGATCCCGTTCGCTGCTGCCCGCCTGGTCCACGTCCTGGAAAGTCGCCCCACTTCCTGCCAGCGCGCCATTCCCCTGCCACCAATCACAGCCCACAATCCTCCTCCGCTCCTTCCCCTGTTCTCTCCTCTCTTCTTCGTTCCTCGTTTTTCTTCGCCCCTTGTTCTGGCACAGGCAGACAGGCTGCCCACCACTTGCCCACAGCGTCCACACCCACGCACCCACACACCACCACACCTGCGTGCTTGGCCTGGCCCTTTGCTCCTTCCGTCTACCATTTCCTTTCTTTCCTGCCCTGTCTCTCTCTGTCTCCTTTGTTCCCTTTCTTTCTTTCTTCCTCTCCTCTCTCGATCTCGAACTTTGACCTTCGTCAAACCTCTCCCTCTCCCCCAGTTTCCTCTCCCCTATCCCCCTTCCCCTTTCCATCTTCGTTTTTTCCTTCTCTATTTCTTATTCATCGATCTCTTCATCCGCTCGCCCTTCTCTAATCCCTTCGATTTTTCGCCTCATCGTTGTGGCGGCTCGTTTTGTGCCCGGTTTAATATTTTTCGCATCCGCTGTTGTGCCCATTTCGCCTGCAAATTCCCATCCGAAGCAAAAAATACCACGTATCCAAACATTGTATACTGAAGCACCAAGCACCTCGACGTGTTTTTGCATCGAAACCAAGGGACAGCCCGACGCGCGGCCCTCGATAATCAAGACTCGACTTGAACAATTCTCTTCTCTTCGCCTTTCACTTTTGCATATTTTGCAAACATTTTGCATCGCGTCTCGCACCCTTCGCCACTGCCTCGGATCCTGGGAGGACCTCCGTCTTTGATTCTTCTTTTCGACTCTTTCGACTTGGAACTCAAAAAAACTTGCACATCTTGCTTCCTGTTCTCTTTCGCCAATCTTTAGTTTCGAAACCCACTCCTTATTCTTCCTTAATATTCTTGTGTTTTACTCGCTTTTTTTTGCTGCCTCGCCGCATCGATATTCAATCTCGATCTCTTCGACGCACTCCAATCCAACTCGAATAATAATCTCAACCTCCGTTTCAACCCATCTTCCATCCTTTCCACATCTCCTTCGTCGGACAAACACCCTTCGGAAACCCCTTTCTTGCGCGCTGACGCTGCTGCACTTCCATTTTTGTGTGTCTCCGTGCCTGCTGGCCATTGTCGACTTTGCATCTTTCGTCAAACCCCTCAAAAAACCCTCAAAAACACCAACTTGTTCACCACCTTGGTATCTTTCTCTCCTTTCAGTCAACTCAAAGTATCATTTCATCCGGAATACAGCCAGCGGCTTCCGTGTCACTCTTTTCAGACTCCAGACTTTGTTCAGATCAGTCCAACTTAGCTCTCAGCATCTCGCCATCAGCTCTTTGCTTTTCAGCATTTCGGCATTTCATCTTACTTTCGTATCTTGTTCATTCTCTCAGCATTCGAGTTCGATACTTTCTGCTCGGACATCCGTTCCTTCGAAACTAATTTCGTGTGCTCTGCATGCAAAGCCAACTCAACACAAATCCAAATAAACGATCCACTTGCTTGCAACTTGGACACTTCTTTCTGTTACACTCTTCCCTCGACATTGCATAATACGGCCTGATACCCAGTTCTCCGATACACCTTTTCCGTTTTTTACTGTAATTTCGACTACCCCTTTGCGGTTTTCTACGAAACGAGACAACCGAAAATACCCTTTAAAAAACCCACCAAAAAAAAAGAAACAGACACATCACAAACTCCCACAGCAGCAATGAACTCTGGAAGTCTTGCTCAGATGTCTCACAACTCTTTTGGGGCCCCTGCCCTCGGCATGCCCATGTCCGGCCTGGCCTCGCGCCGTGGCGGCCAGAGCATCAAGCCGCTCTCCATTGACGCCGTCAAGCCCGGTACCGACAAGGACAACGGCCTGGTGACCCCGCGCACCAGCCGCTCGCACCTGCTGGCCGGTCTCCGGACCGCGCCGAAGTCGGCCACGGCTGCCACGTTCCCCCAGTCCCCGACCACTGCCGCGCCCGTCAACAACAACAGCCAGCAAGCTCGCAGCGGTGTGGCCAGTGGTCTGTATGGTGGCGCTTCGGATCATCGTGCCTACAACAACGGCCCTAAGACGTCGCTGCCGCGCTTTGCCCAGTCGCAAACCTACAACAACCAGCACTACACCGCCGAGGAGATTTTGGCTCCGCCCGAGATCCAGATCGACGAGCATGATGTCTCCAGCGCTGACGCCGACTACGCCGAGCTGGTCGCCACCAACATGTACCTGGCAGCCCAGAAGCAGCGCCTGCAGCAGCAGCTGATGTCGGTCCAGGCCGCGCAGCAGCAGTTCCAGAACCTGAACTTGGCTGGCGGCAGCGGCGGTAATGCCACCGCCCAGCAGCAGGCGGCCGCTCTGCAGCAGGCTGCGTACCAGCAGATGCTGTACCAGCAGCAGCAGCAGCAGCAACCGCAGCAACAGGTCTACGCCGTTGTGGACCCCGTCACGGGCCAGCAGACGCTGTACGTGGGCCAGGGCAACACACAGCTCAACAACCACTACATGGAGCAGTACAATGCCAACCTGCAGCAGCTGCAGCATCTTCAGCTTCTCCAGCAGCAGCTTCAGCAGCAGCAGCTGCAGAGCCAGCAGCAGCAGCAGCAGCAACAGCACCTCCAGAACCAGAACCAGAACCAGACCCACCAGACGCAGTACCAGCAGCACCTCTATCAGCCGTACCACAACCAGCAGCAGCACCGCCAAGCCTCGCCCATCTCAGCGCCGCGTGTCCAAGTGTCCCCGCCGCCCGGCGAGGATGGTAGCCACTCGCACTCGATGTACGGTGGCGGCCACCGTAACCCGTCGCCGCCCCGCCGCTTTGAGTCTTCGGCCTCTGACCAGCACGCGCCGCTGCCGCCCCCGAGTGCCAACGCCTTCCGCCGCGGCCACAAGAAGTCGGCGTCGCTGGTTGCCTCCACCACGCCCGACGCCAACAACGCTTCCTCGTCTGCCATCGAACCGAAGTCTGCCGGTCCCAAGGCGACCAGCTTCCCGCCCAACGTGATGCAGGCGCCGTCGCAGTCCCAGGCCAGCGGTACGTACGGCCCGGGCCAGGGTCGTGCTGGTGAGCACCCCGTGCGCCAACCCCGTGGCCCGCCCAACTTTGAAGAGCTCGCCCGCAAGCCCACGTCCAAGCACGAGGACAGCAAGAACTTTGCGACGCGCACGCGCCGGTCGGCCGTGCACAACCTGGTGCGCGCCGGTTTCACGCGCCGCCAGGGCACGGGTGGCAGTGGCAGTGGCAGTGGCAGCCCCGGCAGCATCAGCCCCATTTCGGAGACGACCGAGCACAACGACGAACACGAAGACCTGGCCACGCCTCTGACAGACGACGAGTCCGTTTCTGGCCGCAGCGGTTCGGGCAGCCTCAACGGCGACGACGTGGAGTGCTCGCTGCCGAGCTCGCGCACGTCGACGGGCAGCTGGGGCGCCATTGGCTCGGAGCGCCCGGGCTCGCGCGAGAAGGAGAAGGGCCGCAAGAGCACCGAGTCGCTGAAGGATGCGGCCGCGACTGCCTCTTCGACGGAGTCGGGCCCCGGCAGCTTTGCGTCGATGTTCAAGACGGTGGCCAAGCCGGCGTCGACGGATGTGCAGCGGCGAGCGCCGATGCTTGTTCTATCCAACGCGGCCGAGAAGCGGCGGTTTGCTGTGTAAGCCAACTGTGTAGCTGAAGCAGGCGACAGCTGCGAGGTTGTTCGAACTGCTTTTATTTACCGCGCGAAGCGGATGTCGTGCTGTCGTGGCCGACTACTGATTTCTTTCTCGACGTTCCTTTATTCTCTTTATCCTCACTCTTCCATCTGACGCCCCATTACGATTACGCACCGCATGTGTTTTTCTTTTTCTTTTTAGGCTTTTATTCACTTCTACCTTTTGCTTCTGACAAACCCCATTTTCCTTTGATTCGACCTCATACAGTTTTTATTTTGATCACTTCTCCCTGTCATCCAAATGACAACCAACATGGAACTTTTTTCTTGTCGACTTTGATCGCGACCAGGAACGAGGTAGATCCTCGAACGTTTTTTGGTCTTCGGGCACGGCGTAACCTGCCCAGCCTTTTTGCCTTGTTTACTTTGGCAGCTTCTCCCCCCTTTGGATACAAATTGGACAGGGCCCAGAAAGAGGGGTCCGTGGATAACGGTTTGTGTGGAGGAGTACTCTTGTGAAAGGGACATTATCAATAGGGCTGCTGGTTGCTTGTTTGGGATGCATTATTGTCTCATTCATCTTTTGTTATTTTTTTTCCATGTGGCCTTTTTACCGCTCTATCTTTTTACTTTTTTAAACTTTACATGTTTTGCGACTTACTCGCATCTTAACAAATCAAATTACTTTACAATGTCTTGATCGTTTCTGCGCTGCTGTTTGCACTGGTACTTTATATGTTTTGCGTGTCGTTGGCATGCCTATCGCCATACATGCGGTGCAATGCTGGCTGATTGTTCATGAGTCTTCAACTTTCCCTTCGTAGTACAGCCGCTGATGCAATATTGTCGCGATGACGTTCATTTGAGATGGATCATGGAATTAAATTTCATTCTGCTTTATGTTTTTTTTCCGGTTTGTCTTGTTTTTCGTAGATAGTAGGCGTCTCATAAGGAGAGCCATTCACTCGTTCAAGATATGGTGCTTCAAAAAGATTATGTCCGTGTGGGACGTGAGAATGTAAAGTAAAATGCGGACGCAACGCAAGTAAAGCAAAGAAGAGCATATGAAAGCGTTGGCGACCAATCCCCCCCGGCTATTCTTTCGTTTTCGACTCTTTTCTTTTCACAACTGTCGCACGCACATTGTTCCGCTGTTGTTCCTACTCTCTTCTTACTTGGCCTCTGCGGCCTCCTTCGCCTTGGCCGTCTGCGCGGCCAGCATGGCGGCGAAGTTGGCGTAGCTCTCGCGCTTGGCGTCCTCGACGTGGCCGGTCACGTTGCGCAGGACCTGCGGCATGACCTCGTCAATGTCCTCGTCGGCGGTCAGGCCGGCCCAGGTCTCGTCGATGAACTGACCGAGGGGCATGCCCATGGCGGGCAGGCCCTGGCGGGTGTGCAGCTCGGTCTCGACGGCGGGCGGGACGATCTCGATGACGCGGGTGCGGGCGGTGGCGGGGTCGGCCTGCAGCTGCGAGCGCAGGGTCCAGGCGAGGCTGTGGAGGGCGGCCTTGGAGGCGCAGTAGTTGGGGCAGCGGGCGATGGGGACGATGGCGAGGCCGGAGGTGACAAAGACGATGGCGGTGGGCCGGCCGTGGCCCTCATGGCCCTGGGCGCCGAGCGCGATAAAGTGAGGCAAGAACAGGTTGGAGGCGTGCACCGGCGACAGGTAGTTGACGGTGACTTCGTCTGTCAGGCGCTGCAGGGAGACGGACGCCGGGTCGGCGAGGTTGATGGACTCCTGGAAGCCGGCGTTGAGGACGACGCAGTCGAGCGTGGGGTGGGCGGCCGTGATCTTGGCGACCCAGGCGGGCAGCTGGGCGAGGTCGCCCACGTCGACGTTCTCAATGGCAATCTTGTCCGGCCCGTGGGCGGCCAGCAGGGCATCGAGGCGGTCCTGGCGCCGGCCGGCGGCAATGACAAAGATGTTGTCGCCGTGGGACAGAAGCCGGTCGACGAGGGCCTGGCCGATGCCCGAGGTGGCGCCGGTGACGAGGACGGTCTTGTAGGGAAAGGGCATGTTGGGGGAGGTGGGAGTCAGGTGTGGAGTGGGAGGTGTGAGGTGAGAGGTGGGAAATGGGAAATGGGAAATGGGATGTGGGGAGAGGCGGTGTTTCTTGAGGTGTCGTGTGACGGAGACGTGGAGGTTAATAAATATTGGAGTCTTGCGTCTTGGAGCCGAAACGGGCAGGAGAGTTCTCCATCGACGCCGCACAGTTGCGCGGTACCTGATTCGCCCAACCCAGCGATTTATCTACTACGCAGTCTTTGCATCTGCTTGGTTCGTTGGAAGTGTTGGAGGTGTTGGAGAATGCTGGCGAAGACGGCGTGACGGACTTTGGATTGCCCCTCTCCCGGCGGACGCAGTAAGCCGCAGTTGGATTTAAGCTCCCGTCGGCTCGTTTTCGAGAAACGAACGCGGGCACGGTTGGGGTACAACGCAAATCACAGTCCTAATCGAGAGTCGTGTCGCTGTGACGAGCCTGATAGACCAGGAAATTGCGCCGTCTTACGAGCTGGGAAGATGTTCTCGCGTATCTCAGTCCTCCTATCCCAGGCCCTCGTAAATCGTATAAACGGCAGGCCAGAGGAAGAGGCCGGCAGCGAACCGGGCACGAGTGCACTTGTGTTTTTGAGGCTGGATATTATGTGCTCAATAGTAGTCTGCGGTTTTGTTTGGTCGCACGCGTTTTGCGCACAGTTGCGCGGGTTAATTTCAGATGCAGGGACAAAATATGGCAGCCTGGAGCGGAAATGAGACGATACGATGCCAGGGCGGGCAGATGCATGTGAACTAGCCATAATCAGACACAGACACGAAAGCAAGGGCAAGACGAGGTTGAAGATGGATATTGATGAGGTTGGATGAGGTTGGACGAGGTTGGATGAGATTAGATGAGATTGGATGAGATTGGATGAGATTGGATGAGATTGGATGAGACTGGATGAGATTGGGTGTACAACACAGACAGCAGAACGGAACGACGTCAGATTAAGCATTGCTGCCGCCGCCTGTCAGACTTTCCAAATGATCCTTTGGCAGCATCAGCACTACTTGTCTGCCTGTCTGCCTATGTGCCTATCTGCCAATAGCCGGAATGACGGCCCCATCCTCCACCAAGCACGTGCAACCCACCGCCTCCTAACCGTACGTCTCGCATGCCGCGCAGTCGACGTGCCGGTCGCCGTCCACGCACGGCGTGCCCAGCATCTTGAACTCGGTGGTGCCGTAGAACGGGTTGAGCCACCAGCAGACGCGGCCCATGACGTTCTCCTCGTACCAGTCGTCCTGGCGGAAGCAGTACCACAGGCCGTCGCGCTGCGCACACTGGCGCACGCAGCCGGTGGTCTGGTTCTGCGCGACGCACGACGCGGCCGGGGCCCAGGTGGCGGGCTGGGTGCAGTTGCCGCAGAGGCCTTGGTCGTGGCGCGGCAGGTCGGTCGGCTGGGGCGCGTGGAGGATCCAGGTGGACGAGTGCGTCTCGACGGACGGCGCGGCCGTGACGCGCGACGGGGCGGTGCCGTGGACCAGCTCGTGCGTCGTGACGGCGACCTGGACGACGGTGGCCGGGAACGAGGCCGGCGACGTGGCCTGGGCCTCGACGGTCACCATGTTCTGGTAGTCGGTGGTGTTGCCGCCGTCGGCCGCCGAGGCGACGTCGCCGCCGGGCGCGGCAAAGTCGTACGACGAGGTGAGCACGGTGTCGTGGGACGAGAAGATGAGGGTGGCCGGGTAGGCCGTGATGGCGGGCGTGGCCGTGGGGTCGTCGAAGACGCACTTGACGGTCGTGCACGACGGCTCGACGGCCACGGCGGCGCCGGCGAGCGCGAGGCCGACAAAGACGGGACGGTGCATGGTGAGGTGAGGCTGCGAGGCACGGCGAGGCCAATGGCAACAGATGGATGCTACGATGGATGCTGCGATGGCCGTCGCGACGACACGACTGCAGATGGGAACGGTGTATTCAAATAGGCCATAGGCAATAGGCAATAGGCAATAGGCGTCGTCTGGGCACGGACGCGGCGCGCAGAGGAGAGCACGCCGTCGTATATTGGGGGATATAAATATGCTTCTGTTTCCTGTTTCTCCAGGCCCATTGGCCGGCAGGGCCGGCAGATACCAGCCTCTCGCCAGGAGCATCTCGGCAAATATTGCAAGACGTGTCTGCCATACTGGCGGTGGACAATTAATATAGTGGCAAACCCACAGGGACCGTCACGCACTCGACAGCCATTGGACGAAGACGGATATTGTGTCCGGGGAAATACGTCTACCAAACATTTACCCTTTGGCCGCGTAGCCGAGGATCCACATCCGAGTCAGGTGGCAGTCGTTGTCGGGATGCCGTCTGCACCGGCATTATGTAAGGCGTGGCGGTCCTCTTCTGCGTCGTTCTGCTGCGGACCACTTCTGTGTCCATTGTCGCTGTACGGCCTGTATTTGCAGCGGATGTGTAGCGTACTTTGTGGCGGGCCGTCCCGCTGTCTCTCACTGTACAACAGAGGCTAACCAGACATTCGTCAACACAAACTGGACAGAACAAAGACAAAGCACAAGATGAGTCTATTTAAGACGTAATTCGTACAGCGACATGATCTCGTGGATGCCCGACCCACCGGGGCCAACAACCCGATTCGGGACACTGGCCGCTGCGCAGGACCTCTCGAATATTGACCAGCCTTGTCGGGGCTGTGCTCCAGAGGCCCACCAATGAGCATCACAGCTGCGAGCCGGGGTCGTAGGGCGTGCGCGCTTGCTCGCCAGACGTGGTTCAGCTTCAGCTTCAGCTTCAGCCTCACGCTGGGTCACCAGGGCTGGCCGGTCCGGCGTTGGATGGGCCGCATTCTGTTTCGTCGGTTGACGTGGACTTGCAACTTGCAACTTGCACAACAAACGTCGATACAACATCGGCACAACCCCGACAACGACACCGACAGCGACCGTCCCAGCTCTTTTACGCACGGCGCCTCCCTAGTGCGCATCTCCTTTTCCTGCTGAACCCCGACTCTCTTCCTCTTTCGTCCCTACCATCTTTGCCGCCAACATATAACATGGCTGACCCTCCTGCGCGGTCGGGCCCGCCGCCCGCCCATGGGCCTCTTTCGCCCAGTGCTGCGCCCGTCTCCGCCAACGCGTCGTCCACAAAGGCCGTCGCGCCGCCGCCGCGGCCTGCGCGCACGTACTACTTGGCGTACGGCAGCGACATGCAGGTTGCGTACATGGCGCGCACGTGCCCCGGCAGCCGGTACATTGGGCGGGCCGTGCTGACGGACTACAAGTGGCACATCAACGGGCTGGGGCTGGCCAACCTGACGAGCGTCAAGACGGCGCACGCGCCGGGGCTCGTGTTTGAGCTCGAGGCGGCGGACCGGGCGGCGCTGGAGACGAACCAGTTCCCGCTGTACAAGAGCGTGACGGTGGACGCCGAGCTGATCCCGGCGCCGTTCTGCCTGTACCGCCGGCAGGCGACGTGGATCACCAAGAACGGCGGGCCGCAGGCGGTGCTGGAAGAGGCGCAGGCGAACGGGCGGGGCAGCAACGACCGCCGGGCGTCGTACACGGAGCGCGACATCCTGGTGTTTATCAGCACGGAGGTGACGACGGACGGGCGGCCCGACGCGCGGTACGCGGAGGCGATCAACGCGGCGGCGGCGGACGCCATGGCGCTCGGGGTGGAGCCCATGTTTTTTGACAGGATTGTGCAGCAGTTCATGCCGGGGCGCATACTGCCGATTTTGCGGGTGGTCCGGCGGGGGAAGGGGTCCAGTGACGGCGGTGGAGGTGCCGATGAGACCGACACCACGAAGCTGAAGCCGGCAGCTGCAGCAGCAGCAACAGCAGCAGCAACACCAGCGAGCACAGCGACACCCACGACCAAGCGCCTGCCGTCGCGCGAGCGGCTGCCCGAGCGGCTGCCCGAGCGTGACGTCCTCACGCCGTCGCCGACCGAGGACGACAAGGACCGGCGGGGCAGCACGAGCGCCAACACGTCGACCGACAGCCTGGGCCGGCCTGAAAAAGAACGACGGTGGCTGAGCGCCGACAGAGAGACGCGGCCGGCCAAGGACGCCGACACGCGGGACAAGGAGAACGACAGGGACAGAGACAAAGAAAAGGACAAAGAAAAGGACAAAGAAAAAGAAAAGGAAAAAGTCTCCGTCTTCAGCGATGCCCTGCGCTCCATCTTCCAGAGACCGCGCTGGGACCGCAAGAAGGAGAGCGGCGAGAGCGTGGAGAGCGTGCCGAGCGCCGGCGGCGCGACCGCACGCGAGGCGGCCGGCGGACGGCGGAGTCCCCTGCTGGCGGGCAGCGAGAGCGACGAGCCCGGCGCCCACAACAGCAGCGCCAACAACAGCAGCACCAGCGTCGGCACGGGCGCCCCGGCCCGGCCCGTCCGCCCGGTCCGGCCGCAGAAGGAGAGCAGCAGCAGCAGCAGCACAACGGCACTGGACACGCGCACCAAGAGCAACCACCGGCAGAGCCAGAGCGAGTCGAGCCTGGTCGCCCCGTCCCGGTCGCGCCCGCCGGCGCCCAAAATCACCATCTCGCGGCCGTCGCGCCACAACACGCTGGAGCGGACCAAGTACGACACGGACGGCGGCAGGGAGGACGAGGACGACGAGGACGACGAGGGCGACGAGGATGAGGACGAGGACGACGACAACAACAACGACGACGGAAGCAGCGACAGCGAGATTGAGGCCACCCGGCCTGCCGTCCTGGCTCGCTTTCCGTTGTCGCCACTGGCGCGTCCACGACAACCGCCGCCAGAACGTGCCAGCCCGCGTGCGCCCGACACGAAGACGGCCAAGGATCCGTCGGAGCGGAAGCCGGTGGGCGGCAGCGGCGGCGGCAGCAGGGCGAGCGCTGCGAGCACGACAAAACCCCCCGGCAAGAAACGACCGAGCACAGACGAGGTGCTGCGGATGCGGGCGGCGGCGGCACGGGCGCGCATGGCAGAGATGATGAGCGAGTTGGATGGGGAGGAGGAGGAGGGTGACGAGAGTGGCGGGAGGGGGAAGGGAAAGGAGGAGGCCACAGCAAAGGAAGACACGATCGAGGCGACAAAGACGACGGAGACGACGGAGACGACGGAGACGACGGAGACGACGGAGGCGACAGAGTCGACAAAATCAGCAGAGACGACACCAGCACAACCACTGACACCACCACCGCCGCCACCCGTGAGAGAAGCACCAAAGGGACCCCGAGCACCGTCGACAACTCCACGATCACCGAGAGAGGCGGAGAAAGAGCCGGCGGAAGCAGGCGGCGCGGACAAGACGCAGGAGACGGACAGGGCAGAGGAAGAAGCAACGACTCTGGGCACGACAAGAGAGAAGCCAGCCGAGGTGCCGAAGAAGACGGTCAATTACACAGCAGACACCAAGCCAGCAAGTCCGCCGACAAAGGCAGTGGCTCCGAGGCCAGCTCCTAAGCCCGCGCCCAAACCTGCGCCCAAACCTGCGCCCAAACCTGCGCCCAAACCTGCGCCCAAACCTGCGCAACAAACAACGCCGACACCGACGCCCGCTGCTGCCCCCGCCGCTGTCCCGGTTGCTGTCCCGGTTGCTGTCCCGGTTGCTGGCCGTCTTGCTTTTGTCCCCCGTCCTCGTCACGCCCTTCGTCCTCTGCGTCCGCGTGGTGCATCGCTTGCCGTCTCCACCGAACCACGGCAACACCACCACCTCCGCCGCCCCAAGTCCTTCTGCTTCGGCGTCCAGTCGCTGTCGCGCTTCGACCAGTTCCTGCTGCAGGCCGCCGACCACCCGCACTTTGCCACCCGGCCGTGGCTGCCGGCGTTCCAGGCCCATGGCCACGGGGGGCGGTATGGCCGTGGTCGGGGCGGTGGCTTCCATGGCCACCTCCACGGCCATTTTCAGAGCTCCCTGCACTCACCCATCCACAGCTCACGGTACCTGTATGCACAGACGACCATTGTGGCGACGGTGTCGCGGGAGAGACGGATGTCGTTTTGAGGGGAGGGGAGGGACTGCCTATGGATTATTGACTATGCATCGAGCGAGCGAGTTGCGCCTTGTATTTAGATTGCTTCATCGTATGTACTCATTATTTGCATCTACGGCTCATGCTATCGTACGTCGTGCCGCGTCTTGTATCGGCATCTCCAGCGCCTTCGCCAACTCCATCGCCTCGGCTCGCCGCCGCTCGTCTCTCAGTTTCCGTCTCTCCTCAAGCTCCTTGCCCGCCTTGGGCCAGGCCTTGGGCACCGAGAGAGTGTCTGTTGAGATGCATTAATAAAGTCGCTTTGCCATGGTACGTCACTCTGCCATTGTGCCCACGTGTCCGTCGGTTTGTTTTTCTTGGCGCCTCGCCTTGGACGTACCCTTTGGCTTGATGCCCGTCTCGTGCAGCCAGTGCACAAACGTGCGCTCCGTGCCCACCTGGCCCTGCTGCACGAGGACGCCTTGCGCGTAGATGACGGCGTCGGGGACGTAGTCCCGGCCGTTGTTGCTGGCGTCGACGTCGCGCATGGACAGGGCCGGCGTAATGTCAAAGACGAAGCTGTACGGCTCGTCGGCGATTTTGCTGCTGCTGCCGTCGCCGTCGTCGGCATCGTCGTCGGCATCGTCTTTGTCGCCGCGAAACCGGATCCGCTGCGCGTCCAGCCCCAGCGCCTCGCACACCGACAGGCTCGGGCTGTCCTTGGCGTGCTCGAGCCAGCGCACGCTGTACTCGGGGACGGCCAGCTGCAGCGCGACGGCCAGCTCGACGGCGGGGCGGACCACGTCGGCGGCCACCTGCCGTTCCAGGGAGGCATACGTGGCGGCACGCCTGTCGACGGCGTGGCGGGCAGCGGCGTCTGTCGTTGTCGGTGTCGTCGACGATGTTGCTGTGGTCGCCTCCGCCACTTGCCGGGCCATCTCCAGAGGCAGCAGCGCCCGCGACAGATCCGCCGACAAGTGCACGACGCGGGTGTCAATGTACCGGGCCAGCGCGGCCACGCGGGCCGACGCAGCGGTGGTGGAGGATGTCAGCGTCTCGGGAACGACGCCCAGGATGCGGTCGATCAGCTGCACACGAAAACGGCGTGCTTCGGGGTGGCGCGACGGCCGGGGTGGAGCGGCCGGCGCAGCTGTGGACACTGGCACCGGGCCCGGCACCGACACCGAAATCGGCTCCGCCTCCATGTCGTGCAGCAACGCCCCCAGCTGCCGGGCCAGGCCGTCGGCCCGCTCCAGGCGCGCCTCGATCTTGTTGAGCGGCCGCGGACCCGGCGGGTAGCGTTTGCCTTCCACGCGGGCCGTCTTGGGCTCGGGCACGCTGTTCGGCTCTGGCGGCGAAGTCGGCGTCGGCGTCGGCGTCGTCGGCGAAAGCCCGAGGTCATAGTCGCCGAGAAGCAGCGGCGGCACAGGCCCGCCGCTGAGCTTGAGGATGCCGCCGTACGGCTCGTCAAAGACGCGGCGCCGCAAAAACTCGATGAGGATGGCGTAAAAGTGCACGCTGTCGGCGCCCTTGAGCCGCAGGAACATGCGCGCGCGCGGGGTCATGAGCCGCAGCAGCACGCGCGGGCGGGCCACGGTGTAGTACGTGCTGGGGGCGGCGGCGGGCGGCGACGCAGGGGCGTCCGCGGCTGCGGCTGCGGCTGCGGCGGGGTTCGCCGGCGTCAACGTGTCGGCGTCCGTGGCTGCGTGGACGGCGGCAACGGCGGTCTCGAGGTCGCGCGTCGGCACGGCAAAGACGGGCGCCAGACGCGCCGCGACAAAGGACTGGATGGACGCGATGAGCGCCGCGTAGGCGGCCTTGGCCTGGGCCTTGGTGAGGCCGGGGTCGACGGCAGGGGACGGCCCCGCGAGAATGGGAATGGGTGGCGGGGCCCTGCCCGGCTCCGCCTTTCGCTGATCATTGTCCGGCCCGGCGTGGCCGTGGTCACCGCCGCCGCCGCCGCTCTTTCGCAGCTCCTCGCGCAGCGCCCGCACCAGCGCATCCCGCTCGTACACCTCGTCCTGCCGCTGGTCGATAATGTCCTCGGCCTCGCGCCGCAGCCGCCGCTCGTCGTCCAGCTGCTGCTGCAGCGCCGCCCTGTCGCGGTAGAGCTGCGCCAGCAGATCACTGCTGGCCGCGTCGTCGCCGCTCGTCGACGTGGTCGTGGTCGTGCCCAGGTCCGTCGGCGGCGGGCTGCCTTGCCGGTCGGTCATGTCGATGGAGTGGACGGGAAAGGCGTTGTGCTATCACGATACGTGCACACTCTCTGCAAAGACAAGCAAACTCGTAGTCGTTGTTGTCGGCGTCACGATCGCTTTTGCCGTCATTTTATCGTCGTCGTCTGTGTCTCCGCATGCGCGCCGCCTCGCCAAATGCGGAAGTACAGGCGACGTATGGCCTACAGCCTGCCTGCATGTCGAGCTCCTTGCCTCTTTTGTCGTCTGCGCAGACGAAAACGCCCTCCTATCAGCCTTCTGGCTCGCAGGCAGAGGCTGAGTCCAAGGCTGGAGGGGCGTGGCCAGGCTGTCTCGTTGGTTTCATTGGCTGTTGCCGTGCGGCCTGTCCGTGTCCACTAAATGACAAAAGTTACAGGCGCCTGGGAAGCGCCTAGGCAGCTCGCCAGCTCCGCTGCTTCAATAGTGTCCCATTTTCCTCACTCATCTCCAGATGCGGCGGCCTCATTCGCATCCGCCGTCACTTCGTGCGACTGTGTCGGACGATTACAGCATGCTGAGCTGCGACGCCGCGCCCATGCCTGCCACGTTCCCCGACAGCATCGCATGCGCCACGCTCTTCATCCCCGCCGCGCAGTTGTCGCCCACCGCAAACACGCCGGGCACCGACGTCTCGTAGTGCGGCAAGGCCACCTGGATGTCGCCGTCGACGGTGCTGGGCGGGACCGTCGCGAGGCCCAGCTGCTGCGCAAACGGCCCGCGGGGCCGCGTCGCTGGCGCGTGGGCCAGGAACGCTTCGTCGGCCGGCGGCGAGCCGTCGGCAAACTCGAGACGGACGCCGCCGCCGTGCGCCTGGTCCTGGTCGCCGCGGAAGACGAAGCGGCGAATCGGGCGCGTGTCGATGCGCAGGCCAGCGGCCGCCCTGGCAGCGGCGTCCAAGTCGGCCGCGAGAGCGCCCTGGCCGTTGGTGTAGATCGTCACCACGGCCGCCAGCCGCCGCGCCTGCCGCGCCATGTGCAGCGCTATCGTGGGTCGTTCAAACGCGCCCACCGCCAGCACGCCCGCCGAGGTCCCGGTGCGCTGCGGGTAGTCGTTGCACAGCAGGCAGTGGACAATCACGCGGCCAAAGCACGCCGCGTAGCCGTCGATGGGGAGCGGCACGTCTTCGACGCCGCTGGCCAGGATGAGCTTGCGGCCGTGGCAGGCGGCGCCGGACGCGTCGACCACGGTGAACCGTTCCGGAACGTCTGTCCGCCCCACGCTGACGACCGTCACCTCCCGGAATGACACGTACTGCCCATAGTCCTGCAGCACGTGGTCCCGTGCCGCCGCACCGAAGTTGCTGGGCCGGCTGTGGTCCGGCACCTGGTGGCGTGCCCGCCCGTTGCGGTAGACGCCGTCGCCAAAGAGAAGAACGGTGTGCTGCTGCCGGGCAAGGGCGAGGGCCGCGGCAAGGCCTGCCGGCCCGGCGCCAACGACCAACACGCTGGCCGACGTGGGGCCGGCAGGGGCTGCTGTCAACAATGGAGACATTGACGGTAGGATACCTTCTGGCAGTTTTGAATTGTCGTGAGAGCACAACAGCGTCGTAGATCATGACATGGACGCAAGGTCAGATGAGAAAAGAACACTGAGATGACGACGGAGACACAGACCAGCCAGAAAGCAGGACATGCCGTGGCCATGCCGGACCACACTGGCAGTCATCTCGACTTTTATGAAGACGCGAGAGCACATTGCAGAAAGCGACGAGCATGACTCGTAGCGGCAAAAGATGCAAGGCTGAAAACAAGAGTCAGGATCGTGGACAACTGGGACAGGAACTGGCAGATAAGAAGTGGAAACAAAACTCATGCAAACTCAAATGCTTCCAAACCGTGGCTGAGCGTGCTCTGAATACACAGAATGACGTCCAAAGCCACGTCAAAGACGTCGACTCGAGTGATTCCACATAAAGTCAATACACGGAGGCGTGTTGTATGCCCTACCGTTTACCGTGCCTTCTTTCTGCTTACAGGGCTCTGGCGGGCCGTCTTAGTGCCTGTTGCGGCTGCAGAGACGACAAATCTTTGGCGTGGAATCTTTTCCATTTGCCACTCTGACGGTACAATTCGTACAGCCCTCCGAAGGATCTTGTCTCTCTTTGTCCTGCGTCTCAATTGTGCTCGCAATGCGAGAAACCCATTTTCCGTGATTGCAGGCCCGCGCTGTCGGTACTCACTCGTGACTTTGCCCTTAGCGCTCGATGGCCTGTCTTGGCTCCCTCGTTCCTCCACTCACTCCTCTTAGCGACTGTTAGTGCCACTCAACCCCTGTAAAATAGTGTCCCACGTCGACTTGACACGACACTGTTCTTCCGCAATCTCCCTCTAGTTCTCTAATCTGTTCACGTTTTATCGATCTTCCCTATTCTTTTCCATTTTGCTTCGTCTCGACGACTCGCCATCCCATCCGCCCGACAACCTTCTGCCCTCATCGCCGCATCTCGGCGCGCTCGTTTGCCGCACTGTACGACTAGACGCTCTTTGCAACAACAGCCCCGGTACGCCTATTGTGCATTAATTCGTCGTGTCCATTCTGTCTTGACGACAGCCTCATTTCTTTGAGCCGACGACCACAGCTCGCTTCATCGTCCTCGCACCACGTCCGCCCGCCCATGGCGCCAGCGACGGTCTTTTGCTCGACTCCATTTCCTTTCGTTCCGCTCCTGCACGCGACACTTCCTCCATAGAGAGCTCCCACCCCTCTCTTCGCCCCCCCCCCCCCCCCCCTTTGCCCCCAGGTGCCTCCTTTTCTTGTGTCCTCGCGTGACTCGCCCACCCGCCTCCAACATGGCCCGTTCCTCCGACCGCCGCTCAGGCACACCGTTGCTGCATGCCAACAGCCCTGCCAGCTCCGATGTCGACCACGACCGCGCCGGCCACCGAACCCCACGACGTCTCTCGGACGATAGTGACCACGATCACGACCATGACCAGGCCCACGACGACGATGCGGCGCCGTCCTCGCAGCTGCTGCACTCGTCGTTGTCGACCGCCCGACCCACCGCCTCCCGCCAGAGCTCCTTTCTCCGCTCGCGCAGCCCGGCCGACCAGTCGCACCTGGCCGCCCGCTTGGCCGCCCGCAAAAAGTACGCCTACGCGTCGGTGTTTTTGGTGCTCTCGCTGGTGTCCTTTACCATCCAGACCGAGCTGGCCGCCTGGGTCCAGCACGCCGGCTGGGACAAGGCGTACTGCATGCTGTACCTGACGCACGGGTCGTGGTCCCTGCTGTGGCCGGTGCAGCTGCTGATTCTGCGGCTGCAGAAGCGCCGCGAGCCCTGGGCGACCTTCTGGCGGCGGCACGTCTGGCTGGTGCGCACGACGGCCGTCATGGTGGAGACGCGTGACCTGTCGGCGGCGACGGCCGCCGACCGTTGCCGGCACGGTCGCGCCCACGGCCCGGCCGCGTCGTCGTCGTCGTCGTCGTCGCTGTCACCCCTGGCCGGCCTCGTCTACATGGCCAAGGCCACCGCCTTCATCACCGTCGCGCTGACCGTGGCCGGCCTCAGCTGGTACGTGGCCGTCAACATGACGAGCCCGAGCGACCTGACGGCCATCTACAACTGCAGCGCCTTTTTCGCCTACGCCTTTTCCGTGCCCCTGCTCCGCGAGCGGCTGCGGCTGGACAAGAGCCTGGCGGTGCTGGTGGCCGTCGCGGGGGTGCTCGTGGTCGCCTACGGCGATGCCAAGCCGGCCGGTGGTAGGGGTGGAAAGGGCGAAAACGGCGACAATGGCGACAACAGCGAAAACGACGCCGAGAACCGCCTGCTCGGCAACCTCATCATCGGCGCCGGCAGCGTCCTCTACGGCCTGTACGAGGTCCTCTACAAGCGCTACGCCTGCCCGCCCGACGGCTGCTCGCCGGGCCGCGGCATGATCTTTGCCAACACCGTGGGCAGCTGCATCGGCGTCTTCACCCTCACCGTCCTCTGGCTGCCCCTGCCAGTCCTGCACCTGCTGGGCATCGAGACGTTTGCCCTGCCCACCGGCAAGGTCGCCTGGTACCTGTTTCTGTCCGTCGTCATGAACGCCACGTTTGCCGGCTCGTTCCTCGTCCTCATCAGCCTCACCAGCCCCGTGCTGAGCAGCGTCGCCTCGCTCCTCACCATCTTCATCGTCGCCGTCGCCGACTGGTGGCTGACGGGCCAGCCGCCCAGCGCCGCCGCCCTGCTCGGCGGCAGCATGATTGTCGTGGCCTTTGCGCTGCTGAGCTGGAGCACCTACAAGGAGATGGCCGAGGAGGAGCACGAGAAGGAGGTCGACATGCCCAGCAGCGACAGCGACGAGGAGTAGACGGCGGTGTGTTTGTGTGGTTTTGTCTTTTTTTTTTCGTTTTGTTTGGGCTACTTTTGTTCGCATAGAGGCGTCGGCGTTCGTATGCATTGCTGGGTTCAATGCCATTCATAGAATGATACCATTTTACGCGCGTTGTCGTATTTTGTATTCTTCGTATGTTGCGTTTGCGTTTGCGTCTCGTCCATCGTCTGTGTATCCTCATCTTGCATCGGCCATCAGAGTCATACGGACTTGGTGCAATTGTGACGCAGGCCGAGGAAACGGTCCCTTGGAAGTGCGCTCCAATGGTTTTCGCTCAGAGACTGCCAACCAACACGCCTGCTGTCAACTGCGCATCCAACCATCTTCCTACAACCTGTCAACCGCATCCGAACCCATCATAACGCATTGGCGCCTCCATAGCGTCACATTCATGACCTTGTCGCTTGTCCCGATCACCTCCACGCGGAATATTCCCATCCTCCTCTTGTCACTCTTCTCGGTCTTGTTTTGTTCCCTCCTTTCTCCTCCATTCTCCTCGCCCACAGCCCGCCCACTACCCACCACCCACCACCCACTGCCAATGCCGTCTAGCCCTGTACTGTGGTCGTTCGTCGCTGGGTCCGCGCCCACTTATCGCTGGATGCAGTCGCCGCTCCGTCTTCAGTCATTTCTTACCAATTGTGGAGCCGATCTTGCTTGTAGGCTGCTACTCGGTGAGAAGGCAAAACCCACTTCCCCGCAGCGCTCCAGCCGTGTAAGTGGCGCCTGTCAGGGGAGGAGGAGCACTGCCGGACGGCAGTCGGGAGGCATAATGTGACGGGGCAAAGAGGGCAAAGAAAATGCACGGAATACGTGAAGAGTGAAAAGTGAAGAGGGGTCGGCGTCTTTCGAAGGAACAAAGGCAATGCGTCGGGGGCGTGTTCAGTGCGTGACGAGGGCACAGCGCTCGGGCTCAACTTCAAGCCCACACTGAAGCTCGAGCTCAAGGTCCAGGGCCCGTCCTTTTAATAGACGGCCGTCCTCGCGATGTTGCCGACCGTCGCTTCGATGGTTCCTAGCCGCGTTCCTTCGTTCTGCCCCGTCCGCGAGAGTTTGAGTTCGTTCCCGGTTTTGTGCGTTTCTGTGAATTTATGTAACTCTGTCAAGCTACCGTCAAACTGTCAAGCTCACTCTTTCCTCTCTGCTCGACACAGCCTTACATAACTTGCCCCCATTATTACATTCACCACCACATCTTCAACCGCATCGCCTTCCCCCATCATGTCCAGCCACCAGCGTCCTCCTTTCCGTGCCGAGCACATGGGCTCGCTGCTGCGGCCCAAGGCCCTCAGCGACAAGCGCGTCCAGCTCGACGGCGAAAAGGCCGTCGTCATCGCCGCCGACAAGGAGCTGCGCAAGCTCGAGGACGACGCCATCGACGACATCATCAAGGTCCAGCTCGACCTCGGCTACCGCCCCGTGACGGACGGCGAGTACCGCCGCCACCAGTTCTGGGGCACCTTCTTCCCCGCCCTCGAGGGCATGGAGGAGCTCGCCGACCCGCCCCTCGACATGTTCCGCCTCTACGTGCCCGACCTGGCCGCCTTCACCGAGGCCGGCCACAAGCCGGGCGAGTCCATTGTCTGCGTGGGCAAGATCAAGCACACCGGCAGCACGTACCTCGACCAGTGGAACTACCTCAAGGACCACCTGCCGGCCGACCGCGTCGCCGGCGCCAAGCTGACGCTGCCCGCGCCCGAGTGGTACCACCTGCGCTACAAGCCGGGCTATGCCTACCCCAAGGACGTCTATGCCGACGACGCCGCCTACTTTGCCGACATTGCCGTCGCCTACCAGACGGAGCTGCAGATCCTCTACGACGCGGGCTGCCGCAACGTCACCATCGACGACCCCAACCTGGCCTACTTCTGCTCCGAGAAGATGCTGCAGGGCTTCCGGGACCACGGCGAGGACGCCGACGCGCTGCTGGCCAGCTACGTCCAGCTGTACAACGACTGCCTCGCCAAGCGGCCCGCCGACCTGCACGTCGGCCTGCACCTGTGCCGCGGCAACTTTGCCTACTCGCGCCACTTTAGCGAGGGCGCCTACGACCGCATTGCCAAGACGCTGTTCCGCGAGATCAACGTCGACACGTACTTTCTCGAGTACGACACGGAGCGCGCCGGCGGCTTCGCGCCGCTGGCCGAGCTGCCCGCCCACAAGAACGTCATTGTCGGCGTCATCACGAGCAAGTTCCCCGCGCTCGAGGACCTCGCGGCCATGCGCGCGCGCGTCTACGAGGCCGCCGACTGCGTGGCCCGGGGCACGGCGGGCCAGACGCGCGAGCAGGCCCTGCAGCGCATCGGCGTCAGCCCGCAGTGCGGCTTCGCCAGCCACCACCTGGGCAACAGCGTGACGCACCAGGACATGGTGAACAAGCTGAAGCTGGTGCGCGACCTGGCCGACTCCATCTGGCCGGGGGAGCCATAGACGATGCGCAGTAAAACGACGATGCGCAGTAAAACGACGATGCGTAGCTGGCAGATAAAACGACGATGCGTAGCTGGCAGATAAAAAGGAAACGAAAAACGGATACGAAGTACATGAAATTGACGTGAATATAAATGACTGGTTTTGGCTGGGTGGACACGTTCAACACTTGTCGGAGTTGCGAGGAGAGGGCTGGAATTGGCGAGGCGCTGTGGCAGTTTGTTTAGTTTACGCATGGTCAGGAGGAGTCAATCGTCAACAGGTCTCGGTACAGGGTGAATACAGTGCATTCAGGTACTTACAAATACTCAGTAACTGCATTGCTTGATCAAAATAGTGGGTTTTGACTCCAGAGCGAATTGGCCAATGGTCGTCGCGCCATTCCGTCTTCCTTAAGGTCACGTGTTTCGTCCTCGATTTTGCGGCGTTTTCATCTTTGGTGATGCTTTTGCCCACAACTCAAACGTTTTGCATCCGACGACGTTGCCACCGCCCACCTCCACCCCGTCCCCTCCAAACCCACCGCAAAGATGACGGGCCACGCCGAAGAAACCCTACCAAGTGCGTATACGAGCAGCGCGGGGCGAGTCTTGAGCGACCGAGGCATCGAAGGAACGAGCAGCTTTGACCTCGAGCGACTCCGAGGAACCTCGGGCTTGACTTGCAGCCTCGATCCCGACCCGCCCTCCTTCTGCACCAATTGCTAACCCCTCCCTTTCCATGCAGAAGCCACGCGCGAGCAGATGAGCGAGGCCAAGCTGCCGCTGGCCTACCGCGACAGCTGCGCCAACCTGCTGATCCCGCTGAACCGGTGCCGGTTCGAGACATACTACCTGCCGTGGAAGTGCGAGGTCCGTCACCCACAGGAACGACACTTACAATGGAACGCGACGAAATGACTGACCACACTGCCCGTTTGTTAGACCGAGAGACACAGCTACGAAAAGTGCCAGTACGAGGAGTTCAAGAAGCGGGTGGCCAAGATGAACGAGTTACGAGAGGCCCGCGACGGTGCACGGAGCAATTAGGAGCATTGGGAGCACTTGAGACGGACGAGGATGACAAGGATGAACAAGAATGAGCAAGGGTGAAAAGCATAGGAATCGTACGTCGACTACGTACACAATGGAGCATTGAACACCAGATGCGCATCTTGCCATGGCACCTCAGAGGACACAAGAGAGAGATCATGCAACGTTGATTTTAAGAGACCACCATACGCCGTTGTTACAAAGAGTCAGATCAGGTACACTCCACATTCCGTGTCCCATATTCCAGTATACTGCTGTCGGCTACGCGTCGACCGTGGCCGACGACGGTCGACGTCCTTACGACGACTTGGCCAGCGACTCGCCCAGCTCGGCCTTTTGCAGGCCGTACTTTTTGAGGCGGATGGCGTTGATGTTGATGAAGCCGCTGGTGTCGACGGGGCTGAAGTCGACGAGCGAGTCCATGCTGGACTCCTCGGACGAGTAGAGCTTGGAGTCGGGGCTGCTGCGGCCGAGCACGTAGGCGCTGCCCTTGTAGAGGCGCAGGCGGACCTCGCCGTTGACGAGGCGCTGCGAGAAGAGCAGCGCGTTCTCGACAAACTCGCGCTCGGGCGAAAAGTACATGCCGTTGTAGAGCAGCTCGGACCAGTGGTGCGTGACAAACTGGTCGCGCAGCGAGCGCACCTTGCCGTCGAGCACGAGGCCCTCGAGGTCGAGGTGGGCGAGGCGCAGGAGCGTCATGCCGGGCGCGTCGTAGCAGCCGCGGCTCTTGAGGCCGATGAAGCGGTTCTCGACAATGTCGATGCGGCCGATGCCGTGCGTCTTGCCCAGCGCGTTGGCCTGCAGAAACAGCTCGACGCTGTCCGTGTACGTCTGCCCGTCGGCGACGAGCTTGACGGGCAGGCCCTTGGCAAACACAATCTGGATGTCCTGCGGCGTGCTGGGCGCCGTCTCGGGGTCGTCGGTGCGCGTCCACATGTCGACGGGCGGCGGCTGCGAGGGGTCCTCGAGCGAGCCGCTCTCGTAGGAGCAGTGGGCCAGGTTGTCGTCCATGCTGTAGGGCTTGGCCTTGGTCGACGTGACGGGGATGCCCGTGGACGCGGCGTAGTCGAGCAGGTCCAGGCGGCCCTGGAAGCGGTTGAAGAACGCGGGCATGCGCCAGGGGGCGATGATCTTGATGGCGGGGTCGATGGTCAGGAAGGCCAGCTCGAAGCGCACCTGGTCGTTGCCCTTGCCGGTGCAGCCGTGCGAGACGTACTGGCAGCCCTCCTGCTGGGCGACCTGCATCTGGGCGCGGGCAATGACGGGGCGGGCCAGCGAGGTGCCCAGCAGGTAGCGGCCCTCGTACTGGGCGTTGCACTGGACGGCGCGGAAGCACAGCTCCTCGACAAACTCGCGGCGCAGGTCGCTGATGATCATCTTGGAGGCGCCGAGCAGCGCGGACTTGGCCTTGACGGCCTCCCAGTCCTCCTCCTGGCCGACGTTGGCGAGGAAGCAGACGACCTCGTAGCCCTCCTCGAGCAGCCACTTGAGGATGCAGCTGGTGTCAAGACCGCCTGGGGGAGGGGGCATAAGGTTAGAGGTGGACATCTGGTGCGATGGACGTGTGAGAGCAGTGACGATATCGTGACTTACCAGAGTAGGCGAGGCAGACCTTTCCTTTGCTCATGGTGAATGTGTGTTGTGTGGATTGTGGAATATGGGAGGGAGGGGTATGTCGGCGTAAAAGTGCGATTGACTCAAGAACGTTCAATTGTTCGTGATAATCGTAAAATCAGGTGATGATACAGAAGCAAAGAAGCGGAAACACCAAACTACAAAATGTTGGGGAGGGAGGCTATTTAATCGCCCCTCTATTGACCTGGACTACGAGAATGACTCTTCCCTTGGCTTTTTCCTTATCAGAGAATTTTACTTTTTTGGCTGCTCCCCTCACCGTTCCGTCAATTGACTTTTTCTTTTTCACTTTTCCCTTTCCGTTCTTCGGCGGTGTCTTCTGGCGCGTCAAATAGCGAGCGGGATTTTATGGGTCGCGTGTCTCTGAAAAAATAAAACTCGTTGGGTGTAACGGCGCTGCTCTTTTGCCAATTCCAGGCGACCTGCAGGACAAATGGGCTTGCAATTGGCGGGCAAGGCGGTCGCGGAGGGTCACGTGTAGGCGAGTCATACCGTCCAGTGCACCCGCAGGAGGGTCCACAGGGGTTGATCGGAGAAGCTCCAGCGATAAGCCGAAGCTAAGCTGGCATTATGGCAAAATGCTAATTGTGCGTCACAGGCGTGAGGATGAATCAACGCAGCAGAGAGAGACGATGGTAGACAGAAGCTCGAGCTCGAGCTGTGTGAGCTTGGAGATCCAGAATAGTGTGAAAGCAGCCGTAAGTTTCGGCTTGGTTTTATAAATAACGATGTAGTATTATGATTCTTGAATGGTGGTGAATTATTTTGCAATTTACAATTTACAATTTATTCAAGATAAAAACTTTTAAAATGACGAAACAAGTAGGAAATATAGGACGAGAAGTATCTTTTCTTTTGTATTAAATTATGTGTAGAATTGAAACGAGTTTCTTCGTTCTTTCTTTTCTTTTCTTTTTTTCAATCTCATTGTCCACTTCTATACTTTGCCCTTCTCACACTTGCCAACACATCTCATCACGGCCGAATGGCCGAATAAACATGGCTATTTGTGTTTAGATTTTGTCTTTTGTCTTGGCAAGACAAGCAGCTACAGGTGAACTACGACACACGGTTGCTCTACTTGAGTACTTGAGCTGCAGCTGTTTTGTGTCACGGCTACCATCGCATGATGTCCGAGATGCGTTTTTTTCGTCTGCGAGTGTCCTCTGCCCGTTGTTTCATTGGTTGCTTGACTCACCGCAAGATGCACCTCCAAGACTGCTCAACCGCGCCCAACCTTGTCCGATCGTTGGGATTTGGGGTCGTGCATGTGATGCAGAGAGCACAGGTTGGGGATATGCAAGGCGACCATGCTGTGACTGGTTCTGGAAGACGAAGATGGAAGGTAGACGCTCTGCGTTGCATCTGTGCGTCCGTGTCCACGCCGTGCGACTCGTGCGTACCATACGGCCAGAAGAGGTGGACTTGGGCTGTGACTAAGATAGCATTGAGAATAGCATTGAGCACTGCAAGTGGCAGCTATATTCTGTACTGTTCTCTTCGCGCATGGACGTTCCTAGTAAAGCGCCAAGACCGTTGGAAATGGAGTTTCGGCAAAGAATGCAATCGATGCAGGGATGGATCGGGCGCTTGCGACTGGCTTTGGTGGTTTTGGCGCAGAGTGCAGCAGTGTATGTCGTAAGACTCGCGAGTCTCCGTCGCTAGCATCGACCAAAACCTGCTGACTTGGATTGAGATCTTCAAGGGGTGTGAGCGCGAACCGCGCCCCTTGCAACTGGAGACTGTTGCCCGCTGGACACTTTGGCGAAGGCGACGGATAGAAGGTGTAAAGTAAAGTAGAGTACATAAATTATTTATTATTAAATGCAGGTACGCACAACGGTGACACAGACGGACAACACGAGGCGACACAGCCAGACGCAAATAGATGCTGGAGACACAGACACAGCCAACACGGACGAATACAAACAATAGACACTCGATTACGGGTAAAGGAGCACCAAGGGAGGCAACCTCGACAGCACAAACTCGACAGAGCCAAGTACAAACCGCGCTTTTAAACTTAAAGGCGGCACAGCTCGCTGCTGTCGTTTTGTACAGCAACCCGGCATTTCGTCTCCTTTTCATCATTCACTACTGCCATCATCGCCAACGCAACCACCATCACCTTCACCATGCTCTCTCGCTTCGTTACACTCGGCCTGGCCACTCTTCTGGCCCTCCTCGGCCCGTCGCCCGTCGCGGCCGCCCCCAAACACTACGTCTTTTTGGATGCGCCGGCCGACAACACCTACGCCTGGACCGTCACCAGCTGGGTGGCCGGCTATTCAGAGGATGACGCGCTCTGCTCCTATAGTAGGTCTCCCCCACGCAACCATATGGCCACAGAGCCACTGCTGACGTCGAAATCCCCCCAGACTTTAACATCTCCGGCCCCTTCTCCGGCGGCCAGATGCCCATCCCCGCCTTCGTCGCGTACTGCGCCGGCACCGGCGTGGGCGCGCCGTACGCGCTGTGCCACATTACCGACCTGCGCAACACGACGAAGCGGCGGCAGGTGGCGGCCAAGCTGCTCCCGGGCAACGAAACAACGGCGACCGAGGCCCGCCTGGCGGTGTCGTACCGCTTCGACGACCTGAACGTGGCGGACGCGTGGTGGAACTACACGTCGTACGCGACGCAGCCGTACAGCAACACAGTGGCGGGCGGCGGCGGGGCGGCCGTGTTGACCAACGGGACGACCTTTACCATGACGCCGTCGGAGGTGTTTGGTGTCGCGTAGGGAGGCGGACCGTTGGAAAGGTGTTGGCGGAGCTCCTGGTCGTGGCAGATCCATGCCATTTTGTATACTATTGTGCGGAGTACGGCACGTGTCGAGCACACGTGTATTTGTATGTTGTATTTGTACGAAATACAGGAGGCTTCCATTTCTGGCGTCCATTTGTGCTCATTTGCCATTTAGATTGGTAGGGCTGGTCGCGCGATGCTACTGCTGACGGCCGACAGGGGGTGAGAAAGTGCCGTTTTGTCCGTGTCCGCTGCCCTCGAATCAGGCTGCGCGCTGCAAATAAAGGATTCAGGATGGGCAGAGCCGCCGCACGTCAGCCTCCTGTCATCCGGAGGAAGTGACAGTCCGGAGAAACGAGAACAGATTAGAAATAAGAAGCGACAGGAACCAGATGACAATGGAAATCGTTCGAGGCTGTAGAGTTGGCAATTCAAATACTGCTTGATTCCATCCGGATTGTATCGTCATTGTCCACTCTCTCGACTTGCTCTCCATCTTCACCCAATTGTTCTTTTCTCGTCTCCACCATGTCCCAGCGCATCGCCATCATCGGCGCAGGTAGGTCCTCTCCCTGTCCTCCGTGACCAGCCCCTAGCAGCAGCCTTACGCTGACCACCGCCCCACAAACAGGCATCTGCGGCCTCGTCTCGCTCAAAGAGGTGCTTGCCGCGGGCCTCGAGGCCGTCTGTTTCGACGCCCGCGAGGGCCTCGGCGGCGCCTGGGCGTACCAGCCCGTCCCCGGCGAGGACCCGGCCGCGTCGTCGTCCATCTACCTCGGGACCATGCTCAACTCGTGCCGCGACACGTCGGCCTTTTCCGACTTCCCCTTTGACCCGGCGCGCTACCCGGACTACTTTGGCCACCGGCAGTTTGTGCAGTACCTGCGGGAGTACGCCGCGCACTTTGGCCTGGACAAGCACGTGCGGCTGCAGACCAAGGTGACCCAGTGCGCGCCGCAGGACGACGGCTCGTGGACGGTGACGGCGACCCAGCGCGACGGGACGCAGACCACCGAGCCGTACGCGGCCGTCATTGTCGCCGCCGGCCATCTGAGCGCGCCGCGCACGCCCGCGATCCCGGGCCGCGACCTGTTTGCCGGCGGGTCGCTGCACAGCCACGCGTACCGCGCGCCCAGCCGCTTCGAGGGCAAGCGCGTCGCCGTCGTCGGCTTCGGCAGCTCGGCCGTCGACATTGCCTGCGAGATTGCGCCGCACGCGGCGTCGCTGCACCTGGTGACGCGGCGCGGCGGCTGGGTGCTGCCGCGGTACGTGCTGGGCAAGCCCACGGAGGCCTTTGACAACCGCGCGACGCAGCTGTGGCTGCCCGTGGGCCTCAGCCAGTGGCTGCAGACGAAGCTGCTCGCGTTTGTCGACGGCGCCGCGCCCGCGGCCATGGCGCCCGCGCACAAGATCCTCGAGCAGAACCCGACGATCCGCGGCGACTTTCTCGAAAAGGTCCGGACGGGGCTGGTCCAGATTGCGCGCGGCGACGTCGTGCGCATGACCGCGGCCGGGCTCGTCGTCCGGTCGACGCTGCCCAAGGACGCCAAGGCCAAGGCGGACGCCGCCGACGAGTACGCCCTCGACGTCGACGTCGTCATCTTTGCCACCGGCTACACCCTGTTCGACCTGCCCTACCTGCCGCCCAACACCGCCCACCCCGCCGACGACCCGGACCAGGTCGACTTGTACAAGCTCATCCTCCCGCTGCACCAGCGCAACCTCTTTTTGCACGGCTACGCCGACCTCCTGGGCCCCCTGCCGCCCGCCGCCGAGGCCCAGGCCCGCTACACGGCGGCCCTTCTCGCGGGCCGCCTCCCGCCGCCCTCGGCCGACGAAAAGGCCCGCGGCATCCAGGCCTTCCGCGCCTACAACCGCCGCCACTTTGTCCACTCCGACCGCCACGTCACCACCGCCCACCTGATCCCCTACGTCGACGACTTGCTGGCCCCGCTCGGCGCCGCCCCGACCTTCCCCAAGCTGCTGGCCCAGGTGTTTACCAGCGGCCACCCGCTGCGCGCGCTGTATGTCCTCAGCGCCGTGTGGTTCAGCATCCCCAGCAGCGCCGCCTGGCGGCTGGTCGGCCGCGGCGCCAAGCCGGACCTGGCGGCGGCCACGGTGCTGCGGACGGCCGGCGAGAAGCCGGCGCTGAGCGAGAAGGAGGTGGGCTTGCTGGCAAAGGAGAGGGTGGAGCAGGCCTGAATGTGTTTCCTGTTTGTATTTTCGCTACCCTCCATGTCTCTGTCCCTCACTGTCCCTTGTTTTTTTTGGTTTTTTTGTTTGTATTCACATCTCATCTTGATATCCTCGGCGTTGTATCTGTTTGTTTCCCTCGTCCCAGCTTGAACAAGAATTCATTCGTCATTCTACTTTGTCTAATTACGTCGATGATGTGTTGTCCCTGTCCGTTCCGTATGACTCTCCCTGCCACTCACGCAGTTGTCGTCGCCGTCGCCGTCGGCGGTGGTGTCACGGTAGCCGTGTCTGTCGCCGTGTCCGTCGCGTCCGTCGGCCCGACATACCCGTCGCCGCCGTCGGTCGGGTCCGGCGTGAAGAATGGAAACGAAAAATCGCTCGTGTCCGGCGGCGGCGGGTTCGGGTCCGTCACCGTCAGCGTCACCTGCCACGTCGCCGTCGACTTGGCGTGCAGCGTCGTGCTCTTGCCGTTGGAGCTCGTGCGCCGGTGCTCAATCGTGCCCGTCGACACAATCGTCTCCGTGATGGTCGCCGGGTATTCCGTGACCGGCCCCGGAATGTACGTGGTCTCGCTGCGCGTCGTGATCATGGAGATGAGGGACAGCAGCGTGCCCGGCGGGTGTGAGATGGCAGTCACAGTGGTCGTCAGATACTGCGTCGACGTCGAGGGGAACCCCGTCGTGGTGGCGTTGACATTGGCCACACCACCGCTGCCGGCCGTCCCGTTGACGCCGGCCGAGGACGTGGCGTTGGGCTCCAAGTAGTCGTAGCGGCGGGCCAGACCACCGAGAACGGGCGTGGCCGTCGCCAGGAGGCTGACGGCAAGCAAACAGACTCTCATGGTGCGTGTGGTGTTGGATGTACAAGGCGATGAAGAGACTGCAGAACACAACCAAGCAGGGACCCAAGGGCAGGACAACAGACTCACGATGTGTCTGTACCGGGAGCCTCGACCACATCGCACTTTATCTACTGCATCCCTGTCTCCATTGTTTCGTCCCGTCCTCTCCTCTTCTAGAATGGCCTAGACTTGCCACCCCGGCGAGTGTCGGCTGCAATTTGAAATAGACTCCATTTGGTTTTGTCGTGGTCGGCTTGGCGTGTCTTGGGTCGTCTGCCATTCACTCTGTCGTCGTCATCTTCAAAGACTCCAACCACCATCGCTTCGCCGCCCGTGTCTACTATCTCCCCCACGTTTTTTGTCGAGAGACAGCCACTCATGCAGCCAGGATGGGTAATCTCGGGCAATTCAGCCGCCGGCCGTTGGACAGAAAGAGCACTGGTCAAAACGCGCGGGACAGTGAATGGTGACGGGACCATCGTTCCAGACCACTCTGCATTCTGTCGTCGTCGCCGTGCTTGGTGGACTTTTCTCGTGCTTCTCGCTGGGCTGCTCTTAATTTAGACCACGCGTGCAACCAATTTGCCGATGTCGACCTACTGCGGCTGTTGTGATTTACGCAAACGTCGGGACTTGACCGGTTGACCGGTTGATCGGCTGAACGATGATCCTCATTGTTCCTGGGAGCGCATCTGTTTTTTGGTATTTTTGGTATTTTTGGTTTGATATAAGGATGTTATGTACACGTGACGCGACAAGTATGTACAGAGGAAGCGAACAAGTTGATACAAATAATGGACAAGAAAGAAAAGAACACAAAGGAGAGTAACATGATACGAGAATGAACGACAGTGGAAGTGAACAGCTGCACAGCAAGCTGCACGGACCGATGTACAGCAGACATACAGCAGACATGACACATGGTCGACTGAGACGTATGGTACAACAAGAAAAGGACAAAAAAAGAATGAAGAAAAAAAGTAAAAAGACACAAACACACAAACACACAAACACAAAAGACACGACACAAAAACACGACACAAAAACACGACACACCCCCACCTAGTTGTTGGGCATGCCCGCGGCCAGGTTGTCGTACTGGCTGTTGGGGTAGCTCAGCAGGTTCTGGGCGGTGTCGAGGCTGCCGAGCGCCGCAAAGGACGTGCCGATGAGGCTGTCGGCGCCCGTCTTGTCGGCCGAGGCCTCCCAGAACATGCTGCCGCCGAGGCCCTTGCTCTTGGCGTACTGCACCTTGGCCTGCACCATGGCGGGCGTGTCGTACGAGACCATTTCGCGGCTGGCGGCGTCGTAGCTGTAGGTGGCGCCGGCCGTGGCGTCGGTCTGGACGGTGGCGCCGGCGCGCGGCAGCGCCTTGTAGTCGTAGATGCCGGCCTCCCAGGTGCCGGGCCCGACGCCGCTGTAGGCGGTGCCCGGGCCGGCCGTGTTCTCAAACGCGCGGCCGTAGATGGGCATGCCCAGCACGATCTGCGCCGCGGGCACGCCGGCGCCGAGGTAGTCGGTGACGGCGCGGTCGGTCGAGAAGGGCGTGGCGTTGGGGTTCTGGGGGTTGGGATACAGGTTGGCCTGGTGGCCGGCGGCGGCGGAAAAGGAGCCGGCGTAGTCGTAGCCCATAAAGTTGAAAAAGTCCACGACGGCGGCCATGCCCTTGAGGTCCTGGACCTTGTAGTTGGTGGGGCCGGCGGGGGACGCGACGGTCAGCAAGAAGTGGTAGCCGGGCGCGTACTGGGCGGCGTAGGCGTCGAGGGCGTCGCGCACGGCCTGCAGCAGCAGCACAAAGTTGGCGGCGTCCGTGGCCGAGGCCGGGTACTCCCAGTCGATGTCGATGCCGTCGAAGCCCCAGTCCTTGACGAGGGCCACGGCCGTGCGGGCAAAGGTGGCGCGCGTGCTCGCGGAGCCGGCCGCGGCCGCAAAGTTGCCGTTCTGCGAGTACGTCCAGCCGCCGATGCTCAGCAGCACGCGCAGGTTGCGGTGGGCCTTCTTCTGCAGGTACAGCTGCTTGACGCAGCCGTACACGTTGTTGCCCACGTCGCTCCACGAGTCCGTCGGGTAGTGCTGCTGCAGGTCCGCGTACTGGTCCGACGAGTAGACCTCGCCCGTCGGCTGCAGGTTGGCAAACGCATACAGGACGAAGCTGATTTTGTCGGCCGGCAGCATCTGGGGCGTGTAGTTGCGGCCGTAGACGCCCCAGTTGACAAAGTAGACGGCGTTCTGGTAGCCCTTGGCGGCGCGCTGGGTCACGTTGGCCGACGCGCCGGCGACGGCCTCGACCGGCGCGGCAAGGGCCACTTGGGCTGCCGCCAGCAGGGCCATAAGAGCAGTCTTGATATACATGGTGGGGAGAATGAGGAGAGGAGTCAGGAGTCAGGAGCCAGGAGTGAGAGAGTCGACGACAAGAATAAGGCGTGTAGAAAATACAAGTTGAGAAGAGAAGATGCAAAGGAGCGACTCAAGCGGCAAAGGAATGGATGAAAGTGTCGAGTCAACTTTCAAGACCTACCTGTGTGCGGTGCTGGTGATGTCGGTTGATGTCCTTGTCGTGTGTGGCATGGAAGGTGTCCAGCATTGTCCAGACACGACCTCGCGAGGCTATATATATTGTGGCAACAGTCGACGCGTAGATGCGCCGACTGAGCGACGTATCAAAGTCGACGTCGACGTCGACGTGTCGGAGACAATCTCCCCGTCGTTCTGTCGTCTATCGTCTTTGTCGACCCCTTGTCGACTCCTTGCGCGGGACTTTGATGGCCCTTGGTCCTTATGCGATCCTTGCGTGGTCCTTGCGTGGTCGTAGGTGTGACGGTGGTCTGTCTTGGGAGGTCGTTGGCCTGCCTTTGGTCTGTCGTCACATTGGGCATCTAGCATCATGGGGTCCGTCACACCAACGGCCACGCCACGGTCGACGCCAATCCACCACCACGGCCCACAACCACAGCCCTCGCGCCGCAGTCCCCCGTCTAGCGTCTGCCAGCCCGGCGAGAACCGTTTCCAGTAAGATTCGACATTAAACGCTCGCTGGGTCGTCGTCAAATCGGATGATCAGGTCGTGACTGTGCAGGTCCCACGACTTGTCCCCCTGGACTTGGTCACTTCGTAACGTTGCCACTTTTGGCGTTATGAAAGCCAAGGACGGTGGGGACAGGGCGACGGAGGAAGGGAGGGGGGGGGGGAGTGGAGGGACAGGCAGGAGAGAAGATGGTGTAGAATGGAGAATGACCAGGTGCATGTGCTTCTGTGTCTGGGTTCAGGCAATCTGTGGTGGTCGTAGTTGAGGTCGAGGTCGAGGTTGTGGTCGCACTTGAAGTGATCGTCGACAAAGGAACCGTTGTAGCGCCGTCTGTATATCCCTAATGCAGGGTTGAGGACGGAGAAGACAAGCCGAAGGCAACGCCAAGACCACAGAAGACAGACGAAAATAAGGAGAGGAAAGTGGTAAGATGGAACGCCGAACAAAAAAAAAAAAAAAAAGTTAGGATGCGACCTGATGCAATGAACGAGATGGAGAGTCGCGTGAGATGCAGGTGCTCGGGTGCTCACAAACGAGCACGCGGTGTTTGTGAGACACAATGATAAACAAGAAATACACAGGCAGACGCAGACGAGCAGACGAGCAGACAGGCGCGTTGCCAAGCCATTCACGCTGAGCACATTTTTTACATTTTTACATTTTTTACATTCATTGCAGCGGAACGCCGAAAGACACATGGCGATGATCTGCAGCGGCTGGGCGGCAAGGTCTCATTTACACGTTCACGCGCGACTGGTGTGTTTTGAGAAGGCAGGGAGAGAATAAGAGAGGAAGAGAGGAAGAGAGGAAGAGAGGGAGAGAGGGAGACAAGAACGAGCAAGTGGGCACGGATCGACAACGATGGACGCGACGGAGGAAATCATGGCCCGCCAGGGAGATATCAAGCACGAGCAGCGATCCTCCGGCCCGTCTGGACGGAGAACAGATGTCCAGAGTCTTTTTGGTGACTTGCTGGCGTCGCCAATTTCATGCGTTTCTGTTTGTCGACCGCCTTTGATTATTTTGATTAGCCATTTACCGATCCAAGCAATTGTTCCAATCACGGCACGGGAGGCACTCTGGCGTGCCGTCTATGAAAGTCTGTAAAAACAGGGTCCGCACCAGTTGAGCTGAATTTCCAATTCAAACATTTGCCCTGACTAACATGGAGAAGGAAATATTACGCCGTAAATTAGCTAATGAAAAGCAATGGCCATGGCGCCACGTTAATGACTCACAGAGCCGCAAAGGATCTACGACGGAAAGCCGTTTAACGTCTGACAAGTATGACTGGCGTCTGAATGGAAAAGGAAAAAGGAAAAGGAAAAAAAAAAAAGGAAAAAGAAATGGGAAAGGCGAGAGGAGACGGCACATGGCAGGTCTAGATGCGAATTTGGGTTGACTTTTGCACCCTTGATGAGACTCTCGGTTGGTCTAGAGGCCAAGACCTGTCCAAAGCGCTGATTGGCGGCGCATTGTCCCCTGTAAGATTACTCTCGAGAACACCACCAGGCCGACAGCCACAGCAGCACAGGACCGGCGAAACAACAACAGCCCCCAACTGTGGAAAGCCAACCTGGTCCATGGTTCTCGGGGCCGTCCTTGGGGGCGGTCAAGGGACGACAGTCCTACATACGGCCTGCGACGGATCGAGTCAAAGAGAGCGGACGAGAACGTGGCGCGCACGGCTGCCCGCTACTTCAGGGCTCATGCCAGGGCTTCTGAAGGCTCAGTGGCTAGTGTCCCCCTGCAAGGGCAGTCAGCGGAGGACAGCCACCAAAAGGTACCCCGGCTGCCCAGGAGCCCAGGAGCCCAGGCCCAGGAGCCCAGGGCGCAACATCAGACGACTGGGTCCGTCTCGGCCTTGGCCAGATCGAGTTGCCTAACTGGGACGTCGCCCGTCCGCCGTACGCAATTCGCCTTACTCAATTCGCCTCGCGCCCGAGCATCAGCGACATACAAAGTACACGCAGTCTTTCTCGCCGACGCGCTATGCCCTGACACGCCCTGCTCCGACTGCCCTTTTGCCCTTTATGAGCAGGGCGAGGGATGGCCCGACACGAGTCTTGGCGGCGCATATGGAACAAGGAGCCTTGATCTGTGGTCTGGACGTCTGTATGACGTGTCTGTGATCTGTGTCGGCGTTTTGTTCTGCGATGCGGTTACACTGCTACGTCCTACCTCCTGCCTCCTACCTACTGCTGTGTCTCACGAACAAGGCGCAAGTTGTATCCCAACCGGGACATGCACGTCTGCCGGCACCGCAAATGGTGGGGTGGTGGTGCGGTGGTGTGGTGGCACATGCCCTGATGCCCTTGTCCATGTGCTTTGGGGGTGTCGCACCATGCATGCAGCCGTTCCCCACGTTCGCCCTTGGAGCGATCGCCATCATCACGTCCATCTGTGTCCTTATCTCGTCCATGTACGACATATGTCGTGTCGCTGCCGCCACCATGACTCTGTCTTCCGCCACGCGCGAGAACACTGCAGAGTCGTGCACCTGCATGTCACCTTTGCATCTACGACAAAGTACCTCGAGAGAATGTCACTTGGCGTGCTTCGCACCGGCCGGCCGATCATCTCCATACAAGGGTGCTCACCCCGCGATCCTTTGTCCGTCCATGAAGAGGAGCCCTAGAGTCTCCATGGCCATGCAGCGCCTTCGGTGATCTCCATCGATCCTCCCATGGGCCGATCGCCACTCGTCCGCCCCCTATGGTCACGGCCTTATTCTGGGCCACCGCGGTCGTCGTCCTCGGCTCGACCCAGGATCCGGGTCTGTTGGGCATGCTCTTCCACTGTCTTGTCAGCTTGTCTCATTCTCGGCCTTGTTCCTACACTTCCTTGTCGGCCGCTCGCCTGCAACCCACCTTTTGATCCCCCGCTGGTTCTCCGTTCATCTGATGTCCCTGTCGTCGCTGTCGTGTGTGTCGGCACCAAGTCTCCATTGTCTTGTGTCCCCTTGTCCCCTTACTACCCCGTCTTGTAACGTTACTGGTCCTGCACATCACGAGCAGGGTATCTGGTGTGTGGTCGGAAGTCTGGCCATTACCTCCATCGTACCGTCCCGACGGTTTGGCGGAGAGTGTATGTGTACTACGTGTACGACATACCGTGCGCCGTACATTATTTGTATTCACGTCTTCGGAGCAATCTCAATACACTTTGGCTCGCCCGTTTTATTCTCTCCTTGTCTGCTCGCTCGCTCTCCTTATCTGTTTGCTACGCACATTCACTCGCCCCCCCTACGCATCCGTCCACTTCACACTCGCCCGCGTCTCGTGCGACTGCCGTGCCAGCTCAATCAGCCGGATGCCGTCGCGCGACGTCTGCGGGTCGACGGCCAGGGGCGCGGTGCCGCGGATGGCGTCGACAATGTTCTCGTAGTAGCCGCGGTAGTGGCCCGGCAGCGACGGGAAGGCGCCGACGTAGTAGCCCGTGGCGGCGTCGCGCGTCTGGACGGCGGCGTCAAACGGCGTCTTGGTCGTCAGCTGGCCCCAGATGCGCTGGTCTTCGACGCCGTAGGCCGGGTCGTCGGCGGCCACGCCCGGGCGGGCGAGGGCGCGGTCCTCCTGGGGGCAGGTGCCGTACTTGATAAAGGTGCCGTCGGTGCCCTTGACGACGAAGCGCAGCTGGTCCTTGAGGACGGAGGCGACGTTGGTCTTGACGGTCACGACGAGGTTTGTGCGGGCTTCGTTTTCGCTGGTGCCGTCGTACTCGAGCACCAGCGAGAACGTGTCGTGCACGCCGCCGCCGCCGGCCCGCACCGAGCGGAAAAAGGCCGTGACGTAGGCCGGCGTGCCGAACAGCACGAGCGCCTGGTCGATGGTGTGCGTGCCCAGGTCGAACACGCTGCCGCGGCCGGGCGTGTAGGGGCCGTCGCCGTAGTGGCGGTCGACCACGTCGGCCTTGAACCCGGGCGGCGGGTCGAAGTGGATCTCGGCCTCCGTCACGTCGCCCACGGCCCCGGCCGCCACGAGGTGCTGCACCGTCCGGAAGTCGCTGTCGAGCCGCCGGTTCTGGAACACGCTGAGCAGCTTGCCCTGCGCCCGCGCCAGCGCAATCAGCGCGTCCGCCTCCGCCGACGTCGCCGACACCGGCTTCTCCACGACCACGTGCTTGCCCGCCTCCAGCGCCTGCGTCGCCAGCGCGACGTGGTCAAACGCCGCGACGACCACCAGCTCAATGTCCGGGTCGCCAAAAAAGGCCGCCGCCGTCTGGTAGTGCTTGGCCTGCGGGAACTTTTCCGTGCAGTGGCCGAAGCGCTGCGTCGCCGCGGCCGACGGCGGGGCGCGCTGCAAAAAGGCGTACACGAGCAGGTCCTTGTTGGGCAGGATGAAGGGCAGCTGGAAGCAGTTGGTCGAGAAGCCGAAGCCGATGATGCCGACCTTGATTGGCGCCATTGTGGGGGAGGAGTCGGTGCTGTGTGCTGGGCGGGTGTTGGGCGAGCTGGGCGGGCGTCGAAACGGCAGTGAGGGGTAGTCGTGATGCGATGTAGTTGTTACAGTGGAGTGGACGCTGTAGGCGCTGTAAACTGTAGTTGCGGCAGCTTCTCTGTCTGGTCAACAGCGGATCGTCGTTTATTTCTAAACAGTCGTTGCTTGTCGATGCGACGGCTGTCTGTTTTATGTTCAATCGGCCGGTGAGATGACGACAACGGGTAACGATTGCGAGCACCACGTGGACTCTGACGTTGGATGTTGTTGATGCGTCTCGTACATCGGCCCGCTTATCGCGTCCCAGATGCTGCTCACTGCCCCCGTAACAGTCGCTATTCCCGCCTAACCCCGCCGAAGTCGCCCTGGCCCGGGGCATCTCCACCCTGCTAAAGTCGTCGTCCCCGCGTGAGGTGAGCGCCCGCCGGCTAAATGCGACGGTGGACTGGCCACGTCGTCTTGCGTTTCTGGGACATTCACCTCGTCACCTCCGATGCCGCCAGCACGGCGAGACGCCTCGACTGCACGGGTCTGGCTGGGTTGGTTGCATTGACAGTCTCGAGTTTTGATTTGAAAGCAACGAATTATGTACAAACTCCATCAACAAGTCCATGACCATGCAACACTGAATGTCTCGTCTCTCTCGTGTCCCTCTCACGTCCCTCTCACGCCCCCTGTCGTCCCTCCGTCCTCCCTCTCGCCGCGCGCACTACTTGGCCGGCGCAATCGCCTGCGGATAGTCAAAGACCTGCGTCGGGTCGACGGCGGCCTTGATCTGCTGCAGCCGCGGCAGGCTGCTGCCGTAGTAGACCTGGTTGGCGTAGGTGCGGTTCATGGTCGGGTCGGCGTAGTTGATGTACATGCCCCACTGGTTGGCGGCGAGGTTCTGGGTGAAGGAGTCGGCCCAGCCGTTGAGGAAGGAAAAGCCGTTGGACGGGAACGAGCCGAAGATGGCGCGGTCGTAGAGCTCGTACAAGAACAGCTTGTCGCGGTGGGCGAAGCTCGTGGCGTTGCTGGCGACGGAGGGGATGAAGGCGTTCTTGCCGCCCATCATGTCGATGATGATGTACCACGAGCGCGTGTTGCTGCGGGCCTGGTTCATCCAGTAGCCGCAGACGGCCTGCAGCGCGCGCGCCGGCAGCGCCGTCGTGGCCATGCTCTTGGAGAAAAAGTTCTCGTGCTGGTTGTAGGGGTGCGAGGCGTCCACCGTGTCGCCGTTGTCGTAGGCGGCGAACCCGCCGACCCAGTCCGTCTGCTGCACCTGCGACAGCGACGCGCCCAGCTTGCCCAGCAGCGGCTGCATCGCCGTCTGCAGCGCCGCCTGCCCGCCGTGGTAGAGGCCCTGGATCTGCGTCTGGTAGCTGCTGCCAAAGATGCGGAAGTTGAGCTCCGCCGGCATGCTGCCCGCGCTCAGCCAGTCCTGCAGCGCGCTCCACCCGTTGGCGCAGTCGCCCGCGCTGCTCCACGGCAGGTTGACCTGGAAGGCCGTCGTCTGCGGCGGCGCCGCAAACGTGTTGAAGTAGAACGTGTGCACGACGCCAAACGACGAGCCCGCGCCGCGCAGCGCCCAGAACAGGTCCGCGTTCTCCGTCGCCGAGCAGTTGACCACCGTCGCGTTCGCCAGCACCACCGTCGCGCCCACCATCCAGTCGAGCGCCAGCCCGTGCGTGTGCGAGCTGAAGCCGAAGCCGCCGTGCAGCGAGTGGCCCGCCAGCCCGACGCCGGGGCACGTGCCGTGGCTGATGGCCCGCTGCCCCTGCTTGTAGAGCTCCGTGAAGACGTGGCCCAGCCGCGCGCCCGCCTGGATCGTCGCCACCTTGGTCGTGCTGTTCACCGTCACCTTGTTGAGCCGGTCCAGCTCAATCACGAGGTGCCCGTTCTCGCCGCCCAGCCCAAACGACGCGTAGCTGTGCCCGCCGCCCTTGGGGCTCACCTTGATCTTGTTGGCCGCCGCGCACTTGACTGCCGCCTGGATGTCCGCAATCGTCTTGGGCACCACAATCGCCGCCGGCGTGTATTGCAGCCGCGTGTTGAACGGCGCCACGTCCGCGTTCCAGTCGTTGCCGCCCTTGGCGTCCACCGGCACCGACGCCGCCGCCAGGCAGTCGTCGATGGCGGCACCGGCCGCCGACGTGGCCAGGGCCGCAAGGGCCCAGGCGGACCAGGACTTCATGCTGGGAGGATGAGTCAAGAGAAGTGATCGGCGTTTTTTTTTTCTCTTTTCTTTTCCGCTTTTTTACTTTCCTCTTTCTTCTTTCAGTGAACGAGCGTACTGAGGACAAAGAAGAAGAGTCTAGATGCACAGTCCACGGGACGGTTCACGTTTTTAAGTTCCATCAGCAAGAAAAAAGCCAAGATCTGCGGGGACGACATGAGTCGACCATGCTTACAACTAAGACACGGCTTCATACACAATGGGTCGACGGTGCGTGGTCCACGCTCCTGTCCCTTTTCCAACCGTCTGGGTTCCGGGGTTGGCAGAAGGGAATCCCCCGCGTGTTCAGCATTGTGGAGAAGGAAAACGCAACTGGGGAAGATGACTACAAGATACGGGGACGCGGGAGAGAAACAGAACCTGGCACGGTCGTCATAAAAGGAATCACCGGCTTGGCCATGTCTTGGCCATATCGCCACATCACATCCAAAGATGCCAACCCAAAGCGGCCAATAATTGCCGTCTTGGCCGGCGTACTGATAACAGTGGTTGATGGGATGGGGGATAAAGGGGATTAACGGGGATTAAAGAGCACAAAGGGGGGAAGCAGACTGGTCGGCTCAATGGAACGTGAATGAATTTTCCTGCTTGGCAAGGCGAGGATATTGCAGTGCTTTTATGGCCATGTGGTTCGGCTAGAGCGACGGCAAGGAACGCCTCCCTGTGACCCGTTGTCCTGTTTGTAAATGGGATGGGTGTATGGGATGGGTGTACTCTGTGATGGTAGGCTTGATGGCGAGTGTAGCGTGTGCTTTCTTTTGAAAGCATAGAACAGACCCAAATCGGCGCCAACGACGTGCGACGAATGCCACGACAGTCGACAGGCCAACGACACACACTCAGCTGTTCTGTACAGTACGTAATTACTGCCCGTCTTGGCGAATCCGTTTGGGTGGAGAGCAATTATATGGGCGATGCGCACGCAGCAAAAGCGCAAATGCATTCTGTCCTTGCGGCTGGCAGCGGAGCCGGTGCGGCCAAGTCGGGAATTTGACTGGACGGCTGGCCGGGGTGAATCGGATGGACACACGCTCCGATGGACGAGGACGAAGGAAAAGAACATGACGGTTAGAGGCAAGTTCATGGCGGATAATATGGGAAGGGGGGACGTCCCAAATAGCCATAGTAGGTAACCGTATTAAGCCACACCACATTCCGACGCCGAGCATGTGTCAACGGCCTGTGTGCATTTAGCCTGCAGGACGGTTTTCGCTGTAGCGCCGTAGGTCATGTTGCCGCGCAAGGGACTGGCAAAACGCGGAATGATAAAATGAGTTCAATTATACGAATGATGCGACCCGAGACACAAAGCACGTGTCCTGTCAATGAACTGTCAACGAAGACTGTGGCCAACAGCCGGCATGCAAGGCCATTGTCGTTTTGCATCGCATGTCTGCGCTTGCTCGTCGACCGTGGGCGGTGTGTCTGACTGCCGTGGATGTGTGCCGTACCCTGTGCAGCCTCCTCCGCATCTCCACTGGGATGGAGCATCATCAATCTGCTGTGCCGCGCTGTGGCCGGCGGCATCGTTGAGGCAATGTATAGTGGCTTCGATGCGTCCCTACACAACTGTCCTCGTCTCACTGTAGTACAGCGCATGCTGTGGGGCATCGCTACTGAAACACCCAGTAAAAGAGCCACTCAGTACGAGCATACACCAACCAATCACAATGCATGCTTTCAACCAACAATTACCGCATTCGGAAGGAACGCACAGCTTACACAAAAGGACTACATCACAAAGAAAAGGACCTGAGAACAAAACATCACCACACAGCAACAGTTGTTTGTCATCAATTCTACAGCTACGGACGTCCTACAATCTTTTATGCTACGTTTTTACAAGGTTGGTTGACTGCAATCATGACAATTACATCGCATAGGAGGTCAAGTTAAGTGGTGTGGGTTTTGTGTGTGGATTTTGATGTGGTTTGACTAAAACTGAATAAACTGCTCAACTGTAACTACCAAGAGGAAGAAGAAGGCTGCGGCAAACAGTGTACAACGTGGAGACTGTAGATGTCTGTTGACGTCTGTACATGATTGCTGAATGCCCAGTAAAAGTCCGACAATGGTGCTTGCCAAGTGTTCCTCCATCTCAGTGCCGCCCAAAGCTTTTCGACGGCACTGTTTCTCAACTCCCCATACCATCGCCTGTCCCTATCATCAGGACATGTCGTCCATTCTGATATCTTGCCGTGCACAGACCGCACGAACCATAGTCATCTGCAAACACACCAAGGTCTACCTTTTCTTCTTCTTTCCTCCTCTTCTTGTACTTGTTCGCCCCTCTCAGCCCCTTGTCGTCTCCCGCCGGCTCACACCCGTTTGTAGAGCTCCCGCACGAGGTACAAAAGTCTCTGTTCCTCCGGCGTCAGAAAAGTGTGGTTGACGCTGCGGTACATGGGGGTGCGCCGGTTGGACCCGTCGACGCCCAGGATCCAATTCTGCGCGTCACGGACACTTTCGATGAAGCTGGCCAGGTGGTGGGCCGTGAAGCGGCGTTGGAGGGGAGCAGTGGCGACGATGGCCGTGTCGGGGTCTGGGAGCTGGAGGTGCTCGCGTGGGTTGTCCGTGTCGGGGTCCGAATCGAAGCCGACCGGCACGCGGTGCGAGACGCGGCGCAGAAAGCGCTGGCCGTTGACGAGGTGGCGGGCGCGGCGGCGGGTGCGGCGGGGCATGGTGGCTGCAGCCGACTGGATGGCCGCCGTTTCGCGGGCGGGTGAAGCAACAAAGTCCGAGTCGTCCAGGTCGCCAGCGTTGACAGACGAGTTTGTGTTGTGGCCAGAGGGCCCGGCAGCAAAAAGGTCCGCGTCGTCGACAGTGCTGTCCTAGGCAATGTGCGCGTCTGCGTCCTCGTCGTCGTCGCTGTCGCCGTCGCTGTCGCTGTCGCTGTCGCTGTCGCTGTCGCTGTTGTCCTCGACGTCCGCGTCATTGTCGTCGTCTTCGCCCTCATCATCCACGGCCTTGCCCTTCCCCTTCCCCTTGCCCTCCATTGTTTGAGCAAGGGTCGCGCGGCGCTGGTTGGATGCGCTCATCATAAAGGTCAGGCGCTCACCGGCTTCCCAGCCGTCGACACTGCCACGCTCCTCGAAAACATGGTTGTGCAGCGCATCGCGGTTCGCCGCCTCGTCATTGCCGTTGAGCGTGAAAATGTTGCGGGGGCGCATGTTGTTGGCTGTCGCGCCCGCCGTATTGTTGTTGGCCCCGTTGCCTGCGTTGCCGCCTGCGTCGTCATCCGTGTCGCTGTCCGTGTCGTCATCCGAGCTGTCCATCGACTGCTCCGTGTGGTCAAAGAGAAGGCCGTCGGCATTGGTCCACTGCACGAAATTGACATTGTGCACCCAGTCCATGCTGGACCGGTAGACAAAGGGCCGGCTCTCGGGGTCCCGGCGTGCGCGCCTGCCACCTTCCAAGTCGGTGGCGGCGTCCGACTCGCCGTCCCAGGTCAGATGAAAGTCGCTGCGGTCTGTGTTCATGCAGTAGGGGCGCGCTTCCATCTCGTCTCTCCAGCGACTGTATTCGCGCTGCATCGCAAACCGACTGGCCGTGCAGAGCATCCAGAAGGCGCGGTCGGGCATGAGCTCAATGGCCGGGTGGTTCTCGAAAAGCGCGGTGCGCGGAATGCGGGCGGTGTTCGTGGACTGAAGCGTGTCGAGGAGCATTCGATGGTGGTATGTCACCGCGTAGAAGAAATGCTTGCACTTTGGCGGCTCGGCAGCGTAGCTAAAGATCATCACCTGGACCTCAGGAGGCAGCAGAGAAAACTGAAAGCGGCGATCCCGCGTGGCGCTGGAGGGGGTGTCGGCAGCATGCTCAGTGGCATTCTCAGTGGTATTGTCGCTGGTATTGTTGCTGGTGGTGGTGGCGGTGTTGGTAGATGCCGCAGTGTGAAGGACATGCGTGCCCTGGGCTCCGTTTTGAAGTGCGTCAGAAAGTGCCATGAAACGCGAGGCCAAGTGACCATGTTTCTGGTGGAACATGATGAGCCACTCGGCCAAGCGGCGACGGTGGTTGGAAGCCATTTCTTCGGCTTCGAGGCTGGGAAACACAGCATCCAGCTCGGACACGGGTCGGAGGAGAGACTCGATGAGCTCCTTGAGGGCGTCGTTGGCGGCCTGAAGCTTTTTGACCGCCAGTGGTTGGGTACGCGTGATGACAGTGGTCGCAGTGCTGCTGTGAGTGTTGCTGTGCTGCTCGGGGTCAATACCACCGGACCCGGCCTGTTGCTCAGCCATTGTGATGGATGCTGTGGTAAAAGAGCAAGTTAGCACAATGTCTGATGGAAGAGCCAGGGGAGTTTGTGAGAGTGACGAACCGAGAACAATGGAGAGAGATGGGCGAAAAGAAGAAAGGGTGTGTGGTGTTGGATCACCGCGGCGGGTGCAAAAGCAAAAGAGTCCATAACTGATTTGCGATTGTGGGTGATGCCGGTGGAGATGTAGTGTGTGGAGGACGAAGTTGGACGACGAATGCTGTCAGTCAGAATCTTTCGATCGAAGCAAGCTGTGATGATGGCGATGGAAAGATGGATTGGTGAACAGCTTTGGATCCGAACGAACTTCTGAAAAGTGGTTTGAAAGAGGGAGAAAAAGGGAGAGGGTCGGAGGAGGGGGAGAGGGGGGCAGGCTCGATATATATAGGGAGAGGAGAGGTCGGCAAATCAGTAAATCAGTGAAGTAGTGAATCAGTAAAATTAAATCTGTTGCCGTGGCAAAAAAAGATTATAATGGCGTTTATCAAAAAAGGAAGGAGCAAGAAAAGAATCATGCCTATTGATGACGTGCTACCAGGACAACAATAAAAATCACAACACCTGCGGCATGGTGTCTTCACTTCTCCATCAGATTCCATGTCAGATACGATACACAAAGAGGAGGATGCCGTGACCGATTGTCACATCCACGGTCATGATAATAGTGTTCTCCACGTCACTGCTTGCATTCAGCAACTTCCAGTCATCGTGAGCTGGACACTGCCCTGAAACGCATATTGACACACAATGGAATAGACTGTTACGGTGAACAATGGGGACAATACTCTAATGTACTTGAACAATGTAATATGCTGGAACACCACGCAATATCATGAGCCACGAAGCAGGGCTTGGTCTTGCTTTGTTTGGCCATCTACTATTACTTTTTTGATCGCTGAGGTGATAATCATTTACCATTCACTATTATGCAGCATCACGGCTGAGTCTTGGGTATTGTCCACCGGCTTTCTTTTTTCGTTCACTTGACCATTATAATGACTATCGGTTTTTGTTGCTCACTGAGGGAAAGTAGCTGAGAGGGAATGATGGGAGGAGAGGATGGGCAAGACGAGGGGGGAAGATGAGGGAAGATGACATGCGAGAAGGAGGAGCAGACGGGAGAGAACAAAATAAAGATGCACAATATCAAGGGATTTGAAAAGGTATCAAAACTACATAATATAATTCTGCACTTTGTTCTCCGCGGCTCACGTAGCACAAGGCTCAAAAATTATGGCGGCGCCGGCAGAAGATTAGTGAATGTCCACGGTGCCCCAGGTCTCCTCCACCACCGGAGCCGACAGTCTGGCACCTACCCACCAGAATAGGCTTTGCTGGAAAAGCATACTATTCTCCTTTTTGCCTGTTTCTTGTCAGCTATATTGGGGCGTCGTGAATGTAGAGTGAGCATATGTTGCACATGACAACGAGCAGGAAAGTGACTGGGACTAATATCCCTCGCTGATCTGATTAACAGGACATTGTCGACGACGAAGCATATCACAGCAGACGAAAAGACCGGCAACCGCGAAATCAACCGCGAAATCTACGATGTAAACAATGGGAGGCGACAAATTCGAGGTCAATCCAAAATAAACAATAGTCAACCAATCAAAATGAACCGGTACTCGACAAGCTCAGGGGCAAGCACCGAGTTACACCGCACACCACTTGCCATGCCACGCACTCGACTCTGCAGAGACATGAATCAATATCGGGAGCATGCATGACTACAAAATCATATGATCAGAGCTTCGTGCCACGATATTCGATTTGTCCCTTTTGAGACCGCAAGGTGACGTGGCGATGCTTTGCCCCACCCGCTCCTTTTTCAGACGCCACAAGCTGATTGCTCCTTCGCAGCATAGTATATTTCTTCTTTTCTTCACCTCTTTTGCTTTCCTATTTGTAGGCTCGGCAACAGTAATAGTAAAATACGTTATCTATACGCCCGCAACGAAGTCCTCACTGGCTTATCACTGTTTCTTGGTGTGCATACCGTGCGGCTCTTCACGTTAATGGATCAGCTATGACGAAATCGTATTATCTTCCTCGCTCTTTCTGTTTCCATTTATGACAGTACAATGCCCGACCATTCAACTGCCACGTTAACGTCCACGTAGAATCGCCCCCTTCCTCAAGTTATGTCCTATCTATGCATTGCCACAATACCGCCGGAGAAAGGTCAGCCAAAAAGCGGCCGTATGTAAAAGTGAATAACAATATGTGCCATGTGTGTTGTCAATCCCCCGATCTCCATGATACTTGCATCTCTCTAGTGAACATGAGTCCCATTTCCATATCGGATTGCTCGCAGAAATTTATTCAACGGCACATGTCCATCCTCGATGGCTCCATTCCATCTATATGTTTCTATCCAGAGCTAACTCAGCCGTCCAGCGAACACCGTGGACAAGGGGGAAAAACGCTTGAAACGCTTGTTTTGTCTTGACCGATGGTTATGCGACGAAGTTTAAGGTTGGCGGTCTTTGATGTAATGAATTCATGACGAAGAGATCTGTGTAACTTGTTTGCATGGCCCGTGGACAATGCCGTCCATGACGTTCTCTACGATATGCCAGCTCTCGATGGTATTGCTGTCAATTTTCCTCGCTGCGTCTGTTTACACGGAAAACGGATAGGTCCAGTGTGGCGTCCATTGTAGGAGAGGTGACAATCCCCAATTGCTAACGTTTGCTTAGTATCCTTCTAGACAGTGAGTGGACGTCATTGACCTTACCCAATGTTCATGTGTACATTGTGGGTGTCGTTCTTCATTGCGGTGATCAATGGTTCAGGAGTTTGTTATGACCTCTCTTCTGCGACGACTCAATGCCCGGAAAAGTCGGCTTCGGTAAAGTTGGAACTCTACAAAGTTTGAGAGAAAAAGAAGTTGAATTTGCGTCGGTCAAATGGGGATCAATATTGTTTACATACAAAGAAGTCAGACAGCAGCCAAATGCAAACGGATGTAGCGGTGAATGCAAGCTGCTGTGGAGAAGTAGAGAAGCAATGCAAACAGCAACGATAGACAAGTGAACAACGGTAGAGTGAATGACAGACTAATAAAGCGAGCGCATCACAGGCTTCCATCTTTCGCAGATCAACACTTTCTGGCCTTTTCTTGTATCGCCATCAACATGTCCTTCTCGTCCACGCGCAGTCCATGTGCGAGCATATGCCGCCCGGCGCCCATAATCTGTCGTCGTAAACTGACCCACTGCCGGTTGCGTGCAGTGACGTCCAGATAGTAGGTTTCCATGGGATGGGCTACTTCTCTGTGGTAGTAGTCGAATTTGCCGTCTGTTGTGTGTTTCAAAGCGGTGTCGCGCAGCTGTTGCAGACCAAACGCGCTGAGTCCGTCATCACCTTCGTCTCCGTCGTCTCCGTCGTCTCCGGCCGCCGTCCCTGGCTTGCCGATAGGCACCGAGACGATTTCTATAGATGGCTTGAAGAAACAGCGCGGACCTGTCGAAAACAAGGACGTAAAGCCGGGTATCGCGTCCGGACCCGCGCCTGTCGGCAGTGGCGTCGCCATGTAGACGTCCCAGCTCACGTATGCCCGTTTCATGGCCGCTCGGGAGGCCCAACAAGCGCTCCACAGTCCCTGGTCGGACAGCCAATGGGCGCTAGGGTGTCGTAGGTGGTATTGGGGGACGGTCATCACATTGCCTGCGTCGTCGGCGTCGTCGGCGCCTTCCGGGACACTCAGCTGTCGCCAGGATCCATCGTCGTTCTTGGGCCGAATTGAGTCGTAGTAGTGGCCACAGGGAATTGGCTCACACGCCGCGTCCCATATCGCGCGCTGAAGTTCCGTCGGGAGTTTCCCAAAGCCGTGGAAGGTCGTGCTCGTGCCTGTATCGACGCTTGCGCCTCTGTTTGCGGCTCCGTGGCCCGGATGTCTGGGCGGTGATCGAGTCATGAGCTTCGCGCTCAGATTGAGCCCCTCTGCAATGTTCTGCAGCGCCTGGTATACAATTTTGCGGCCGTGCAATAAGTCGCCCACCGCCGCTGTGCTCATGTTCTCCAGGGCGTTCTTCGTGCCTCCCCCGCCGCCCCTGTCGTACATGTCGGCCACATCTTGCGGCCAGTCAGAGGCACGGCTCCACATGAGGGACAAGAGCCGTACGGTGTCGCTGTGCAGGCCGGCTACGAATTTGACAAATTCCGGCGCATCCGCCTTCTGGTCGCCGAGGTTGCGCGGCGGGTCAGGGCAGGATGCCACGCCGTTGCGTATCAGACGTTCCCGGCGCGCAGGTTCATCCTCTGCCTCGGATTCGTCGTCAGAGTCAGAGCGGTCGTAGTCGTAATCGCTGTTGTCGCCGTCCATGGTAGTAGTCTTGGACAGTTGGCCGGACGGTTGGAGATGGATTGCAGTGGTAACGTTCGGAGCCAGAATCCGGTGTTGAGAATGTTGGGGTGTGTAAAGGCAAGCCAGCGATACAAAACAGAATGTTCAGGAGCTGAGTTGACCCCGCGCCAAATCAAGGCTGATGCCAAGATATTTCGATGTCTACGCTTTGGACAGAACTCGACAAAAATGTAACGTAATTGATTCGACAGTGAATTGAATTGGCAATTGAAAGAATATAAAATATAAAGTAAAATAAAACAATGAGAGAGAAGCTGGAAGACGAAATCAATCAAATGGCACGTAACACTTTCTTTTTTTTTCTCAACGTTTCCTTTTACGAGATTCTAAACGCAAAAAACCTTCCAAAGGAATCAAGACAACGACACGCGTCATGACGGTTTTAGAGAGACGGATCGTATTGTTGATCAACCGGTCAATGATGGTAGACCCCCAGAATGTCAAGGCCATGGATCGAACAAGACTCGCTCCAGGTCGCAGTCTCCTTCTAAGCAACCTCCTTTTGGCCTCAACATTTAGCTGGAAAAATAGAGCATGTTCACTACGCCGCATAGCTACATCCATGCGTGGCACAAGCAAAGTTTCATCTGTCACGTGCAGGGTAGCGATGGCCGCTTCCGTTACGAAACAACCCTCAGATACGCAAGAGAATCTCGGACAATCTACGACCTCTATCTCCTCGGAAAAATCGACGAAGCCGACAAGGACCGCCTTCGAGAGGTTTGTGGCGGCGTCCCCCCTCAAAACAATATCCACGGCTGGAACTGTCAAGACTGGGTCAGAGATGCGTTTGGGGCGCTCGTTCTCGAAGGTATTCTGATCCCTGAGGACGGAGTTGACGAATACCAAATTCGTGGCCAAATGAACGGGTATTGAGAAACGCGAATAACTCTGCTTCTTGACCAGGAGCCAATGAGTTTCATTAGGTATATGGTTGGATTTGGATAAAGCTGGGCGTGACGGAAATACTGTATCTATCTGTTCTAGCACTTTTTGAATTCGACAGTCGTTTACTGCTAAGTAATAGGTAGTAACATGTATTTTTCTGTATATGACTGCTTTGGTGTTGTTGCTTTTAAGTTTGATTCTACCTTTTTATGTTCTTTCTCTTCCACTGTTTTCATCTGTTGTCTGATTATGCAACGACATTAAGACCAGAAACATCGTGCATAGCCGATGCAGGTTAGGCATTAGGTGTGAATACCATTTGCCTTGTCCCACAACCGGCCGATCGCCCACTCGGTCGGATAAGTGGCGGGGGCAATGCACTGTGGAACGTATCGCCACCAGTCTTCCAGGCCATTCCGGCCCTTGGGTTCATCATAGTATTCTTTGAAGTTGTACAGCACCTTGGTCGCCTCGAACCACGCTGGATAGAAGCCACTCTCTTCCCAGTCAATGACACCCGTCACTACATACTCTGTCGGGTTAGCCGGGTCAATGTCGACCGTGATGTTCCCGGGATACACGTCGCCATGTGTAAATACGCAAAGCTCGTTGGGATCGGGCCGTGGCAGGAGGCTCTTCAAGAAGTTGCAGTACTCGGGCCCCGTCGGTGATTCTATTGCAAATTGAAAGTCACGGAACGCCAAAGCCGTTTGAATCACGGTCTGGCCGTCGGCGTGCTCGACCCAGGCGTGGCTGTCGCTGACGCCTTCGCCCGCGGTTCCCCCCAGCCGGCCACCCAGTGGTAGCTTGATACTGCGCAGCTGCGTAAAAAGACGGTCCAGCTGGCCCTGGATAGAGACTTTGTGGTGAACGGTCAGCTTGGGCCATGCATCCTTCAAGGTGGTCGACGGCATGTACGACATGAACACCAGAACGAAGTCTGGAAGCCCAATGAGGCCATGCGGCTTTGGTGCGGGAAAGTCGGGGCATTGCTCGGCTAGGTACTGTATGGTGGAGTATTCGGTATCGGCATAATGGGACTCGGGCATGACCTTAATGACAATATCAATTGGACGTCCGTCGCTGCCCCGGCACCGTAGTACACCACCGCGCCCTATCATCTCCGCAATCACCTCTCCCTTCGCCAAGATACGCCGGACGGCTTGGTTGAAGTTGCCGTCTTCTTCTGATGGCGGAGTATCGCAGTAGCCGTCGTCATCGCCATCGCCCCCGTCTTGGCGCTCGCCAACACCGTCGCCGTGGCTATCGTCAAGGTCCGAATCATTGCCCTCATCACCATTTCCATGGCTCTCCTCCAAAATTAGCGCCTTGACAGAATCGGAGAGGGGGCGCAAGACGACAAACTTGTCGTCGGCGTCCACAAACTGTGACGGAAAAGCGGGCCGCGGAGGAGGCTTAGGCCGCTTGCGTTCTTGCAGCAGCTCTGCCCAGCGGGGCGGGTGTCTTCGCTTTACTTGTAGACTGACTGCCGAATACACATTGTCGAGGTTGGCGCTGGGGTCTTCTGCAATGATCTTTTGCAGCTCCTCCACGATCTCTCGATTGATTATGGCGCGCGTCGCTTTGCGCTCGGGCGACTCCTCTTCGATCCTGGCAGGGCGTATATTAGAAAGATTCAACGAGAAATTATTATAGCAAAAGCTTATTGAGTAATATGGAAAGCAACTTACGGTTTTAACTGCGGCATGATGGCAGGACTGAGTGCGATTGGGACGGGTGTGGTCTTATGTTTAGCGTTCGAGTCGGTGGATATGGAGGAGCTATTGCCCCTGGATTGTAAAGCGGTCAGGTACGGCAGAACCCCCCAGCGGCATGCGGCGTGCCACACAACAGGCATCATGGCTTTTAAAATGTCGAATACGACGGGCCGGCTCGTGACAGGAGCTTCATCTGCCATGCGCGGGGCGGTGCGGGCTCAACCGTTGTCAGTTATGGCGAATTGTGTCAAAGGATTAAATGGCTGGTCACAAGATAAATCCAAAAAGAAACGTGTATGAAAATAAGGAGAAAAGGGGCAGAGATAGACGAAACCTACGTAAGTTGCTTGGGAGTTGTGGCACATAAACAGTACAATTCCCTTCCTGCATACGAAGAAAACTTGCCGAAGAGGACTGCATATTAGTCCGATATCCTCGCCTTTTCAGTATAGCTGCAGCGAAATTTAACGAAATTGTATCGGGTTATTTTTGTTCCTTTTCTTTTTTGAAAAGAGAGACTCGCTAGGTCTATTACATTTGCACGGCTAGGTACATGCAGGTACGAAAAGACGCCCGTTTTAAAAGGGCTCGAAAAAGAAGAATGTATCAAAAGAACACTTTGGCTCCTCCACCCTATCTCACTGAATACAAATCCTCACCACACTAATGTCATCGATCGCTACGGTCGCACCGTAGAAGTAGTTTCCACTGCCACCACAGCTAATCTGCAAGACGGGAGCGGACGACGTGGGCGTGATGGTCGCGGTGTGTAGCGTGACCCGGTCCAAGTCTCCGCGGCCCTGAGTGCTGGTATAATCGACTTCGACGCCGTCCAGTAGGATCATGATATCAACGCCACCGTCGTAAATGCCACTGGCGTCGGTCAGTTCCCAGGTAAACTGCAGCGAGTATGGCTGACTCGGCGTGAGTCCCGTCAGCTGCTGGGAGATGCTGTATCGCTGGCGGTCTTCCCGTTGCGCGACGTCGAAGCTCCTGTTGAAGGAGAGTGATTGTGTTAGAGCTGGGTGCGCTGAAAGATGGAGTTGGTTCTGGGGCTCAGGACGTTGGCTTACACGTAGTTTGTGCCGCTGACGGAATAGTCCGCCCCGGGAGCGTCGGTCTGGACCGTGACACCGCTGTCAAAGGTCCACGCAGTGGAAGAGGCGTCCTCGAAGCTGCCGTCCTGGACAACATTTGCCGGCTTGCAAGTAGCACAGGGGCCGGCTTGGGTACCGAGGGTGAAGGCCACCAAGGCGAGAGCGAACGACGTGAGTTGGACCATGGTTGGAGAATTAGGCTGGAGAATGACGGCGACGGTGAAAATCGAAGGAAGGACACACAAGGCAGAAGAAGAAGCAAAATAGCCCGCAGTACTCCGTAGTCATGAGTGAGAAGGGGCGGTATTTAATGAAATCCCTGTTTCTCTACAGCGAAATCGATTCTCCCCCTTATTGCGCGCGGAATTTGTTCCAATGTTGGCCTGTTGGTCTGGATTTCACACCCGAATCCGTGTCCGGCGCCAATGCTCGAGGTTTACTATGGGGGCTGGCGGTAATAGTGTGTCAATAGTCTCGTTGCGAAATTAGGGGCGAAACAAAAAAGCAATAATCCAATAGCAGCTCCCACGCGACCAACCAACGTAGCAATAGAGCTGGGGCAGCACAGCAACATATGCCCAAATCGAGCAAAGAGCTGGGAAAGAAGCACCCGTTTTCAGAAGAGCATCATATTTTTTTTTTTCGCACATTCTTCTCTTCAACGCGCAACACGCTCTGATCGGAGCAAACGATCCACGTATCCGAGTCATGCAGTGTTCCTTTGGTTTACCGATGCGGTCATATCACGAGAGATCAACGGAGATTTGTCACAGTCCTTTTTGCTAGACTTCCCAAACAAGGAGATATGTTTATTTCGGGAGGCGGTTGCCAAGACGCGTAAAGACATGCCCAGGACAAATCATTTTCATGTACTTCGTAAGTCGTATGTCGTAACAAAATCCAGTAACATTAAATCACCACAAAATCGCTTGGCATAATTCGTACCATGCTTTATTCAAACACGAATCTCATAGACGCCATTCCTGTTTCCCTGTACTTGTGCATCCCTTTTTATGTTTTCTTTTACTAATCTTCTTCTTCTTCCTCTTCTTTTTCTTCCTCGTCCTCTTATTTAATTGACCACGACATCGTCTCCTTCGCCCAACGTGCCACTCTAGACCTAAACAATACACCATAACGACGACTAGTTTGTTGTCTGCGTTCTCCCTCTCCCGCCCGCATTACCGTCCTCAGACTTCGCGTCCTGTATATCATCACTGCTTGCTTTTATGTCTCCCAACGCCTTCAGCAGCCATGTCCACAGTCTGGCGTCGGCGACGAAGCGCGGGTTCATCTGCCACATCACTGTGAGTTTCCGCGCGACGGCCAAGTTGTTCGTCTCCGCCCGTCGATCGCCGTCAAAGAACCCAACGCGGTCTTGTACGTCAGCCGTGCCGGGGGGTGGATCGTCGTCTTGCAGCTCCGCCAGCAGTGTCTTGTTGGCGTCCCGCCGCGCCTCTTCTTCCAACAGATTGAGAACGACATCAGTGTTTATCGTGGCCGCAGCGGCCTTGTCCGCAGCCGCTTTTGCTCGTTGGATGCAAGTCACGAAATCTTTGTAGTCGTGTGAGGAGCAGAAGCGCGTCAGCCGCTGAAAGACAAGAGCCGTGCTTGCGCGGGCCCAAAATACTTCTTCTTCGTCGTCTTTTCGGCCCTCATGTGCATTCTTTTCCACATTGGTTTTTCGATGCTGGGTCGGCAAGGCGGCGTGAACAGCGTCCCGGTACGTGTCAAATAACCGTGGCACGACTTCCATATAGCCCCACAGCCGCGGTGCAGCCAGAAGTTCCAACAGTGGGGCTGTTGTCGCCGAGCTCCAGTCGATGATGCACGTCACATTCATGACGTCGTCGACAAAGATGTTGCCCACATTGAGGTCGGGATGGATGAGGGGATATCCGCTCGCGTCCGTGCTGCCGCCATCCGCACAGCACAAATACGGCACGACAGTCTCCCGCAGGATGTTGGCGGCCATGCAGTACGCGAATCGGTTGCGGCTGTGGTCAATCTTGTCCCGGACCGACACAAAGTGGTTCCACCGCCGCCCCGCAAAACGTCTCGCTTCTCTGTCCATGTAATCGTCGTCTCTGGGCAGAGGCGCGAGCAGTGCGTGGTAGTCCATGCCCAGCTCCTGTGCATGGCGCGAGAGGGCCTCGGCGAGCGTGTCAAAGTAGCCTCTCGGGCTGTCAAAGGGCCCCCGGTCCAGGTCGTCCAGAAGGTGACGCTCACCCCAAACAAAGGCTGGCGCCAAGCAGGGACCGACGCTGTAGTCGCTTTGTGCCGAATCCCGAACCAGGGAGCCAATCTTGGGAAATCGGACCTGCGCCATCTGCCGTGCAAACGCGCCCAGCTGCCCCATGATCGTAGCCCGCTGGTCGTCCGTCAAGCCCGGACCTGCGCCGGTCGCTTCTCGTATGCTGTAGTCAATGAGGGACGTGCCCGTTGCCTTGCTCTGCAAAATGTACGGCACACCGATGTCGTTGTCGCTGTGAGCACAAAAGGCAAAAATGGTCGGCACGGGCACCGTGGTCCGTTCTGCAATGCACTGGATCGTGGCCACCTCGCTCGCGAGAAGAGCACCAGCTATGTCGTCAGGACATACCCGGGGCAGCGGCGACCGGAAAATCCATTCCATTCTCTCGTCGTCGTCAAACTGAATCTTGATGGCCCAGTTCATGGCGCCGCTCATCGGTCGCTGGTCCTGGTCGCAGTGGCAAGGCCGGCCATGGAGCGCTTCTGCCAGCTGCAGCAACCGGGCGAGGTTGAATTGAGCCCACGAGAAGATTCTTGGTCGTTTGCTCATTTTGATTTTGGGGTTGGTTGTACTGCTCATCCATGTTGGCACACCGCCGTGTACGTGAAGCTGCGTACGACGTACGTTTACTTCCACTGCCTACACGTGACTGGTTTATGGAAAGTGGGGGTTGACGTGCAGAGAAAGTGCTACATGCAAATATGCAAAATGTCGCCGTGACACATGCTTAAATGCGCAGATGGTTCGTCAAGAGGCTCGAAATCAGCATGCTGGCCATTGACCGTTTGCTCCAGTATTTAGGACAGGCACGAGTAACATTCGAAAACGCTTCTTTGGCGACGCTACAGTATCATGCTACACGACTTGGATACCCTGTAATGTACACTGTGGAGGCTTATCAGTCCACGGTTGAGTGCTGCTCAGTCGTCACGAGACTTTGAGTCCATGCTCCAGACGGGCCCCTGGTGGAAGCCATTGCCCAAGGGATCGGGAAACCTGGCACTGGCGTACGTGGGCTCCCAGGTTTGGACCAAGTCGCCAGCTTCAGAGAACCACCATACAAAGTGCTCCCCCTGGGACACAACCGCGTCAAAGGGGCCTGAGGCTTGGTTGCCGACGACAATGTCGGTTACGTAGGTGCCGTCCGGCGTGAAGTGAAACGTGATGGCGGCACAGAGCGAGGGGGAGGGGGCGAGGTCGGCTGAATCAACTGGAAAAATATCCGTAATTGTCGGTGACGATGTCGGTGTATTTGTCGTGTCCGCTGCATCCATAACTGGCGGCGCCCATTGACCCAAGATGGACGTGCGGCCACTGTCAAATTCGATACATAGACCGAGGCAGCGCGGGGCCTGGTCGCCTGTCATGACCCGTCGGCGGACACGCAGGCGCACAATGGCGCCACTGTCCAGCGTGGCCGAGCTGAAGAGAGCGTGCAATTTATTAAAGCGCTCATCGACGCGCTCCGGCGGCGGCGGATACGGAAAGCGGGCTATGAGCAACCTGGACGGCCGCTGCCTTGCTGTTGAGATTGGTGTCTCGGGCATGTGCACGCCAATGCTCTTCCAGCAGCAGCCCTCGGCCGTCAGCACATCGGTGAAGACACCGAGGACCGGAGTTTGGAGTGTGCTGTCTGACGTCAACATGCGAGACGTGGTCGTGCGTGTAAAAGCAATCTGAAAATTCCCAAACAGGACCTGGTTCCCCCGGTTGGTCGCGGCTATCAGCGCCGGACCTCTGTATGCCCGGTTGCTCCTGTCTTCGACGGCCAGCATGGCCAAAAAGACGATGCGCTCGCCCGTTTGCGATGCCAACGGCAAGTGGACGGGTATGCCGCATCGGCATCCAATGTGCCATTGCCGATCCGCAGTCGCAATGCCATCCCCGCCAAAGTGCGCCGTCATCCCTGCTACCCCTTCGACAATGCAGTACACTGTTATGCCCGTGGCGTATGCACCCTCGAGTTGCAATGGCAAGTAGTGACAGAGGCGGCGGCCGGGATGGTGCGGTAGGTATCCAGGGAAGCATTCCGTGTCCACAATCGTGAGGTCATCATATGCGGGCACGGTGGCAGTGTTCCAGAGCGATCGTGACGGCCACACTCGGTCTTGGTTTTGGTCGGGACTGTCGTCGGTCGAGTCGGATCGGATGTGCAACACTTTGGTGTCGTCTCGGCATGCGACGAGCCCTGATGCCAGACAGTCCAAAAAGACCGTCTGCAGGCATCCTTGTCGGCCACAATAGTCTTTCGCGTTTGTCCCTTGGTATCCCAATACTGGTGATTCAGAGCGGTCTTCATATCGCAGTGTTATAGACTGCACGCCGAGTGGACCTAGCCTGACTATGGCACTAATAATGGGTATTCCACTCTGAACAGGAATGCGGAATCCCCCGACTGTGTCTGGGAGGGTACCGTTGTAGCTGCTCTCGCAATCCTCGTGTTCATGCTCTCGCTTCCGTTTCCGTGTCGGTGCTTGTTCCTGGTCTTGATCGTGTGCTAAGAATGATACCCTATCGAGATATGTGTGGCCAAATAGACGGATTCCACGAGCAACAAGGTAGCCACGGACACGTACATGCTTGTCTGTGCTGATTGCATTTGTTGGCTTCGTTGGCGTCGGTTCGAGGTCCAAAATGCGTTCTTGGTATATGCGCATTGTCGGGGGAGAACGCAAATTTGCCGACAGACTCGACGGCAGAAATGACGCCATCGCAGATATGGTCTCACAGGTTCGGAGAAGCGACGAAACAAGCCTACCTTGCACGTTTCTCGCCACGTGCGCCTGGAGTTCAAGCGGCAGCTTGGACGCGGCCTGAGCGAGCAAGTCGTTTAGATGGGTCGGAGGTGATCCAGTGGTGAGCATCTCGATTGCGGACAAGCTGCTGAGCGCTCTGGCATACTCTGTGTTATCACATAGCTGTGGCAAGATTGCTCTCGTCTGCTGGGCTAACCAATACAGTCGTGAGAAGGACCAATTCTCGTTTTTGTTCGTCCGACCCAATGTCTTTGCGACCTTCCAGCAGCACGCGTGGGCAAAGAACAGCGGTCGCTGTGCGCTGACACTCGTCGCACTTTCGCTGGGTCGACGAGCAATGAAAACGAACAACGGGCGATTCTCTGTATCTTTGGTATCTTTTGTAACCTTCGTATCGTTTTCAACTTTGCGCCGCAGCCTCCACGTCGGATGGAAGTACGGGTAGCAGATCGGCCATGTGCTTCTGCCCAGATCGGCCCGGAAGACGAAGACAGAGACAGGCCGCAAGAGTGGCCCAGAAACCGCATTGTCGGATGACGTGTCGAAAACTGTACGATTGCAAATGGTCAGTTAGGCTATTGAACAGTAGCGGTGTTGCACAAAGGAGACGGCGATGACACGGTACGAACATCCAATGACGTCGAGCTCCCACTGTTCGCTTGGGCCAGTACCATCGTTCCGCAGTGGTCGCCCAATGCAATGGTCCGCTGTCGATCTGGGAAGATGGCGTCGACACAAGACGCAGTACGCGTCGAGGGTGACAGTAATGGCGCCCGCGGCGGGATTCGCGATTGTAGCTTGTGTTGGCATAACGAGGAGTGTACGATGCTAGTCGCATCTGCCGCCTCATCCGAGACTTCATAGAGTCATATGCTGAATGTCTCGATTTGATGGCGGTGGTTGAATTGCGCAAGGTGCGACGAGCCGATGGTGGTTGTACTTGGCAAAACCATGCGTGGCGGCCTGAGCCAGGTGGTGAATAATTAGGGGTTATCGTCACAATGCGGTAAGATTACTGACGCGAAGGCACGTGTTCGCAATAGCTTCTTTTTACCACCACGTCTTTCCACACGTGACTAGATATTTTGCAATCCAGCTCAATGCCCACCCATTTGCGTCCTGCGTGCATGTACGACTTATGAACAGGACAATAATATCGAGTATAAAAAGTGGAACAGGAGGATATTTTTTAAAAACTAAAATAGATGGTCATACTTTCATACATCGTATACACCAGTCTTCACCGTCGCATTTTCGCCAGGCAAATTGCACTAGATTGTAGAGGGCATGACCTGCTTGCCCCTTTCATCCACGTCCAATGTCCACGTCCAATAGCATCTGCGAGAGCTCTTGCCTACATAGACCCAGCAATAATGGTCGCCGCTGTCTGTGCTGCAAATGACCTGCTCCAGTTCCGATCCCCTTTTGTTCATTGCATCCCCCTTCCCAGGCTGCAGTCGAAATGATGTGTCTGCAGTCGTTCTTCCCCGTCGATGCACCGACAGAGAAACGTAATTGTCTGGCGTGAACTGCTTTTGCTCTTTGGCTGTTGCACGTCGGATAGGGGGTTCCGCACTGGCACTGCCAACCGCGTCGAGTTCCATGGGCTGTATGTCGTCCACGCCAGAGGCCAATTCTCCACCCAAAAAGGCGGAGCCCGCCTCTGTCCCGGCGTAAACAGTTTCCTCCGGCGTGAAACCAACAGAGTGAAAATTGCCAGCCATGCCTACCCCGCGAGACGCGCTAATATTTGCGCTAAGGCTGGGTGCGGCCCGTCCCACGTCGTGGAACTCCAGCCCAGCCGGCATGATGCCGTCCAGCGACATATTCCTCATGAAGTTGAACGCGCGGTCGAGTTCGGCCACGTTGGCGTCGACACCGACGTCAAGGTACTGCGAGTACGAAGGGCGGATGTCGCCCCAAAATGGTCGAAAGTAGTCGTCGCCACGATGAAACGACCAGCACCGCAAGGACGCACCAACGAGCGTACAGGCGAAGACAAGGTTGATCTCGCTGTTTGCGTCAAGATAGTCGACGCAGTAGCCGAGTGCCTGCCGTTCCAGGTCCTGAATCTTGGCTTGCGTATTGCTCTTTGCGCGCTTTGCCTCCGCGAAGCAGAAGATTCTCTGTCGCAAATTGCCGTCCGCATACTTGACAGCAATGTCGCATGCTTTTTCGCTGCCCTTCTTTGATGCGGGCGGAACTTGTGAATTAACAAAATAACGAGGGTGATGAAAAATTACTCGGTTGAAGAGGTTCTCAAAGAAGTGAACAGTGGTATGTTCCTTTGGGTCAATTTCGTTCCCATGAATATCGACAGACATCGTAGCATCCCTGTAGGGCATTTCCAAGTATATGTCCGTAATGTAGCCATGTTTATGCCACCACGGATAGTTGGGGTCGGCTGGGGGGTCCATGGTGGAATTTTGGATAGATGGCAGGTCCGAGGAGAATTGTAACTAAGTCAAAGTATTGTTTAGTCTGGAAGGGGGGAGGTGTGTTGTTACGAGAGTAATGATAGTCACCGGTTATGTGTGGCGATCAGATAGTAAATATACAAGACGTCAAACATCGACAGTGTAGAGTGCTTATAGTCACGACCACCCAGTTAACATAGTCTGTGAAAAGAAACATTAGGCATCAGCGGGGTAGATGCTGGTTTTGGCCCCCACGGCAGCCTAGACGCATTACAATGTCCCGTTGACAGTCACTCTCCTTTGCGCTGTACTGGAGCGAGCACGCTGTGATGCAGAAGACGTACCACACTGACCAATATGATTCGCCAGAATCATTCCACCAAGTCCGGTATCTCAAATCCATGCCCATATTTCGTTGCCCGCCTGCTTTACCTGGTGACAAGAAGACACCTTAGCAACTTGCAGTCTTTTGCTTCACGAGTTTATTCATATGATAGCTTGTAGACGTTTATCTTGTATCGCGGTGGTCACGGATTAGATATTGTAAAACAAGACGGGGTAGTCACAGCTGACAAAGTATGCTCTAATTCATTTTAATTATACAAACGACTTCGCAGATTACGATTCCGCTCCGCACTATTTTCAGGTCGCCGCAGGATGGGCTGCATTGGGCGAATTTCTGCACATATTTCCGGCTATGACGGTCATGCGGTCCTCGACGGGCTGTTACCGGGTAAGAGAGCAAGTTCGCATCTCATTACATGACAATAACTGCAATAACATGATCTTATTCTTTTTTGCCTTTCCCCTGCCTTGGAAATGCCGGCTTCGGCTGGTTGCCATAGGGAATGAAGCGGACCATGTGGCGGCGGTCGGCCTGGGCGAAGTCGGGCACGGCAGAGCGGGCAGCGATCCTCTGGTTCCATTCCAGATGGTGCCGGCGCCCGGCGTACGTGGCAAATATGTCGAGCGAACGGATGTGGTCAGGAGGAAGCCCAGGAAATTGGCACTTTCGCAGGGAGTAATCAAATTCGGGCAGGGCCGCCCTCGTTCCCGTTGCCGGCTTGGCACCCGGTGCGTGTGAAAACCACGTGACCTTGGCAGGGCTTCCATAGTACGCCCGTTGCCGTCGGGCCGGATCAAACTACTTGTCTATGTGCTCATTGTCGGAAACTAATCTTCGCCTTCGGAGACATAACACTGCGTCCGCTGACGAAGAAAAACGGCGTTGTTGAAAACTCCGGGTCCCGTCACCGAGCAGTACGGCTCAATATATAAGTCCGCTTGAATGAGTACAACAAAAGAAAAAGAAAAAAGGATGCGGATTTGAAATTTGGACCTCGAGAGGACAGACTCCAGGCCGCGCATACGGCACGCACGACTATCCAACTAGATTTCTGCGACATCCATTTCACCGGCGGCAACGCCTCTTCCCTCCAGCAATGCGTGTCATTGTCACCGGCAGTACGGGCTACATTGGCGGCGAAGTCCTGCGCCAATGTTTGGCCAACCCGGCCATCACGTCCGTCGTGGCGCTCGCGCGCCGCGCCCCAGAGATCGCCACGGATCCGAAGCTCCAGGTGGTCCTGCACGACGACTTCACGTCGTTCCCCACCGAGCTTGTGGCGCAACTGGCGGATGCCGACGCATGCATCTATTGCCTGGGCTCGAACGTGCCCGTGCGGCCGCCGGAGCTCAACCGCAAGATCAACCTCGAGTACGCCATTGCCACGGCACGCATGTTTGCCGATCTACACGGAGCACGACCAGCCGCACAAGCGCAGACGCATTTCCGACTTGTCTATCTGAGCGGTGCTCTGCCCGAAAAGGACCCGGAGCGGCGCTTGTTGTTCTTGGCGGAGAACCGTCGCATGCGCGGTGAGCTCGAAAACAAGCTGCTCGAACTGGGCAAGGCGAAAGCAGGCTCCGGCTTTGAGGTGTTTGTCACCCGGCCCGGCTTTGTGCAGCCTGCAGGCGCTGTCGTGCGGGCGTGGTTGGTGGGCGTGGTGGCCAACGCGATCCTCCTGCCCGATCTTGCTGCCAGCTTGGTGCACGTCGCCTTGCAGGGATACGACGAGATGCTGGTGGAGAACGACGCCTTGAACGGTCTGGCTAAGAAGACGACGAGCTAATTGTATCATTGCGTTGTTTGTGGTTGTATGCTGTTGTGGGTTGCCAGAGAAGATGTGTTATTTGTGAGACGGGGTTTCGTTTGGCTAGTGTGACAAGCTTGTATTGCGATCATGTTTCTGACCTACTATCTGAGTTCAGACAAGAATATCCTGACAAGACTGCTGTTCATCAAATGCGTTCTCACAAAACACCCTGATGCGGACTGCACCAGACCAACTTCACGGCCTATCCTCTACTGGCTCAGGCCCTTCGTCGCCTTCGTCGATATCGCTGCTGCGTCTGCTGTCATCTGCACCAGGCCCAAATGCAAGGTCAAACGACGGCCCAAACCGACACAGCTGGCCGGCCAGATGCTGCTCCCTCTGGATCTGTTGGTTTTCGCGGCTGATGGCTTGCGTGACTTCGCGGCGCAGTGCCTGGCTGTCTCGGCGGGTGACAGTGCGCGAAGCTGCGTCTGGCGCACGTACTGCAGCCTGGCTGGGGCCCGTCGCGACCGCCTCCTCGTTGTCCGCTGCCGCGGCCGTCGCCGCCTCCTCGGCAAGGGTTTCCTTCAACGCAAGGGCCGCGTCCACGCGCTCCCGCAACTCCCGCGCCTGCGCCTCGTCCGCCAGCGCCGCGTAGTGGGACCGCCGGTAGACGCCGAGGGCGCTCAGGACGAGCGAGGCGACCTCCCAGGCAAAGAGCACGGGCAGCGCGATGTGCAGCTGCGACCTGTTGCAGCCGAGGGACCACACGTCCAGCAGCACCTGGTAGACGTTGTGCGCGGGCAGCGCGTAGCCGACGCGGTAAAAGGCCGGCGACAGCTCAAACGGCAGCAGGATGGACGTCACGTTGACGACGACCCAGGTGATCAGCGCCATGGGCACGTAGGGCAGCGGCAGCCAGACAGTGAAGACGTCGAGCGTCAGAAAGTTGAGGTGCGCAAACAGCCACAGCGCCATCCACGACTCGGCGAACTGCGCGCCGCCGACGGGCCAGCCGGCGCGGAAGGCCCAGATTGCGCCCACCGTGCACAGCGCGCCCACGCACGTGTACGCCAGCGAGTTGCCGGTGCGCACGGCGATGACGCGCGCCGGGTGGATGCGGCTGTAGATGTGGAAGCTCGCGTAGAGGCCGTTGATGGTGCCCAGGTAGAAGAACTCCTGGATCAGGATCAGGATGATGACGAGCGTGTTGTAAATGGCACGCGACCCCTGCGGCGTCGGCTGCAGGTCCGTCGCGGTGAGCGTCCAGGGGTTGACGAGGACGGCCGCCGCCGCCGGGCTGCCCAGGGGCCAGGGCACCAGCGATCCGTTGTCGGCGGCGACATAGGCCCCGCGCGCGTCGTCGGCGAGCGTCTGGAGGCTGCCGGCCACCGCCGGGTCCCCGACCGTCGGGTAGCGCGCCTCGTCCCACGTATAAAAGAGCGCATCGGTCGCGTTGTAGTTCTGGGCTGCCGTGCTGTTACTGTCGCGCAACGCCGCCTGCAGCCGGGCGGACGCGCCCGCGGCCACGTACAGCGCGGCCCAGTAGTCGGTGGCGCAGACGGCGGCGCCCACGTCGGCCGCCGGCGCGGGATACGCGCTGGGCGGCTGCTCGACCAGCGTGGGGAAGCTGTCGCTGGCAAGGGATGCGTAGGCGGTGCGCACGGCGCGCCCGATGGCGCCCTGGTCGTAGTCGACAAACAAAATGGTCAAGTTGTGCGTGTGCTGGGTCTGCTGGAACAACGAGCCAAATATATAACAGAACAAGCCAAGAAACAGCAGCTGCAGCAAGACGAAGTTGGTCAGCACGGCCCTGAGAAAGGCATGGGTACGTTGGAAGCCGTGTTGGCCGAAGCGCAGACGGTTCTGGGTGGCTTTGGGATAGAGCCGGTTCATATTCGATGAAGTAGACCGCGAGGAGCGTCAGAGGCGCAGGATGAAGATAAGGTGCCAGCAAGCTGCCCAGCGCGAGTCGTGTTCATGTTTTGCATTTTGTGTTTTTATTTTATTTCACTTCATCTTAAAAAGCGCCCAACGCAGCGGTTGCAATTTGGCCACGGTGAAGGGCAATGTAGTACGGCAGGACGGGACAGAGCTAAAACACGTCAGTAGTAAGCACCAGGACGGACTTGGTGATGTACGTGGCCTTGGAGGGTGCTCGACTGCACCCGAAGTGAGGGGTCACATGGGCGCGGATACGGGAGGTGCATGCAACGCTATGACATTCGTGTTGCAGTGACACGACTTTTTTTTCCTTTTTTTAATTACCGTGGTAATAATTATCGCCATGAAATTACGTGACGGAAGAAAGTGTTTGCTAATATTCTCCATTTTTATAAAAGCAGAAAGGAAGCACGTGGATAAAAAAGGCTGTAATAAGAAAAAAGAAAAAATGCATTGCATGCTAGAATATAACTTGTAGAAAGAAATGGACAGAGGTAGAGAGAGAAAGCGACTGCTTCTGCTCCTGCGAGAGGAGACCGGCGGACAGTAGGACGCCGACCACATGAACAGGCCCGAGGTCACCGCTGGCAACGACGGCTGGCGGGGAGTAGTCGCCGTCTAAACCGGGGAAGCGAAATAATAAGAGCGGATGTCTGATGCATCTGGAACTCGACTATGCCCTGCCCATTTTGCTTCCCCTCTCGGTGTCCACCGCACCAGTTCGCTTTCCGCTAACAAATCTTTAGTCCCCATTCTGTCCGGGGCAGGCCAGTTTGGCCACACCAATTAGGTTAGCGGTAAACACTGGCAGTACAGAACAGAATACCAGGACCAGGGACCAGGTGCCGGGGGAGGTGAGCATGTTCAAAGAACAAGAACCAGGCCACGCTCACTCCCCCGCAGCCAATTCGTCCTTTGTTCGCTGCCGCTCACACAGCACAATTATCCCGTTACATTTCCAAACCCATCTGCCCGGCACGTATGCAGACGCGCATCCACCAGGATGGCACGGCATGCAAGAAGGGCACATTAGGCAATCAGGATGGCTTCTCAACTATCCATCGACAGCACGTCGCCTCCGCCGGCGACAGGCAGAAGCACCGCAATGGCGCAGGACCAGGAGATTTGTTTCGTCAACACGACGGGCAAACCTGCAAAGGGCTGGCGGGCCACAAATAAAACGGTCCGATCGCATGTGATGCGCAGGTACAAACGCCAAGAGCGCACAAAGACACGCAAAGACGGCGCCTCTGATAACGACTCGGTCCGGGCCTTGTCTGGCGCGTCTCTGGAGGCGGCGGCAACGGTTGCCACCGATCTGGAACCCGGCGTGCTTTCGAGAAATTCGTCCCTCGAGCCATCTCTGTCGGGAAGCGGCCCGAGTGACGACGCGACGAGGACACGTGGGAGTGTTAGCGATAGGGGCACGGAGGGCGACGGGACGACTCTGTCGCTTTTTGACCAGGACATGGAGGAATGGCCGGCGGCAGAAAACAGCATTGCATTTCCTGCCTCCAGGTCTCCCGATATCAGGACCTGGCTCGACGGCAGCATCGATCCTTTCGCCTGTCTTCCAATCCCGCCCACGCCACGAACTCTCATGCTTTTGCAGCAGAGTAAGCACTCTCCTCTTGACGACTGGAAGGCGGATACCTCCTCTCATTTTGCTAACCAGAAATGCCATTCCTGCCCAGACGCATTTGCCGCCATTCGAACGTCTGTTCACGCCGACGCCGATGATGTGTGGCGGCGCTCGTGCAGCAGCGACCCGGCCTGGCTCTTTATGACGTTGTTCTACGCCTCCGCACGGTTCCCCAGCACCTCGACAGCGGATGCCGCGGAAGACGCAAGCTATCTGCTGAAGTCCATTGCGGCTATCAACGAAAGCATTTCGGAGGCACCGGGGTGCGTCAGCGACTCCACGATTGCCACTGTGGCTTGTCTTGCAAACATTGACGTACGTTCTGTGCTGTGTTGGCGTGTGCGCAGTAGCTGCTTTCTTTTCGTGCACTGACACAACGCTCAAGAACTTGAACGGCATATCTTCCAACGCCGCAGTCCATACTAGCGGACTTATACGCATGGTCGAGTTGCGCGGCGGCTTGAGCAATCTGGGAATGCGAGGCATCCTGCGTCGGATGGTGCTGTGGTGCGTCTGGCCTTGGTCTAGGATGCATAGTCCCAACATTATGTACATGTATATCTGACTGACACGGGCAATGGTTATTACAGGTCCGATCTTCTGGCAAGCTCGAGACTGGGACGGCCACCGCGCTTCCCTTTCTACCAGGCAGACACGTCTGCACCTTTGACCGTCTTTACGCCGTCTGTCTCGTCTGACACGTATCACCTCGTCACAAATGGAGCCCTAGACGCCATCTTGACGGTGAAACATCGCCTCTCAATAGCGCAGCTGCTGCTGTCGCTGCACCGCTTGTCCTTGTTTCTGAGTTTGACGGACTCCCTGTACCTACCATGGGAAGCAAGTTACCCCGATCGCGTCTACCAAGTGGAGTACCAATTCCTCACGGCCCTCTTTGACGATCAAGTCACGGCACCCACGGACACGCAGCGCATGGTGGGGACCATTCTACTTCATGCCGGCTTGCTCTTCATCTATACCAACCTACGAGAGACACCTGTCGGCGGCGCCATCCGATGTCGGCTCCTCGATCGACTGAAGGCAGTCCTCGTGCATTTTGAAGCATTGATGCACGACGCTCAGGATTTTACGGCGGAGCTGTTTTGGGTTCTTCTCCTGGGCGCCTCGGCTAGTTCGGCTGTTGGCCAGGACTACTTTTTCGAGCAGCTCAAGAAAATGAGCAGCAGACACAGCATTCATACTTGGTCTGACGCAAATATGCTCTTGGAGAGTATGCCAGCACTCGAAGCGTATCGACTAAACACATGCATGGATCTGTGGAATACACTCATAGCACCGCAGTCGAGTTGCGGAGATACTACCGTATGTTAGAAGACGGCTCAATTATGCCTATGCACACCTCCGGATGGGCAGGACGGCGCAGAGTGTGGCTGAGACGCGGCTAAGGTATACCACGACTGTTACTCCAAGCACAGGGAGCCAACGGGACGAGGGACGGGTGTTGCAAAGTCACTTCCCAAGGAAGCGTCTACCAGGTGTTCAGGCTAGAGGAGAGGGTCTTGTTTGAATAAGAGCAGTGAGACGGTGTAACGATTGAACAATATTCACAATAACGGAGGTGATGGGTGTGGTGATTGTATACAACAAGGGCATAGAAATATAGGTTGGATAGGATTGCTTTTCAGACTCGGTCGCAACGGAGTCTCCTATCGTAATGTGCTGAGAGGAAGCCTCGGTCTTGTACATCTACTGTACGTCATTCGTATCTCATATCCAATAAGCTGGTTAGAGAAGGAACCGTACATGTTTACGTCCACGAAGCAAGCCTTCCGTGACGTTCTTTGGGTGGTCTATTGGTCTGTTATAGCAAAAACAATATAAAAAACATAAACTTCCTTTTTATGGTGCCATTCCTCGTGGCTTACAAGTGTCCATTCGATGTTTTATTCTGTCTTTCAGAGTCAATGGTCTTCAAAACTGCAATCAGACTATCACAAGTACGTTAGCTTTTGAACCGTGTCATAAGGAAGCTTTGGCTGCTGGGCGTAGTCGTATCCTTACCGCCTGAGGCCTTCTTGGAGCGTCTCCCTGTCTTGGCTGAAGACAAGTCGGAACTGGCCCTCTCTCTCCGCATGCTCCTCGCCGGGGTGGAGGCCGACGCCTGCATCGAGCAGCTTTTGCGCGAGGACGAATTCTCGATTCTGTCCTGGCTCGGCGTGTTCGAGCCACGGAGCCAGATCGATGAAAAGAAAGAAGCCAGCGTTCCTACAGGGCCGACTGTCAGTGCTACTGGGACACAGGTCAACGGCATGGAACATGTGAGTCCGTGGACACGCACCCTCTTTCGTATTTGATGCCGGCGGCGTCCAGCACCTTGGCGGTGTGGAGGTGGCCGTCCCGGAGCCTTTCTTGCGACAGACGAACAAAGGACGCGACAAATTCTCGGTCCTCGAGGATGGCCGTCCCGATCGCAACGGATATGCCAGACGGATTGTGGAACCGCATGTTGCACGCTACGGCTTTGCGCAAAGAGCGATTGCGGGTGATCAAGCTACCCAGTCGGAGCCCGGCAGCAGCAAAATCCTACACCATGTCAGCCTCCACAGCCATATTCCATGCTAGAACGAAGATTCATAAAAGGACCCTCCTGTTTACCTTGCTCATTCCGTACAAGACGTGCAGCCTGTCTTTGTCGAGAAGATTGGTGGAATCAAAGGACAGCACAGAGGTGAAGGGCACATCATGTCCATCATCCAGGCTGTATGTCGAGAGGCCATATACCTCGTCGCTGATGAGGTGAATCTTGTTCGTTTCGCAAAAGGCCATCAGCGCCCGCAGTGTGTCGGCCGGGTAGGCACGCCCTGGACAGGAATTAGAGGTAGCAATATCAAAAGGCAAGTGGACAGGAAGACGCATACCTAATGGATTGTTGGGGTTGACGATGAGGACGGCCTTGATCGGGATGCCCTCGGCTGTGGACGCATCGAGTCGTTCCTGGTACTTGGCAACGGCCGCTGGCGAGCACGGATCGATGCCGTCCATGTCGGCGTAGACCATGCGCAGACCCGACGTGTTGCCAAAGTCCAGCTCGAAGCGGCCGTAGACCGGCCGGCTGACCAGAATGCCGTCGCCGGGATCGGCCAGGCTGTATCCAACCAACTCGTGGATGGCGGTCAGGCCCGACGCGGTAATAATGTCCTCGGCCTGGACAGGAGCAGCGGGGTGGAAGTACTCGTTGACGTGCGCAGCCATGGCGGCAGGGAAGCGCGGTCCGCCCATGGTGCTGAAGCGGTACGCGTAGGCAAGCTTCGGTATGGAGACCTAGTTTGACAGCATTAGAAAGGGGGCCCTTGGCGATGGAAACAAAAGACAAAAGCCGAATGGGTATGTTCTGGACGTACATGCTTCTGCACGAAATCATGAAGCTCATCATGCATCAAGTTCTGCAAACCCGTGTTAGAAACGCGAGTGTATTGCATTGAAGATGAGAAAAGAAAAAAGGGGCGAGGGGAGGCGTGCATTTTCCGCAGTAGCAAACGAGATAACACCGCTTGGATTAGTTACGGCGTCGTATCGGTTGTTGCCACCGGGCGCGAATCGCCACGGGATGTCCTGCGTTTTGGCGCTTGCCGCGCCTCGTAGAGAGAGCATTGTAGATGCCGGGACGAAATCTCGGCTCTCGGGAATCTGTAACCTGGGGATAAGTATCGGTGAATGGCAAAATCAAGCAGCCAAGAAATGTAAAGGCCGCGAATGGCAGTGTCTGGATCAAAACAACGACTAGGAATTGGATAGCTAGTTATAGAGAGAGCCTGCCTTTGAACCAGGAGGCTGGCGCCTTCACGCAAGGTGAGCAAATTTACGCAATATCATCGTGATGTGTGGAGAGCTTCCTCGCGTACGGGGATGCCATGAGCAGTCTCGCAGACTTCGGCAGTGTTCCGAAGACGGCATGTGCATCACACTCTCTGTAAGTGGTCCACTGCATGCCAGTCTCGATGGATGTTGGTTACGCCGTATCTTCCCGCCTTACCGAATTAGGACAATGCTGGATTACGGTCAGCAAACGGCCGGACCAGATGAGCAGATTTTGTTGACATTTCCCCGCAATACCCAGAAATTGGTCCAGGGCTAAGCCAAGCTTGATCCTTTCCTTTTGGGGACAATGTAGAGATAAGATACGTCTAGTCTATCAGAATCTGGGGAACGAACCCTGTTCGTGGATCGTGCTCACTACGAACGTCTCCTCCAACAATGGATAAGAAATTGTGAAGAGTGTGGCTCGTCGCCGACGGGTGATAAGATACCGCATTTCGACTCTCTCCATAGTACGACAATGGAGGGTGACAGATGGATATAAAAGAATGCCCATGCGTGCTTCGTGAACAGCCAGACGCCAGGGGCGACTCGACAATTATCTCTGTCATCATTTTTCTGTCCGCTCTGCCCTTCTTCTCTTTCTTATCCGTCAACTTCCAACAAGCTCCCCCACCCCCCTCCGTCCATCATGTCCGGTGTTACCTTGGACGAAAAGACGGTGCCCATGGACCCTCCGCCGAGCCTGGAGAAGGGCGTCCTGGACGACGCGGCCAGCAAGAAGGGCGCCATGCAGGTGCAGGCCTTGTCCGCCGAGTTCGAGGAGATCACGCAGCTGAAGCAGGGGCTGCATCAGCGCCACGTGCAGATGATTGCCCTGGCCGGCACACTCGGCACCGGCCTGTTCTTGTCGTCGGGCCAAGCCATTGAGCGGGCCGGGCCCCTCGGTGCGCTCCTGGGCTATTCCATCATCGGCACCGCGGCCATCGGATCCGTGTTTGCCGGTGCCGAGATGGCCGCTCTCGTCCCGCTCAACGGCGGCATCATTCGCTACGCGCAGCACTTTGTGGACCCGGCGCTGTCGTTTGCCAACGGCTGGAACGAGGTCTATTCGCACATTGTGTCGGTCCCGTCTGAGATCTCGGCGGCCGCGGTCATTATGCAGTTCTGGACCGACGTCAACAGCGCCGTCTTCATCACCGTTTTTGGGCTGCTCACGATCGCTACGACGCTCGTGTTTGTGCGCGTCTACGGCGAGCTCGAGTATGGGTTCTCTCTGCTCAAGATCGCTCTCGTGATTGGACTAAACATTATGGTACGTCTGTCATGCCTTCCCATTGCACCGCGCCGGTACATCACGAACAAATAAACTCTCTAACGAGGCCCTCTAGTCGCTTGTCATCACATGCGGTGGCGGACCCAACCATGAAGCGATCGGCTTCAAGTACTGGAACCACCCGGGGCCCTTCGCCCAGTATCTAGGCATTGGCGGAAGCCTCGGCCGCTTCCTCGGGTTCTGGAAGGCGCTGAACAGTGCGCTGTATGCCTACTCGGGCATCGAGAACATTCCCCTCACGTCGGCCGAGACTCGCAACCCGCGCACGTCCATCCCCAAGGCAGCCAAGAGAGTGTTCTTTAAGATTCTTCTCTTTTATGGTGAGTCGCACGTCTGCCGTCTGCGTAGCGCCTCCGCCCCGCATGAAGACTAAACTTTCAAAATAACAGTCATCACAATCTTCTTTGTTGGCCTCATTGTCCCCTCGGACAACCCCCATCTTTCCTTGACGACCGGAAACGCGTCCCAGTCGCCGTTTGTCATCGCGGCCAAGCTCGCCGGCATCAAGGTCGTCCCGTCCATTATCAATGCCGTGGTGCTGACGTCGGCCTGGTCGGCGGGCAACTCGAGCCTGCTCTGGGGCTCGCGCATCCTCTACGGCATGGCCATGGAAGGGCGTGCGCCGCGGTTTCTCACACGGGTCAACCGCTTCAGCATCCCCCACTACACGGTGCTGTTCTACGCGATTTTCATGGGCCTGGCGTACATGTCGCTCTCCAGCACGGCCGCCAACGTGTTCGACTGGCTCAAGGACCTCGTCTCCATTGCGACCCTGGTGAACTGGCTCGTCTATCTCATCGTCTATCTTCGCTTCTACTACGCGTTCCAGAAGCAGGGACTGTCGCGCTCGCGGCTCCCGTGGGCCTCTCCGCTGCAACCGTACCTGTCTTGGTGGTCCCTGTTCCTTCTCATCCTTGTGCTCTTGACAGGTGGCTTCTCAACCTTTATCCACGGACAGTACGTTATCCCTGCAAAATCCATGCCCTCAAATGCGCCTGACAGACCAGATGACTAACATGAATTTATGAATGACTAGTTGGAGCACTGAGACTTTCATATCCAGTTACATCAACGTTCCCATCTTTCTCGCACTGTACTTTTCCTACAAATTCATTCGGAAGTCCAAGATCATCCCGCTCAGCGAGATACCCATTGGTCATTTCCTGGACATTGCCGAAAATGAAGAGGCGGAAGAAGAAGAGAAGCCAAACAAAGCCTGGCGTTGGCTTACTTTGCTGTGGTTATAAGCGGCATGGAGACTAATGGCAGACACTGGACCGCGGCTCCCACAGATGACTTGACATACGTCGACGCAAAGGCTTCGCGATAGTTGCTGAAATATATTCTATTTATCTCTCCTTTTTCCATAGGATAATATATGTGTTCTTTATGTCAGTCCTGCTTTCATTTGACATGATTCATGTCATCAAAATATGCCTACATATGTTGTGCATTGCATCGACATCTCCGTCTCGAATTCTAATATTGGTGGAGGTTGGCTGGCCAGCTCTATGGACCCCATTACCATAGACTAAGTAAAACGACCTTAGTTTCGTTTATTTTTACCTTAAATATACGACGTATGTTGTCGCGTGCTGCCACTTCTCCGTAAGTACATAAACGTAGGCATCATGTTGCTCTTGTTTGTTATCATGATATGCATGGGCCGACTTGTTCGATCACGTGCTGAATGCTTGGGAACCAGTTAGATTTCATATAGGAAAATAAGAAAATCATATTTACCGGATGTAACCTGTATATTTCATGCGTTACGTGCCAAGCGTTCACATCCGACTCGAGAAAAGTATCCTAACTGGTGACCATTTTGACAGAGTTGTGTGGTTTCTCGTCGTCAATCGTCACAGTGATTTGGGCAGAAGCCGTTTGAAACGGTCGACTGAGTCATATAAGTTTATTTGTTGACAAGTGGAATCGCGGAGCATTTCAGAGCGTCAGAAACATCGAGAAATAATAGATGATAGTAAAGTCATTGGGAATACTTGTTCTACTTGAAACTATTTTAACGCATTGGCCCTGAGGCCTGCTCGTGCCAACCCAGATTTATTTCTCCATCCAGCCAGTACGGAGAAACATTCCATCCCCACTTCGTGGTGGATAGGATAGGACAGGTGGTTAACTCCGCCTTAGCGTCGCCACAAAATGATGTGAGCAGCTTTTCAGCTAGAACGCCCCAGGTCAACATGTTTGAGCGGTTGTCCTCTAGCTTCGTAGTCTTCCAGCCATTGCATTATTTCTTTCGCAGGTAGGGCCATCTACGGAGTACGGCATTCCGCTTACATCCTTGTGGGCTCAACTACATATTTTCTTCCGCCAGATCGTCCAGCTGACATCGTCTTAGGTCCCGACATGGAGATTTGTGAGCAGAGCCAAGCGTTTGTCCAACAAGACGGCGATCTCGTCTTCGATCACACTAAGTTTATACTACGACAAGGCGGCGAATACTTTTTTGCCCGGTCCTCTAAGCGATTCCCCAAATCCTCCACCGTCGACGTCAGTCTCCTAAGGACTGAGAAAATTCCTGTGGATAAAGTCTGGCCACCCATGGAACCTCGCTTTACGGCAGCGCCCGACCCTCTGCCTCCGAATTCGTTTGTCAAGAGCCCGAGCCTGCTGTATTTTGGCGACACCCCCGCGGCCCTAGAGCCGGGCATCCAAGTGACCGCCGAAGTGGAAGCGTGCGAGGTTCTGCGACAACACCCACACCCAAACATTGCCAGGTACTTTGGCTGCGTCTCTGAGCATGGCCGAATAAAAGGGCTGTGTTTTGTCCGCTACTCCATGACCCTAGCACAGCGACTGCAGGACGCTGCATCTTTAGACAAAGCCCTCTGTCTACAAGGAATCAAGAACGGCGTCGACCACATGCACAATCTGGGCCTCGTCCACAACGACCTCAACCCATCCAATATTATGATGGATGGCGACACACCTGTTATCATCGACTTTGATTCTTATCAGAGAATTGGGGAAAAACTGGGTCGTAAATCCGGAACAACTGGCTGGACAATAAAAGGGTCAGAATACGCGAGACTAGAGAATGACGAGTACAGCGTCGCAAAGATACGGGAACTCCTGATGGAAGGGAGGTGAGGATTGTATTGTGCTCTAATACGATGTTTCCAACTATTCCCTCATAATGTCTGTAAGAGAACCTAACCTCCCGTCCTACCACTGCCCAATAGATTTCACTGCGAGACGTAACTATCAGAGTATGTACAGGTCGATCGTCCGCAGTACGTTGCCTTATATGTATAATGAGTTCCATCTATTCGGTACCCTGTGCGAAATTCACAATGGTCGGTAGGAGGACTAATCTCATGACAAGACATTTTCCTAAATCACAGTGAGATCCCTGGATCAACACGACGTTGACAGCTTTTTGAAGAGGTTATCGTTTGGTTTTGAGTTCTGAGAACCAGTCGACACGGTACAAAACAATACACTGGGTGCCACAATATATGGCTGAACCTTTGTTGAATGTGAAGGAGCCACGGGAATGCTCGTCTTATTGGTTAGTCGAGCCTATGACGCTCATCACCACGTTTAACCTACGAAGTCCAAGGTCTTCGCCATTCGATGTATATAGTGATATTCCAGGTCACCAAACAGCACCATTAGCCGGTAGCCTAAATGGATTGCAGCTGCATATAATGCAGTACTTTCACCGTTTTGTGCAAATACATGTTTTGTGCTCCGTACTATGCCCTCCAAACAGCATGAAATGGGCGAGACTGTGGCTAGTGCGTGGCGCGATGCATGGGGGATCGGCAGGGAAAACGCACGGGGCAGCAGGGAGTGAGACAAAATACGAATGTACGGGTGGCAGATACACGGCCTAGTTACCAAGAGCGCGAGGATGACACAGCCTCGCTATTTACTTTTTCCCGTCGTACTGCAATTTACGGAGTAAGAAAGTGTCCTCCTACATCAGACGTTTTTCTTTTCTTAAAAACAAAATCGAACAAATCCGCTGGGCGGAAGCAATGGTCAGAAACGCCGTCTTTACTATTTGGTCGACAAACGCATGACAAATGCATGCCAATTGCACATCTTACTTTGCATGCGTAAGATGCTCCCCGGACTCGGTCTCGTCGTGCACCGACGCACACGCCGGCTCCGGCTGGCGCTGGTTATTGCCGTGGGCCTTTTGGTTATAGTCGACATACTGCAAGCAAGACGCGCGCAGTTGAGCCACCAAAGGACCATGTCGCTCCTCACATCCAACGCCCACCAAAACATCTTCATTGCCAGTCTGCACTGGAACAACGAGGGGATTTTGCGCGAAGCATGGTCAAAAGCACTGCTCGAACTAGTCGACACGCTCTGTGCCGGATCAAACAACAATAACAAGACCAATGTGTTTATCAGCATCTACGAGAGCGGCAGCTGGGACGGCACCAAGGGTCTGTTGTCCGAGCTGGACAAGGAGTTGGCTCGCCGTGGCGTGCCACGACGGGTTGTCCTGGACAAAAGAACGCACGCCGACGAGATGGCGTCCCAGAATCCCAACGGGTGGGTGGCGGACCCCAGTGGCCAACGCCACCGGCGGCGAATCCCGTATCTGGCGGGCCTGCGCAACACGGTGCTGGAACCTTTGCGCGAGCAAAAAGACACGGGGGCAGGGGTGGCCTACGACAAGATTGTATTCATCGAGGACATTGCCTTTTCCGCAGCCGATGTGCTGGCCTTGCTGGACACGCGTGGTGGCGACTACGCAGCTGCCTGTGCGCTGGACGCGTCCGTCGCGCCCCTGCTCTACGACACATTTGCGCTGCGCGACAGCGACGGGCACGAGCCGCTCTCGATCCACTGGCCCTTTTTCCGCGCCCCAGCATCGCGCACTGCTGTGCACCGCGGAGCGCCCGTGCCGGTCCGCAGCTGCTGGAACGGCATGGTGGTCATGGATGCGGCGCCGTTTTACGACGGGCTGCACTTCCGCGGGTTGTCGGACAATCTGGCGGCGTCGCATGTCGAGGCGTCCGAGTGCTGCCTCATCCACGCAGACAACAACAATGGCAAGACGACCGGCGGCCACAAAGGTGTGTGGATGAATACGGAAGTTCGTGTCGGGTACAATCTGAAGGCGTATGACGGGATGCATCCGCCGAGCGGGTTGTGGCTGTCGACATGGGACGTCGCCTACGGTCTGTGGGCCAACCGCCTACAGAGGTGGGCATCGACGACATGGTTCAAGGAAAGGATCGTCGATGCACGGATCGGCAAATGGGCGGCAGACGACCCAAAGAATGCCGAGACCGGTCGACACTGCACGATCAACGAGATGCAAGTACTCGTAGCCAATGGATGGGCACATATATGAGTGTAGGACTAGGACATCAAAAGTACTCTCCAAAACAAAGGGTATTCTATAAACACTATATCTACCAGCTACACACTAGTACCCGTTTCCGCCTGTCCTGCCGGCCGCTCCGGATCCTGCAAGCGCGCCAGCTCCAGCAGCAGTCGGTGCACATACACCGCCCGGTCAGCCGGCCGCATCGCCTGTTGGAACCACCGCTGGCCGTTCTCGGCGACGGTGCGCGCGACCGCCTCGCCCTGGGCGGAGGCGAGGTACGACACGAGCTCGGGCAGCTCGTCCAGCGCCTGGCTGACCGGCACGTAGTGCACCCACGGCACGAGACGCTCGTCATGCCATTCGCGGAGCAGCGTCTGCTTCAGCGGGGTCGACCCGGACGCGACCAGCTTGTAGTAGCGCCCGCTGATGCCGTTGCCGTCGACGCCCAAGACGAGGCGCGACGCCAGCGCATCGTCGCGGCCGGCCCAGGGCTGCAGGCGAAAGAAGCCGCGCTCCGCACGGCAGGCGCGGTGGTCGCACTGGAAGATGCGCGTAAAGGCGACGCGAAACAGGCGGCCGTTCAAAAACGAGGACCAGACGCGGCGGACGGGACCGTTTCCGCTGCCGCCCTGGTCTGTCAAGTAGGCATGCTGTCTGTGCTCCAGATTTTGGGCGACGGCGACCGCCCGCTGGCGATGGAAACCGCGCCAGTTGCCGGACTTCCCGTCCTCGGCATAGGCCCCGGTGGTCGACCCGGCCCAGTACAGCGCATTCTTCTTCTTGTCCCAGGGGACGTCATGAGCGGCATCATACACAAACCCCGACTCGCTGTAGGCCGGGCTGGGATAGAGGATGTCGCCCATGGTGGACAAGGCGCCGCACGAAAGAATCGGCACGAGGCCCTGGATCAAGGGGAACGACACGGGGCTGGTCAGCATGCCGTGCATGTCCTTGTACTCGGGATGCCGACATAAATCGCGGGCCGTTCGCGTATCGGTGACAAAGGGAAGGCCGTACGTGTCCACGACGGGGCCCGTTTCGCTTGCCGTGTTTTGGGACAGTTGGTGCTGCTGTGCTGCACAGTTTTGTGTCAGGACATCGTACACGGGCTGTCCGTCGAGGATGGTGACGCTGTACTTGTCGCGACCCGTATTGTCCACGCCGGCCGGCAACAGGACTCTTGGTTCGTCCAAGTGGTTGACCAGGAACGTGACATCCACGTCCAGGTGCGCTGTTGTCGTGGGCACGCCGCCGCCAAACGACCCTCCCCCCAACCAGGCATTAAACATCCCCTGCACGTTGCGGTCGAAACTGCGCGTGGGGTGCGTGCAGGTCGTCTGCCGTGTCTTGGCGACGTAATTGCACCGCCACACGTCGCTGTCCGGCAGCGTGTAGACTGTCTGCATCGCCGTTTGTATCTCCTTTCCGCTCAGTACGCGCAGCGGCTGCAGACTCTGGTGGATCATGTTGTACTCGTCGATGATGGGCGTGTCTAGTTCGCGCGCCAGCTGGAACCACGTGTCAAACCCGGGCGGCGGCGCAATGCCGTAGCGGCGGCGGTACTCGTCACCGGCTGCCGTCGCATTCATCGACTGTCGCCGCAGCAGGTCGTCGAAGCGAGCCTGGCCGTGGCGCACGAGGGCCGCGACGGGGTGTTCGTGGTGGAGGAGGGAGTGTGGCGGCGCTGGATAGAAGCCGTAGAGCGCGGCCATGTTGGCCACAAAGGGCGCCACGGGTACCATGGCAAAGACAGTCCACACCACACGTGTCCACTGCGTGTTGTCAGGGAGGAGAAGTATGATTTGTGTCAGTGTCAGGAGGCTAGCTACGGCAATGGCGAGTGCGTTGCTGCTGGTCTGCTGCGCAAAGGGGTCGCTCGCCGACAGAAGGCCAAAGGCCAGGATCGTCGTCGCGATGCGCCAGGAGGGAGGTTGTGTTGGTAGGGATGGGGGTGGTGGACGACCGAGAGGAATGGAAGACGATAGCGACAACTTGTCGTATGTGGTAGCGGGTCGGAGTGTTTGTATTGTAAAGTACCAAAACAGTGCTCGCGAGAGGCCGAGAATGAACGTCGGCACAACATCAACAACCACCGGTCCAAATAAGTATACGTCACCGACGGCGATACATAGCATAGCAACAAGCACACGCCATGCCAGGGAGGGTGCCACTTCGTCAATAGTGAGCGACGGTACAAACGGTGAGAAAATCCGACAAAAGCGGAAAGGCAGCGTCGATGCGTCTGGTCGAGGCGTGAAGATGACAAAAGCAATCACGAGAGCCGCCACCGGACCGAGAGCCGGCGCCGTATTGCCAAAATTCCAGTCGACGAGGCTGCCGGTGGACAGGACGGCAATCGACAATGTGCCCACAATGCCGTTGATGTGAGCCCATATCCGGCGATTCGTGTTGTAGTTCAAGGCGTCACATTCGAGAAGACGTTCGACGACAAGGAGGATTGGCGTTGCGGCAGGCTATTTCTCTTAGTCCACGTTCCATCAAAGGACATGAAATTTTATGTTGGCCGCGATCCCTCTGACTCACCAACAACGGGACAGCACCCAGCTCCGACCGGTAGACGGTCACCGAAGAAATGCATACGGCGGCCAGCCACAGCGTTACCGACCGCCGCCATTCGGTACTTTGTGACCACAGCTCGCTGCCCGGTAATCGGTCGTGGTTCGTCGGTCGTAATGGCCGTGTCTTGTAGTTAAAAGCTGCAGACAAGGCTGCCCAACACACCGAGTCCGACCAAATCTCCAGTGGATGTCCAGACAAATGCTCGGCCGCGATGCTGCCCACGAGGGCCGCTGCAACGGACATGGCCGACCTCCAGCCGGTGTCCGACACGGCCATGGACAAGAAACTTAACATATTGGTGGTGTTAAAGGCATGTTATTGAAAGAAAAGGCTGGATAAAGTGTGAACGAGTGTGTGTAATTCACAAGAGGAGCAGGCGAACTGGAGCATGTGCAACGTACGTCGTAAGAGAACACACACGGAGTGAAGTTGATTTCGACACCCTCCACGACGTAATGCGCTCTCCCCTTCTTGTCCTATTGAAGATCGACAGTCGTATAAACTAGTATCGAGCAAAAATACGACAGAATGGAAATAGGGGTCGAAAGACAACTGCGGCCTAAACTGCGGCACGGCAGGGCAGCCGAAACGTAAACAGCCACAATCCTTCCGGTCTCTACAGACTACTTTGCCATGTACTTTACCGGCCACTGTGCCGCTTCCGTTTGGTGAAGCAAGGCAGGTAGCGACATACCTTCGTAGTTTTCCACTTTGGACGGTGTACGACATACTGCAAGGTGTTGTGGAGTAGAAATACGAAAATTATAATCGGTCAGATTTTGATCGGTGGGAAAAAGAAGGGTATCGTAACAAAAGTTCTGCGGCCGCGTCACGCCCCAAAAACAAGGATGTGAAAATAAGCATGTCAATCCCCGAATCTTGTATCATGGATTGCCGGGGAGCAGGGGTAGTCTCGTGTTCTGTTGGGTTGGGGTAAACGAAAGAGGAAATAAAAACGACATGGCAACCCCTCGGGCGTAAAATGTTTCGTCTTCTTTTCCTTTCGCGATCCTTCGGGTTTTTACAGCCATCTCCTGCTCCACCAATTGGCGCTGCAACGCTGAATGGAGGGAATCGTCCGTTGGCCATCTCGCCATCAATGACAGCCCCTGAAGATCGACTTGCTATCTGTACACAATGGCCTCGAAATAAGTGGGAAACAAAACTAGTCCTCTGGCGTACGCCCTTAGTGCCTCGTAACGAATATCTCTTATTACAGAATCATGAGTAGCCTTTGTGGAGCATCGTAGCATAGAGCAGGTCTTGGCGTCAGTTTAAGCTTTGCCGCCCCGCAAATGCGGCGACGTGTTGGCCTACGTAAGAGTTCACGGCTGTGGCGTTCCGGCTTGTCTGAGGAAGCTATTTTATGGAAACAACGTCGCCTCGGTATGTCTCAGGAACCCTTCGTCGCCAGTCTGCCCGTTGCAATTATTTGCATGGTGAGGGTGCACCACGCCAGCCTTTTCCACGAAGCTACGGAAGGACATTCGAGTCCACGCATTGAAACTCCGTCTCTCCAGCCAGGCAGCCGATACCGTCGACAATGGAACCTAGGCACGGCTGAGGTCTTTCTGAGATTCGGCGGCCGTTATGACGGGTCGATTCTAGTCGCCCAACAAATGTACTCTGATACGCGTTACGACGGCATCGTGGGAGAGGTCGAAGACAATGGGATGCGGTGCCAACTCTCTACCGCAAGATGGCGATATGGCGTCTTTTTCTCTTTGTTTTGGAGTCTGCTTCAGAGCTGAACCTGAGGTGGTTACTCCGTTGTTGCGTTGAGGCTGCACTGCAATGAAATCGACAAGTGCTGAAAACTCACTGCGGAGCACCAACTGGGATTTCTCGAGCTGAGTTTACATAATCAACACGTGACAATTAAAGTCGGCTCTTGTTTCGACTTCTTTTGGAGCTTGACAGAAACCTTTTTTGTTCAACAAGCTTCTTGACATTCGACGCTGGCTGCATCTCCACGACTTTCGGCCAGCATCGATGCAGAGTCCCAGCTTTATTATAGGTTAGTCACTTTGCAATATTGTGGATTCTGGCCTCGAAATAAAACAGGCGCTAACACCAGCTATGTGGATTATGCAGAACATCCGCATCTACTAAGCCTCGAAACGACCTTGATACTTTGCGTTCCATCTTTGAGAATCAACATGCATCCATCCACCCGTCCATCGAATCACATACAGCGTGTCTCTCAACCGAAACAGCACAACGCATCCAACAAACAAATATCAAAAGCAGACATGCCCGCCCTCGATAATACATCAACGCCCGTGCCCGGCATTCAGTACGTGGGCACAAAGCAGGTGTTCCAGCACCTTGGCGCAGTTCCCAAGAGCGTCGACTGCGTAGTCGTGGGCGGTGTCACGGCCGATGATTTCTGTGCACTTGAGGCCGCGCGCGACCGTCGCGGCCGCCGGATCCGGTTCTTTTTCCAACCAGAGTATTCTTGTCTCGTCATCACCATTCCTACAGGCTACCATGAACTGGGCCACGGTGTTTTGTACGAGAAAGTGCTTTTTGGTCTTAGGGATATGGGCGTCGATAACCAGTGGGAATCCACGCTCAGCAAACGATTTGACGGACAGGGCGGCTCATCTGGAGAAGGCGATTCCTCCGGGGGCCCTTGGCCAAGAGCCAGTTTACATAATGGTAAAACTTGGCCAACACTAGTCGTTGAGGCGGGTGCAAGCCAGAGCCTGTCGTCACTGAGAGTCAAAGGTCAGTGGTGGTTTCATGCAAGCGACTTTCATATGAAAATCGTCCTTCTCGTGAAAATCCACCAGCACGACCTCAGCATCCACATAGAACAATGGACAGCAAGTCTTTCTACTTCAGCATCGGGCCCAAGACGCAGTGGCGCCACAAACACGCGGGCCGGTGGTGCTGCTGGCTCTACGACACGCCAACCCGAGATCAAGCAGCAGGTGTCCATCACCTGGGCGGGACATTTGCCATTCACGTCCTCCCCGCCCCATCAATACACCGAGGCTGACTTTCTTGTCGTGGGCGCTCCTTTGGTTCTTCGATTCCAAGACCTCATGGATCGTCCGCCTGTGCCCTCAGCCGGTGATCATGATGTCGTGATTTCGGAGCACGATCTTCAAAACGTCGCCGTTCGTGTATGGAGACAGAGGGAGTGAATCTTGGATCTGGCACCAGTTCGCAGTGAGGATGGCTAAAATCCTTTAACCCCTACTGTTGAACCTCATCTCGAAAGGAAACCAGTCACGTTGCTAGTCAAACCAGTTCTTGACTTCCTTCGACACGACGTACAAGATGAACAGTGACACAAAATGGCGTTCGCACACTCGGTCCATTTCAAAAGACCGCCTTCGAGAATTCGATTTTACCAAGCGAAATACAACGAAGCTGTCAAATCTATCTCATAAAACATGTTTTCTTGGGCCACCTCTCCGCACCTTCAGCAGTCATTTGACGGACGACGACGTACAAGACACCATCCGAAAAGGGTACAAGGAGAGCAGATGAGCTCGTCTGTCAAAGCGGAAACAATACGATGGCCGTGAACGACTGCGATACCGTTCACTCAGAGCTCACAGCTTCTCTCGGCCATCAACGCATCATATCCACTCCCCGCACGACTATGCTAGGGAAATTGATAGAAAAAGAACATATCACCTGCCGCCAGGTTTGTATGGTGGCTTGGCTGACTTGGCTGGCGGCGTGGTGTTTCGGCATTGTCTGCTATCACGGTGTTAGTTAAAAAGCTTGCTCGTTCTGGAGAATTTCTTGATCTACTCACCGGAGACCGCGGTTCTGTTGGCCTTGGTCTTCTCGAATATTTTCCAGAGAACCAGTGCCGTGGGGGGCAAATTGACCAATACCCCAACGATGGAGATCAGCGCCTCATCGGACAACGACATCAAGTGATGCTCAGCAGGTGCTGAACGTTCTGAAGGAAAACGACTTTGTACAGGTGCATACGATATGCATGACCAAAGCAAAATGCATTTGAATTTCCTACGGTACGACCCGAGCCGTATCCATACCCCAAGATATATAAAAAACCAGTCGCAGATTCTGGTCAGCTTCACCTCGTTCCAAATTACTTGAAAGGCAACGTGGGAGATCCAAAAACACGATTTCTGGACACAGCCAATCATCAGCGCGGACTGACTGGCAAAAACACGCCCGAAAACATGCAGTGGCAGTCACAAATTCTGGAGATGGCAAAACTGCACATTGTGAACAGACCACCAAAAATGGCCAATAAGAGTGACCTTGAAGCAACGCGAATTCTGGACAGAGCAAAACTGCACATTGTGGCAATGGCCAATGAGAATGACCTTGAAGCAACGCGAATTCTGGACAGAGCAAAACTGCACATTGTGACAATGGCCAATGAGTGATCTTGCAGCCCCTCCCAGCGAATTCTGGACGACCAGAAACACGATAAATTATGGGCTCCTCCCACTCTACCGCCATGCGTAAGTCTTGACATCTTCATCTCATTTCCCAAGTAACTTGCGCGGATGCATTTACAATCATGGAGACCTCACGCATTCCCTCACACCAGTGGGAAGCCCACAAAGAAACTATTTATTCTCTTTACATTCAACAAAACATGGTGCTCAGCGATATGATCGAGGTTATGAAGAAGGACCATAACTTTCACGCTACGTATGTTCCGGCCCCCACGTCATGGACAATGGCTAGCTTCTAACCTATCTCCTAGCAAAGCGCAATACGTCCGGAAGCTGGATCAATGGCACATGAAGAAAAATTCGACAAACGAAATGTGGAACTTTGCGGCGAACCAGATCGAGAAGCGCAAGCTGGTAGGAAAAGAGACGGAGGTTCTCATCAATGGCAAACTTGTTCCACCAAAGAAATTGAAAAAAGAGGTGGCCAGGTACGCAGGGATCAAGTCTGCAGCCTCGACAGCATCAGGCAAGTTTCATCGCTGTATTTTCTTGAGTCGGCTCATGGTCCTCAGCTCAGGTGCTAACATCCTCGGCAGCTGCCGAAACTGGCGTTCCCAGCGGAATTGTTGTCCGTACGCCCCCAGCAGATGCTCTAGGAGATGTGGCGGACATGAACATACCTTGGGTTCAATGCCGAGAGCACCAGGCGGCAGACAGTACGTTGTACCTAGTCATGGTGTCTTGGTTCTCGTCTCCCTGGCTAACCAGCAGCCGCTGGACATGCTGCACCCGGAACTGCTCTTGTCGAGACGAGAAGCCCTGCTCAATGTTGGTTTAGGACACCTAGTCCACTGAGCTTCGACGTTGCTCTCGGCATGCTCGGCCCGTCCAGCCCGCCCCTGACACTGCTGTCGAGCATGAGCGATGGCGTTCAGGATTTGTTTCCAGACTTGGTCGGCGATGATCTAGCCTTCGATTGGGGTACGATACTTAATACGCCGCAACCATCACGCATACCTACAGAGGAGAAGACCGACCGGGAGGCCCGCAAACTTCTTGAGAAGTGTCTGAAAGAATTGATCGGCTCTAAAAGTCCAGAGTACGTTTCAGAGGCTACGTTGGAATTGGAGAGCGTTGCCGTTCAAAGTTATGGAGAACAGGTTATGCGGCATATGGTGCAATTGTACAGCAATTCTGCCTCCGATCCGTCATTCCACCTGCTCCGATACGCGGTGTACCTCTCTTCGAACAACCTGCTCTCCAATAATAATACAGACATGCTGCTCAAATGGGTCATCAAAAACAACATGCTATGGGTTCTGGAGCGCATGATGGACGCAAAATTGCCGACGACCGAGGTTTTTGCAGCCAACATTTTTGTGAGCGCGGCAAGGTTGGGTCATCCTGGCGCGGTCCGCGCTCTGCTCGCAAAGGACGTCGATCCCAATACCATTGTTGGGTCTTCTTCGACGCGCCCTGCTCTCCAAGAGGCCACCATGCACGGAAACATGGAGGTTGTTGAGCTCTTGCTTGACGCAGGAGCAGACCCAAACGCCTTGGAAGGTGGTCCTTTTCGAAAGACGGCACTCGAAATCGCCATTAGCCTGCCCGTGCCCAATAGTGCCTTGGTCAAATTGTTGATATCTCGAGGTGCGGTCCTGCGTCCTGAAGCTGCAAGGTACCAAGGAACGGTTCTGCAAAACGCTGTGCAGCTGGGCGATACGGACCTTGTTTGTACGTTGCTACGGGCCGGCGCGCGCGTTGCCGATACGACATTACGCTGGGGCACGGCACTGCAAATTGCTGCCCGATGCGGCACGGTGGACATCGTTGAAGCGTTGCTGGAAGCAGGAGCCGACGTCGACAGTCCGCTTGGGGAAGACTGCGAAGACGGAGCCGACGTGATGGCATGGCCTCTGTTTTTCCTGACACCACTTCAAGTTGCAACAATAAAAGACCACACAGAAGTCGTGCAAATTCTGTTGGACGCAGGTGCTGGCGTCAACTACTTTCCGGCGGCCAAGTACTCCGACTTCACATCGTTTTGCTTCAAAGGCAGATATGATCACTGTGAATCCGACTTTGAATCCGACCGTGGATCCGACGGTGGATCCGACTGTGGATCAGACGGTGAACCAGACCGGGAGCCAGACTGTGAGCCAGACTGTGAACCAGGCTCTGCAACCGACGACGAATCAGACGTTGTATCAGTCTGTGAGTCAAACACGTTCCGTCCCAACGGCAGACGGGGTGGCATGCAATCAGACTTGGATTTTGCCACAGGTCGGTGTTTCCTGACACCGCTACAAGCAGCTGTTTCAAACAACAACATGATTCTGGTTCGCTTGTTCCTCAGCCACGGTGCCGAAGTTGACACCATCGGAGGTCGAGGCACAGCATTGCAAATTGCAGCATCAGAGCCGGGTCGCTTCAAGCTGGTGCAGCTGCTGCTACGAAAGGGGGCGGATGTGAATAGTCCAGCGACCGTACCGGGGGGCCGGACGGCTCTCCAGGCAGCAGCGGGGTCTGGGGACGAGCAAACCGTCGAGCTCTTGCTTCAGATGGGTGCTAACGTGAATGCTCCGGCGTATCGCCGTGGTGGATGCACTGCCGTCCAGGCCGCTGCGCGGTCGGGGCATCTCGCGATGGTCAAATTGCTCGTCGCCGCTGGCGCAGATGTGCATGCAGCTGCTGCGCATGTGTCGGGTCGAACGTGTTTGCAAAGTGCAGCAAGGAAAGGAGACATGGGCATTGTCGACTATTTGCTGCAACTTGGTGTCAATATCAACGAGCCAGCATGTCCGATCAACGGGCGCACCGCGCTGCTGTTTGCCATTGAGAATCACCACAAGTCTCTTGCCGAGAGGCTCCTTGAGAAAGGCGCAGACCCCAATGGTCGGCCAAGCGGACGATGCGGCGTCACACCTCTGCAAGCTGCAGTCAAGAACAAATGGTACGACTTCGCTCAGCTGCTGCTGCGCCAAGGGGTCAACCCAAACAGAAATCTCTCTTCGTCGACGCCTTTGGGGATCGCCCTCCACCGCAACGCAGTCGAAATGGTGCGCCACCTTATCGATGCTGGCGCTGATGCGAACGAGCGCTGTGCAGACCTCGACAGCTTTCCCTCGAGTCCCCTTGAAATAGCGGTAGCAAACGGGAGCATTGACATAGTTCGCAACCTGCTGGACGCGGGCGCGAGAATTGACGGCATGTGTGGCATCATACCTCTCCACGCGGCCGTCGAACGAAACAGTCTCGAGATAGTAACGATGCTGCTCTTGAAGGGAGTGAGCCCCAATCCACGCCCAGACCACGATCGAAAGTCGGTATTGCTGAAAGCGATATGCAGGTCGCCGATCAACGAGGATATGGTCCGCCTCCTCGTTGATTCTGGCGCTCGCTTGGACGCGGACAACGGCGTTTCTCTCTGCTACGCCGCGAAAAAGGGGTCTCTGCAGGCTGTCGAAATCCTCCTGCAAGCCGGTGCAGATGTCAATGCCCGTCCCTGGGGCCCCCACCGACGCACGGCACTCCAGGAGGCGGTAATCTATGGAAACTTTGACATTGCGGCGACTCTTCTCGACAGGGGTGCTGACGTCGATGCCCCTCTCAGCACAGAGTTGGGTGGGACCCTGCTGCAGAGGGCTGCGGCTTCCGGCAGCGTCCGCATGGTGCAGTTGCTTCTCGCACACGGCGCAGACGTCAACGCACCACAAGCTATATTAAGTGGAGCAACCGCGTTGCAAGCGGCGGTCATTCGGGGGCATTTTCGAATTGTATTTATGCTGCTCAACAGCGGAGCGGACATCAATGCCCCAGGAGCAGTGCAATGGGGTCGGACGGCGCTTGAAGTCGTCGCAGAGCATGGGAGGATGGACATTATGCATCTGCTGCTTCAGAAGTACGGCGATGTGGACGACATGGAGGCACAGTGCAGGAGGGCAGCCACGCTGGCGTCCTCCGAAGGGCATGTTGTTATAGCCAGGATGCTGCGAGAATGGAAAAGGCCTGCCTGGTAGATACGCTGCGAAACATCGAGGTCTTTATTTACTGTGTTCATCAATACACGTAGGAATGTTCCAAATAGAATGTCAACGGAGAAAATCATCACCAGTCACCCTCGTTACGAGACCTGGACAAGGCGATGTAATCAACCAGCTTATCCGGAAACGCTTCCACAAAAGTGTCCTTGGCATGCGCAGTTCAGTCTCTTTCAATGGATGCTTGACGCACTCCCAGTATTCAGGGAATGGCCGTGGTTGATTGTCGCTCTCTGTTTTGCAGCCTTACGTTTTACACTAATGGCAGAACGCGTGGTGCTACTAAATATGGTTAATAACAGCGTGCTTTAAAAAAATAGCTTAGGATAGCTACAGGTGCTGCTCAACCCGTTTAATCGCTAAAAGGTAGCCTCGCTCAGCCCCGCATCCAATTCACAATTAGGAATTGCACCATCACCTGTTTATTACCAGCGACAGTCCACCCTTGCTCCACGCGCGTGGCATTTCTACACTTTTTTTCTTCTTCTTTTTTCTTCTTCTTTTTCTTTTTCCCTTATCTTGTCGTGCCGTATTCTTACCGCGCTGATATGGCAAACGCCGCAGACAAACCGTCCGCCACCGTGGACAGCTTCAAGGCCCGGCTTCGCAAAAAAAAGATTGAGCGCGGCCTCCCAGTCTCGCCGACGCCGTCGGAACTTGCGCGCGACAACGTGTTGGAAGACGACGGCACGGTGCTGTACAACTTGCTGGGCCGTATGATCTCGCTGCACCCGGGCAACATTGTCAAAAAGGCCGGACGCGCCGTGCGGTTGGGCGAGGCCGATGCTTTGAAAGTGGCGGCCGCAGGGGGCGTTCCTGTGCCCGACGTGTTTGGGACCGAGGTCACGCCCGAGGGCCGGTTTCGCATCTCGATGAGCTACATCGAAGGGCAGACCCTGGAAGCGGCTTGGCCCTCGCTCTCGGAAGACGACAAGACATGCTACTGTCGACAGGTCGGGGCGATCCTGACGGCGATGCGCGCCATTCCGCCCCCCGACCCGAGCTTCATCGGCGCCTGCGACGGCAAGGAGATCCGCGACGGCCGGCTGTACAGCACATACATGTCACCCGTGTGCGCGGACGAGGACGCGTTCAATGCCTATCTGGTCTCGAGCATCGCCCCAGCGACGCCCGACGCGGTGCGTGAGGCGTTCGTGCGCCGGTTGCAAAGCCAGCCACGGCATCGCATCGTCCTGACCCACGGCGACCTGGCACCACGCAATATTATGGTCCGTGACGGCCGTGTCGTCGCGCTCATTGACTGGGAGGAGGCTGGATGGTACCCCGAATACTGGGAGTATGTCAAGTTCTTCCAGCGCTCAACGGCCATGGAAAAGGACTGGAGAGCACATTCCAAGGACATTTTTGACGAGGCGTATCCGGACGAGCTGGTTGACTACATTGCCGTTTCCAAGTTTCAGTACCCATAAAGGGCCGCGTAGGATGATGACCGACGCGTCAGACTTGCCTTGTTCCATTGTAGCCACTTTCTACTGTCTCTCGGCTGTTTACCCAGTAAAAGAGGTGGGAATAGTAAGAGAGAGAGGGTGTGAGGGATTACCAAGATCGGTTTCTGCCTCACGCGTGGCCGCTTAGAAGTCGCTTCGTTTGCTGCTTGACGAAATAACGGGCAAGAAGAAACAGGCGGAGAGCGACGACGGGCATGACAACATGATGACTGTCACCGTGGATGGCGCTGAAGACACGGTTAAATTGATCGTCGTGACCAGTCGGTTTAAGGTTCAATTTCGTATTGTTGTTTGATAGAATCGCAACACCGATTTGTTCTCCTTTTATTCGGCAGTTTTAGCTGTGTTTTCCAACAGCAAAGTACAGTACAGTGCGATGGCCCGCCAAATAAATGGCAGGTTTGTAGTTACGGCACAAATATGACTTGTCTTGTTTCAGCGAACAATATCCGTACGTGAATTCTAGCAATAAAAAAAAGGACGGAGGCTTTGTTTCTTCATCAAGTTCCAGTCTGGAATGAGATGTTAAAAAAACGCCCACAGGAAGCAAAAAAATCTCCAGGGGGCGAATCGAACGCCCGACTCTCGGATTTAGATTGAGTAACAATTACAGTCCGATGCCATAAACCAACTAGACCACCCGGAGTTGTTCCTTGGAAGCCGGCAGTTTGTTTCAGACTTATATGGGGAAGACGCACGTAGTAAAAGTGGGGCTGCTTTGTGCTGTTTAAACCCGCACTGTTATTTCGACTGTCCCAAAATCAGTATTTTACAGAATACAAGGCGACAATATATTGCGTCACGTTCACCATTGTTTCTACGGCATTGCTATCGTATGCAATAAAATCTTTGCACATAGGGAGACACAAATACGGAAGCAATATTATATATGTATCATGCCAAGAAAATGTTGAATTGATGGGATACAGTCTTTTTTGCTGTGCATGGCCCTCGCCCTCAAGCCGCACCTGCTGCAGCACCGCCTGCGGCCTTTGCCGCTTTGGCAGCCGTGATGGCCTTGTCCTTCTCATCGACCAGGGCCGACATGGCCTTGCCAATGTCGGTGCCCAGCTGGCCAAAGCCCTTGATGACGCCGGCGCGGTCGCCGGCGCGCATCTCCTGGCTCGCCTTGACCTTGCCGACGAGCTCGGTGATTTCGATTTCGATGCCAATGATGCTCTTGCGCATGATGTCGAGGTAGTTGGTGGGCGCGTCGGCGACCTTCCAGGGCTCCGGGCGGCCGCCCTCGCCGGTGTAGTCCATGAGGACCCGCTCGCCGTGCTCGGACAAGAGGTCGAGCTGCTTTTCGAGGTAGGCGTTGGCGGCCGCATTGGTGGACGCGGCCGCGGGCGGGCCACCACCGACGTAGATGGTGGCCTTGCCGCGGACGTGGACGGTGGCGTAGTTCCAGGTGGGGACGACCTTGGCGGTGGTGGGTTTGGACTCGGTGTAGAACCTGGGCGTCACGTAATGCTGGACGTTGGACGTGAAGACGACCAGCACCTCGTCTTTCAGGACCGAGACGCCCGGCACGTCGGTCGGCTGGCCCTCGACGGACTGGATCATGGCCTTGACCTGCGGGTTGCTCTTGGCCATGTGGCCGAGCAGGCGGCCCTTGTCGGTCTCGCTGGCCTCGTCGTCGACGGCGACGATCCAGGGGATGTGGGTGCTTTGAATCAACGGGAAGCCATCGGCCGCGATGGCCGTGGTGATTTGGCCCAAGGAGTTGTCGCGGATGAGCTGGCGCAGGGCGACCAGGCTGGTCTCGGCGTATTCAGTCTTTTGATACATGGTTTATGCGTGCTGGCAGATGCAGAGACGGTTGTTGACTAAGATGAAGGTCACTCGTTGCTTTGAGACAGACAGACAGCTCAGGACAGGACTGTGGCCCTTTTAACACAGACATTCCGTATCAACTGCTGCCGCTCCCTTCACACGTTGACCTCTTCAAATCCCGTACGGGATATGATGAATCTCAGAAACTGCCTCATTTAGCAGTCATTCACATAAGAAAAGGACATCATCAGCAAAGGGGCAGCGTGTCCACGGCTTGGAACTGCCCAAAAGGGAGAAATGCACGATTGGTAAACGCCGGACGGAGACGGGCCAGGCTGCAGACTGCCAAGGAGGCCAAGCAAGCCAAGCAGGCGGGTCCATACCAAACGGACGGCCAAGCTTATTCTGCTTTGTTGCTCGGTGCTCGTCTCTCCAAGGGCGTTGGAGATCCAATGGTCACGGACGAGTCACAGCTCGGCTATGTGTCACACAGTGGAAACAGGCCAGGGGGGCCAGGTGAGGTGCAGGAATGCTGACGGACAAATCCCGTCTTACATGATAATTCAGTGGGGCAGCGGCCTGCGCTGTGGACGCTGACGCTGGTTCTTAGTGAATATGCAGTAGACGTTTTAGTGGATTTCCAATGGACAGGGCCTGCCTGCTGAACCTTCTTAGTAGGCTGTCTTAGTGGATCGTTACGCCCCGCTGGGCGGACGCCGAAACGGCGACACGACGTCATTTGCAGTCACTACTGCAACTTTTAGTGGCCGAAACGGCAAACAGGCCCAGCCTTTCTCCGCGGCCGCTACCTCTTACAAGATCCGGCTACAAATGTGCCAAGGGAACGGAACCTCCCCGTACGACACAGATGGCATGCTATCTGTGCCGGTATCAGTGGACAGCAGCCACAGTCGCAAGCTCGCCCATTGACGCCAAACCATCTAACCGCGGTGGATAGCAGCTTCTCTCCATCCAGCAGTTAACAGCGAAACCTCCCCCCCCCCCCCTTCTCGTCAGTCTCGACCACGGCACACTCCCCTCACCTCCTTCGCTCGTTCTCCAGACCCGCTTGTCGCCGCGCTCGCTTCTGGCCATGTCCCTCCCTCTGCAAGCGGCCCGCCGTGCCGTCGAGCACCGCGCCCGGCTGGCCGAGCTGTTCCCCTGGACTACGTCGCCGCTGCTGATTGGCGCACCCATGCGCGTGTTTTCGGGGCCGGCCATGGCGGTGGCGGTGTCGCGGGCGGGCGGGCTCGGGTTCATTGGGCCGGGCGCGACGCCGGAAGCGTCCTCGACGGATCTGGCAGAGGCCACGAAGCTGCTCAAGGAGACGCCGTTGAAGGCGGCCGCGGCAACAACACCGACGCCGTCGCTTCTGCCCGTCGGCGTCGGCTTCCAGGTCTGGAACGGCGACCTGGACAGCGCCACGGTGGCCGTCCGCACCCACCGCCCCTGTGCCGTCTGGCTCTTTGCGCCGCGCGACGGCCAGGTCCAGCTGGACACCTGGACGGCGGCGCTCCGCGCGGCCTCGCCGGGCACGCAGGTCTGGGTGCAGGTCGGCACTCTCCAGGAAGCCGTGGCCGCGGCGCACCCGTCGGGCGCAGACGCGCTGGTGCTGCAGGGCGCCGAGGCCGGCGGGCACGGCCGTTCGAGCGACGGCATTGGGCTGGTGTCGCTGCTGCCCGAGGTGGCCGACGCGCTCCACGACAACACAAACAACACAAACAGCACGCGCCTCCCGCTGGTGGGCGCCGGCGGCATTGCCGACGGGCGCGGTGCCGTCGCGGCGCTGGGCCTGGGCGCCGCAGCCGTCGCCATGGGCACGCGGTTCTTGGCGGCCTCCGAGGCGCGCGTCGATCCGGCGTACCAGGCCGAGGTGCTGCGGGCGACGGACGGCGCCGCGCACACGGGACGGACGCAGCTCTACAACCACCTGCGGGGGACCTTTGGGTGGCCGGCCGAGTTCAGCCCGCGCGGGCTGCTCAACCAAAGCTGGGCGGACCACGAAGCGGGCGTGCCGTTTGACGAGCTACAAGCGCGGCACGACGCGGCGGTCCAGGCCGGCGGTACGGCCGCCTGGGGCCCCGAGGGCCGCACAGCGACGTACGTGAGCGCGAGTGTTGGGCTGGTGCGGAGCGTGGACGACGTGGGAGCCATTGTCGAGCAGACACGCAACGAGATCAAGGAGATTCTGTCCCTGTTGGGTTGATGGCGAGACGGACGACGAGACAGGGTATTACACACAATCAAAACATATTTTGTACTGGCTAACGATAGATACATGGGCGGACAGACAACCTTTGATCACTTGAACGTGCTAAACGTCCACGAGCTGTTCCAAAAGTACGGCGTGCCGGGGTTGGCAATCTCATACTTTGTGCGGTTCCATTCGGGGCTGCGTCACGTTAGCGGTCATCATCTACTCTGTGAGCATTGTAACAGTGCGAATGGGAGGCGACCTACTGGTTGATGGCGTTCGGGTAGTCGTGCGCTTCAATGGCGACGCACGAGCTGCGCCCGACCTTGGTGACGTTGGCCGAGCCCTGGGTGCTCTTGAGCGGCGCGGTGCCGTCCATCCAGTTGCACGTGTACACCGTCACGCCGGGCTGGTTGGTGCGCAGCTCGGCCGCAATGCCCGCAAACGGCGCCGCCAGACGGGCCACCACGCTGTCACCCGAGGGCACGTTCTCGGCCAAGAAGTAGCCGTTGTAGCCCTCGCACTGCCCGCCGCCGCCGCAGTTGCTCGCAAACTTGGGGTCCGCCTGCGCGTGGCCCAGCGTCAGGTTGGCCGCCGACGCAAAGTCGTTGACGGCCCCGGGGGCGGCCGTCAGGATGCGGCCCGTCGGCACGGCGCCGTCGTCGCCCTCGAGGTAGCGCTGCGAGTAGGGCAGGTACAGCGTGTGGTCCCAGATCTTGGGCGACGCCGTGTTCTTGTAGGCGTCCAGATTAAAGTACGTGTGGTGGGTCAGCATCAGCGGCGTGCGCGCATCCGCCGACGCCCACATGACAATGCCCAGCCGCCCGGCGGTCAGCGTGTACGTCACGTTGGCCGTCACGTCGCCCGGCAGGCCCTGCTCCGACCCGGCCTTGTCGTAGATGGCAAACGTAATGGACGAGGCGCCGACGGCCGTGACGTTCCACACGCGGTACGACCAGTTGTTGGTGCCGCTGTGCAGCGTGTTGGCGCCGTCGTTTTTCTCGGTGGCGTAGGTGGTGCCGTCCAGGGTGTAGGTGGCGTTGCCGATGCGGGAGACGTAGCGCCCGGGGATGGAGTTGTAGACCGGGTGGCCGGGGTCCTTGGCTACACGCATACGATCATTAGCGACACACGAGGCCAAAGCCGACGGGGGAGTGGCAGACGTCAACAAGCAATGAGGCACAACATGGAACAAGGACGGGGGCACCCACGGTAATACGCTGCATCGTCGTACCCCAGCACCACATCCGTATCGTTCCCGTGACGGTCCTTGACCCACAGGTTGGTCAGCGTCGCGCCGTAGGGGATAAACTGCGCCTTGATGCCGTCGGCCGTGATGGTGTAGCAGCCGTCGGCAGCCGGGGCGGGCACACCGTCTCTGCGGACAGCCAAGGCCAGGCCGGCGAGGCCGGGCAGGGCAAGAAACAGGGTGGAGCGCATGTCGGGAAAGTGGGCGGACGTTTTTGGTGGTCAGCGGTCTTGGGTCGACGTCCTGGCATGCAAAGGCGGGCGCCACTCGGGTCCATAATAAATACTTCACGCCGAGTTGAAGCCTCTGGGAATCTCCACCAGACATCCACAGGCCATCCAGTCCTCTTGCGTGATCCCCGGACCATTTGCATATCCCGTGCACGGCTGGACCTGTCTTTCCCCTCTCTTTGCGCTGTCAGCGGTATTAGGCATTTTACGGACTTTGTCTGGGGGTCCTAAGCGTCCAGACAGTTCAGGCTGCCTTTGGCGAGGACAGTAGGCGAGGGCTTTGGCGAGCAACACACATCGGGCCAAGAACGGTGTACAAAAGCGCGCTCGTAAACGATGCGCCACCGCAGATCAGCCTGAGGTCGGTCCTTGCTTCATCTCGTGTAATGTTTGTGCCTGTTTCCCCTCACTTGGTCAGGAACCAGCCAACGATAGACAGGTGGACAGACGGACACGGCACATTCAGGTACGAAAAAAGCAAAATGCTAAATTAAATCTTGTATTTGAAATTCCACCAACGGATTGTTTCTCTGCCGAGTACACTCTGCCAGCCACATACCCTTCGCTCCGCACCCCTACACCGTAATCGTATGCACCAGCCGCACCTTGCCCCCAATCAGCCGGAACTCGTGGCTGTCCGGCAGCGCCCCGGCAAACGAGCAAAAGACGTCAGCAGACCCCACCGTCTCGTCAATCACGTACCGCCGCTGCGTGATCTTGGCAGACGCCGAGCCGGACGTCGGTACGCCCACCGTGCACGACGGGCTGAAGTGCATCGACCCTTCGGTGCGCGCACACGGCGAGCCCCACGGCACCGCGTTGATGGCCGTCGAGTTGCTCCACATGTCGAGGTACGCGTCGGCCGCGGCCTGCAGCACCGCCCGCGGGCTGCGGTCCGCAGCCGCCAGCGTGCCCCAGTCCTCCGTCGCAATGTAGCTGAGCGTCTTGGCCGCGTTGAACGCCCAGTCGCCCGTCGTGGCCACGATGGCGTCCACCGCGTTGATGGGCGACGCCGCGTCGCTGGCCGACGCGTGCCGCAGCTGCACGCCGACGACGTAGGGGCCGGCCGTCGACACGAGCTCCGTGTAGGAGGCGCACTGCGTCGTGTCGAGCGTCGTGCGGTTGTGGTCGAGCTTCAAGGCCTTGCTCCAGATGCCGGCGCTCGCGCTGGAGGCCTTGTTGTTCTGGCGGTAGGTCACGGCCGGGTCCAGCAGCTTCTGAAAGGCGCTGCCGGCAATCGCGCCGGCCTCCTGCGCGGCGAGATAGGCGTCAGCGGCGGCTTGCAGCGTGTCGCGGGAACAGTCGGCCACAGCCTGGCCGGCCAAGGCGGCCAATGTGAGGCCCAGGAGGTGGAAGGAAACCATTTCTGCAGTGTTTTGTGACGATCAATAACAACGATTTGTTGATCCTGTTCGTTGAAGGTCTACAGACTACGAAAAGATGCACTTGCAAACGTGAGGATCCGTCAAAGGCATCGTTTGCACCAGATATACCCTCTGTTGGCAGACGACAGCAGGAAGAAAGACCGTGGATAAAGGTAAAGTCCGTGACACCAACCCCTCATTTGTTCTCATTTTGTTCTCATTTGATTCTCATTTTGCCCCTGTTGGCTGGTTATTCTGGCATCCTGTTTTGTGCCTTTGTCAATAGAGTGGGTAAATCGGACATCACAAAAGCCGACAGCCCAGTAAATTGCACGGCTGCAGTGCACGGCAAGGATACTGTCGCAGCTCGACACGTTTGTCGGGATGTCTCTGTAGGAGAATATCCCATGCGGACTAAATGCCCATCGGCCATTTACCGAATGCAAACCGGGAATCTTGTCGACATACGACGTTGCTATTGATATGCCGTCATTGGACTGCGTTGCCAATTGGGGTGTTAGTGGTTTGTTAGTAGTGTGACACCGCTGGACTACAGACCGTCCTACATAAGCTTGCTTTCTGGTCGAATTGACAAAATCAGACGCTAGCGTCCTTGGTCTAACGGCTAGGATTTCGGTTTTCCATACCGAAGGTTCGGGTTCGACTCCCGGAGGTCGCATTTTTGTGTTTATGTGCACGTTTTATTGCTTTTTTTTTGCGGCACGGCTGCTTCCATACGGGATGGGAAATAGATGATACTTTTTTTTTTCACAATTGTTTTGTACTCTTTTACCTCAATCTATGATTATTTAGAACCGAGGCACTTTAATTCGGACATTTCCTGTGTTCGTCTTTTTGTGTAAATTTCGTCGACAGTTTATTATTGAAAATCTCTTTTTCTTCACTCGATACAAAACCCCAAACTTATTCAATGCTCAGTAGAGACCAGATGACCAGAATAAAAGCAATACGAATGACTCGACATAGTAAGAAAATAGCATTTCGAAAGAATGGGCCACATGGAATTACAGTGAGGATGTGCTCAGATAAACAACAGCATGTGTCGTACATCCGATCTAATCTCCTCACGTACCTTATACCTTATTACCCCTTTTATCCGGCTTGGGCTTGATAGTGCATCCTGTACTCTGCACCCCACAACCTGACTCCCGGCCGATCTAAGATCTGGAGCATCACGTTCCGTTGTTTGCTTTTGTTTACGCTGCTTTTATTTTGTCTATCTTCAGCTTAGCCTTGAGCAAAGCAGTCCACAGGTTTTGTTCCGGTAGACGGCCCACGGCATTTTGCCTTTTATCCGTGTGGATTGCAATAAAGTACCGAGATGTACGACGTTCAGACGGTCCCTCTATTCTGCCGGCGGGGAAGACGAAGATCTCGGGGGCGATCGCCCAATGGAGTAAAAGTGACGAACGTGGCGTAAAGTAATGACGGTAGCAAGAATGGAATAAGCGATATGGTCAAGGCTACGAGAGGTTGGAGATCTGGGGGCCCATGATTCTCAATATCGCTTGGAGGCGTTACCAAAGCTTTATTTGTATAGGCCTACCATATTATCTACCAAAATGTCTACTGTATGCCTGTCATTCTTTCATTGTAGGTAACGCATATTGTCAGCTCATTCTCCATACGTCCCCTTTTGGCCAAGATGAATGCAAGTCCAAAAATGGATCCAGTGCAACGTCCCGCGGAGACAATCCATAAATTATACTTGACTTCCAGAAAACAAAACACAGACCTTCTGACGGCTCATCCTGCCTTCCTTACGTCCATGAATGATATATGCTCGTAAATTCATGCCAACCACAAGATCTCCTTTTGTCCTATGTCGTATTTTTATCTCCAATACGGACCGCTCGGGAAAAGCTTCCCTGGCTCCATCGTTTGATATTGATAATCTCAATGGGGTTGGCGAGTAATGGGCACCGCAGCGCCCCCGATCGGCATGATTCGACCTGGACAGATTGAGAAAAGTCATGCCTAGCGCAATTATTGCAAGAATCATTGTTTGTCGTATAAATGCGTCAGTCACGTCACTCTTTCCTTGACGTCTTTTTTTCGTAATCACTCATCAATCATCGCCCAGGACATCTCTACAACCAGCCACCAATCACAACTCACCTATCACCATTGTCACGCACCACCCACAACACACCACCAACATGAAGCTCACCGCTGCCCTGCCCGTCCTGGCCGCCGGCCTGGCCAGTGCCTCGCCCCTCACCTGCCCGCCTGTCCACATCTTTGCCGCCCGCGAGACCACCGCGCCCGCCGGCTACGGCACCTCCAAGGGCCTCGTCGACATGGTCGTCCGGGCCAATAGCGGCGCTACGTCCGAGGCTATTGTCTACCCGGCCTGCGGTGGCCAGAGCAGCTGCGGCGGCGCCAGCTACGACAGCTCGGCGTCGCAGGGCACGGCGGCCGTCGTCAAGGCGGTGACGGCCCTCAACACGCAGTGCCCGGACACCAAGATTGTGCTCATCGGCTACTCGCAGGGCGGCCAGATCATGGACAATGCGATCTGCGGCGGCGCCGGCGCGGCGCTGACGGGCGCGGCGCTCAAGGCCGTCAAGGCGGCGATTTTCATGGGCGACCCGCACAACACGGCCGGCCTGCCGTACAATGTGGGCACGTGCACGAACCACGGCTTCTCGGCGCGGCAGAGCGGGTTCCAGTGCTCGCCGGGCAGCCCGTCGATCATCCAGTCGTACTGCGACTCGCAAGATCCGTACTGGTATGTTGAACCCGACCATGTTAGCCTAATTATTATGTCCAGACTTTGTTGCTAACCGACCAGCTGCAACGGCAACGACGCCAACCATCACCAGCAGTACGTCAGCATTTACGGCCAGAAGGCCGCGGCGTTTATCCAGAAGCTGCTGGCATAAGGGGGTCAAGAGAACGGGGAGTGAGGTTGTTTGGTGTTTGGTGAGTTTTGTGGTGAGCTTTGTGGTGTGGATATGTGACATTCTCGTCGTGCCAAAATTCAACAGTTTTGTTAGTTTTTTCCCCAGTACATACAAAATTCAGTCCATATTTCACTTTATTTTGTCCGTTACAGCTTTTAGTAAAGAGTGGTGGACGCAAACGGCCGCTTTGTCTGGTTGACCAGATTCTTTGTTTTGATAACAAAGAGGCAGTTCAGTACGGGGCGACAATGCACTGAAGATCAAAGTTGCAGCGGTCTCTGTCCACTAAAGCCACTACACCGTATCAGAAGAACAACATCAAACATAACGTGAACAAATGTCAACAACGAGAAGAACAATGACCAGGAACAGCATCATGTCTATTTAAATAAATTGTCTTCGTAGTGAACTTTTCTTTCCGTTTTCTTCTCACACACAAACACTGGACACAAACACGGGCTGTTTTCCCCACCATCATGTCCTTCTCGCTCGCCATCACCCACAACTGCTGCATCGGCGCACTCTACGGCTACTCAGCCGGCGCCCCAGAAAACAGCATCTTTGCGCGGCTTCTCCTGCTGCTGGACGTGGCGCGTCTCACGACGCAGTGCGAGCGTGAATACGGCGTGGTCAGCGTGGACCAGCAGAACCAGCGGGTGGCGCTCGAGTTTCTGGTGCATCTGGTTGGCACGGGCGCCGTGACCTTGACGGAGATGGGCGGCGCCGACCTGCACCACCGGATGCACCGGCACATGCAGGCACTGGGGCGGCGGCTGCGGGCGGTCGGGTACCGCTTTGAGGCGCTGGGCGGGGATGTGGCGTATCTGCGAGCGGTGTGGACAGAGGACAACATTTTTGCAGGGGCTCAGAGACACGCCCTGTTCCACTGGCAAGCGCCGGCGGAGGTGCACGGCTGCCCGTTGGCGCAAACTGCCATTGCCAACGGCATGTCCATTTTTCAATACATTGCCAGTCTGCAGGCGGCGCATGGTGTGGACGACCAGGATCTTCACAGTGCTGCCTTTCTCCGCCAGCTTTGGACAGACATTGTAAGAGTGTATGCGCCGCTGGTCGGTGTGGCCGTGGACAACATGGCAGGCGAGTGGCCCCGTACGATGACAGACTTGTTGCTGCAATACTTTGAGTTGGCCAAGCGGCCGGGAGTCGTAGCGGCTCTGACCGAGGCTGTGATAAAGGACGTCGTTCTATCCGCGGCCGCGGGTAAAGTGAACCGGTGAGTACCAATGTTTTGTCTCGCTCTTGTTTTGTTGTTTTGCTCCATTAACAGTAATTGATTTCGGACAAGCCATTGTCTCCCAAATTCACATGTCAACATGCAAGTGATCATATTGGGATAATTAAATTGATAAAAAAAGAAACTAAAACGAATGTTGAAGACAGACATCTCTGAAGTATAGTGAACAGGCACGGCGAGACGTATGTGCCTTGAGAGAAGTCAGCGACGTCTCGCCGTAATTACAGAATGGACGTCCTCCGCCGTCTCTAATAAATCTGCAAAATGTACGACAGTAACAACAGCAGGTACAAGACGGCATGTCATGTAAACAAACCAGCAACAGACCAGACAACGACCCAAGACTCGCTTCAACCATCTTTCCCTATGCCTGACGCGCGCCTAGTTCTTCATGCTCATGCTGTCGTCGCCCGGCAGCCCCGAGATCCAGCCGTCGACGTTCTCCTTGACCATGTTCTTCACCGTGCACGCCTTCGCCTGGTCGATCGTCTGGTACTTGAGCGAGCCGCAGCGCGCGCCCATGCAGCCGCCCGTGTCCATGGCCTTTTGCAGCGAGTCGTCCTTCCAGCCGAACACGTAGTCGGCGTGCTGCGCGTAGCCCATCTTGTCGCCGTCCGAGAAGACAAACGGCTTGCCGTCGGCGGGCCAGATGCTCTGGTCGTTGAACTCGTCCGTCTTCCAGACGACCTCGAGCATGATCTGGGGGATGCGCACGGGGTGCGTGGACGGGCAGCTGCCGCCGAGGCTGAGGAACGACGCGGGGCCGGACGTCGGGTAGGCCACGTGGTCCTGGTGGTTGGGCGTGTCCAGGTTCTTGCCGTCCCAGCAGGTGGGGAAGAGGATGTTGGAGCGCACGCCGTAGCACTTCTTCTGCGGGAACTCGGTCGAGTCGATGGCGCCGCCGGCGCAGGGCGCCGCGGTGTCGCCGCCAAAGTTGGGCCCCGTGTAGCAGCGGAAGCAGTTTTGCATCTTCATGCTGGCGGGCAGCGGCGTCTTGCGGCCGGCGTCGCCGACGAGCATGCGGAACCCCGGCTTGAAGGCCGTGATCTTGCCGGGCGCCGCCGAGACGTAGTACACCAGCACGCCGCCGTTGATCTGGTTGCTGAACTTGTCGTTGAACTGCAGCGCCGCGTCGCCCTGCTTGACGCGGATCAGCGAGCCGTTGCGCGCCTTGAAGTACAGGTTGGCCGTCCAGTAGTTGCTGAAGTCCTCCGAGAACTGGCACGACGTGCACGTGGCCAGCTTGGAAATGTCCGTCGAGGGCATCGTGGCGTTGAAGGCGTTGCCACCGACAACCTGGTGCACGTGGGGCGAGGGCAGCTGGCCGGGGTTGACGAGAGGGTCGAGGCGGTCGATGACGGTCTGCGTGCAGCCGAAGCGCAGCATCGTGGTGCCGCCACCACCACCGCCGCCGCCGCCGCCGCCGCCGCCGAAGCCACCAAATCCACCGCCGAACTGGGGCGCGGCCTCGGCCATCGCCGCCAGGGCCAAGAGAGCAGTGTTTCTCAACATGGTGACGATGCAGGGAGGGATACGATTGTGAGTGTGAACAGTTGGCTCGTTATGGGAGAGGACGAACAACACAACGAGAGGACTGGCTGTGGAGACAATGAAGAAAAGAACAACAGGAGAAAAGAAAAGAAGAGGAAGGGAAGCCGAAATGAAGGACCTTTGGGCGGAGCGCGCAGGCTTAAAAGAACAAAATGAGCCTCTGCCAACGGCAAGCGATGTTCAGACGACAAGTCGTCCCCGGAATTAATCAGGCGTCATTGGACGTCGAAAGGCCATCGTTGTACGTCGCTTCCGCCGCCCCAGACTCGGTTACCATTATTTCTCCTAGGCCTATCCTCAACTGCCGACATCTGGAGATGCCGAACGGGATGTGGGTATGGGGGCAAGGCTCCACAGCGAGGGCGACAAGTCGAAAAGCGATAAAAAATAAATAGGACAAGAAAGGACAAGACAGGATAAGAAATAAGAATGGACAAGGGGGCAAGACCCAGACGGACTGCAAAAACACCGCAAAAGCTGCAAAACAGAGACCTCCTTAATGCTGCCAATATGGACCACTCTCTGGATAAAGTGGCCGTGAGCGAGTAAGCTGCTGGCATGGGAGACGCTTCTGGCAACGGAGGCAGCGTAATCTGGACGGCAATCTGGAGATCAATCAAGGCGGATGTTTTCCGGGCGGGCTGCGGCTGTGATTGGTGCGTCTTTGCACTCCGGGCTTTGTTGACTGTCACTGCAACTTGCTGTCCATCTAAAGCTTGTCAGTCGTCTTCCTAACTTTCCAAAGTGCCATGTGCGCGAGAGAGACTGATAATTGCCGACAATCAGACGACAAACGACAAAGTCGAGTCTGGTCAATCACGAGCTGTTTCCACCAACGACATTCGTTCGGAGAAATTGATTTCCTTCCTGTCTGGTATGGCCACTTTGCGACCGTTTTCGTGTCTTCCAATGGCCGTTTATCGAGCAGACCACAGTGGACAAAATCACCCACGAGCACGCGTGCCCGGGCGAGGAAATGAACGTAGGAGCATGGGTATCTTTCGATTCTGTCGATGCAGTGTCCGTATGTCCTAGCGGTCTTGCTCGTGTGTTGGCGAGAGCCTTGTGGCTCTGCCGTCGTATCTCGATGCGTGCCGCTTCCGTTTCTCCATATCCCGTCGCGTCATTGCTCGATCCCGTCGTCCTCTCCCCGTGTCTCCCCGTCTCTCCCACAACCAGCCCACCCTCATCTACGCTTGCATCGGTTGTGGATTGTTGCCCACCGTCTTGTACAGCTCCCGCAGCTCAAAGGCCTCCGTGCCGCCCTCGGGCAGCTCCCCCACGACGCGCGCCGGCTGGCCGGCCACGATGCTGAAGCTCGCAATGACCATGTTGGGTGGGACGACGGTGCCGTCGAGCACGCGCACGTAGTCCTTGATGATGGCAAAGTCGCCGACGACGACGTTGGCGCCGAGGTGGACGTGGCTGCCGACGGAGGCGGCCATGACGGTGGTGCCGGGGCCGACAAAGACGTGGTCGCCCATGCGCAGGGGCATGTGGGAGAAGACGCCCTTCCACAAGCGGCCGGGGGGCCGCAGGCAGCAGCCGCGGCTCAGGAAGCAGTAGCGGCCAATGGAGATGGCCGTGCTGCCGCCGGCCGCAGCGCTGCCGCTGCTGGTACCGCCGGCGCCGCCACTGCCGCCATTGCCCGCGCCAGAACTGCCGCCCGACGCCGAGGCCGGCAGGGACCGTACAAGATCGCCCCGGATCATGACATCCTGCTGGATGACGCTCTTGCCGCCGAGGATAATGTTTTGCGTGCCGACGAGCGTGGCCTTGCGGGAGACTTTGTTGCCGGTGTCCTGGGAAGTGTTAGGCGGGAGGCAGCTCAATCTGAAGAAGACAGGCAACCTACCGTCTCAATGTATTCTCCTTTCACGGATCTTCGCGACATGGTGGATCGCGTGTAGACCACATGGGTCGTGTGGTCGAGGTGTCAACGACGATGTGATGTTGCAAATTCGTGAATGCTATATCGCGATAACATGTCCCCTGAAACGCGGTGAAGCTCCAAGCTTCAGTGACCTACAAAAGTGGGTAATGAGCGGTGCTTAGTCATTTTAGGTTGGCTCATCAACGTACCACCAGCTTTCAGTTGTGTTATTCGTCTACGAAATGCACATTTTTCCAGCCAGCCGGTATATTTGTTTTCAAAAGTAAAACAGAATAAAATGTACGTCGAATTCTACCTTTTATTATCCAAAGGACTTTCTTGCAAAATACAATTGTTCCAGTTGCTTTTATTAATTTATTAAACATTAAATTATTCACTTTAAAACACAAGAACGCCTTCCATTTTCACATCGAACACAACTACGGGCTAAGCACACTGACAAGGTAGTCGGTGGCGTTGGCCATGGCGGCGTCAATGACAGTCATGTGCGTGGCGCCGGTGTAGACCTGCTCGACAATGTCCACGCCGCCGGCTTTCAGGTTCTTGACCATGGCGGCCGTCGTAAAGGGGAAGACCGTGGTGTCGGCGGAGCCCTGCAGGACGAGGACGGGCTGGGGGATGCCGGTCAGGTAGGTCGGGTCGTTGTCCTTGAGCTGGGCCAGGACGTCGGCGAGGCGCGCGTGGGCCTGGACGAGGTCGTTGGCGCCGAGGCCGCCAAAGGACGTGGGGTCGTCGAGGGCGGCCGAGCACGCGGTGAGGGTCTGCGGGTAGAGGGCGGCGGCGTCGGGGGTCATGATGTCTACGACGTCGAGGGAGGCGTTGGCGATGCTGAGGCCGCGCACGATGAGGGCGACGGTGCCGGAGAGCGCGGTGGTGTTGCCGACGGCGTCGAGCAGCGGGACCTCGGACTCGAGGCTGTTGGCGGGCGCAAAGGCGATGGTGGCGCGCACGTCGAGCTCGGGCGTGTACGCGGGCGCCAGGGACGCGGCCCAGAGCGCCGCGTGGCCGCCCTGCGAGTGGCCCGCGATGACGACGCGCGCGCTGATGCGCGCGTCAAACTGGCGCGCGGCGCGCACAATGTCGAGCACGGCGCGGCCCTCGGAGGGCCCGATGAGGTACGGGTGGTCGCCGGGCGTGCCCAGGCCCTCGTAGTCGGTGCGCACGACCGCATAGCCCTTGCGGACCCAGCCGCCCAGCAGCTTGTCGCGCGTGTCGGCGTCCGAGGGCGGGTCGTTGATGGTGGGCGCGCACTGGTCGGCGATGCCGGTGGTGCCGTGGGCCCAGGTGACGACCGGCCAGCCGCCGTGTGGCGCGTCGCCGTCGGGGATGACAATGGAGCCCGACGTGGCCACGGTGTTGCCGTGGACGCCCTCCTGGGTGTACAGTACCAAAATGTTGGTGCCGCCAGCAATGGCGGAGACGCCGTCGGTGTATCCGCGGTACCAGACGACGGAGCCGTGGTCGCTGTCGGGCAGCGAGTCCGGCGGTGTGTAGAAAGCGGTGCTGCTAGGGCCGACGGGCAGGGGAGCCGGGCAGGCGGGCGGCGCATCCTGGGCGAGGGTCGGGGGTGCAAAGAGCGCGGCAGCAAGGCCGAGGGCGAGCGCGCCTGCACGGGCTGGCGAGATGCGGCGTACCATGGTGTCTGTGTGTGTATGCGTATGTGTGTTGTGAAAAGTCAGACGAGAAGGTGATGTCTGGTCGACGACAAGAGTAAAGAGCAAACAGATGTGGTTCAACCTGGTGGGACGCCGGCATACTTATGAATCCTGCATTCCTCGCAGTGATCCTGGCGGCGGCTACGGTCTGTCGACGCCAGCCGCCGGGCAGTGCCATCTTCATCCACGTTGTGCCCTTCCCCGCGTCTGCTTCGTACAACCCTGCATCGCTTGCAAACAACGCTTGCAAACAACGCTTGCAAACGGTCGCCTTTGGCTCGTTGCGACCTACCCAGTCTGGAGTCTGGGGAAATTAAAATTACCTCGCCAGAGACATGCCCCGAGAGGCCGACCACGACGAGGCATCCGTCCTAGCACCGTCACGTCCTAGTTCCTTGGTGTGTGGCAGGTGTCGACGTAATATCACTCCTCGAGACTTTTGCGAGTCCGAGTTTTGCTTCCGAGTAGCAAGGAAACAGGGAAGAAAGGGGCGAGAGGGCGTTGTTCTAGAAGGAAGCGCACAATGCTTACTCCTACCATGGCAGTGTCTTTTGTAGTGCCTCCCAAGAGATCGTGTGCTCGTCAAGTCGACAGAAAACGACACGAGAAGCATGGACCAGTGAAAGCAGTCTAAACAACGGTCTCGTCGACATGTAAGATTAACATTTTCAGGAACCAAGCGCCGCCCCAGAAGAGACACCCGGATGGACATCAAAAGGCGCTACAAGGGAGTCAAAGCAGCCAAAACTAACCAATTGCAGCCAGTTGTAACAATTTGGCACGCACCCCGCAGACATTACCTGCCAAACTGGGCGGTTTTGGGAGTAGTCAAGTCTTTATGTTTGCGCTTTGTTTTGATGTGGATTTTACGACGAGTACGGGAAGGGCAATGGATGGATGTTTGTGTTGTCCGCGACATTCAACGTAAATAAAACTCAGACATGGGCGGCAGGGCGGGTACTCTGGGCCCAGTGGGCAGTGGGCAGTGGCCAGTGGGCAGTGGCCAGTGGGCAGCGTGGTGATCGATCGCGGCTCTGTTTGTCTGGATGTTGATCTTGTTGATTTCGAGTGATGATAGTCTGGGATTTTCGTTTGACGGGATCCCACTGGACCTTCCCACCGGATTCACACTGGAATGCTGCCTTCCTCTCAGGGCTGAGCCACTTTGAAGAGGACAGGGGATGGAAAACACGGAGCAGGGGAGGATGGAGGTGAATTTATGCTTTATTCTAAATTGTACTCCGCCCGGTAATAGCTCAGGCGCTTTGTTTCCCTTCCTATTTCGTGTTGTATGACGAAAGCACCGTGCATCGCAACGCAGGAGTTCACAATGGCGATGCGCCGACCGAGACTTTGCCGTCTTCAAAGAGGGGGAACTGGAATGGCGACTTCGACTTTCACATGGCTCTCTTGGTCACCGCGTTGCCGAGCACCACAACAGAAAGACGGTAAGCTGCGAGGGGATTGGCTCGGCCAGGCGCAAAACTGGGAAGAGGATGGCTGGTCCCGGGGCCAATGGCGTGGACAGAAAAGGCAGAGGGGCTTCAGTCAGCCCATGTCGAAAGCGGAGGTTGGGTAGTGAGAGCGTGAGATGCGCTCGCCTACGAGATGCAAGCCACACCCTACAAAGTACGTCGTATTCGTGGATGTGCTTGGAAACACGGTCACACATTGTCGTCCGCCGCACATTTTACACACCGGGGACGGTGCCTTGCATTAAAGGTGCAAAGAAGTGGTGTGAGGCGCTGGAAATCAGGAGAGCTCGAGAGTTGTAGCTGCAGTTGTGCTCGGAAACGTCGATTCTCTCAGTTCGTGCCTTCGTGTCTCTTTCCGCTCAACTCCTCGGAAGAGTATATTTGAATAAATGAATATAGCTTGAGAGATCATCGCGGAAAACGCACGGCGCCTCTTACTGAAATCGTGTATCCGCAAACTGCTTGAAAGACAACCGGCACACGACACACAACGCGGATACTGCAAAGAAAGCCAGAGTTCTGGACAAGCCCCGGGCGCCCATTTGCGGGGATTGTTCTCGTTGCCTTGGCATTTCAGGACTGGACTTGGAGACTTGGTTTTGATTCCTGCCAAACGGGTACTCAAGCAGGGGTATGTTGCGAAGCTCAATACGACCCAAAAAGCCTTTACCGAAAAACGCCACACTTGTTACGGTGTAGTGCAATTGGCCGGTCCAGCCGAGAAGCAAAAGCATGTGCTTCGTGCCAGTACGTCGTACGCAACATTCACAGAAGAGGGGCAGCAGGGGGGTGTCATTTGCAGGACTTTGTCTTGCCCTGCCTTGCCACCAGAGGTCGTTTCCGTGCGAGCCCTGATGAGGGGACACCGAAGTCTGCGTTTTCGGCCATGCTATGTGGGCCATCAAGTCACGGTAGAAGGATATGAGGTTAAGAGAGAGAAAGAGACGGGGGAGACAGGTCCACCGATCAGCATGCGGAGAGATCGCCGATCACCAAGACAAAGAAACAGAGAAAAATAGAATGAGACAAGGTTCACGATGAGACGTAGTAAAGGACAAACTGAAAGACAAGGAACAAACGTCGAAAGAAACAAGAAAGACAAAAGACTCTTAAGAACAAAGTAAAGTAAAAAGTCAAGAAACGAGACGCATTTGGAAAAAGGCGGCTGAGATTGGTTCTTCCACTTCATGTTCCCTCTGGTTTGCCCTCGCAACTCGTTCCGTTTTGGTGAGAGAATAATCCAGTTCGATGCACACCGTCGCCCAGTTACGCAACCCACATTGTCTCCATTTGACGCCGTTCGTATTCTGCCTTTTGTTTCTCGTCTTTTTGCCCGCTTGCCCTTCTTGTCTTTCTTGCCTTTCGTGTCCCGTATTCACCACAGCCCGGCTGTCCCCGGCTGCATGGCCTTGCAGTAGAGCAGAAGCAGGCTGCAGTAGCGTGGAAGCACGCCGCCTTTGCCTTTTGCTCGCCATGGGAAGAGCCGCGAGAAAGGTCCTGCGCACGGCGTGCCTCTGTTTGCAGTTTCACATGTGAAGCTATGCGACAGCCGAAAAGGAGGGGAAGGAAAGGCGGGAAGGGGAAGGTGGGAAGACGAAGCCGGAGACGAAGGTGGAGGAGGCCATCGCGGAATCGACAAAAGGCGATGACGAGCGTGTGAGAAAAAGGAAAAAAAAAAAAAAAAAAAAAAAAAAAAAAAAGAAAACAAGAAACGAAACAGAACTGCCAATCACCGGAGACACCATCTTGTCTGCCTGTCTTGGTGTTGACTATGCCACTTCCGTGCAGAAGACGTCCTTGTTCCATGACACGCAGCCGTCATCGTCGCCACATTGTTGTTGCATCTCACCACCATCACCACTCTTCACTGTAGGTTGCACAAATTTCTACTTGCCATTGCAGGTGGCCATGCCGATCGTTGCGCCAGATGAGGGCAGTGGTCTGTTGCAGGCGATAGATTGAGCAAGAAAAACCATAGCAGAATCAAAGGCACTCTCTGAAGCTTCGTAAGACGCAAGAGACACGGAATTGAAAAGAAAAAAATCGAAAAACACTCGTAAGAAGAAAACGAAGAAAAAGCAAATACAAAACTAGGGCCGGAGCTGCCAGACTCGATCTGGCGGTGCTCCGCTTAGTCCGGGGGCGGGGAGTGGTGGAGGCCGTGGAGGCGTGGAGGCTGTGGAGGTGCTCTAGAGCTGGAATCAAGGAAAAAGTGAAGAGGAAAAGAAGAAAAACGGACGACCGAAAAACCGAAAACAAAACACGCCAACGACTTACACCAGCAGTGACCAATCGCAGCGCCGCCTCTCAGTCCTGGCCCTTGGCAAGCGGCGACCTCCTCACCCGTCTCTTTTTCTCTGGCGAGACTCCCTCTCCTCTCCTGAGGTCAACCTCGCAGACAAGTCCACGCATGGTAGTCCGTGGTCCGGTCGTCCTCTTGACCAAAACAGCAAGGATGAGCACGACCAGGCCTGCTTCCCCTCTATCAGAAGCTTTTTTCCTCGTCTGGTCCCGGAATCTAGCCCGCCCAGTCCCATGTGGAACGGCCTCTTCCTTTGCGCGTGGACGGTCTCGGGCTTGGCTGCCCATCTTTAAGTACCAAGCAGATCCTCCTCTGGCGTATATGCATAGCTTCTTGTTGCTTCTCTCCTCTCTCCTCTCTCGTCTCTCGCTCTCTCGCTTTTCTCTCTTGCCGTACCTCATCTCTGCTGCCACGTCGTACTCTCGCTCTTGACTCGTCCTTGCGTCCATATCGACTCGTTCATCACTCGTTTGGAGCCTCCCCATCCCCCTCACCTCCTGCGTCTCTCCTCCACAATGAAGTACACCTCCTTCCTGCTGGCTCTTGCTGGCACGGCCGCCGCCATCGACGAGTCCCTCATCATCCAGGACGACGGCGGCAGCAACACCATCAACGGCTATGCCAGCCGCATCCCCGTCTGCGCCAACCTCTGCATCTTCCAGGCCGCCGTTGCCGTCGGCTGCGACACCGACGACTACCACTGCCAGTGCTCCGACACCAAGTACGACCAGCTGATTGCCCTCACCCACAACTGCCTGGACAAGTCGTGCAGCCCTGCCCAGGCCAAGAACGCCCACACCCTCAGCAACAAGATCTGCGGTGCCGTCAAGCGCGGTCTGCCCGTGCTCAAGCGCGCCGCCGCTCCGGCCCCTGCCCCTGCCCCTGCGCCGGCCCCGTTCCCTGCACCCGCCCCTGCGCCGGACGCCTTCCCGGCGCCTGCCCCCGAGCCCGAGATCCCCGATGATGTCGTCGCTGCCTACCTGGCCCGTCGCGATGCCGACACCGGCTGCGGTTCCCCCACGACCGTCCAGACCGTCCAGGCCTCCCACATCCCCACCGCCAGCCTGATCCCCTCGCCGACCACCACTTCGACGCCGACCTCGGTGACCACGGCCGGCGCGGTCGTCCACGGTGTTCCTGTTGCGGCCGTGGCCGGTGCCGCCGTGGCCGCGGTGGCCATGATGCTGTAAAGCACAGGTTGGGGGAGATCCTCTCATTACTCAACACGGCGTTTTGGTTTTGCGTTGACTTTTGTTTTGATTTTTCACACTGATTGGTCATATTTTCATATGTGGTGAATGGTACGGTACTTGGCCGCCGCTGGCCCACGACACTCATTTGATACCCACTCTGGACACTCGTTACGCGGACCCATACACTTACACTCCTTTGATACCCACGGATACATATACACACCCATAGACACTCCTTATTTTACTGTACGCATGCATTGTTGTTGACGTGGAAGCAACAAGGAAGAGCGACATAAGGGGAACTAATCGGATAGACGTTCGAGAAACATGAAGTGGGAGGACAACATTCAATAGAAATAGTTGAACAACGCACGACACTTTTTCTGAATTAATGTGTGGCAGCAATGCCACTCTAATCACTGAACCATGGTTCTATTATCATACACGAGTTGTAAACATACAGCCTAACGTCTAATCTCTAAAAATGCATTGTCTACGATGTACCCATTTGGGAAAGCAAGAAACCCAAACAGCCCCGTCTACACCTTGTACAACATCCTGTCACTCCACTCCCTCAGCCGGGACCAAAGATGCCCAGAGCGCCGTTCTTGCCGCCATCAAACAACGCGCCGGCGTCGTCCAGAGCGGCAAATTGGCCCGCCAGCGCCATGCCCCGGCGGCGCTCGCGCTCCACATTCTTCCACGTCCACGTCTCGCCGTCGCTCTCGCTGTCCGTCGTCGGCGTCGGCGATTCGCTCATGAGCTCGGCCTCGTCGGCGTCGTCGACGGTGCCCACGGCCTCGGCCCCGCCGCCGCGCCAGCCGTCGCCGGGCCGCGTCGGCAGCAGGCCGCTGGCCTCGATTAGGTACGAGGGGTGCACGGTGAACCGGCCGAGCTTGAACACGTACTTGCTAACAGCCGTCGCGATGACGTACTTTTGCAGGTTGGCCTCGTCGGCGGCGGTCCACGCCTTTTGGGCCGTTGGGCCCCCCTGCCAACCGTCCCAGCCGGCTGGCCGCACCTTGCCCTTGACGACAAAGTGCGTCACAATGTACAGCCACTTGCGGTCCCACGCCAGCACGCGGCTCCACATCTCGTACGGCTGGTACGGCGCAATCTCCTTGCGGAAGCTGCAGAAGACGGCGCCCAGCCCGACGCCGAGGCTGCCGGCCATGGGCGTCACGCCGTCCGCGGGCGACGGCACGATTTTGGTCGACGCGTTGCGCCCGACGGCCGCGAAGCCGGGGCCCAGCAGGTACATGACGAGGTGCGTGCGGCTGGCGTCGAGGTCGGCAAAGTACGTGCTGTTGGACTTGTGGAAGTTGTAGTCCGTCTCCAGCAGCGACGTGCGCGAGCGCGTGATGCTGTAGTGGAACAGCGCGGGCGGCGGCAGCGGCTTGCGCGGCCACAGCGTGTGCCGGATCAGCGCGCAAAAGATGCGCGCCGTCCACGCAAACGGCAGCGACTTGAGGTTCAACGCCATGAACAGCAGCAGCAGCAGCCGCGACGTGCGGCCCGGCCCCGTCAGGAAGCGCACCGCCCACGCGCGGACGTCGCCGTCGTGGCGTGCGAGCACCGCGCGCACGGCCCACGCGGCCGACGCGGCACCCGCCACGCTGAAGACGGGCACGACGACGGACATGTTGGTGAGGGACGACCCCGCGGCGGAGGCCATGGCGGCGTTGAGGCGGCGGCGCAGGGGCGCAAGCAGGCCGCGGAGGGAGCGCGGGAGGTCGGACAGGAGCGCTATCCTTGCTTCGACGCGGCGGCGGCGCGGGCCCTCAGTGCCGGTGCAGGGTGAGGTGCCGGTGGTTGTCGAGGAGGAGGAGGAGAAGGAAACAAAAAATGGCGGACGGCGCCGGCAAGGAGGCCGAGGATGACGACAATCCAGAGAGGCGCGGCGCGGACGTAGCAAATCAGGGTGCTGCTGCACTTGGTAAGGAGTGACGGCGCAAGAGAGGGAGGCGACATGCGCGTGGGGGTGTCGTAACGGGGCTGTCGATGGTGGACGAAGACGTAGGGACAACTTGCCGCAGAGAGCTTGTAGGTGACGTGCATCCCTTATATTTGATTATTATTATTATTATTTTATTTTTTAGAGAAAAATGTTCCCATCTCCCGAGCCAAGAGACAAGATCGCGCCTTCCGCGTATGTCGTTCGAATTGGGTCCGTTAAGATCCCTTCCAGCCAATGGGAGTCTACGGAGCGTATATGGGGCCACTGAAACGGCCAAACCAGTGCTGGAAGGGCTTAGGCCGCAGGCACACGCCGAGGCACTGTTTGTCCCCTAACCCAAACCGGAAAGTCGCGCCGTTCCCACTCGTCTTCCTTCACATGTCCACCAGCATAAAAGTAGTTATAAGCACGAAAAACGAACACAAAAAGGGCTTGGATTGCCCCCCGACGGCATTGAGCGTAGTCAGAAATGTTGAATAAATGTCACTTCGGTCTAGACGTCTCTTCGGTCCCTGGCATTCCCAACAAGCGGAAGTCCGGCTCGGGCCCTGAAAGCCGGCCGTTGGTATTACTGCGTAGAATATGAGAAGAAGAGCGACGATACATGGAAGGGAACCGGTAAGATCGACAGAGGTTGCATAGTTTTCTATCCGGGCGAGACGACTGTTTTGGGACGAATCCTACAAGCTGTAGCCATGCTTACATCCTTCCTTCACACCGCCTTGCAAACATCTTGTTCGCGGGCATCAACATCCAACTTACAGAGTGTACCCAGGGTTTACAAAATGTTCTGAACTTCTCGCGCACGAGTTCCTTTTGTGTTTGGATGCTTTATGTCAAGCTCTGTTGATTGGATTCATTGGAACGGTGGGCCGGACGCTAAGTCATTTACAAATCGGACATACATCGGAATCGTGGCGACCAGAAATTGATGCAGGCCCCATTTTGCGGTTGATAACCCCTACTACAATCATCTTCCTAGGACCTCCTCGTCGGCCATCCGTCCGACCTACAGGCGATGCACCAACGAGTTGCGACTGCGTAAGGTTGACGACAAGGAAACAGGAAGCGGACCACGGTACGACAAAGGCATCCCACTCGACAATGGGAAAGATGTGCAGGTGCCAGGGCAGCCAGATCGCGGCGTGGATGTTTCGCATGGACAGTCTCTGGCGCCACCGACGCCTTGTCACCTCCACCGCCGAGAGCCTCGTTGCTGCCACTGACGGCTGATGACGAGGACGCTGCCACCGCCGCACCGTCCCTGCTCGCGGCAGCCTTCACAGCCACCAAGTCGTACCGCGTCTCTGGGAGCAGGAGGGGGAGTGGGGGGGTGAATTAAACCCGTAGAAAAGAATGGTGTTGATGAGAGGGCGGCCGAAAAAGGAGGTAGATAGCTACGGTAAAAGAAGAAAAGAAGAAAAGAAGAAGAGAAGAAGAAAAGATTCAGGTACAACAAAGGGCATGTGCTACCAACAGCACAACCAAAGATTGCTGATATCAGGGCGACGAATGACGACAGCTTGAAGGATATGTGGCAACGGTAACAACGAAAGGATTGAACGAAAGGGAGTCTGCAACAGAAGACACCGACGGTACAAGGACGGCAGAGTGAGAGGGTCGCACCTGCCAACATTTATGTATATCAAGTGCACTTACCCAGACATGTCGTTCAAGTGCCAGATTCGGACCAGTATGACTCTTGTGGAAGGGACACCGATAGCTCCTGCCGCGCGGGCAAACATCTTGCCAGACAGGACCCGAAGCGGTGTCCGACGTCGACTGTAACGGAGCAGTTACTTCAGTGGGAAAATCACGAACATAGAGAGACATGCAACCATGACCAAGCCAACACATACACACGCATAGGCTCCCCATCCAAACAAGATTGGATATGCTAAACACCACTAGGCCGCAACAAAGAGAGTCAACAACGGGGCGAGAGAGACAGAGAAGAGGCTTGAGGGGAAGGCGACGAGTCTCCGTCGTGACTTATGCTCTCGACTCTGGAGATCTTGAATTTCATATCCTTCCTCACACGAAGCAGCTGGCACCTCTAGCAGGTGGTCGCCGTCCCGCCGCTGCAGGGAGCTTCCCCGAGATATCCATACAGCGTTCTACTGCCCATCTACTGGCCAGATTCTGTCAAGGCGAACGAAAATATGAACAATGCCAGGCGGCCGTTCACCACTCACGAACAAACTACCCATGCAGATCTTTAGGCATGAATGCCTGCCGTGCTTGTACAGTAGCTGCCTGCCAGTTGTCAGTCAGTTGCCTTCCGCCTGTCTGTCGCCAGTGTTGCTTGCTTTGGTCACAGAAAAGTCAACTTGGCCAAGTTCGTCTGTAGAGTTCTTTCGATGCCGCAGCTGCTTAGCCAACGATGTTGAGTTTGGGCGCCGTCTCATATCCTCCCAAAGCTGCCTCGTCTTTCGGGTCGGATGCAGGGTTTGCTGGACAAAATGTTTGGATGTGATTCAACGTTTTGTCCCGTCGGAATTGGCTTGTGTTGGCTGTGTTTGCCCCCGATTCTAGCCATCCCGCTATGGCTGCCTTTCTAGCGACTGTTTTACGACTTTCGAGACCACCAAAACCAACAAACGCTCAGGTATCGCCAAGCTCGACCTTGTTTACTCCGCTTACACAAGGACTCGTTTTCCACAACGTTTCCAGCCGCAACAACGACGAGCCTCGCATGTTTTATTGTATGGCTCGCATTTGCATTTTTTCTCAAGGTGAAATGCGTTTTGCGAGCGCTGACTCGCGAGGCTGTGCCGAACATCAAAAGCCAGGCCTCTAGTTTATTGGCAGAGGATCTGTATGCAGCTCCACAGCAGCTCGGGCCTCGCATAATCCCGGACAGAGCCTCCTGGACTCTTCCCCGCCTTGAAGTTGAGGTCACTCCGAGACATGAGGAATAGGCTGCCTTGTGCTGCAGGGCTGCGCCTGACCACAACCTGAGCGAACAGTAAAAGGCGACAAAAAGGCGACAAGAGCGAAAGGCAGCAAACAAACGTTTAAAGCGCAGGTTTCCCGCAAGGCGCTCAGTGTACGCCTTTGATGATGGTCACATGGCATCATCTCGTTGACAACACGTATCAGTTAAAAGGACGACCGAGCTTCACGAGTCACCTATTTCCATGTCCAACTTGACCATTTCCAATCTCCCCTCGTCGTACCTTTTGTTCAGCCTTCGGCGACCGTGGCACTCTTTCGCGGGCGGCATCTCTTGTCATTGATAACAGTGTTTCGAACAGGATCTTTGGTGGATGCCGGTCCACAACTCCCAAGCATACGCACTCTTGCAGCAATGTCTGCGCTCAGGTCTACATACACTTCGATAACACAGCCAATAATCACTTGCTGGAGCACCGACTCCCTCTCCCCACAATGAGGCTCCTTCACGCGGCATCGCTGAAGTTCAAGGACTTTCCTGACTCTGCTACCATCCCACCGTACGCCATTCTGTCGCACACATGGGAGGACAAGCAAGAGGTCACCCTGCAAGACATGTCCTCGCCCTACCTGACCGACAAGAAGGGCTACGCCAAGATCACGTCGACCTGCACACTGGCACTCCAGCGCGGCCTCGAGTGGGCTTGGATCGACACGTGCTGCATCGACAAGACCAACAACACGGAGCTGACCGAGTCCATCAACTCCATGTTCAACTGGTACCAGTGCGCCGCAGTCTGCTTTGTGCACCTGGTCGACCTCGATGCGTCACCGTCCGCTCGTGTCTCGTCGGACAATGACGGCGGCAACAATGCCGAGGACGGCCACTCACACCGCGACTACGTCTACAACCAGATCCGACGCTGTGCATGGTTCAGGCGCGGCTGGACCCTCCAGGAGCTCTTGGCGCCCCATATGGTCGAGTTTTACGACGCGCGCTGGTCACCCATCGGCTCCAAGATCGACTTGGCGCCCTTGCTGGCCGACATCACGCACATCCCCGTGCCGGCCATTCTCGGCGAAGAGCGCCTCAGCAGCTACTCGACGGCCCAACGCATGGCCTGGGCATCGCAGCGCGTCACCACGAAGGTCGAGGACCTGGCCTACTGCTTGCTGGGTCTGTTTGACGTCTACATGCCCCTGATCTACGGCGAGGGCCGGCGCGCCTTCCAGCGTCTGCAGGAGGAGATCATCAAGCGCACCACGGACCTGACGCTGTTTGCCTGGATGCCCTCAGACGCCGCGGCAGGCGACGACCTGCCGTCCACACAACCGGCTGGCCGGGAACCATACATGCCGCTGCTGGCTCCATCGCCTGCGGAATTTGAGCACTGCCACCAGCTGTCGCAGTTCCGTAACGACGATTGCGAGTTTGCCGTGACCAACCGGGGCCTGCGCATCTCCACGTATCTCGTGCTGGTGCCACTGGCGCTGGACATGGAAGACCACCGCACACATGGCCACAGCCATGCCCATTCTCACAGCCACAGTCACAGCCGCAGTCCTGTGTACGGAGTCGACTCCGAGGTAGGCGGCGGCAGCAATGTCAGTGGTGGCAGCAGCAGCCCACCCATCGGGACGACTGGGTCGACCCGCCGAAAGCCGACGGCCGTGCAGTACACGCGATACCGCTATGTGCTGAGCGTCGGCTTCGCGCGCGGTGCCGCGTCCGAGATTGGCATCTCACTAAAGAAGGTCGGGCCGGGCCTGTTTCTGCGTGACGCCAATCCTTCGCTGGCGTTCTTGTCCAAGAGCAAGCTCAAGTCCACCAACACGACCGAGAACCACTCGTTTTACATTATTATGCACCCCAACACGGTCCCCACGGCCTCGGCCTCGGGCCGGTCGGCGCGCAATGAGACGCTGTCGATGGTGTCGGCCTCATCGCCAACGCTGCCACCGGCACCGTCCGTGCTCGCCGGCGGGGGCGTCGAGTCGCCCCGTCTGTCGACCGCCCAGCTCCTGCTGCCGCACCACAGCCAACAACAGCAGCCGCCGACGGTGCCCACTACTTCGGCGGCGGCCGTCGCCGCCGCCACGGCCACGCTCACGGCCCACCAGAAGCTCTGCGCCGTCTACCACCCGCGCCTCTTCCCGCGCGGCATGCACATCCCCTACTTTGGCGACCGCCACATCTACTTCAGCTCGTTCCCGCCGCAGTCGTGGGACGAGCGCACGCGCATCTTCTGCCAGCCCGAGTCGCGCAACGACGTCGTCGCCTTTTCGTGCGCCAGCCGCCAGGGCCCCGACGGCCGCGACAACCTCTCCTTTGGCGTCCTCGTCGACTACCGCCTCAAGCGCGACGGCCCGCGCTGCCTCGTCATCAACCGGCACGCGCTCGACAGCCGCTTTCTTTTTGTGCTCTCCATGCGCCAGCAGGGCGAGCCTGTGCGCTGGTACGTCATGGAAAACGAGCTGCCACAGATCTCGGCGAGCACCAATGTGCTGCGCATGACCGTGGGGAGCAGCGCGCAGGCGGCCGCCGCAGCGGCGGGCCAGCCGATCAACACGGCGACGACGCGGACGTACGAGGTGGTGGCATCCATCATCGAGAGCCGGGTGCAGATTGACGAGCACACCGTGATGATGCCCACCTTGGACATTAAGATCACCCGGGTGTGATGGCACGGAGGTCCAGTTGGCTTATTTTCTCATATTTCTGGCATATCTGGTAATTTTTTTATTTTTATTTTTATTTTTATTTTCATTTTGGCGATTTATAAAGGTATAGACTGTATTCGTTGCATTATTTAAGTTAATTTTATTTCGTCTATGTATTCATTTTTATTTCCAAGACTGCACCGTGAACTGGGCGTCGCTAGCTAAGATCCATCCAAAATGTCATATTAATATTCAGTTTGCACGGTATAATTGAGGCCGGACGTCAGGACAGGTCAATTCCCGTCACAGTCGTGCGTCGAATCCTGTCCAGCGAGCAAGATAAGTCAAAGTGGTATATTTCTATGGTATTGTTCGCCGTCTTGGTTATGTCATCACTCCGATATATACAGGAAAAGACAAAGGAGAGCACAAAATCAGACACATACAGATACGCCATTGTCAATTTGGAGCAAGCAGAAACATCCATCAACAAGTCTAACAAAGCTGTCTATGTTGACCTTGTCGCAAAAATAAGAGAGATAAAGGAAAGAGATTGAGAAAAATGAGAGATGGGTATCGTTGAACTCCAATCGACGCAGTTCGTAGAAGCATGGAAAACAAGCCTCTGAAAAGAACAAAACAAAAGAAGCACACAGCAACGGCCGGCGGGGCGGCCACACCTAACTGTACCACGACGCCTTCTTGCCGGCGTCGAGGCTGTACAGGATGCGGCAGCGCTCCGCCTGGCACACCTTTTCACGGCCCAGGTTCTTGAACTTGGGGCCGGCGGGGCCCTCGGTGTAGTGGTACTGGCCAAAGAGGCGCCACTGGCGCGGGTCGCCGAGCTCGTAGAGGGCGTCGCCCCAGAGGCCGCGGAAGTGGAACCACGAGGTGGGCGCGTCCGGGTTGGTCGAGGCCGGGGTCAGGCTGGTCGGCGGGACCCACGGGCCGCCGGGCGTCTTGTCCTTTTTCTTTTTCAAGGACGATTTCGAGGCGGACGAGGAAGCGGAGGAGCGGCTGTCCTCGTCGACGACATCATCGTCGTCGTCGTCCTCATTCTCGGGGTCGTGCGAGCCGGCGTCGCCCTGCTCGCGGTCCAGCACGTAGTCGTAGTGGAAGGCCAGGTTGTTCAGGGCCGGGTCCCAGAGCGGGCCCTTGTCGGTCTCGTCGCGCAGCATCTTAAAGGGCAGCACGTACGGGTGCGTGCCGGGCAGCGCATACATGGCATGGCTGCCGACGGCCGAGTAGATGACGGGGCGCTGGATGCCGGTGGTGGAGGACGCGTTGTTGTACTTTTCGAGGGCACTCCATGCATACGCCTGGCCGCCGGCGTGCTCGCTCAGGTAGAGGGCACGCGGCACGCCGTTCTCGAAGCGGACCATGCAGTGCTCCCAATCCCCGACGTGGTTGCCGTAGCGGACCTTGAGGACGGTCTGACCGAGGTTGTAGCTGTAGAAGAAGAACCAGAAGGCGTCCAGAATGCCCGAGCCCTTGTCGACCATGACGAGGATGGCGGGGGCCGCGGAATAGCCGCTCGTGTCAGGCTTGTAACCGTGGACGGGGGATTCCTGTGGTGTGTCGTCTGTGTCGTCGTGGTCGTCACCGCCCATGACAGACTGGGGCGCGTCGCCGACGACAATCTGGTGGCGCTGAGCCCCGGTCGAGGCGGCCACGGCAGCGGCCGCCCGCTCATGCAGCAGCTGGCGAACGCGTGCCTCCTGCGGACCGTTGAAACGGGTCAGAGCCTCGCGCGGGCCCTTGGCCTGGCGCATGGCCATGACCTCTTGCGGCGTGGGCAGCTTGCGCGGGTCCGAAATGCGGTTGAGCGGGTGGTCCTTGTCGACGGCAAACCAGGTGGTATCATCCGAGAACTTGTGGTCGGGCTGCTCGTAGTCATGGCCGTTGCGGATGTCGGGGTTGGTGTGGGGGTTGCTGCCGTCGCTGCCGTCGTTGTTGTTGCCATCAAACGGAAGGGGGATGCCGTAGTGTGAGTGCAGCCACTCCGGACGGCTCTCGACGTCGACCTCGCTGGTCAGGGTCACGCGCGTGCGGTAGTGGTTGAGGGTTTCGTAGAGGTTGTCGAGCGTCAAGGGGTGCGAGCCGTTGGGGCGGATGATGTCACCGGTCTTGCGGTCGCGGATGGCCGAGCCGTTGGTCGCGGGGATCATGTGCTTAACGTGCTCGGCAATGTGCGATGGCCAAAAGTTCTCGCCGGAGAAGAGGTGGACGAGCGGCGCATGGTCGAGGACGTACTGCGGGATGGCGTAGGGGTCTTTGGGCGGGGACGGTGGCGGCGAGGCTGCCCGCTTCCGCAGTTCGCCCATGGCCGGCCCTTCCGTGTCGGTGGATGGCTCCCGCACGGCCGGCTCGTCCGGCGCATCCGGGCTCTCTGATGTCGAGGTGGAGACGGCAACAGTCTTCGCACGCCCCGCAATCTCCCAGCTCTCGTCGCCCGTCGACTCGCGCGACAGCCACTTGTAGCTGTCGCTGACGGCAAACAGCTCGCGAAGCTCGAGAGACTTCAGATCCAGGCCGAGCTCGTGGCCATCGTCGTCGTTGTCGTGGCGCTCGTTGGTGTGGTTGCCGAGGGCGGGAGCATCCCAGCGCAGGTGGTGCACGCCACACAGACTGAACCAGCGGCAGGCCTGGCGATCAAGCCAGTAGGGACTGGAGTCGATCCATTTCTTGTCGCGGCGTTTCTCCTCGGCCGAGGGTGGTGTCGGGTTGAGGACGGTGGGCAGGTAGGTGAAGACGAAGATGACGAGGCCGATGGAGATGGCGGTGATGGTGAGCCGCCGGACGTGATACATTGTGGAGGAAGGGAATCACGGAAGACCGGCTACGATCGCCAGCCGGTCGTCGAAGAGGAGCAGACGGAAAACAGGACGGGCCGGCGTATCCGACAATCGCAAAGCATTGGCAGAGGAAAGATGTCAGAGGAGTGTCGATGTTGTTTAGGGGGAGGATTTGGGTGGCTGGGAAAAGGCGGAATTGGTCCAACGTCGAGTGGCGCTGGAACGTCTCCGTCGCAGACAGAGGAGAGAGGTCGAAGGTCTGCTGTCAACAGCAGGGTAAAACAGAGGTGTAGTAAACAGAAGAAGAAGAAAAGGAAGACGGAAAAGAATGAGAGGCGAAAAGAATGAAAGTCGGACTAAGCGCTGTGACGAATACGGATTTGGCAGTGTTGGGCAACGAGAACGAACGATGTGCAGGTGCAATTGACGGCGCAACACTGGCTGCGCCCAGATCCGAAGAGTAGAGGTACACTGAATTGACAGAGACATATATATAGCCACAAGTACCACTACATCGGTCCCACACATGACGTTGCCGCTTCGGCAATGCCTGGGACCCACTATTTCGTTAGTTGGCTTTGCGCCTCTCTGGGCAGAGGGCGAGAGGGCCAGAGAGCCTGACTCGCTGGGCCCGCCTTGCCTCTTCCAGGGCTCCAAGATTCCAGTGGCCCATGTGCTGGTGTGGCGCCTGTGGCCCATGTGCCATGTGCGCCAGACGTGCAGAGCGCAGGGCTTACGCCAGGAACCAAACAGGAACCCGGAAACAGCCACGATGCCGTGCTGCAGGTGTTGGTCCATATATTGCGTGACAGAAAAGGAAAGGAGCCGACATCGCCTCTCCCATTCAAGTGAAACATTGCAGCAACACATGCATGTCGATAAAGTGGACAGGCGACTGTCGCGGCTTTCTCAACTTTCTCCCCCGAACGAGACGAGCTGATGCCAACGACAATGACCACCACGGGATGGAACCATAGGCGGTCGAGGATGCGTCTGTCGGCGGTGGGTGCTGCGGGCTGTATGGAGTATGGAAATTGGCAGCACCCCGTGATAACTGCGATATCATCTCGTTCCCCTTCCCGTTCGGAAACGACCATAGCACGGTGCGCTTAAAGCGGCAGCTCTTTGGCGGGCGGCCTTTGCACAGGCGTCATGTAGCCATCATTCAAGCCGGAGGTCCGTCTCAAAGTCCGTGACTGGACTGACTTTGTACGCTTGAGAAGGGTTGACTGCGAGGCTGCAGATGCACCAGCTATCCACGACACTCTGCAGTTGTCCTACGCCGCTTCATTGCCTTCACGTTGGACATAGTCCCTTGGTAAACCGTACTTCGCCTTCATAAGTCATAGCATACAGCATCTTGATAATAGTACATCGTATCGTAACAGGGGGTGCTGCCAGCAGCAGACGGACGCTCACTCGCCGTCGTCGTAGTCTTCGCTCAACGACGCTTCGTCGTCCTCCGCGTCGCCCGGCACTTCGTCGCCGCCGCCGCCCTGGCTTCCGTGTCCGTTTTGAGACAACGCCAGCAGGTCGTCGTCGCCCGCCACCCGCGCAATCTGTGAGAAATCAGACACGCGGCTGCGGCCACGGCGGGCTGCCGCGCGGCGTCGTCGTTGGGCCGACTGTGGCTGTGGGCTGGCCACGTTGTCGGCATCGGCGTCGACATGGCCAGCATCGGCAGCACCAGCCGCCGCGCCGGCCTCGGTGTCGCCGTCGGCTCCGCCTTGCCCGCCGCGCAACCGCTTTGCCCGCCGCTCCTGGTGCACCTGCAACTGCGTCTCCCGCCGGGCGCGCCGTTTGATCTCCGCCGCATCGCCCCGAACGGCATTCTGCTTCGTCTCGGTGGCCTGGACGGTGACGACGTCCTGCTCGCCGCGGCGGTGCTTGAGAGCCATGAGCTGCTCGAGGAAGGACGCCTGCTGCTGGCGCTGCACGGAGGCGTTGTTGCCGACGGGGATAACGAAGCCGAGGCTCTTTTGGGGGGCGGCCGTAGACACGCTCGAGGCGCCCGCTGTGGCAGCAGCATGGTCCGCCTTTTTCGCCTTGGGAACCAACTCGGTGGGTGCACAGGTGATGCGTGCGGACGAGGCGCCCACCAGACGGACAGTGTCCGCCACCTGGATGCCGTGCGCATTGTCTGCCTCGTGTCCCTCTTCCGTCTTGGCAAACAGCATCTCCGTGCCAATGGTCTCGCTCCATGAGCCCTTGAAGATCATCCCGCGGTAGGCAACAATGGGTTCGGCCGTGTGTAGGTCGAGGATCTGGATGTCTGTGTCGTCGGGTTCGTCGGCTGCCAGCGGCTGTGTTGGTTGTGTCGGATTTCTGGTGGCAGGGCCGCCTGTGCCTGCCTTGGCCGTCTTGTTCTTGTTCCTGGACGTGTGTCGCATTGCACCGTCGCTCCGATCCGAGTCGCCGGCACCATCGCCGGCACTAGCACCGTCGCCGTCGCCAGCATTGTCGCTGTCGTCGCCTCCAAACCCGCGCAGGCCCGGTGCCTCCTCCACATTCAGCGGGTTCTGCCACGACCGGAACCCGCCGCGCGTGTTGTGCACTATCACGTCGTCGCGCTGCCGCACAAACTCGGGCACCGACAGGTCCAGTGTGATGAGGTGTGTCTCGGTCTCGGTGGTCGAGTACTCGTACTCCCAGGACGAGGAGGAGTCGTCCTCGTTGCCGGCCATTGCAGCTGGCACGCCCGGTGCAGCTGGTTCAGCCATGGGAATCGTATTGGTAGGCGCAATTGTGTTGTCGACGGGAATGCATTGAGACAAGACCGTTGAACGCGACAATTGTCAGCTTGCCGTTGTGACGTCGCGCGCGACGGCAGAAGCACAGAGCTTCAGTGTTCGACTTACAGCGTAAATTCCACACAGCTAAATAAAAATTAGCGGAGACGAACGGCAGAATTGGCAGAGCCGTGGCGGACGTCACAGCGCCGATAGTGGGAGGTAATTAGTGGTGGGGCAGCAGTCAACAGTGCTAACGGCGCCAGCAAAAAAAAGAAGAGAAAAAGAAAAAGAAACCAATCGCCGACGACAGGCCTCAATCTGTTGACATTGCTTTAGTGATGCAGAGGTCGTTGAGTCACCGTTCTTTTCTCTGCGCCCTCCCACGATAGCCAAACAACCAGCCACCACCGCCGCACAGGCAAGGCCCGAGGTCCTCTATATATACCAGAGTTGCTGCGATCGCATTGACTCCGAAATCGTCTGCTAGGCATTACCCGTCCACAATTGCAGTTTCGACTTCGGCCTCACTTATACGGCACCCCTGTGCGCTTAATTTGTGTGTCCTCGCTACGCTCGCTTCCGGGACTCTCTTCGCTCGCTCCTGTTGTTTCCTAGCTCCTCGCTTTTCTCGTGCCTCGCGCCATGCCGACCGTCCACCTCCTCGACTACGTCGCCGGCAACGTCCGCTCGCTCGTCAACGCCATTGAAAAGGTCGGCTACGAGGTCGAATGGATCACCCGCCCCGACCAGGTCGCCGATGCTGAGCGCCTGATCTTGCCGGGTGTCGGCCACTTTGGCCACTGCCTCTCCCAGCTGGCCGCGGCCGGCTACCTGCCCGCCATCCGCAAGCACATTGACGACGGCAAGCCGTTTATGGGCATCTGCGTGGGCCTGCAGGCGCTGTTCCGCGGCTCGAGCGAGGATCCGGGCTGCCGTGGTCTGGGCGTGATTGCGGGCGACCTGACGCGCTTCGACGACAGCGACAAGGCGGTGCCGCACATTGGCTGGAACGACGCGCGGGCCCAGGACGGCGGCGACGGCTTCTACGGCGTGCGCGCCGCCTCCAAGTACTACTACGTGCACTCGTACAAGTACCCCTACACGCGAGGCGAGCTCGAAGCGCTCGGCTGGTCCGTGGCGACGGCGACGTACGGCGGCGAGACGTTTGTGGGCGCCGTGGCGCGCGGCAACGTGATGGCGACGCAGTTCCACCCGGAAAAGAGCGGCGTCGCGGGTCTGCGGGTGATCCGGGCGTTTTTGGACGGCAGCGGCGCCAAGGCGCTGGCAGCGTCGCCCATGCCGTCGTTGCCTGGCACGCCCACACCCGCACCCACGTCCGGCCTGACCCGCCGCGTCATCGCCTGCCTCGACGTGCGCACCAACGACCAGGGCGACTTGGTGGTGACCAAGGGCGACCAGTACGATGTCCGGGAAAAGTCCGACGCGCGCGGCGTGCGCAACCTCGGCAAGCCCGTCGAGCTGGCCGAGCGGTACTACGCCCAGGGCGCCGACGAGGTCACGTTCCTCAACATCACGAGCTTCCGCGACTGCCCCGTGGCCGACGTGCCCATGCTCGAGATCCTGCGGCGCACCTCCCAGACCGTGTTTGTGCCCCTGACCATTGGCGGCGGCATCCGCGACACCGTCGACACGGACGGCACCCACGTGTCGGCTCTGGCCATTGCCACCATGTACTTCAAGTCCGGCGCCGACAAGGTGTCCATTGGCTCCGACGCCGTCCTCGCCGCCGAGGCCTACTACGCGGCCGGCCGCACGCTGTCGGGCACCACCGCCATCGAGCAGATTGCCGGTGCCTACGGCAACCAGGCCGTCGTGGTCAGCGTCGACCCGAAGCGCGTCTACGTGGCCGACCCCGCGTCGACCGCGCACAGCACCCTCCCGACCGCGTTTCCCGGCCCCCGCGGCGAAACCCACTGCTGGTACGCCTGCACCATCAAGGGCGGCCGCGAGACGCGCGACCTGGACGTCGTCCAGCTCACGCAGGCCGTCGAGGCCATGGGCTGCGGCGAGATTCTGCTCAACTGCATCGACAAGGACGGCAGCAACAGCGGCTACGACCTCGAGCTGATCCGCCAGGTCAAGGCGGCCGTGCACATCCCCGTCATTGCCTCGAGCGGCGCCGGCCAGCCCGCCCACTTTGAGGAGGTCTTTGAGCAGACGACGACGGACGCCGCCCTGGGCGCTGGCATTTTCCACCGCGGCGAGTACACGGTGACGGAGGTCAAGGACTACCTGGCCGACAAGGGCCTCGTTGTGCGGAAATTCGAAGGCGAGTTGTAGGGGAACGTTCATGGCAAAAGCAAATTGTCACTACAAAAGGACGGCGTTGTTTACGGGTTTGCATTTTCATAGCTGTGATAGAAATGTCAATATCAAATAGAGCATTTCAACGAGCCACAAATGTAGTGTCGGTAACAAAGGTCACATTCTTTTAAAAGTCGGTCCTATTTATGACGACATCCAGGAGTAAAAAACAGCAAACGAATTCGCAGAAAGCACAGACGAGATTCAGAAGAGACGTTATCAAAGAAGCGAAAATCAAAAGGCAACTTTCGTGAAGCAGGTGAACAAACTAGTGACTGAAACACAGACATAAACGATAGAACCAAAGCTTCGATCCCAATTGCTACGACTTGACGACAGGAGGCAACGCGGGGACACACAGAGAGATGTCATCCTCTACAGCTCCATGCCCATGAAGATCCACCGCGCACTTGTCACGTCCACGCACGCGCCGCCTGTCCACGTGTCCAGCGTCGTCAGCGAAAACCCGGCCCATTGCAGGCCCTTGAGCAGCGTCGCCGCCTCGTCGGGCAGCGCCTCGGCACCGCCGCGGTCGACGCAGATGACGAGGTGGGCGCAGTGCAGCGCGGTGTCGGCGAGCTCGATGAGCGCCATGAGCGCGCGCTTGAGGTCGCGGCTCAGCACGGACGCGTCGAAAAAGGCAAACAGGGACGTCGCGCCGGCCGGGTCTTCGGCGACAAAGCCGCGGAAGCTGCCGCAGCCGACAAAGTCCCAGAGCTCGAGCCAGGCCGCGGGCACCGCATACGGAGGGGCCACGTCGCCGTCGCCGTCGCCGTCGCCATCGACCGACGAGGCCACAGTCGAAATGCTGCGTGCCCCGACGCTGGAGCCGAAGCTGTAGCTGCGGCCGCCCTCGGAGACGGACGAGGTGCGGCGGCGGCCCAGGCTGCCTGGGCCGTCCTCGGCCGGCGGCGTGCGGTCGTCGTCGCCGTCGTCATTGTGGACATTGTCGATGTAGTCGTAGTGGGCGGCTCCCCCGTTGCTGCTGCTGCTGCTGTGGTACGCAGACGGAGGAACACCGCCATAAACACCCGTCAGGCTGGAGCCAGTACTGGCCATGTTCCTCTCACCAAGAAACACAGTCTTCATGGTCTCGCAAAAGAGTCTCTCACACTCTTCCCTGATCCGCAGTGTTGCCCCCCCCTGACCGCTGGGTCGAGCGTGCCCGCCACGGCTGGTCGTATGGGCGCCGGCCTTGTTCTTGGGGAACACGGTCAGCTCGTTCGTGGCGGAGATGGCGGCGAGGGGGGGGCTTGATGGTGGCGAAGGCAGTCCTGAGGAAGGGACCTCAGGAATACCACTCTGCCCCTGATGGTGTTAGCTGAGGAACGACCAGAAAGCGAGCGAAGCAGAGGACAAGACAAAAAAAACAAAGACACGTACCGGCAAGAGGAGTAGTGCAGTAGTGGAGGCCCTTGAGCTGAGTGGCCGCAGCATCAATCACGTAGCAGCTGGCAAGGACGTCGGCCTGGCGGACGGCGCCCTCGCCATAGCGACTACTACTACTATTATTTAAATTGGACTGTAATTGCGCCATGATAGTCGGTTGGGATCCACGATGGGGAACGGTCTAGAGACAGGTTCGGTGGAAAGGGGACAGGACGAGGAACGGCGGAGACGAGTTTGGGAGAGACGGTTATGTAACGTTAACGTCTAGGAGTCGATATAGACTGACGAGGGCGATGAGTTGACAGAGTTGATAGGCGATTGCGGTTGTGTTGGTACGGCGGAAGTCGAATGAAGTCGTGATGTTGGAAATGGTGAATCACAGTGAGACAAAGCGGATGGGTGAGGCCATAAGTAGTGGAAAGGACCAGAAGGAGGCAAAAGTTGCGAGGAAGGCCCCAGTGTGAAAAATGTATGGAAACGGACTAGCGCGGATGATAAATTGCATTTTGGTGGGCCTGTGGCCGTGTGTCGCCCACTTGATTGGCTGCAAACCAACGAGACGCTGTCAGATACTGTGCCGGGTGGGTCTTTGTAGTCACGTGGTCCACATGCTGCCGTCCGGATTGGTCCACCAGAAGTCGTCTTGGGCGTCTTGGCCGTTCTTGGACGACGTTGACGAGATGTCCGTTGGGCTGCAGACTGATCTCAAACGTTTGTGTTTTGCACAGCATGAAAATGGAGTGTGAATGTCAAGTAGAAGGCGTTAAATCATGACGAGGGTCATCCACAACAGTATGGAACACAACGCAAAAGAAGGCGGTGAGACGGTCTCTCTCGCCTTGCATGTTTCCAAGTGCCAAGTGCCAAGGCGAGTTTCACCGCTTGCCTTTCAGGGTGACAACGGAGTTGTGCTCGGATTCGACGGAGCAATGAAATGGTTTCTGAAGCCCAACGCGATTGCCAGAGTCGGCTCACAGCAGAACAAATTACCTGTTGCTCTCATACTCGTTTACCCATTGCTTCACAAAAATCACCGTCCCGTCGAGCTTCATTGTCGACTTCCATGGCCTTGTTGTCTTCGATGCCCATTCCCTGCCATTTCACCGCCCGGCGCCTCCGTTCATAGTATACGAATGTAGACCAGCAGACCACACAAAACACTAGCGCGACCCCTCTTTGCCGTTCAACTCTTATCGATAACAGTCACCTGTAACCCGGGCGAGGAGTGACTTCACATGACACCGCCGCCACGCCCAACATCTTGTACCCCGCCCGCCCCACTCTTCCCGCACGCGGCAGAAACACGCAACTGCCATTCATCGTTCGTCATCCCTCTCCAACTCCACTCTCCTCTTTGTCTCCCTTCGACCTCCAATTTTCCCTTTTCGTCGGGTGACATTGCGCACCTGCATCGCTGGCGGCTGTTGTCATCATAACTGGCTGGTTTTCTTGGTCGTTTGGCCTCTCGTGTTCTTTTATGACACCTTCTCGGGACGAGATGTGACTGCAGGTTACTGCAGAGGCCGGCACACAACACAACAACGTTGGGCGACAAGAAGCCACACAAGAAACCAAGAAACCAAGAACCCACTCAAGACATCCAACGATATTGCCTCCCCTTCTATGCAAGAGACCCTGAACACAGACCCGAACGTCCCTGGCTTCCTAGACTTTCCAGAGTTTCCGAGCTTTGATCTCGGCCTGACCTGGATAAAGAACGAGTCTTTGACGATCGTTCTGCCGGTTCAGGCCTGGGATCATTCACACATTCGTCTCCGCTTTACTGCACTGACAATCACCTGCTCTCCGACCCCTCCGAAGATTGCTGGTGCGACTCTTCCTCTACTTTGATTTTGGTGCTACCCGCTGCACACCGAGTTTCTTTGTGCGTTGGGCCCTGCGCCAGTCTGCAGTCTGGTGATATCAACCTCGCTCACCCGGCTTTCTCTCTCTCTGTCTTTTGGGTCTCCTGCCTCTTCATTGTCCCATCTGCTGCCTTTGTGATTCTTGTTTTGAACTCAACTTTGCACGCACTTCGTTACGTCTTGGCCCAACGCTTCGTTCTTGTCTTCACATATTGACGCTTGCCTTGTGTTGCGATTTCAATATTTCTTCTCCTGGAGTTTGTCGCCATTGATCTTCAGCCTTCATCTTCATTTGTTTGGTCGCGTGCTGTGTTTCGTACCTTTTGTGATATCTTTCTCTTCTGCTTGATCTGATTCTATCCAACACACCGAACACACCCAACACAGCCGAACATGTTCAGGATAAGACGCAACAACTACGACGGCCTGCGGCCCGTTTCGACATACCTCTTGCCGTCGTTTCCCAGCCTCGACTGGATCCGAAAGGTCTCGGCCGCAACGGCGCAAGACGCCACATCCCTGGCGACGTCGCCACGAGAGAGCATCGCTTTACCGAGCGCCGCCCCGATTGACACAGACCATGACTACTTTGAAGCCGTGACCGACTCGCATCGGCTTAGTGTCGCCTCAGCGGCATCTTCAGCGTCGGCAGCCACCGTCACATCCACCGGCAGCCAAGCTACGGCACCTTCCTTGTCGACATCCCTCTCGACCTCGCCCAGCTCTGACATCTCCGTTACACCCCAAAGCCTCTTTGGTGGCCCCATAGCCGCGCCATTTCCCGTCTTTGATACCATCGACTACCAACAGCCAGGCTTTGCCGCGTTCCGCAATGACGACGGGCCACTAGAGACAGGCGCGGCAGCCCCGTCCATGGACAAGTCGGGTCCACAAGTGGAGACGCTGCGAAAGCAGGACAGTCGTCCCTCTCGCTCTCCACACATACAAACACAGACGGCTCCTCTCGCCGCGCCTGCTCGCCACATCCAGCGCGTCTTCCCCACGACCCTACGCTGCCGCCGCTGCTCCGCTGACCTCGCCTTTGCTGCCCAGGTCGTCTCCAAGGGGTTCACCGGTCGCCATGGCCGCGCCTATCTCGTGTCGGCACCTGCCACATCGCCGAGTCACCTTTTTGCTCCGGAGGTCAAAGAAGCGAGGAGTGACAGGGAGGATGACGATGACGACGACGACGATGATGGTGATGATGATGATGACGACGACGACGGAGGTGGCGGACACGCTCTCCGCCTCAAGCCGGGCCGCGCGCGCGATTTGCCCAACATCTTGATCGGCCGCTCCGAGAACCGCCGCCTCGTCACCGGCGCCCACGTCGTGGCCGACATTTACTGCGCTGTGTGCCGGTCGAAGCTGGGCTGGAAGTACGTGGATGCGAGCGACCCGGCGCAGCGGTACAAGGTGGGCAAGTTTATTTTGGAGATTGCGCGGCTGGCGACGTACCACAGTTGGGAGGATGTGCCTTTGCGTGATGCCCGCGGGGTGGGCGGAGCGGGCGGAGAGGGAGAAGAGGGCGTTGCGGACGACGAATTGGAGACTGCCCGTTCCCCCATCAGCGACCCGCTCGGGGCGGTGCGGCAGTTGATGGCCCGCTACCAACGGCTCCGTACCGGTGAGACTACGGTTGACGTTGAAGAGGAAGGGAATTCTGAGGATGACGGCGACAGCGACGTCTACGCCCCCAAGCGCAACGGTCTCATCGAGTTTGACTCAGAAGACGAGGACGAGTGCGAGGACATTTTCATGGGCACGTGGGACGCCGACGTCGTGGCCCGGCGCCGGGCCGCGAAGCGGGCCGAGTTGCTGTTAAAGAGTTTCAAAAAGTGAGGTCGTGTGGTGTGACGACCGGTCTGCATTTTCCTTGACGTTTTTGGGCGTTTTGTTTTGATTGGTTCTATTTTATGCCTTGCCATACACTAATACCCCGATACCCTCTCTCATTCTTGCACATGTACGCAAGTTTGATTGTATACCTTTCCTATGCTGCTTCTTGGTTACTTTTGTTTTTGCTTCGCACATTTAGTCTCCGCCGTCTTCACAGTAAATTGGATATTGTCAGGTCATAGAGAGAATGCAATCAACTCATATCAATTGTGTGTAATCGAGAAATAGGCAATGTCACTGCAACGAACATGCCCCACCCCTACTGCGTCGGCTCGACGGCCACGTAGTGCAGGTAGGCGCCCAGCAGCTTGATGCCCTCAATGTAGTTGCGCTTGTCCAGCTTCTCGTTGATCGAGTGGGCGCCGTCGGTCGAGCTGCCCATCGGCAGCAGCAGCACGTTCTTGCCGGTGGCCTGCTCGAACGTGAGCGTCACGGGGATGCTGCCGCCCTCGCGGGTAAAGTCGGGGGCGACGCCCCAGACGCGCTCGACGGCCTTGGCGGCGGCCGAGAAGTTCCAGTGCTTGGGGCTCGCGACCCACCAGTTGCCCGTGTGCAGGGCGCTGACCTTGACCGTGTTCTTGCTGCCGAGCTTGGCAAACTGGTCCTTGACGTACTGGAAGACGAGCGCGTTGGTCTTGTCAATCTCCATGTTGGGCACGGTGCGGATGGAGAACTTGCCAATGACCTTGGCGGGGATGACCGTCTTGGCGCCGGGGGCCGAGAAGGCGCCCTCGACGCCGTGGATGGACAGCGACGGGTAGCGCCAGCGCGCCATGAGCGTCGACTTCTTGTCCTCGAAGATGGTCGTCGTGCTGCCGAGCGACTCGTGCAGCGTGTCCATTGTGAAGGAGATGTTGTCGTACAGCGACGCCTCGTCCGCCGTGACGGGCGCCACCTGCTCGGCAATGCCGGGGATCTGGATCTTGCCGTCCGTGTCGACGAGCGTCGCCAGCACGCGCGACAGGTCCGTCATGGGCTCCTGGGCGGTGCCGCCGAACACGCCGCTGTGCAGGTCCTGGCCGGGGCCCGACACCTCAATGGCGTAGTAGTTGCAGCCGCGCAGGCCGTACGTCAGGCACGGCTTCTCGGTGCCGAGCCAGTAGTTGTCGGAAATGCAGACGGCCTCGGCGTCCTTGAAGAAGTTCTTGGCCTCGGCCTCAATCAGCTCGTCGAGGCCCTCCGAGCCGTACTCCTCCATGCCCTCAAAGCACATCAGCAGGTTCACAGGGAAGTCGACGCCCGCCTTCTGGTGCGCCTCGATGGCGTTGAGCCAGCCCAGCACGGGGCCCTTGTCGTCCGTCGAGCCGCGGCCCAGCATGCGGCCGTCCTCGCCGACGGTCAGCTCAAAGGGCTCCGTGTTCCAGCCGTCCGTCTTCTCGGCGGGCTGCACGTCGTAGTGGCCGTACACCAGAATGGTGCGCTTGGCGGTATCACGACCATAGCGGGCGAGCACGACGGGGGGGAGGTCGAGGCTCGGGTTGTCGGGCTGCTTGCCGAGGGGGCGGAGCTCGACCTCGGCGCCCAGGGCCTTGAGCTCGGTCTCGAGGAAGTGGGCCATGCGGACGACATCCGGGCGACGGGCGGCGTCCGAGGACACAGAGGGGATGGCGACGGCCTTGCCGAGACGGTCGATGAAGTGGCCGGACAGGTCGTCGACCTGCTTGAAGAAGCCGTCGAGCTGGGGCGCCATGGTGACTTTGCGGGCTTGGTGGGCGCGAATGGCGTCGGTGAGGTAGGTGCGGAAGTAGGTGCGGAAGTAGGTGCGGGGGAGCGCAGGGGGCACAGGCGTGTGTTGTGATATGGGGGACGGTAGGATGGCTGGATTGTTGTTGTTTGAGGAGAGATGCGAGGTACTCAAATTCTTTGGGATCGCAGAGGGGGGAAAGTTCACGTGCACAGGAGAGCTAGATACGAAGAGACGGCGCGGACTAAACGTCAACCGGCGCTGGGTCAACCTAAGGGGAAGGTGCGATTGAATTGATCGGGAAGGTGGCAAGAGCGACAGAGCCGGGCGGGGCATGCCGATGAGCGGTAGAGAGCGAGAGATACACACCGAATAAGCCGGCAGAGGCAGGAATGGATTTAACAGGTCAGCAGGAAGGAGCGAGGGGAACGAGCACGGAAGTGAGTAGTTCTCCGTGAGAGTGATGGACAAGACACAAAGCAACGGTCAGCAACGGCCAGCATATCAGTGCCTTGTCTGGTCTCTGACTGTCCCGTTGCAAGCCGTGCAAAAAAAACTACCCCGCCTTGAGCAAAAAGGCTTTTGCAAAACATGTCGAATGGCTCAGTGCCTTGGTAGCTTCATTGCATCCACTAATACAGCGTGCTAAGTCCACTGAGACGCACTGACGAATGGCGCAAACCCGAAATAGGAAGGCAACTAGAGGGCCACAGCGGGACTCAACGATTAGCGGAGTCGCGACAGGGGTTCGCTCGGCTTATTTCTCGAAGCTTTTAAAACGTCAACCAAAAAATTCAACAACGTAGTCACATATTCCCCCCCACGACAAACCGTTACGTTTTAATCGATCGGCCGACAAAACTCTTCCGAGAACGACGGGACTGATATCTACGAAAACCTCCCCAACGTCGCCCAGCGGACGATGCGGCCGAGGATGACGCTCAAGTCGGTCCCCACAATCGCCCAGGTCGTCCCCGGCGCCTACGTCAACATCGTCCTCAAGCAGGACCAGCCGACCGGCCGCACCGTGCAGGGCATGGTGCAGAACGTCCTGACACGCGGCAACCATCCGCGGGGGATCAAGGTGCGGCTCAGCGACGGCCGGGTCGGGCGGGTGCAGACGATGGCGGGGGCTGGTGGAAGCGGGGACGGCGGTCACGGTGGCGCATCCATGGTCACCGCACCCGCATATGTATCAGCGGCGTCCGCGTTTGGGGCATCTGCATTCGGGGCCTCCGGTTTTGATACTACCGCCGCTGCCGCCGACGTCGATGGGGCACCGCGCGAGCAGATTGGCCTGGACGCATACGTACGCCCAGCGAAGAAGCAGCATAAACGGCGAGGCGGCAACAGGGCAGGAACGGGGCCAGGAACGGCAGACACAGACAGCCCGACGACAGCAGCAACGGCAACTGTGACGGCACCGGCTGTGGCGACGACGAAATGCCCAGTGTGCAACGACTTTGAAGGCGACGAGGCGGCCGTCTCACACCACGTGTCCAGCCACTTTGACTGATGAGAACGAAGGGAAGCCACAATGACGGGCAGGTTGGCCACGAGTGAACATGAACTTGTCTTGCTGATGTGAAAACCTTTCTACCATTGCCAAGGCACAGCAGGCTTTCACAGCCGCAAGGGTGAACGGTCATGTCGGGCGATGCAGGAGACTATGCACAATCTCCCGCAGGCTTTCGAGGCGGAAGCCCGATGCTCGAGGATACAGCATCTTCCTGACAGAGCGGTGTGTAATGGCCATCCACTACACCTCGCTTCCAGCCTCGTACATCGTTATCGGCGCCATATGGGCCACTCCTTGCTGCAGAGTGGCAGCAATCGATGACCAGGGCTGCGCGATTTGCCAAAGTCCATACACTGAGTGTGCGATGACGCATATACAGGTCGAAGAGCTCTACATGAATGAATTCATGCTGGTTGCCAGTGCTCCAAGGACACAATGCCCCCAGTATGGCTTTCGAAGCCTGGAAGCGTGTCTACGGTGCAGGTGTCACGGCTTCTGGATACTTACTCCACTGAGCTTCTTTGTGATACAGCAGAAAAAAGACAATCTTCTTGTCATATTAAGATGAGCCGTCTTCCTTAGAGGCGGTGTCTAGGTTGTTCATTGGTGGCAGCGTTGTCTTGCGCATAATACAGCGATGATCTGGATGATCCAGATCCAGGTATAGAGTATTAAGATGTCATCAAAGCCCGTGAAAGCCGGAAATGTCCCTCTTGAATTCCAAGTCTTGTATCAATTTGATTTTCTTTCTAAGAAACAAGACAAGAGTCGAGTGACTGTTCTATTGTTTCTCATTCTCATTTCTCGCTTCGTCCTTGCGAGGTTTCGTTGTCTTCTATCTGTTCCTCATACTTGCCTTTTCCCAGTCACCGTCGACGACACCAACGACAACGATCCGGTGTACTATCACCATCATTCTAACCCATAGCCAAAGACTTTCTGATTACGACGCTGCTTGCAACGATCGTGACGTTGGTGATGTTGATGCAGCGTTTCCAAACTGTCCTGTTTGCTTATGTCAGCATTCTTAGGTCAGCATTGTTAGGATGCGAACTGGCTATTGGCTGCTGAGTGTAGCCTCTTGTAGCGGGTCCTCTCCGCATTGGTTACTTCACGTCGCTCTCGACACGGCGTATCCACTTTGTACGGGTCAACCGCGACACTAATACGTAAAAATTACGATATATATTGGGTACTTGCGTTACGTCAATGTGGTCGCTTTGACAGTCCGATTTGACATCTCCGGCGTGCAAAGTACACACACGCCAGACTGTAAGTACATGAAGACGACCAGAGCCTCGTCCACTGTGTGTCAGGAACGGTCGGGACGGTGTACAAAAGGCTCGCGTGTCGTTTCTTGTCCTCGGATTTTGTGATTTCGCGATTTGGCGATTTGGTGATGACTTATCGGATGTGGAATTTATAACCATGAACGCACCGACAAGCCTTCGTTCCATATACGGCGTAGGCCACTAGCACGACTTTTCGGCAGGATTAGTCGGTACGTACCAATCGCCATTTTGGCTCCCGGTTGCCCCATTTCCCGGATCGCCAGCAAGCGAAAATTCCGTATGAAATGCACGGTTCCGTGGAAATGCAATTCTTGCAAGGCGTTGACTGTTTTTCCAGGTTCACCGGCGTCCTTTCTATGTCGCCGGCGGCACCAGATTTGTAAACCGAGCGCTGTCCGTTCCTTTGGTTCCTCGTTGTGATTTCTGTGTAATCCGTGATTTCTGCGAGGTCAGTTGCTCTTCTTTGTTGCTCGACCGCTCGACCGCTCGACCGCTCGACCTCGTCATCGACCAGCAGTGGTCAGCACCGACGTTGAATGCCTTCGACCGCTCGGCCGCCTCGCACTAAACCGTCGGCGGGTAAGGCCGTCCGTGGGCCCGCAAAAGGGACGACATCCACCCGTTTCTGGCGAGGCCGAATTGCCGAGTTACGTCCTTTGGAGTGGCAAGACAAAGACACAGACATAAGGACATGAAGACGAACAAAAAAAAAGAGAAAGAAGGAAAGAAACGAAACGAAACTCGCCGCCGGCTGTTTATTTCCATTTCTGCTTCTCGACGATCGAAAAAGAAAAGACTGGACTTCCATCTGCCCATTCCTGCATTGGCCAGGCGGAAGTACATTCTCGGTCAGTTGCCTTACGACGGCAATCCGCCATCCATATCAAATTCGCCTTCCAACTCCATGACAATGGTAAGAACTTTGAGCGCTCTAATACTTTATCTTTTCGAAAAACCGAGGCCAGGACGCCATCGTTGGATCATATTCCTCTGGACGGGTGCTGACAGAAGCAGGATATGTCACGACAAACATAACGGAACAACATCAGTAACGAGTCCTGCAGAGAGAGCTGCTCATCACCCTCTCAAAAGAAAACATCGCCATCCTCGTCTCCCAACGGCTGGCTACATAAACGACGCTCTGGACCCACGTCCACCCTTCACTCTGCCACATCCACGCTCCCATCGCCCATCATGCACAAGCGGTCCTCTTTCTTCACAGCCGCCGCCTGGCAGTTCAACATTGATGACTACGTCAACCGCTTCATCCCCCCCTCCGTGGTCCCGCATCTGCCGCGCCCGCTCGGCCACTTCCTCGGCTATCGCCAACCGCCACAAACGCCGCACCCCGGGCGCATCGGTAATCTGATTGTCATTGCCTGGGCGTTTGTCGGTGTTTTTTGCGGCGTGTCGGTGGTCAACGTCGTCGACGCCCGCGTCTCCGCCTTTTTCGGGGTCGACGGCGCCACCATCACCATTGGCAGCTTCGGCGCCGCCGCCGTCCTCGAGTTTTACGCCATCGAGTCCCCGCTGGCCCAGCCGCGCAATGCCGTCGTCGGCCAGCTCCTGTCGTCCGTGATCGGCGTCGCCGTCGCCCGCCTCTTTTCGCTGCTGCCGCCCGCCCGCTTCGAGGCGCTGCGCTGGCTCGCCGGGTCCATTGCCTGTGCGGCGGCGACGGCCGTCATGGCCCTGACGGGCACCGTGCACCCGCCGGCCGGCGCCACGGCCCTGATTGCCGTCGCCGACAACAACGCCTACCACATTGGCTGGCGCCTGATCCCCGCCGTGCTGTTGGGGTCGGTGCTGATGCAGGCGATTGCGCTGCTCATCAACAACGTGCAGCGGCGGTACCCGATCTACTGGTGGGCGCCCGAGGAGGTGGGCCAGTTCTGGACGCGCCACTCGACAACATCGGCACTGTCGGCGTCGCCGGCGTCGTCCACGGCGAGCAACGCGAGCCAGCACGATAAGCCCGCCATCGGACGAACGGACAAGTCGGCGCGTGGAGCAACCGGGCCGGGGAAGCCCGAACATACCGACGATGCCGAAAATCCCGAAAATCCACGCAGGACCGCGCCGCAGGACGACACAGATGTGGAGCTCGGCATGACCGATGTCGCCGACCCCGGGATGGGCCACGTCACATTCACCCGCACGCACTCACGCTCGAACAACGGCCCGCGGACGACCACCGTCGCGACGTCTCACGAGCATGCCCGCGTCGTCATCACCCGCAACCGGGTCGTCGTGCCAGATTTCATGAACCTGCGGCCGGAGGAGAGGCTGGTCCTGGAGACGTTGAGTGAGCGGTTGTAAACGGATGCTTCTCAAAGTAATAATGATAGAAGGAGGGAGACTGCATAAAGCCTCTCTAGCAATTAACAAATCATCTCTCACGAAAGTACTGCGTAAAAGCTAGCGACGGAACCTTATCGTTGTGCTGCATTAGCCTGCATTGGTAAACAAAATTGGAAACGCACAATGGTGACAAACGTGCAACAGTGATATGAACGCAGGTAACGATAAGCAAAGTCACCTTTTATTGGGCAGAATATTGAGAACTCAAGGTATTTTAACATGTATTTTATATTATTCCATAAAGTCCGACATTAAGTAAAATAAAATAAATTTTATGGAACAACCAGCAACATTACCAGATACCAGCGTGCTCTCCGCCTCTGCTATATATTCACAATTATCAATCTACTTAGTTCTTATGCGGCGATGTACACGGGAAAACAATTCCTGATTTTTGAAATTGTCACTTCGAAAGCAAACAAAGGCCAAACAGACTTATGCATGCCTTATCCTACGTCTATGCCGACGTGACCGATGTGCCGTCTGGGTTGCGCTTGTTCAGCGGGATGGGCGCGTTGATCTTGGACGCGCGGCGTCGCTCGAGGTAGCCCGTGCGGCGCTTGCGGGTGTACACAAAGACGCCAAGCGCCGCCAGCGCAGCAACGCCGGCAATGGAGCCGACGGCAATGCCGGCCTTGGCGCCCGCCGCAAGGCCGCTCGTTTCGGAGGCGGGATTCGCGTCGGACGATGTGCTTGAGGCGGCCGAGGAAGCTGTCGTAGGAACAGCACTCGAACCCGAACCCGGCCCATTGGCGCCCGTGGTGGCGTCGCTGCCGGCAGCCGTGGTGGACGACGAGCCCTCGCTGCTGAAATCGGAGGCCGTCACATTGAAACACGGCACAGGTCCGACGATGTCTGCGTCTTCGACAAAGGTAATGTCGGCGCAGGCATAAAACGTCTCGTTCTGGTTGTTGTTCTCGCCCTCGTACACAGCCCAGTACTGCAGCTGGATGGTGGCATTGGTGCCGGCCTTGGTGGACGGCGGGACGGGGTCGATCTTGTAGCACTGGTGGCCGGGGGCGACCTCGGTGACGTTGTTGACGACTTGCTCCTGGAACTCGGTCTGACGAGTGGGGTCTACGCGTTGTTAATTTGTTAGTTAGGAGGGCGATGACATATTGTACACGTGGGTGGAATAGTCTTGGACGCACCGTTCGTAAAAGCAACGTAAAAGGCGACCTTGTAGGCCTCGTCGGCAATGGAGAGGGCAACAGAGCCGTGGGCTGATGGTTAGCAGAGTCCAGTTGTTACGAGTGATTCGCTTTCGGTCCCACACGTACACAGTGGGAACAATGTGCGGTTGGTGACGCCCTCGGTGCTGCCGCAGGGCCCATTGTTGTCGGCAGCGGCAGACCAGTTCCGGTCGTCGGGCCATAGGAACGCCACGGGGCCCATGATGCTGCCCTCGTCGCCGTCGCCGTGGGCGGCCCGAACCATGCCAGCCATGGTGGCGGTGGCAGATAGTATGGTAGCGAAGCGCATTATGAGAAGTGAGGGGGGTAAAGACACAAAAAGAATGCGTCAGTTGGGCATATGGGCATCGGAGAGTGACGTGGAAGAGAGTGCAAGGGGTTGGACGGGAAATACAGTATGGGGATGGGATACAAGGACGGGTGTCTGTGGCTGACCTGTCATGTTATATAGACCGACAACGGACAACCAACGACGGAGTCTATTACGGGTACGAAAGATAAGTTAAAAAAAAAATAAAACATATAGGTAAGTCCCAATAAGAAGTGTAGTGGGACACAGGCAAACAATGTGGACTTGCACAAGCTGAAAAGAAGATTCATGGGCTACGACACGAATAACGAAGGCTGCAATAATACGAGGGGATTCATTACGTCTGGCAGAAGGCCGTAGCTGGGAGATATCAGAGGGTGGGACAAGACACCAAAAATCTGGAAAATGACGAGAGGCAGACAAGAGGCAGACAAAGAATGGCGGAGTAGAGACAGTAAAGTCGGGTGACTACTGGCTTCTACTTTCGGAATTTGGTCGGCTTGGGGGTGGTGAAGGGTGCTTTTGCCAAGACAATAAGACGGATGGAAAACGAAAGTGTGTGCAGGAGTTGCAGGAAGCACTTGTACATTATTGAGAGGGGCCTTCTGGCGTCGCATTTTAACAGGTAGGAGGGTAGCTGTATGTGAGGAAAAGGAGGGTGACCATGATTGTGTTTGATTTTGATTTGATTTTAATTTTTACTGTTGATTTTTCTCTGTAGGTTCGATATTACTCAACGTGAAGACATAGTATTTATGGTCATGAGAAAAAGGGGGTGCCAGCGTCAGCAGATGCAAAGAAACATGGTCGAGAGCGTACTTTACGGGCGGACTCCCATCAGAGAATCTGATAATATGAGCGGAGAATATGGCGGAAGAAGAAAGGAGCGAACAGACTGTGCAAAGCGCGGTTAAGAGAAAAGACAAAGAAGGCACACAACAAGAAACATACCAACAAACAACGGCGCCGGTCGCGGTGAAGACGATGTCTCTTTTGGGACATGGCGGGACTTGGCTGCAAGTAAAGTCTTGGCCGACCAACAAGAAAAGTGGATGGGAATGTAAAGTTGGATTGCCGGAGAACGGAAGCAGGTCAGCTGAAGGATAGAGTGGGTTTGTGAAGCTATTGGTAAGACACTCCGGATACAGAGGACGACGTAAACACACTCGAGTCTAGCCGCCGAAAACGAGCGCGGAGACCGAGAGGAGGTAAACGGACGAGGGAATGGCATATCACTACGTGAGACGTTCTCGGCTGATCCTTGCAGGCGCTCCGTTGGATGGACACTTCACCGGATGGTCGCAAGCATCTGCTATGATCCTGGCTATCCTTTGTGGTGGGGCTGATGGCGCTCCTGATGCTTTGATCGGATAATTTCAATCAGATAAAAATCGACAAGAAAATGTAGAGGGAGAGCTTGCATAGCAATCCTACGGGCAGTACGGAACAGTCGTCGTCGCGCCACCTGACTGTCAAGCTTTTAGACGGATTTTTTTCCATATTCATATTTTAAAATGGGAGTTTGCCGTCTTATTTTTCAGCCTGGTTACCTCTTCTCGGCTCGTTTTCGCAAAGCGCGCAGAGTCGCCTTGGCAGGGCTCCATCGGCCATGTGTTGAACAGTGGCGAGTGGTTGGCGAGACAGGGCGGAGACAACGACGAGAGTGCAGTTGTCGTTATCTGATCAAAGTGGAGGCCAACAAGAAAGAGGTGGTGGGCGGTGTGGAGCCATTGTGACCGCGTACGGCCTAGGAAGGTCTTGGCCTTGGGAAGGACGAAGGTCCTGGAGGTGGTTGGGTGGCTCCGAAGGGATGAGGTAATGTGAAAGCAGTGTATTTGAGAGAGAAAGAGACGGAAAATAGACGCTGAAAAAGGAATAGGATCAGTGGGCACCGGTAATGTCGTGGCGTCTCGCAACAGCGGGCGGGTTCATGTCTGTTTTATTTAATCTAATCTTATCAGATGATCAGTGAATGCACTCAAAATCAAACGCCATACCGTAAAGAGGACAGGGCGGGATCAAATCCTACTTCTCCTTGCGTGCCCACTTCCATTATGGGGCCCTCTTTTTGTTCTGGCGAGGTCGTGCCAGGCATGGGAGGTACATAGAGTAAACGAAGAGTCTTAGTATACTCCGAGATCGCAGTTTTCTTAATGTAAGGCGGCAGGAAAGCAGTCGCCGACGCGCCGAAGTAGAGACCAATAGATGATAGCCAACCAATACCACAGCACTGCTTCATCCCCTTGAACGATACGACACCCTCATATGCATTTGTCTGAATATTTTCCGCCAAACTTTGATAACAACCCCATGGATCAAGTCAAGTAAAACATCTTGGGACGCAAAGACATTGCTAAATGGTGAATTTCAGTCAAAGATGGTGCAAAATTAGAGAGAATCGGAGAGAGCACAACATGTCAGTCTTGCCGGCCAGCTCGCAAGAGAACAAACAGCTAGACTGGTCTTGGCCGGGGCAGGCAAAGCTGGTCAAGACACGCTGAACGATGTGCACCTTCGGAATACACCGGCCATATCCTTGGCACGCCAAGTATATTGGGTGGTAGCGGTGGTCCATTGTCCAACTCCGTAGCGTTTTTTTCCTTCAAATACCGCCATCCTTTTTTCGTTTCCCGGCACTCTGTTTCCCTCATAGAAGCTTCTCGGCGAAGTTAGCAGATATCACTTGAAACAGCACTATGGCAAGCGAGAGTGGAACAATTGTTGAAAGCACAGCTGCCGGTGATGGAAGAAACTGTCCCCTTGTACGGAAATGTGCATTGCCATGCCACAGGCCACGCTCTTTCACGGAGGATCCCCTGGCTCGACACCACCATCAGACCGGGCTGCAGTTCGATTCATCACAGATATAAGCTCGTCTTCTCGCACAGATCGCCAACCATTCACGCTCATTTCAACGTCTTCACCGATTGCTGCCCAACCTCTTGTGATTTCATCTATTTTACTATTTATTAAATACCTTCATTTTCACGACCCTCCTCGCCCAGAATCAAAACAACAAAATGGTTGCTTCCAAGGTCGTCGTCGGCAGTGTCCTCACCGCTGGTGCCTCTGCCTCTGGCGTCTCGCCCCTGATGGCCGGTATCCGCGCCCGTGCCGACCTGTCCCCTGGCTCGCCCCTTTACAACTGCCACGACAACTGCGGTACGTTTGGTTGTCGTCCTACTTTCGCTTTCTCGCTTTCTCGCTTTCTTTTTGTGTCTTCGCTCATTACCGTACTAACAAAGCTCAGGCCAAGCTATCCTTGAGGCCCAAACCGTGTCCAGCGTCTGCAAGGACAATGTCTTCCTAACCGACTACGACAACTGTCTGCAGTGCGCCGGCCCCGACAACGGTGACATCTGGAAATACTACAGCGACGCCCTCACGTCCGCCGCCGCTGCTTGCGGTCTGGCCACCACCCCCGCGGCCGGTTCCCAGGCCGCTGTTGGCACCGCCCTGCCTGGCGGTGCCGGCTCCAGCGGCTCGGGCGCGTCCTCGTCGTCTGCTGCCGGTGCTCCGTCGTCGGCGCCGGCCACCACCACCTCTCCGTCCTTGTCGGCCGGTGCTGCTCCGACTGAGTCTTCTGCGGCTGCTGGCGACTCGCCCACTGCCTCAGCCACCTCGAAAACGGACTCCAGGCCCACTGCTGGTTCAGGTTCTTCCAACAGCACGATTTCTGGTACTGGCTCTCCCAGCGGCACCACTGTATGTCCCCGCGGCTCGTCTCTCTTCGCTCTGTTTGATGTTTTGTCTTACGCCCCCCGCTAATAGTAAAGTTCGCCCCTTCGTCGGTCGTCACCTCTGGGGCCAGCGTTAGATCCGTCGGTGCCTGTCTGGCTGGTATTGCCGCTATCGGCGTTGCCTACCTTGTGGCCTTTTAACCAGCGCATCCTCTCTTCTAGGGAAATCAGATATGTGCCATGCCTCCACCGCACATACTATACTGATATACTCATCTCTGGGGTGGCCATTGAGCTCGTTTAGCCATATTTTGTTCATCTCAAAAATACCTAATTTTCCAAGTTTTCAAAAGGGGTTCTATGGTTTCTTTTGATTTGATTGTATAATATTATGTACCCTTACACTTTACAGGTCCCAATTCGTAACAAAATCAGTGATGGTCACACATTGCTGTGACCTCTGTACATATGACTTGGCTCCATACACACAGGAGCAACTGTTAAACATACAAAAAAAAGAAAAGAAACCCATCAGTATGACTCTTTCCTAAGACTACTGGACTCGTGTAATTGACTGTGAAAATACCTCCACGGGTGTCTGAGTTCCTATTAATCCTCTTGGGACAGAACATATGAAGAGAGTTGCAGCGGCGAAGTAAACGTACCTGATACAGTAAAACCTCAGTAATTTTCTCCTGTACTTATTTTTCGCTCCAGTGTTCTCTACCAAAATAAAGAAATAAACAAACGCCATTACGGCAGTTCTCCGTGCAAGTCTTGCGCACTAAAAACCTTATCTTATCAGCCACGCGGTTCGCCCCACCCAATGTAGCACTATCGTGGGGTAGCTCTACGACCACGTCAACTCGTCCCTTGCTTCGTTTCTTCTTTACTCGGTCTTCCGCCTTTCCTCCCCAGCCGCCACCATGCCCGACCAAATAGCCGTCCTCTTTTGCTGCATGGGCAACATTTGCCGCTCCACCATGGCCGAGGGCGTCTTCCAGGCCATGGCCAAGAAGGAGCCCTACAACGCCTGTGTCTCCAAAGTGGACTCGTGCGGCACGAGTGCGTCTGTCCACGCGAAAGCTGCCATCCCCTCTCCTGTCTGTCTTCTAACACCGATGCACAGTCTCCTACCATACCGGCGACGACCCCGACGACCGCACCATGGCCACGCTCGCCGCCCACGGCATCACCGACTACGCCCACCGCGCGCGCATGCTCCAGGCCGCCGACCTCGACCGCTTCGACTACATCTTTGCCATGGACAAGCAGAACCTGAGCGACATCCAGCGCCTCCAGCAGAAGCACCCCAACAAGACCAGGGCGCAGGTCATGCTGTTTGGGGCGTACGCGACGCCCGACGGCGACGGCCGCGAGGTGATTTCGGACCCCTACTATGGCGGCCACGACGGCTTCAGCAAGGCATACGAGCAGGCGACGCGGTTCAGCAAGAACTTTCTGAAGGCGGCCTTTCCCGAGATTACACCGCCATGAGGCGACGTTGCGGTTGTGATTTCTGGGTTGTGATGGCATTCTTTGTATCGATGTGATAGCCCATTGTTTTCTTAGTCCTATTTAATATACCATGCTTTGGCTGCGTTGCCTCCATCAACGCTCCTTTCCACTGTACAGAATTGGGTCGGGGTCAGCGAGGTGGTGGAATATAAAAAAGCCGTTGCTCTCTCGTGGTTAAGAGGCGATCCTCTCTTTGTGCAGTACATAACTTCCGAGACGATGGCAAAACAATGTGCCGTGCCTCTAATCGTCACATGCTTGGCCTGCGATGTGCGTAGTAGGCACAGGCCGTTCTAGTCGGCGTCTACCCTGCATCCTCTCTACGTATATATCATCGAGCCGTGGGCCAAAAAAATATGTGCCACGTCACTGCTCGTCTAGGATATGGCAAGCAGAGTACATTACCGATCCTACGCGCTCGATCCTTTTCCCTTCATGCGCCTCATAAACACCGCTCGCTTGTTGCCCTCTGCGGCCAAAGGGCCACCAGAATGCCCGCCCCCCAAAACGGGCCTCGAAGGAAACTACCGCCACGCCAAAGACGATACCTGGTCCCGAGAGCCAGACGCTTGGGACTTGACGGGCAGTGCCCCCGGTGCTACTCGCTCTTCGCTCCTACAGTGGCCATGTTTGCCGCGCAGAGGGGGCCTGCAGGAGCGGCCATAAACACCCCCTTTCGTAATTTGTATCGTGGATGCTACGTGCATCGGCGCGCTTAGCTGCGTCTAGGCAGGCAGACGTCAGGCTTGGCCGAGCTTGAGGAAAATAGCAGACTGGTTCTTTGGCGTCGTGAAAGATGCGGTGCCGGTGTGAGTGGCGAGTGGCAGGTGCTGATGATCCTCCGAGTATCTGCGCCACGTTGAATCCATGCCTTCACCTTCCTTCACTGGATGCCACGGAAACAGAGTGGAAGGATTGCCGCTCATGTCCTTGGGTCATCAGCCAAGATTAATCGACGTGAACGGAACGTCGCGGGCGGCTATGGTGACCATGACAAGGCTGGGGGTCGCACGTTGACCTGGTATTTGGTTCCTTGGTTCCTCATTGTCCCTCGCAACGATCGAGCGGCCGAGCGGTCGACGTGTCTTTTGGCGCCGTCTTTGGAAGTGCCTGACGATTTCAAAGTATGCAACCGGGTAAGGCCGCCGTTGCGAGCTGTTTTCAGAGTCTTGTCAACCTTCATATTTCTTTGTTCTTTGGCCGTTTCCTTTTGTCTCGGTCCCTGAGTTTGCCGCCCACAAAATCGAGCTAGCCTTGCCCCTGTCCATCCCTTTCGTGGCCGGCGAATTGGCGCCCAGCACGCCCGCAGTTGGCCCTGTTAGTTCCGCGCCTTGTTGACAACCTAGCACGTCGAAGTGGATGCCCCGAGCAAAGCGACTAGCTTCTGTCAAGACAACGTCGGCATGCTCAAGTGCTTGATGCGGCCCAATTCCCAGTTGGCGTGACAAAAGAGGAAAGAAGGTGATGATAATCAAAAGGAAAAAGCGTCAAGCAGCTCAGGAAAGAACGGCCTCAAAGTCATAAATACTGCAGCAACGACCCGCCACTCGAGTTGCACTTTCCCAGTTGCTCTGTTGTAGTCCGCTCTTTCCTTTGGTCCTCCACCCCTCCAAATAAGCTCCCGTCGCCCATTGTCGCCTTCCCTCTTTCTCTCTTTGCCCTTTCCTTTTCCGTCTCTCGGGATTTGTCTTGTGCCTGCCCCTTCCTGTCCTTCCATTTACATTTTCTACTTGCTGCCGCCTGTTCTGCCTCATTTTGAAGTGCCTTCTTGCCTTCCCCATTTGGCGCCTTCCACTCGACAACTTCTTGTTAGATAGTTGACTAACAACGCGCCTTCCTCTTCGCGACGACTTCCGACCACAAATACATTTTTTTTTCTATGGCATAGACCTTTAAGACCATTCTCGTTCTCTACCCTTTTCATTGCTTCTTTTTTGCCTCCTTCTGACCAATTATCCGCCTCCTCCCCAAATCCATACGTCGCTCCAATCTCAAATCTCACTCCGTCTCCCCTCATTCGCGCCACCGTAGGCCCGTTTCAGCCCCGCCAAAACCGTCAGCTCCTCTTCCTTGCGCCTCGCTTCACCCCACCAAAAGCGCCCCCAAACAAAACAAGAGCTGGTCAACGCGCTCGTCCGTCCGAGATCATTTCAGATCGACTCGACTGTTTCACTTGGAGCTGTCCCCGATTTATATTTTGACATTCTCGGCCGTTGTTCTCGACGCCCACGTCCTTCCATTCCAACCTTACCAGATCTCGGGCTGCTTGTCTCGTTTCCTCGCCATCTTCTCCTGAACCGCCTCCGCACGTCGCACATCTCTCTCCCACAGCAAAGATGGCCGATCTGCAGGGCCGCAAGGTCTTCAAGGTCTTCAACCAAGACTTCATCGTCGACGAGCGCTATACCGTGACCAAGGAGCTTGGCCAGGGCGCGTACGGTATTGTGTGCGCCGCCGTCAACAACCAGACGAACGAAGGCGTGGCCATCAAGAAGGTCACCAATGTCTTTAGCAAGAAGATTCTCGCGAAGCGCGCGCTGCGCGAGATCAAGCTGCTGCAGCACTTCCGCGGCCACCGCAACGTACGTCCATGCCCGCCCCTCGCAAGACGACAGCTACCGTACTGACCAGCCGACAGATCACCTGTCTATACGACATGGACATTCCGCGGCCAAACAACTTCAATGAGACCTATCTCTACGAGGGTATGTACAGCTCTCCCCTGGCCCCTCACACCAGCGACGCGCGTTGCTCCTGCTAACAAGCACAGAACTCATGGAGTGCGACCTGGCGGCCATTATCCGCTCCGGCCAACCTCTCACCGACGCCCATTTCCAGTCCTTCATCTACCAGATCCTGTGCGGCCTGAAATACATCCACTCTGCCAATGTCCTGCACCGCGACCTCAAGCCCGGCAACCTGCTCGTCAACGCCGACTGCGAGCTCAAGATTTGCGATTTCGGTCTTGCGCGCGGCTTTTCCGTCGATCCGGAGGAGAACGCCGGTTACATGACCGAGTACGTCGCCACCCGCTGGTACCGCGCCCCGGAAATCATGCTCAGCTTCCAGAGCTACACAAAGGCCATTGACGTCTGGTCCGTCGGCTGTATTCTGGCCGAGCTGCTGGGCTCGCGCCCCTTTTTCAAGGGCCGCGACTACGTCGACCAGCTCAACCAGATCCTCCAGATCCTCGGCACGCCCAACGAGGTCACCCTCTCCCGCATCGGCTCCTCCCGCGCCCAGGAGTACGTTCGCAACTTGCCCTTCATGCCCAAGCGACCCTTCCCCATCCTGTTCCCCAACGCAAACCCGGACGCGCTCGACCTGCTCGACCGCATGCTCGCGTTCGACCCCAGCAGCCGTATTTCCGTCGAGCAGGCCCTGGAGCACCACTACCTTCAGATCTGGCACGACGCCAGCGACGAGCCCGACTGCCCCACCACCTTCAACTTTGACTTTGAGGTCGTCGAGGAGGTCGACGACATGCGCCGCATGATCCTCGACGAGGTCTACCGCTTCCGCCAGCTCGTGCGCACCGTGCCCGGCACCGCGGGCCACGCCGCTGCCCAGGCTGCCGCCCAGCAGCAGACCAGCCAGGTGCCCATGCCGTCGGGTGGCGGGCAGTGGACTGCCGAGGATCCGCGTCCCCAGGAGTACGTGACACACCCGGCGGGTCTGGAGCAGGAGCTGGCGGGAGGTCTCGACGCGCGTCGGTAGTTCCAGCACCCGTCCAACCCCCTCTTCCGTGCGAGCTTACCCGGGATGACGGTCCATGAGATACGACATTGGGGAGCAGGTTACGGGAGATAATTCTACGAAACCCACCAAAGATGGTGATTGCTTTGCGGGATACAGACACTCCTTTTTGGTATATTGATTGATATGACTGCGTTTTATTACATTGTTGTTTTCTGTCTTACCTGCGACTATTTGCTTTTGGAAATTCACGACATATTGGATTCGCTTGCTATACTTAGCTGTTACCCTCCTTTTCTTTCCTACGCGAACACAAAAAATGAGAAGAAGCGTGTGGATTTTGTTCAGAATGCAATATATAATTTCGCAACGAAGCAAGTTCACGAATGTTTCGTTTTGGCGATACCGGACTTCACCGTTAACGCCGGGCACTCAGTCTCTTAGCCCAGTACGAATTACCTGAAGTTTAGGCCTTAGAGGGCCTGGGTCCCCCTACGGACCGCTATTCAGTGGCAATATGTAGAGTCATACGGCGACGAGAATGGCTCATGCTGAGAATAGCCCCACAAAAAGCCAAGAGCCTTACCCAAACGTGGCGAACACGTGACCATCCCTCGTCCTTTTTCCAGCCTACTTCGCCGTCTTTTCGCCCGCCGTGGTTAAAAATGCGAACTCTCCTTTATCATCTACGTCAACGACCGCGCGTTCACCAAAGTCATCGACCATTCAAACAACCAAACAAGGCAGCTGCAACTCTTTCACCACAAACCTACACAAAATCCCACAACACAACACTACACACCGCAACCATGGGCAAGGTGCACGGTAGTCTGGCACGTGCCGGCAAGGTCAAGTCGCAGACCCCCAAGGTCGAGCCGCAGGAGTCCAAGAAGACGCCCAAGGGCCGCGCCCACAAGCGCGAGCAGTACACGCGCCGCTTCGTCAACGTGACGACGACGCCGGGTGGCAAGCGCAAGGTGAGTTCTCGCAAGGCGGCGCAGGAGCCGGGAGAGACTGCGGCGAAGCAGGCGATGGCAGGCACGCGGCAGACGATATTGTCCATCGCCCGACGACCGCCATCGATCGCCATCGATCGCCATCGTCCACCCTCATCGCATCGCACAGCATACTAACGTCCACAGATGAACGCCAACCCCGCCGCCGCGTAAAGCAATCCAGGCCCGACGACAACTTTTGGGGACCGGCTATGACAACAGATGAAAGCGATGAATCGATGACGAATGGAAAAGGACGACTGGAAACGACCGAATGGGGACGACTGGACTGGACCGGCCGGAGCCCGGTCGACCTGTGTCGACTGGCGCGGCTGGTTGAGCTGTTGTATTCGCGGACGGCACTTTCAAAGTGACAAAAACACCCTCTTATCAACACCGATTTCTACATGTATCGGCGTGGAAGCACGACAATATATCCCAAAACAGCCGGCCAAACTTATTTTTTAACAACTGCATGTACGATTGCAAACGACTCCACAACAACGGCCAACACATTTTACGATATCCAGGGGGACGAGGCTTATCTATCGTGGTGACGAAAAAGTTACACGCCGGAGAGCCAGAGAGCGATCGCCATTTTTTCACGTCTCATTTTTTTCCTTCTTCAATCGATTTGTGGTGCCGCTCGGGGTCGAGGGGGTGACGGGTGTCTTCTGAAACGGAGACCTTTGGGTTCTCGAGGATGATATCGAGGGCGAACGACAAATCGATTGGGTAGGACAGGTTGAGACTGGGAGCATGGCGTCTTCTGTCAGACTTGACGATGGTATTTTTATTAAAAGGGGGGGAGGAAAGAGGAAGAGAGGGAGGGGAGGACAGGACCCTTCCTTTTGGATTTCTCCTTTGGGTTTTTCATCTTGTTTTAATGTACCTATTCTCTTTGCACATTGATTTTATAAATCTACAGTTTCCTTTTACACAAATCGCTTCATGAACTGAATTCCTATCCGCGAAGCGATGGCATGTGGACGTCTGTCTACCGCATCGTTGTTCCGAACTGTTATTTGTCTTTCCACAAGACAAGGCGCCTGAAGGGTACATTTTGGCTGGTCTTTGAAAGAAAACAAACAATGAAACAACGTGTTTAAAACAGTTTCACGGGAGAATCAGCACCTTTTCTAGACATTGCAAGGGTTTGACAAGCAATAATGTGAAGCGTGATTGGCTGCGTCATCCAGACCCTACTGAGAACATCAAAAACACTACTCAGGTTTTTCCCGAGCCGAAGTCGAGTTGGCGACGTTTCGATGTCAGTGTAGCCATTACAGTCGAACGCAATCACAACTTACACCATGGGGAGTTGACTAATGTCATGAAATCCGATTCTTTCGTAATGTTTACCGGCGACCTTGGAGTTTATGAGAGGGATCCTAAATCAAGTATCGGTGCAATTTACGGACTTACTTTGTACAAAATGAGTCTGCCAAAATCCACCAAAGCGTCTCTCTGGGACGCCCCGTCTAATAATATGCTGCCTCACCCTGTTCATACGCCGTATACGCATTTTGCTGGAGGGCCACGCGCCACATTTTGTGTATCGCATTTCCTTTATGTGTGTTTTGTGTCGCTCCGTTGTCTGGGATGTGTGCCGCTGTCGGCCAATCATTAGCCGCTGGGGTTGTTGTTGTTCATTGTCGAGGATGGGGGCGGCGAGATCCCACAACACGACGGGGACGACTCCAGCCACATACCTAAAAATACACCAAGAAATATTGGACCCTGAAAGAAACGTGAGTGGGAGCACAAGACAAGGGCATGGGCGTTCAAGGGCAAGAAGTATGAAAGTCGGTTTGAAGGGTATGAAGGGTTCTTCTGGGTCTGTCGCGACGGGCCGCCCTGCGTTCCTATTAATGTACAATAGTGTTTGGTTGGGAATCGTGTGCACTTTAGCTGCCTGGGTTGGGCTGTTTTCGTCATGCATAAAAATGCAATTTTACGCCTAAGCCGCACGGCGGATAACAGCATCATGAAAGTAAAATGAGTGGATGAAACTCGATTCGCGTTTGAGCGGTGAGGCCTGCCTGGTAGTGGCCATTTTGTCCACCCGAATACTCTCACGAAAACATTGTAATGCTATGTTGCTTTTTAGTTTTAATGTAGTTTTATTTGGTTTTTGTAGCCATACTCGAAGGCCTGTCCTTCGCTAGACACTACAACAAGAGATTTGTTTGATTTTTGTTTTGTCCCGGACATAGGAATAAAATTTGAATGATAATAAAAGTTGTGAATACCGAAGTGAAAAATGTAGCCTTGTCCCGCCTTGCCCGTCCCTAGACAAATGAGTGCGTTGTCCTACTGTACAGCCCAGTGCCTGTTGTGTTGAAGAAAGACGAAAAAAGAAATGGCAAAAAGAGGCAGGGTATATCCAAAAACCAGCCGTAAAGAAGCGAAATATATGTAGAAGTGAAATGACTATGAGTTAAAAAAAGATATTATCGAATGTTGGTACAGTGTATGTGTTGTCGGCCGTTGAGGTTGCGCTCGGGTTTTGCGAGGTTGGTCGTTTTAATGTTTGTCAATGTTCGTCTTGCTTAACCGAAGAACCAGTAGAAAGCAGTGTAGGGGACACTGCCACCAGCAGCGTTGAGAATGTCGCAGGTATGCGAGGCACCACCGACAGTGATGACGCGGTATACCTGCTTGATGCTGTTGGAGGCAGCGTTGGAACTGGCAGACAGCTGGAGCCAGTCGACGGCGCCCGTGGACAGGATGCCGGTGCCTGCAGTCGAGGGCGCCTTGACGTTGCCAGTCTTGGTCATGCTGCCGTAGAGGTTGGCGGCGACCAGGTTGAAGATGGGTACACCGTTGGAGTCAAAGTAGTGATGACCCAGGAACGGAACAGATTTGGGCAGGACACCAGGCAGCGGGAGGGCAGCGGCGGCCAAGAAGGGATCAGCGATGACGGCGCCGTAGTCAGCCTCGCCGAGAACGTTGGGGGTTGAAGGGGTGCCCGGGCTGGAGGCCGCGGCGTTCTGCAGGTTCAGGGGAAGATCCTGGCCCCAGAGGACGGTGTTGGAGATGGCGTTGAAGGCATCAGGGTGAAGACCAGTCACTGCGGTGCCGGGGTACAGGTTGGTGACATCGTAGAGGGTAGCCAGGGCACCGGTGGCGACGGTTGCCGCACTGTTGGAAGCGCAGGTGTAATTCTGGATGCCGTGGCCAACGGCGATTTTCAAAAGGGCCAAGCCAGGGCTAACAGGAGGGAGTTCGGTACCTGGGAGTGTTAGCTTGATTGTATCGAGCTGGGCTTTGGGGACAATTTCATTCATTTTCAAAAAAGGTTCAAAAAAGTGAAATAACATACCAGTACCGGTCAAGGGGAGAGCGTAGGTAGGCGCCTTGCACGGTGGTGGTGGTGCGGCCGAGACGACAGCAAGCAAGCTGGCGAGGAGAGTCAACGATCGTGCAGCCATTGTGAATGATTGTGTTGGCGATGGAGAATACAAAAAGAGCCAAAAGGGCGGGAGAGAACAACAATATATAAAAGTATCGAAAAGAAGAGGCTGACTCGTTCCTCGGAGAAAGCCTCGCAGATGCAAAACGAGCGGTGCTTCAACAGCGCCAGGGAAAATGAATGCAATATAAAAGTTAAGCGCCGGCCGGGTCGGAGACCGTGTTTTGGTGTAAGAAACGGGAGGACAGCTGGGGAAAGTGGGCTATTGGCAACGAAGACTTCCAGAGCGTTTTTCTTGGGCAACCCCACAAAAAGATGCAAGAATAGGCAGTGTTGGAGGATGGCCAGGCCGGCAGGATCCAGAGAAGTGGGAAAATAATGTATTTTTGGATTGGTGAAAAAGAAACGAGAAGAAAAGTGGAAGAGTATCTGGAATTTGCGTTAATACCTGTCAGACAAAAACAAAACCGAGGAAGATGTCATGGAGAGGCTGGCCCTGTCGATTTATATTGTTTTTAGACTGACGGACTGAGGAGGAAATGAAAAAAGGATTGCGAGCAAGGAGGTTGAAAGAGGAAAAGAAGGAGAGTTCGAATCCAGGAGTCAGGAGTTGGAAAGAAGTGTTTGAAAGGTGTCAGCAACAGGGCGAAGAGGAGACATGGCAACGAGAAAGGAAGCAAGTAGACGAAACCGAAGAACGAAAGTCAAGCCGTAGAAAAGGACGACCAACAGGAAAGGTAACGAGAGAAGTCGGGGCCTGACGGCAGCCAACATGTCGCCCAAAGCGGCGATCAGAGCAACGGACAAACAGAACAAAAAGGAACTCACGAGCTGTGGCCCGGGCACTCGGACAGGGTCGAAGAGAAGCGTAAGGCGGTTGGGTGGAGCTCGAATCATTTTGCGGTGGCATGGAAGGATACAAGGTCGTGGGCTGGCCAGGGCTCAGAGGTTGCACTGACCCATCCTTGCGCCGTGCCATTTGCCAGTTGCTATTTTCGCGAGGCTATCTTCCTCTTTTTGTGTCCATGCTCGGTGCTAGTTTGGGCCTTATTCCCTCTGCGTCTGTTTGTTGCATGGGAACGCTGTGTGCTGACGGTCTGTGTCGTGCTCTCCACGATTTTACAGACGTTTTACAGACTTGTTAGTATTCTGTACGTCGTATGGAGAACGAGGACGCACGAGAGCGAGGCCCCGGATAATACAACCCCGCGGTCCAACTTGCCGTCTACCGAAGCAGAGCGAACGTCGAAGCGGCAGGTCGCCAGGATGAGAAAAAACTTGCAACGGCCAAGCAAGACGTCTCCATTGATGGTGGGTTGACTCCGTTAGCAAGCGAGATGTTCACCCGGATAGCTTTGGGACCCTTCTGGCATTTTCGTTCTCACGTTGTCCTTGGCGAGTCTCTCAGCTTGTGCTCGGTAACTCGTCCAAGAGGCGGCTTGCAGATCGTTTGCTTCTAGGAGTGGGGGAACGCCATCCGTCGTAAGCATTTGAGTCGAATATCGTGCATTAGAGGGTCGCAGAGACGCGTTAGCAAAGCACGAGACATGCCTCTGAAAACAACACTAATAAAAATCGAGGCAAACGCAAAAATAAAAACAACGAAAAACAACGCCAAGGGGGTCCAGAAAGGAGATGGAGGGCACGGGTGCGGCAAGATTACCGTTTTGCCTTGAAGACGGGACAAAAACGATGGCTGCGTCTAAAACGACAGGGGGTGTGTTTAGCTGCAGAAAGGGCTGCAAGGGGGAGGGAGCGGGATGGCCAAGGCGAGCCAGGGTTCTTTGCCACAGATGGCGAGGTGTTAGTACAAAGTACAAAGTACGAAGAACGTCGTACTGTCGTTCCTCTCGTTGTTTGCAACCTCACAGAAACGTGGTATGCAGAACGGGGTACGTCGCACTTGTGCATGGACTAAGGACCGTGGACGAAGGACGGTGTGGTGTGCCACCGTATCGAGCATGTCAGAGCGGACGATCAGCTTGTGCAACTGCGTTTTGCAGTGTCTTGTTTTTCGGATTGCCAAAGATGTTCCCAACAGCGGATGTCCCGTGCGTAGACCATATTGTTTTTTTTGTTTTTTTTTTGTGCTAGCGGACCGTATTTCCCTTCAGGAAGCACGCAGGTGTCTATGCAGATGCTCAATGATGGTGACGGGTAAAAAAGTGCACAGGAGGCGTTTATGGCCCACTGTTGACTCGGGCAGGACAAGTGACTCCACGAGACGAATGCGGTGTGTGTTGTGCACCTGGTGCAGTCCTTGCATGTACTCGCATGCAAGGCGGCCCATGAGCCATTCTCAACCAACGAGCACCAAATGGACAGGACTTGTTGCACCGAACACCAACAGATCGAACTTTGTCGGATGCCTGAACAAGCGCGATATGGTCTTTTGAAACTGTGCCGTGCTGTTGGTCCCCAGTTCTTCGTTCTTCCGGACGGTGGGCAGCTTGTTAAGTTGTTGAGCAGTGATAACGCTCCATCCAGGACTGATCCAGACGGCGCAAAAGACTCAAATGTATCTGGTCGTCTCCAGTGGTCTGCATTCCCGTTTGTGAATGTCAATGCCGTAGCTGAGTATGCCAACGTTCCGCCACATTTGCCGGATTGGCCACTCTGTTGCCGACTCTCGCTTGGGCTGGGAGATTGTATTGACTTCTACCGTACGTCGTCGATGGATGATGCACGCATTGAGGGCGGCCAAAACGGAGGTCGACACGGGAGATACGCCGCAAAGAGCACAGAAAAGCAAAAGAAACACAGAGACACCACCGAAAGTGGGTGCGCCATCTCATTACGGAAACCTTGGGTGGCTGCTGAACGGTAGCAGCGTTCCGTGCGCATGGGCGTATGTCTCTGGGGATGGGCCATGGCGCTGAATTGGGGGCCGGTAGGAAACGGAGGTCAGAAGAGACAAGCTGGCAGACAGTAGGAGGACCGATGAATTGGAAAAAGAAAAGTAAATACGAAGCATCTTACAAAAGGGGCTCGCCAATAAGAAATGAATGAGGTAAGAACGATTTGCGTCGAATGCCCCTTCTGTCTTTGTGACGCTGTTCGCTCTTTCCATTTTAGTCAATAGTGTCTCAGCCAATACGGTGTTGCGTCTTTTACATTTGGGAGACAGAAAAAGAAATACATGTTATGCCCCCGAACGAACCAGAATCCCTAGCAATAATACGGGCTGTTATTGAATTATTTTTCTTTTTTTGAACTGCGGTCTGGTGCAATCTCTGATGCGCCACCGGCCGGTGGACACCCAGGCAACGTTCCGCGGCCGCGCGTGGAGGGCAAGAGCGACTCTCTCAGGTCATGAGGATGGTCCTTCCTTTGTTAGCTTTGAACTGCATCGGGTTCTTTCCTTCTTTCTCTTCCTTCCCAAAAATAAAACAAGCAGGCGCTTTGGTGTGGGTCACATTGCGCGAGAGAGAAGGTGCAAAGGGGACTCTACAGGGATGCTCATGCAGCTCAAAATGAGATGTCACAATATTGATTTCTGGCGAGAACCAGATGTCTTCCTTTGGGGTTGCAGTCACTACGAGAGTCAATATCATCGACGTTGCGCGTTTTCTTTGAGAGGTGCGACGTACGATGTACTGTATCGAGCGATACTCGGTACTTGTACGGAGTACGTCGTGCAGGTGATGCCGCTTTGGATTAGCAATACAACAGACCCTTCAGACGATGCTCATTGTCTAGCAGATAGCATCCTTCGTTTCGTTTCCGACCGTTTTCGTGAATCACTCGGGCGGACGAGGCCCCGGCTGAACAATGCACGGCCAAAGACGGCCAAAGAAAGCAACAACAAAAGACGGAGAACACAGGTCATGTCTCCAGGCACTCAATAGAGTATACTTGCATTGGGCAGCAATGAAGTATCTCGGAGCTCGGACAGGGGCCGCCTTCACTACACGGTCCACGCCGTTGTTTGATGTTTGATCTTCGAAACAAACTCCTCGTCTTTCCACAACGTTTTTTCTCAAAAACGGTCCCCCTGAAGGGAACAACAGCGCAGGGTACTTTAGGCCGAAAGCTATTTGTTGTCTCCTCTTTGCTGTTTTCTCGTCTTGAAGACAAATGTATAGCGTACTCCGCAAGGCTTTGCGCACATTTCCGGAAGCGTCGCCTGTCATGCGAGGATCGTCGCAGGTGCATTGTCGATTTTCTTATGACAGAATGACATCTTATTCCAAATGCGCAGCTCACGGAACACTCCGAGAGTCCGTGGCCGAGCTGACGAGAAGATGCTCGCTGTGTCGATCCTGAACTGAACAGGAAGGGAGCAGCAGAGACTGATGTTGCTTCTTCCCGACAATTTCGATCCATGGGATTGGGAGGCGAGAAGGGTTGTGTGAGGAACAGCGCCTGAGAGCGCTTCACAGACGCACAGGAGCCCTGCGGCCTCGGCCTGCCAGCCAATCCAGCGCATCATTGCCTGAAGCAGAAAGCCCAAACAAGCGACATCCAACAGGCTGCGGCTGTAATACGGCCAGACGGCGTAAAGGGGGCTCGGGGGGCCACACATTTTCCTAGATAACCCCATACTTCAGAAATCCGATGAGCCGGTGCTGTTGATCCCACAGATCCTCTCTACGATCGCATTGCGTCTACGACGTAGTACGTCGTGCCTGCGCCTACATTCTGCATCCTCATTGCTTGGACATGATGTCTCGCCACATTTCTCACCCTTCATCCTTCGTCCTCGGTTCAACTGTCGTCTCTTCCATTGTCCCCGTGGGCAAAGGTCTCGGGCTTGGTTTGGCGACCTCGCTAGGGCTTACCCGTCCGCTACGAATTACATCTTCAAATATTGTTAGCTCGTCGTTGCATTTTGGGATTTAGGAGCGCTGGGAGGAAGGGGGCTGGGGGGCTTCTGCTCTGTACAACAGGCTAAAGACAGCAAGACCCTGACAATGGTAGACAAGAATCCTCCTGAAGGAGCCTGTTGACTTTACGACAAACGCGATCCAACACTGGACACGAGGATGGCGGTGCCCTGGGCCGAAATTGAGCGTCGCTGGCCTGCACGTTTGCTGCCGACATCTTAGCCGTGACGCCGAGCGCATCACGACCGTTTGATCCTGCAGTGGACGTTGAGGTGTCAGGTCAGATTCTCCCTCACGTCTTGACTATTATCCGAGAGCTACATCGGACAAAAGAAAGGGGGTCGAGATGTTGCTTTTCCTCCGCATGCCCCGACATGATTTGGCACTGACGCACCGTCGGTTCCCCTGATGCATACAACGTCTTCCTTCGACTGTAACGGCTACGCAAAGATCACCAACGAATGCATCGCCAGATCAGGCAAAGCGTCGTGTTTGAAGGGGGATCGATTAAGTCAACAACACCACTACTTTTCATTTGCAGGTATGGGTATATCTCTTGTCACCCTCTGTCTGTCTCTCTCTTCTTGTCCACTCTCATCGTGCACGGCCCGGTTGAAAGCGCCTTTTTTTTCCCACACGAAAAACTGAAACACCAACACACCCAAAATGGTAACCAAGAAGTTGGGACGACATTTCCCCTTTCTCCCCAACATTAAGCGCGAATAAGGGGGCAGGCATTTAGTCCTGGTTCGTATTCCGTGCAACAAACGGAACTATGTCGATCCTAAAACAAAACGCATTGATGCTTTTTGTTTCTTTGTTTCATCCAATGTCCATCGCGTGTTCGACAGTACGACATACAACATACATGCTCCCTCGAACGATGTTCTTGTGAATCGTCACAGCCCACTCCGCGCCCGCTTGAGCTGCGGCGGCGAAACGGGGCAGAGGTCGAGGTTGGCGGCGTCCCAGGCTCGCAATCGTTTCCGGCTGGGCGTGTCGCCAGGGAGACTTTTCGTCCTGTGCGTGTTCTTCTCCAAACTGTCCTGACTGTCCAAACTGTCCAAACTGCTTTGGCTCTCGTGGCTGCCAGACGCCTGACTGCCGTCGGTCGTCGACGGCGCGGTCAGACTGGAGACAAAGTCGATGGGCGAGCACGAGGCGGGCGGCAGTGGGGAGTTGGAAACGCGCGGCGGAGTTTTGGGTGTCATGGGCGACGTTCTTATGACGGGAAGCGACGTTGCCCTCCGCTTGGGTGTCCTTGGCGGCGAGGGATCGTCAGGCAAGATCTCTCTTTTGCCAACAGCTGTTTCTTTTTCGACAGTACTTTCTTTGACCGTACTTTCCTCAACCGAAGCTACGGGCCTTTCCGCCTCCTCTGCCACCTCCGTTTCCTGGCTGTCGCCCGTCAGGTCAATGACGGGCACGGCAAGGTTCGGTTTCATCAGCTTCGCCTTCGCCAGCTTCGCCTTCTCGTACTTGTCGTATCTTTCGTCGTATGTCTTCACCGTGACAATGGACAACTGGCTTTGTTTGCAGAGGTCCTTGTCCGCCTCCTCTGCCTCTGCTTCTTCCACAATGTCAATCAGAGGCATCCCAAGACCAGCCGACAGCGGCGGCTGGCTCGTGACTGACTGGGTCCGTTGTGTCGATCCTGATGACGACTGGCTGCGGGTCGTCGATTGCGAAGGCGACTGCGACTGCGACTGCGACTGGCTCGTTTCGGCATCCATGGCGATGCCGCCCTTGTCGGCACGCTTCAGCTGCGCGACCCAATGGGCGTGCTGGGAGGCATCGTACGCGTCCGGACCAGGCCCGCCGCTGCCGCCGCCACTATCCGGCCCATCAAAAAAGTCGTCGTCGTACACAGCCGTGCGCGCCTCGGCCTCGACGGCCATGGTTTGTAGGTCGTCAAACGGTAGCGTGTCGGCCCACGTGCGGTCAAAGTGGAACTTGACGACGCTGGGAAACCGCGGGCTCCAGAAGCGGCCGTAGCCTGGGCGGTGAAAGGAAAAGCAGCGAATGTCGACGACGGGCGGGTCGGCAAAGAGGTCGGTGGGGCCACCTTTGCTGTCGTCCAGACCGGGCTCGAGAGGAGCGAGGTCAAAAGGACATGTGTCCTGGTGGCCACCATCGGCGCCGGGCGTAGACTTGACATGTCTTGTGTTTCGTGTCTTTCGTCCGTCGGTTCTGCGTGGCACGGGAACGACGTGCGGCCGGCAGTGACGTAAAAAGGTAGTCATCTGGGCCGGCGTGAGAGTCACAACGTTGGTGACGACAAAGCGCGGTCGGGTCTGGCCGGCCTTGGGCGTCTCCTGGCACCCAATGAAAAAGTGCGTCCACTTGAGCCCTGGCAGGTCGGAAGGGTACTCACGCGCTTTGCAGGCATCGTAGCGGGCACCGACAATAGCAAAGTCGCCGACCTCGCCGAAGCCGCCAATGTAGCCCCTTTTGAGTTTGATGACGTAGGAGGCAAGGTGCGGCCACTCGAGAGTGGTGGACGAGGTAGTTCCTGAGCCCGGGCCCTTGAGGTCAAAGTACGGATCTTTCAACGGCTTCAGGACAAGCCCTTCGAGATGGGCTGTGATGCATCGTGCAAAGGCGCGGCGCAGCTGGGCCGGTGCCGTGCGGGCGCGAAAGTCAAGGATCTCGCGCTTGACAAGCTCGGCATAGCCCGGGCGGCATGTGACCAGCTCCTCCAAACGGCGAAAGCGGTCCTCTCGGCTGGTGCTCAGCAACGACTCGTCGTCAACAAGCATGACGTCGTAGTAGACAATCATCAGGTGCTCGTGGTCCTGGGTGTCGGCGCGCGGGTCGCAGTAGAGGCGCGATCCGCTGCGGTTGACGTGCTTGCGGATGGCATCAAAGTCCATGATTTTGGCGGCCTACACCATGTTAGCAACGCAAATTCCAACCAGCATTGACGGGCGTCCGCAGGCGACTCGCCTTCTCGTCGTAGGCTAGCATTTCGCCCTCGAGGATGCACCCTTTGGTGATCGGACAGTCAGGCTGCCCGAGGCGCAGCGACTCGCGGATGGCACTGTGCAGGTTCACGCGGTCCCATGTGCTGTCCTTGCCACTTTTCGAAAAGAGTTGAAGACAGTCTTTGTGGTCCGGTCCGTTGACGAGGTTGACATGCACCTGCACGTACTCGCCGTCCATCTTGTGCTCACAGCTCATCCGCTGCGGACCGCCCATGGCGATGCAGTGCTGGACGCTGCGGCCTTTGGCCCATTGCTGGCGGCCGACCTTGACGCCGAGGCGGGGGCGGACAATGTCATTGTCACCAGATAAAGACAGGACCGCCGCCTCAAGATCCGCATAGACTTGCAGAGCCTGCGGCAGGGACTGGTGGAAGGCACGCGCCACGACCGCCCCGTCGAACACAGCCGGCCTCAGGTCTTTGAGAATCAGGCGTGTCAGCCACTTGGCGCCGCATGGGTCGAGGCGCTGGTACAGACGGGCGAGGGCATCTTGCGTCGGCGGAGGCGCAATAAAGTCGTTCTTCGACGGGCTCGCCCTATGTCGCCCCCGAACAGCCGGTGCACTGAACCGACAGCGTGCAGCGACGCCGTGCAGAGTGGCGTCGATCTCCTCGACGGTGACGGGTACATTGGGCGTGGGATTGGGCTGGCGGTTAGCGGACGATCGAGCAACAGACCGGATGAAGGACGGGTGAGTTTGGACGTACTGTCCGCTGGAGGATGGCCTCGACGCAGTCGGCAAGGTCCACGGGTCCCGTGGTGGCATGGTCGCAGGGGCGCATCCAGCGAGAGAGTTCAGGGACGCGAGAGTGGCCGAGACCAAGAGCGCGGATGAGGATGCGCTGGAGGCCGCGGGCCTGCAGGGCATAGACGCGGTCGGTGCGGCGATCGGGCAGGAGGGTGGAGAGGAGGGCGGCGGCACCTGATGAGCCGGCCGCGGAGGACGTTGGTCGTTCGACGATCAACGCATCGACCTCCTTCCTGTGCTCTGCAAACCAAGATTGGACGACCAGGTTGACTGACCGAGGTCGACTTCGATCAGCCGCTGGGAGCTCAGCGACCTGCTGGAAGAGGTCACAGACATGGCTGAAGAGGAAGGGCATGGTGGGAGGGTCGAGATAGACAAAGGAAAGGGAGGCCGAGATGCCGATGCGTCTTCTCGCATGTCGATGTGAGGACGGACGTAGAAAGGTAGACGGGTGTCAAAAGTACGCAAGGTCAGATGGAAAAGTGATGCAAAAGAGAATCTGATGATGTTTCCAAGACAACCAAAGTTGGAAGGGAGGCTCGATTTATGTACGCCGTAAAGATGGCAGACAAAGACGCAATGGGTTCCCTTTGATCCTTTTACCCCGTGCACGTGCGACGTGGCCAAGTCGTTGTTGTCTCGTCTCCCTTTGATGCAGCACTGCCTCGCAGGCAACAATGTGACTGTTGAGTGGGACAAAAACCAGATGCCACTCCCCCTTTTGCCGGAAACGGCCATTTTCGGCCATTTTGTGAAGCCCCACGATTGGGCCCTGTGTAGCCTTTATGTCGTTGGTAGCTTGGGAAAGTGCCACTTTAGGGCACGCGCTGGACGCGCTATGGGAGACACCAAAACTGCAGGATCGACTGATGTGGATCGCGCATGTGGCACGGGTTCACGTGAGGTCGTCGCAGCGGATTCTATTAGGCAGAATCGGCGATTTGGCGATGCAACCATCTCAAATAGGCAATCGCATCGACGGGACACGGATAAAGTTGGAGACGCCGTACATCGTATATTGTGGCGGAAAGACTATTATTGCAAAATATAATTGAGTTTCATAATGGACAGCGACAGGCTCGATGAGCTGGGAATCAAATGAATATGCCAAAAGCAAACAGGATGCAGAAAACGCTGCACAAATGAAATGGAGACAAAAATCCAAGCAAAGTAATAAAGACATGATAAAAACAAAATAACAACATAGATCAGATCAAAAGACAGCTGCCTCATATGTCTCCTGTCAGAAGTCACCGCCAGTGTCGCCGAAATCACCTCCAAAGTCAGCGCCCGTGTCGGCGCCTGCGTCACCCGTGTCGGCGCCCCAGTCGTCCCCTGAGTAGTTGACCGAGTCGCCCCAGCCGCCGACACCGCTTGTGTTGTTGACGTCAATGTTGATCTGTGTGTTCGAGTTTATATCAAACACAGGTACGGCAGGCGTGGTTGTTGGCAGCAAAAACGTCGGCTGGTTCTGCGTTTGCTGCTGCAGAATGTTCATGAAATTGTTGTTCGTCTGGGCTTGCGATTGCTGCAATATATTCATAAATTGGTTGGACTGCTGCTGCTGCTGCTGCAGGATCGCCTCGTACGGGTTGTTTGCTTGCTGGTTATACTGATGAGTTTGCAGGAGCGAGTTGATGACCGTATTGGCCAGTGCTTCGCCAGGGGTCGGTGCACCGGTACCACGGCCTGCGCTCACACCCACAGCGCCACCGCCACGACCTGCCGAGACACCGGGACCATAGCCACGACCGGCGCCAGGTGCTGTACCGTAGCCACGGCCAGCACTGGGCGCACCGCGGCCAGCACCTGGGGCACCACGGCCAGCACCTGAGGCACCACGGCCAGCACCTGGGGGGCCACCACGGCCAGCCGCTCGGTCGCCCTGAGATTGAAATTGGGCAGCTGGGGCTGTAGTACCAGGAATGTATGGTTGAGGTCCAACAGAAGTAGCCGCTGGAACGGTACCAGGAGGGGCACCAGGAACAACAACACGAGTAGCCCCCGGAGCAGCCCCAGGGACAGCTCCAGGGACCACTCCAGGAACTGAACTTGTCCCGGAAGCAGGAGAGGCTGCAGGAGAGGTGCCAGGTGAGGCGCTAGAAACTACACCTGGTTGGACGCCGGATGCAATACCAGGAGCAGCGCCAGGAACAGCGCCGGGAGTAGCACCGGGAGCCGCACCAGGTGCCGCAACTGGCACAGCGCGCATACCGGGCGGAGCACCACCGGGGGCAAACCCAGGAGGCGTCTGCGCAGGCATACCGGGTGCCGCAGCGTGCGGAACTTGTCCCGGAGGCGCTGAGAAACTCGTAGGCATAGGCGGCCGACCGGCCTGGCCTGGTAAAGGCTGCCCTGGCACCTGTTGGCCGGGAGCTGCCTGACCGGGCGCGGCTTGACTGGGGGCGGGTTGGACAGACGCCACGGGCTGGCCGGGAATGTATGGCTGTTGCGGTGTCACTGGTGCGGCCTGAGAGGGCGTACCACCCGGCGGGACACCGTGCTGCATCTGGCCGGGCGCCGTGTGTGTTGTGTGCAGTGGCGGGGGGGCGCCTGTGGCGGCCATCTGCCGCGCCGCGTAGATTTGCGCTTCGGCTTGCTGCTTGGCCTGCTGGATCTGGATCTGCGCCTGGCGCTGGGCTTCGGCTGCGTCGGCCTGCGCTTTTTGCACGGCCTGTTGCATGGCGTCCTGCTGGGACGACTGACGCTTGTACTGCTGGTGCGTCGAGTAGGCAGTGGTGCCGATGCGGGCGCCGGCGGCGCCCGACATGCCGATGCTCTCACCAACCAGCGCGCCGCCAATGGCAAACGCAGTGCGCTTGACGGCCGGGTTCTTCATCAATTTGGAGAAAAGGCCGCTGCCGCTGCCACCGCTGTTAGCGTTGTTGGTGGTGGGTGACGGTGAGGCAACAGCACCCGGTCGGTTTGGAGCCGTGCCCACTGTCATTTGGCCACGCTGAGGCGCTGTACCAGTAGGCGCGGTTGGGGGTGCAGCAAATGGGCGGTACGCCGGGCCCGGCGCCGGCGCCGTGTGTACTTGTCCCGGGGCCTGACCAGGAGCCGTAGCAAACTGCTGCTGTGCCTGCGGCTGGTACGGAACAAGCACACCATTGGGACCCATAACAAACAGCTGCTGAGCGGGTTGTTGAGGTTGGGCAGGCTGAGGCTGGCCGGGTACTTGTTGTCCCGGCAGAGGCATGGTCTGGGCATGTTGTGGGTGCGTAAACCCGGGCGACAGGGTATGCTGCGGCTGCTGTACTTGCTGAGGCAGCTGAGAGTGCACTTGAGGAACAGCCGCCGGTGCCGTCTGGCTGTGGTGCAGAGGGGGAGGCTGCGGGTTCTGGGTGCCAGCTGCAAGCGGTATACCCGCTGTACTTAGTGTCACTTGGGCGCCTGGAGCCGCAGCCGGAACCGGTGCCTGGGCAGGATGTGGTATCTGGCCTTGCTGTCCCGTTTGTTGTGGTGTCGCGAAACGGTTTGGCAGCGGAGGTGGTATGCCGCCCATGGCCAGAGGTGGGCCAGGAAAGAAAGGCTGCTGTGTCTGCTGGCTTGGCAGCTGGCCAGGAAGGGACATGCGGTGCGCCGGATGGGCCTGCTGGCCGGGGTTCGTACCCGGTACTGGCTGGAATTGTTGGAGTGCGCCAGGGAAAGCCTGGGAAGCAACCCCTGACTGCCCGGGCTGCGACTGTGGCAGCGACTGTGGCTGCTGCACGGCTTGGAGAGGCTGGACTGGCGGGTGGAATGCTTGAGGGTTGTAGCCAGCCAGGGCAGGCTGGGCCACACCAGCCATTGGTGACGGTATTTGACCTGGAGCAGCATACATGGACATGCGCTGGGGCACTGGCTGCGTTTGCTGGGCGGATGGAGATGGTGTCGTAACCGAGCCAGCCACCGAGTTGCGGTGCATCGAATTGACGGACAGGGCCGGCGACTGGTGCGTTTGTTGGGGGCTGCTCTGGCTCGGGACGCTATGGACACTGTGAATGCTTTGGGCGGGCGTGTGCACGCGCTGCTGATCAGCCGTGAAGGAGGCAGGCTGCGCTGGGGCCGACGCAGGAGATTGTTGCAAGGCAATGGACTGGATGGGCTGGATGGGTTGCTGGCCGAGCTGGTCGACGGCAACTCCCCATTGTTGGTTTGAGACGGACGAGACGGACATGCGGTGAGGGAGAATTGTTGGACCTGGGCCGGGACCAGGGCCCGAGGAGGTACCGGGGACGGCCGAGGCAGTAAGTTGTGGCGATTGAGCGCTCGCAGACCGAGGCGATGCGTCCCCCGAGCCTCCACCAACAGCTTTGCGTTGCACAGTTGGCTTGCGCTGGATGCGGTTCTGAAGGGGCGGTTGGGTAGCAGTTACGATTGGCGGCGGCGTAGCGGAAGGTGTAGCTGCAAAGGTCGAAGTCGGAGACGATAGCTGGACCTGGGGTGGCGCGGCGGCAGGCGGCTGTGCCTGTGGTTGGGGCGTTTGATGCTCCTCGGCGGCCAGTATGAGGCCCGACGATGCTTCGGCGATCGACGCAAGCCCGCTCGGGGGCGCCTTTACGCTCGGAACACGGGTGGGGCCGGCAACGGGAGGTGGTGTGTTGACCGGCGACATCAGTTTCGGTGCGGTGCTGGCAAAGTTGGCAGACATCACGACGGGTGTGGGAGGCGGCGGCTGTGAGACAACGTGGGCCACTGTATCTGTACCCGTTGGGGGCGCCGGTGCGGAGATTTCTTTGCTTGAAGGGGCACTTTCGGATCCGACGACCACACCAAGTGGAGGCGGTAAAGCTGGCCCAGCTCCGGACGTTCCAGTTGCCGGCGCAGGCGGCAGCATCGAAGATGAGGTTTCGGAGGTTGAGAGGATGCTGAAAGCAGATGTAGAAGCTTGAGGAGGTGGTGATCTTGGCTGTAACGGAGCTGGAATGGCTTCGTTTGCTGCCGTAAGACCAAAGGAAGCGGAGTTGTTAGGCGCGAGGGCCTGTGCAATCTGGTTGATCACGGCTGGGGTAGATTTGGGCGTGTTGGGAACAGCTGGCATAGATAGAGGAGAAGCAAGCGACGCCGGGCTACCTTGGCGAGACAGGCGGAGCGGTGCTGGCATCAACTCAGGCTGTGAGTCTTGGACGTCTTTCGTTCCAGCCTGGGGTGTTGCCAATTCAGCTCCTTCGGTACCTTCTTGGGTAGCTTGGGCTGGTGCTGTGCCTACAATGTCCTTCTTTTCACTTGTCTGGCTAGCTGATGCTTGAGCAGGCAGCACAGAGACGCTGGCCACGGGCGTTGGAGTCGGCTGAGGAGGTGGTGTGGTTCCTTGAGGCACAGCAGCTCGTAGCACCAAAGGAACGTCGGAGAGAATGGCACCCGCAGGTTTCGGAGTAACAAGAGCCTGGGGGATGTACGGACGGTTTGACGCAGGTTGAAGAATAGAGGGCACACGGTTGGGGGCGTCTTTGGCTTCTCGTTCTGCTGTGGGGGGAAACTTTGGAGGCTCTGCCGCAGATGCAGGAAAAGTAGGGGCAGCAACGGGAGCAGGAGTGGAAGAGGTTTGTGGTTGAGGCTGAGGTGGAGACTGAGGCTCTTCAACTGGTCTTGGCACAGGCTGGCTCTGAAACGGCTGCGATGGCTGGAGTGAAAGGGGTATGCTAGTGAGTGTTGTGTCAAGGGTGGCACGGCGATGTTCCTCGTGAGGCTTGTCTTGATGGGGGCCGTCACGTTGACTGTTTCTCGCCTCCGCAGCGGCGGCAGTAGCAATAGCAAGGTCGGCAACTACAAGAGGTTGGCGACCTGTATCGTCACTGGCAGGCGGCTTCTCGGCAGAAGCGGTTGTTGCCTCGTTGGGCTCCGCAGCTGTGGCCGCAACTGGCGGTGGCGCGATGGGTGCAGCTGTCGTGACAATGGGCTCGTGTGGTAGCTCTGCAGGACCAGGCGGGATGGGCCCACTGTCAAGTTCGACGGGCGGTGGGTTGGATTCTTCTTCAGCGAGAGGTGTTTGTTCCGTGGCCAGCTCCGAGATGTTGCCGACGGGATCGGAGGCGTAGTGCCGACCGCCAAGCGCCAGAGCGTCCGGGAGCTCGTGGATAATGACCGGCTCGGTGTTGGGTGGCAGGGTTGTGGTGGCAGCAGCAGCAGCAGCAGCTGTTGTGTCTGCACTTTCTGTGGCAATACTGTTGACTAGGTTCGGGGTGGTGAGTGTGCTGGCAGGTGTGCTGTCGACCTCGGCGATGCCTCGTTGTGTGGGGTCGTCAACAGCTTTGAGGTCCGGGTCTTCTTCGTCTTCGTAGAGGGGAGACACGTCGGTATAAGAAGCTGGGCCTAGAAAGCCACCAAACATATCAAACGACGATGAGTTGAGAAAGTCGCTGCGGCCAAGTGTTGCGGAGGTGGGCTCTTTGCTGGCAGCACCAGTTCGGGATGCAGTGCTGGCCGTCCGTCTTGGGGGTAAGCCTGACATGCGCCGCTGGCGGTCGCTCTCGAGGCTTTCTTCGGGCGTGGGGATATAGCTCTGCGCGACGGGGCCGAAGTTATCAAAGTACTCGGGAAACTCGTCGCCTGGCTTGGGGAACATGAACTGCACGGCGCCCGTTGGCTTGTAGCGGAAGAACCACCTCGAGCCATCGTAGTCCGACTCCCAACCCTCGGGGAGGGAGGTCATGATGGGGACGGGGTCGAGGGCACACGAGGGATGGGGGACGGAATCAGAGGTGACGGGAGAGCGCAAAAATGCGCAAACCCTGTAGGCGGAAGGACCGCGCACAGGAGGGAAGGGACGAAGAAAACCTGGTCCTCGAGGTTTGTACTGGTTAGACAGCCCGAGCTAGTGAGGGGGTAGGATCAGAGCTGAAAAGGACAACAGGCGCACAAGCTGTGGGAAACAGGAAAATGCAGACAAGGGGGTGGAGAGGCAAGACGCAGGCGACACGGGGGAGAAGGAGGTGTGATGAAAGAGGAGAGTGCAAGAATGCGATCTCGGAAGGCTGAAGGCTGGAGCTTGCTCTGTCGGGTAGGCAGGCAAAGCACTGCCCCCTAATTTGCTCCCCTTGGCCGCCCAGAAAGATTTCCTGTTCAGATGCCAAGCCACCACTTGCAGAGCCGCGCTCACACAAGCGCATGCGAGTATTGACCTCCAAGATCTAGCCTCGGGCAGCAAGCGTAAAGCAATATTGGAGGGATGAGCAACAGCGGGTGTGAGTGTGGTCGTGGGTGAGGTGGTAGCTGTCGCGGTCGCAGTCGTATCGACCGGGTGTGAGAGGAAGTTGCTGTGAAAAGACAGATCTCCCTTGTTCGGGAGGGACCGTTCGATAGCTCCCGAAAGGCCACGAGACTTGAGAGGAAAGCAATGTGTAGGAAAATAGTTTGCGAAGAGTAGGCAGTCTAACTGCGCGAGCTTTGGCTCAGTTCCGCGTTCAGCTCTGGGCATGTAATACACGACAAATCGAACACGCCTCGTGCCAATAAGGCAAGGTGGCTTGGTGGAGGAAGCTTGAATGTCTGCGAGCGACCACTCAACAGCTGCAGAACGAGCACCCGCGGGAAACACTTCAGTCGGGCCAGTAAAGAACGCCTCGAAACGACGATGGCTGCCGGAACCTTCCGCGCGGTCATAGTGGCAGAGGAATCGACACCCGTGGCAGGTCCAAAGTCTAACGACGAGTGGCATTCACATTCGACGAAGCCCCTGGAGCCAGATCGATGGACGAGAGGCCAGGCCCTGTTCTCGTAGATCCGGAAAGGCTTAGCCTATCACGTTAGCCCGCATTTCGCGTTCAGTTCTCTCCTCTCGCGCGCCAATCTGCTCACCAAACAAACGCTATTTTGCGGCTGAGCCGTTTTCGTTCATGTTTTGATTGTTTCTTGCTGTTTTGTGCACCCTTGGTCGTTGGTGGTCTGGCCTGGCTCAGGCCAGCACGGTCTCGTGGCGTCCATCACCAACTCTAGCAAATGAGAGCTGCAGTTGATGTGGTTGGCGCATGCAGAATATCAATATTCCATCAGCGGCCGTGGGGCCTTTTTCTGGGGACCTAGAAATATTGGGGACTCATTTAAGCTCCACGTCACGACGTGCGCTAGGCTGCGTTCCGCACCACGCGGTGGCCTGGCCCGCCCGATGTTGACTACGCTGTAGTTTGACAGGCAGCGGATCGTTGGTGGGAGGCGGCGGTTACAGGTCGTGTTGGCCCTGCTGCTCTTTTTCCACTTCGCTTTAGCCCGCCTTGGCCAACGAGAGCAGATGAGAAAAACGCCTCGCGAGACAAGAGTCGCCATGTCGATGATAACGGTGTTTCGGCGGTGTTTCTTCGTTGTCGCCAGCTTTATCCTGGGCTCTCTTCAGTGACGTAATGGGTTCGTGTATCTTAGTTATGGGAGTTGTGGGCGATATCGTGACAGTTGGATTTGCACAGGGCGGAATCAATTCCTTTCCGAGTATTCGTCTGCAACGGTAACAGAAAATGTGGTAGGACGCCTATGTTTCACTGGGCATTCCCGGCGTACTGGAAATATATGACAAGGGGAAGGTAATCCCAACGTATCGGTTCCCATGTGTTGTTCCCGTGCCGCTGCATCCTTATCCGAGGCCAAGAGAGGAGCATAAATAGAACATTAATGTTGGGTTTGTTGGTCGGCTAAACTGAACCACCAGAAGTGCCCGTCGTGATGGGTCAGCCGACCAAACGACTGTCGGTTAATACTTGTTCGTTGGGACTGTATTCCGCTTTCGCAGCGGCGCAGGAATGGTATGTGTTTCAATAGGCGAGGTTGACGAGGTGCAGAATAAAGATGCAAAGACTCTGCAAAGGAAGACAATATCCAATTGTTGGAAAAGGGGCTGATTGGCAAGAAGACATCGAAAACTTGGACCACAGACGGAAAGAACGATGCGTCCGACAGATCACTACGGCATGTGACATTCGCCAGCTTTGAGGCAGTCACGACCACAACAGCACTTTACGGTGCATTGAAGGAGCGACCAGCACACCCTATTAACATGGTCAAACTCAATCCAATACAATCATATTCATGTCCGTTACCAGTTTAGGTATACGTGGTGTTTGAATATCAGAAAATAAAATGAAAAACCGCACAACATCGCCCAATCCATTCCGTCTCCTTTTTGCATGATTACATTTACATGCTTTTGCATCCACCACCGCGGCTTTATGCCACCGTCACTTGCCAGTCGGCGCCGACGGACGCGCCCACATGGCGGATCACGGCAAACGCCGAGCGGCCACCGCTGGCAGGCGTGTAGTCGATTGGCGCGGTCCAGGCCTTGCCGCCGGACGTCACGGTGACCTCGGTCTGGCCGGCCCAGTCGCTGGGCGCGCCCACGACGACAATCTTGTCGACGTGGACGTCGGCCATGGCAGCGAGCCAGGCGCCTGGCTTGACCTTGGCGGCGTCGCGCCCGGGCTCGGCACTGGACGACGAAATGGTGTTGCCGTCGAGGACAAAGGCCTGGTGGATGTACTGGCCCTTCTCGTAGTCGAACGAGTCGCCGTCGTCGACGTACAGCGAGCCCTCGGCGTGGCCGCCGTTGCGCGGCAGCGTGACGACCAGGGTGTAGTCGTCAAACTTCATGAGCTGGCTGGAGCGGCGGGGCTGGTCGCGCCGCGGGAAGATGTGGCCGCCGCGCATGAGCAGCGGGATGGTGTCGAGCGGCGCGGGCATGTTGGTGCGCTTGCCGGCCTGCGTGGGCACGACGGAGTAGTCAAAGTAGTCGTAGTACACCTCGTGGTCGGGGATGAACACCGCAGCTGTGTCTCTGCCTTCCGCCAGGACGGGCTTGACGAGGAGACCCGTGTTGCCGACAAAGAACTGGTCGTCGATGTCGAAGCCGGCCTCGACGTTGGGGTGCGTGTAGAAAAGAGGCTTGATGATGGGCTCGCCGGTGACATGCGAGCGGTGGAAGGCCGTGTAGTAGACGGGCAGCAGGCTGTAGCGGAGGCGCAGCGCCGACGTGATTATCGTCGTGTACGGCTCGCCCGCCAGGTACGGCTCGCGGCGGCGCGAGTCAATGTGCGCGTGGCCACGGAAGAACGGATAGAAGGCGCCGGCTTGGAACCAGCGCGTCTGGAGCTCCTTGTCGGGGTTACCGAAGAAGCCGCCGACGTCGGCACCGGCAAAGGGAAAGCCAGCAATGCCCTGGCTCAGCAGCATGGGAATCGAGGCAGCCAGGTGGCCCCAGTCTGCCTGGTTGTCGCCGGTCCACATGGCACCCAGACGTTGCGAGCCGGCAAAGAAGGACCTAGTAAGAACAAAAGGCCGGCGCAACTCGCCCGGCTTGCGCGACAGCAGAGCCAGATGGGTGGCGTTGTGGAAGGTCATGCCGTTGAGGTTGTGGACGTCGCGGTGCTCCCAGCCTCCGTGGTGCATGTTGTCCTTGGGCATGGTGGTCTCGGGTCCGTTGAAGACGGACGGCTCGTTCATGTCGTTCCAGATGAAGGTGTTCTCGGCCGTGCCCTTGAAGGCATCGTACTTGAAGAGCTTCTTCCACCACTCCACCGCCTTAGGGTTGAAGGCGTCGATCCAGTGCGACGAGCCGGGCCAGCACCAGCCGTCAAAAATGCCGCCGTCCTTGTTCTTGACCGCAAGATCCTTGGACTTGAGCTCCGACACTATCGGGTAGCCGTCAGTATTCTTAATATGCGGGTCGATGATGACAACGAGCTTGCGGCCGTGCTCGTCCAGACGGGCGCCCATGCCCGACGGGTCGCTGAACTTATCGCCGTCCCACGTGAAATACTTTTTCCCGTCGGTGTACTCGATGTCCAGCCAAATCACGTCGTAGGGAATGCCGAACTTGTCCATCTTGCGGTCGACGTCTTTCACGTCGTCGTCCGAGACGTAGTTCCAGCGGCACTGGTGGTAGCCAATGGCGGACTCCTGGGGCAGCGCCGTGTAGCCCGTGAGCTCGCCGTACTTTTGCAGGATGTCCTGCGTGGTCGGGCCCAGGAACACAAACACGTCCAGCAGACCGCTCTCGGAGATCCAGTGCGTCTTGGTGTCGGTGGAGGCGCCCGCGCCCAGTGCGAGAGGGTTGCCCTTGACCTTCTCCTTGGTGATGTCGACCCACGTCTCGGCCGCGTTCAGCCAGAAGACACCGACAGTCGAGTCCTGGCGGTGGGCCTGCATGAAGGGGATGGAGCCGTACAGCGTCATGGGGCTGTCGAGGATGTACTCGAAGACGTCAGCGTTGTACATGCGGTACGGCTCAACGTAGTTGCCGTCGCCGCCGCGCGTCTCCTTGAGCGAAAGGGGGCCCGTGTGCGAGGGGATGCCAAAGACGTGGTTGTAGCCCACGAAAGAAATGTCGAGAGCGACACTCTCGGGCCCACGTGGCTTGGAGTCCGTGTTGCCGCCAAAGGTCTCGTCCCACCAAGTGTCCTCCTCGGGCGGAGCCGCGACAGCCTCCTCACCCTCCTTGGGTGCGGGCGGCTCGGTCTTGGGGCGCCAGTGCTCCATGTTGAGCAAGCCCCGGTCGTTGAACTTGATCTCCGTGGCACCATCGCGCTTGAACTCGACGCTGAAGGGGCTGTACTGGATGTGGGCCTCGAACTGGCCGTCGGGGCCGTACTGGACGACAGTGCTGCCGGTGCTGTCCTCGTCAATGGCCTTGGCCGACTTGTCAAGCTCGAGGCCGCCAACAATGACGAGCTCCTCGGCCTCGTTGTAGCGTTCTTTCCGGACGGTGCTGCCGTGGCGCAGCTCAATGTCCTTGTTCTGTCGACGCTCCTCGTCGACAGTCACGCGGGCGACGCCAGCCTGGGTGAAAGAGACGGTGATGGGCAGACGGACGGTCTCGCCCTTGTCGTTAATCGTCTTGAGGATGACCGCCTGGAACTGACCGTCCTTGACGGAGGCCGACTCGGGCAGAATGTTGTAGGGAGAGGTCCACGACGACCCGGTGGCCGCGGCGGTGTCGGCGTAGGCGCGGTTGCGCTTGCAGAAGCCAGACTGGTCGCACTTCTTGAAGTCGTGTTCCTTGACGGCCACTGTTGGTATTAGCAGATGCGTATAGAAGTGCCACCGAAGACCCATCAAACATACAGACTGGCGATGTCAGCGACGTGAGGGCCGACAGAAGACACAGGCTCGAGGCCCATGTCAATGCGGAAGAGCGCATGTCGAGAAGACGACACGCTGGCAGGTACGAGTTGTCTGCAGACGCAAAGGGATGTTGGATTGGGGGGGGGAAAGGAAATAGTTGTTGTTAATCGTCAATGAGACTCGAGATCGTGTCCCCGTTCCGTCCAAAATTCGAGATGGACAAGCAAGTGCGCCTACGACAACAGATGGCCGTGTTGACAAAGAGGGACCTGGTCCTGTTTGTGTGCTGCTGGAAGCTCAAGCTGGCCGTTTCCAAAAGCCTAAAAAGGAATGGGGGCAACGACGGCGGCATGCGAGCTGGTGACGCTAGTCCACAATTGGACAAAATATGTTGCGGATAGTTGCATGCTGCTGCTTTTGATGTATGTATCGGGGCCATCTGCTCTTATCGCCAATCGCCAGATGGCCTCTTCAATGAACACCAAAAGTCAACAAGCGACCAGGACGACATTTGAATTTGCTGTTGCTTCCTTCTTTCCCTTATCTTCAGCAACGTTCGGTTCTCTTCCTTTTACGATACCCAATTGCTTTTGTCCTTGTCTAAGCTCGCCCAGCGCCTTTTGTCTTTTGCCTCCGTACGATTCAACTTCAGTCTTTCAGGGGTAATTTTCATTTATTTATGCTCTTTTTCTACATCTTACAGCTCTCTCGCCGTTGCTCTCTCCTCTCCAATCGGAAGAGCGGTTTTGGTCCCGTTGCTACACATCTGCCAGAGCCCTAGACCGTTGCTGCAGCTCCTTTCCATTTTGCCACCAAAAACGACCCCCGAAAACCCAATGGCGCCTGGCCCCGCTACGACAGCGGCCGGCGAAAGCCAGCAGCGCGAACGTGAAAGACTGCCCCACCATCAGACACCGCAAATTTTAACCCCACCACTGTCGTTTTCGCTGCTGGCCGTCGTCCTCCTCCTGCTCGCCCTCGTATACCAGCACCACAACCACCACCACCAGCTGGCCCTTATTTTTACGTCGCCGGCCGAGCAAAGTTCTGCATCTTCTCTCTTGCATCTCGAACCATCCTCCAAACCTCTATCAGAAACTCCACCCCGTGTCCAACCACCCCAATCCAACACAATGGCTACTGAGCAGACGTAAGTTGTCCTGTTTGGATTTTCCACTCCTTTCTCTCTGGCTTCTTTCCAAGCTTGCTATCTGAGTTCCCATCGACTCTTTAGAAGTTTGTCCAAGGAACAGCCGCCTCTCTTGACTCAATTGGGCTCCAAGAGGGAGCACACAACACCGGCGCTCAGCTGCTAACAGTCACAGCTTCATTGCTATCAAGCCCGATGGCGTCCAGGTTCGTCTGACCTTCTTCTCGACAACATAGCTGCCCGCCGCTGGTATCGCCCTTCGTCCATATACCTAACATCGTTCTTCTCCTCAGCGTGGCCTGGTCGGCCCCATCATCAGCCGCTTCGAGCAGCGTGGGTATGTTTCGGTCCTCTCCCAGCCTCCAATGCCCCTCGTCCCGTCCAGACACTTGCTGACTGAATCCCATGCAGCTACAAGCTGGCCGCTATCAAGCTGGTCTCGCCCACCAAGGAGCACCTTGAGGCTCACTGTACGTCATTTCCGAGCTCAACTCTGACCTGCTGAACATATTCTGGTCTCGGAAACCTCTTTGGCCATTGTCACTAACCACACCCTCTTCCAGACGCTGACCTGAAGGACAAGCCCTTCTTCCCCAGCCTGATTACCTGTACGTCCAATTTTGCGCTCAGCGACGTGCTTTGTTGTCGTCTTCACACTAACTGTTCTAGACATGCTGAGCGGCCCCATCGTCGCCATGGTCTGGGAGGGCCTTGACGCCGTCAAGACCGGCCGTGTCCTGCTCGGTGCCACCAACCCCCTGAACTCGCAGCCCGGCACCATCCGCGGTGACTATGCCATTGTCACCGGCCGCAACGTCTGCCACGGCTCCGACAGCGTCGAGAACGCCAAGAAGGAGATTGCCCTGTGGTTCAAGGAGGGCGATGTCATCTCCTACAAGTCGTCCCAGCACGACTGGATCTACGAGTAAACCCTACCGCGTCATCGTCCCTGATCGCCACAGGAGGGTTCTCGTTCGTGACCCGCGACCTGTTTATGGCACGCGGAGAACCCAAACGCGAAGTAACACAAACCCCAAAAATCACAAAAATGGACATAGATAGCTGTTGGGTGGACAGCAAATAAAAAAAGAGAGCCTTGACGTGTAAAGGCAGAAAAACTGTTCCAATTGCTTGCTTGTGACGCCGATGCGGCTCGAATTGCTCGTATTGCTCGCTATATAAAAATTATATGCTCGAAGATCGTACAGTTTTGTAGCCAGAAACCCCGAAAACGCCTACACTTACGCCTTTCGCCGCAGACCACGCAACCGCACCAAGACGCCTGCAAACCACGGCGTCGCCCAGAGGCTGAGCACAATGCGCAGCGGCAGCAGCACCTTGGTGATGCTGTACGCCAGGCCCACTTCCACCACAATCCGATACTTGCTCTCGGCGCTCGCCCATTTCCTCATCACGGCGTCAGTCGTTGTCGCTTCGTCTGTGCTGTCTGCATCCTCGTCGTACCTGCTGAACCCAAACCAGCCCTTTCTCCGAAAGTACTTTTCAAACCGCCGCACGCCCTCCACCACCAGTCCGCCAAAGTAGTGCGTCATGTAGTCTAGCGGCACCAGCTTGCTCACAATGCCACCGCCGCTGCCACTGCCGCCGCTGCCCGCGCCGGCCCAGTGGAACAGCCCAAAGAGCCCGACCAGCGGCACAATGGCCGTCATCTCGTGCAAGATCAGGAACGCAACGACGTGCGACACGGGTGCATCCTTGAGCCGCCGCGAGTACTTTTGTAGCGATTTGGGAAGCCGCGACAAAACACGGTCCAGACGGGAGGCCTGCGCGGCTTCTTTTGTGCATGGAGACGGCGGAGCGGTAGACTTGGGCGGTGGCTCGGTGCTGTATTGGCGAGATGTGCGTGGAGGTCGGAGCCGGACGCTGCGACGGGCGACTGTGTTTGCCGGCCGCCAAAGCCCGGTGAAGCGCACTCCCGACGGTCTTGCGGACCACGCCGACGCCGAAAAGAGGCGACCGACGCCCGGAAATCGTGGTAATGACATATCTGAGGGTTGCCTGGAAACAACAAAGCGCAAAATTGACACAAAATGGGCGATTGTTATGTGTTGTGTCTGAGTTTGCAAGAAGGGAGGACAAAAGTACGCCGAGGCAGACAGCGATCAGTTCTAGCTATTCATCGCCTAAACGATGTTTACTATCACGTGATGCCCACTGTCGTGAGGATTGGAGGGGAACGACATCGCCATGCGTTCATGTACATGTCCATCCCATGGAAAGGAGCTACGCGATGCATCTCGAAAATAAGCTTCCCGGAAGGTTTAGGCTGTGCAGGCGTGACGCGAGCCAAAGTACCACGTTCTCGCGTCGTATGTTCGAGCAACTGTAGAGGGAAAGAGCCATCGAGTTGCCCAGATCACGTACTTCCCAAAACGGCAACTACACCAAACTGCACCTTCTCGAAGCAGTGCCCAACAAAAGTAGCCGTTCGCGTTGCCTTTTTCTCGCGTCTCTCCCAGCTCAAATTGCATTTGCCGCGCTTCCTGTCTCGTCTTCTTTTCTTTTTGTCTCTTTGTTCTATTTCCTCGCCATCTTGCCCGTCGCCTATATGCTCTCGAAATCAGAGATGTGATCCGTTCGATGCAATACTGTGCAAGGCCAGCACTATCCCTGACATTATCCCCCAATCCCCCGGTCCGTTTTACGAATTTCCTGTATTAATTTTTTTCGTTTGTTTTGTTTTTCTTCGTTTAGTTCATGTGACCTTTTTGTCGTCTTTTCTTTCGGGCGTTGTGTCCTTCTGGGTTTCGCTCTTCTGATTCCACCGGGTCACCATTTCCTCTCTTCTCTTACCATCACCGTTGCGGCTAGACATCTTCTCGGGCCTCTCCTAGTCGCGTTTCATAATAGCATCTTCGTCCATAGAGTACAGGTCGTTCTATTGTTTTCGGGTTTCTATTCTACCCTTGATTTTCGTGGAATTTTTTTCCTGGGATTTTTTTCGTCCTTGTGCGGCTTTACGGCGAATAATCTGGTCGTTTTCGTGGTTTCTCAGATTCATCTCAACTATTTCTCACTTTGTCACTCGGACAACCTTCCAACCACTCTGTCGGGTCGCTTGTTCGCCGGCGCATCAGCTTTTTCTCTCACAGCTTGAATCGTTTTTCTTTCATTTCTTTCTGCGTTTCTTTTTTTATTCTCAATTGCACTTGTTTGACTTCTCAGTCCTTTTTTATTTTCAGTTTTCCATTTTCCTGTCGCTTTATCGTCTACGACACAGTTTGATTTGTCCACCTTTCGTGCTTTCTTTGTTTTTTTCTCCATTCGTTGTTTTTTCTTCTGTTCAACATGACGGGTCAGGATCAACTCAGCTCGTCACCAATGTCCAGCCCCGTCATTCACACGCCAGACTCAGATTGGGTGTTCGACACATTTGAAGACGGGCCTTCGATCTGGGACGACGGTGAGTTTTATCAGTATTCAATTGGTTTTGTGGTCCATTTCTAACACAACTGCTTCTCAAGCTCGCGGCAGACAAGTTCGCACACCAGACAATCTTGACCACGAGGTCAGTTTGCCGCCCATTAAACCAAAGCCTGTCGGCAGATTTGCCCTTGGAGGAGACCTGGAAGACTGCGGTGCGGGTCTGGCACCGTTATTTCGAGAGACGCAAGAGCGAATCTTCGCTCTCCGGCTCGATGATACTGCAAGGCCTTCGATTGTTCCTCCTAGCACTGCGCAACCGGTTCAAAGTGTTTCTGTCGACATGCAAAACGGCATGGCTTCCCTTAATGATACAACACAGAATGCTCCCATCAAAAGCGACGACTGGTATCAGCCAGACATTGATGCATGGTGCAATCCAGATGTGGGTTGCGGCTCAATTCCAGACATCCTAGCAGGAGAAACCCATTTTGAGCATGTCCCTGTCGACCAGCCGGTCGCCCTTTGGCCCGAATTCAATTCTAATCTACCGCTCCCCGAAAAACGGACGGAGACGACGGGGGCCAGCCACAGAACGTCTCCGGTGACCACAACAGCCCAGTAGGTTTCTTTTCTGGAACCTCTTTTCCATCAAGATACTAATATACAATTCAGTTCCGCTGGAAATCCGTTTGGCGGCCACCGATGCACAGAGTCGCGCCATGCCGGCAACTTTGGCTGTGCTGATTTCCGACTTCGAATTGTGCACGATACTTCTTACGATGGCTACCCACACTTGTTCCCCGGCCGATTTCAGGGTGTTGTCGATTTTCAGGTCTGCGAAAAGTGCATGACCAGCCATTTGCCTGGGTGGGAAGCGATGAAAAATGAGGAGTATCCTATTCCCGGCGCGCCCATAAACATTTATGTCACCTCAGATCTCGAGACCGCCAAATACGCGGCCAAATGGCTCTTTGACCAGATTCATTACACTTCTACAGAAGCTTCGACCGAGTACATAGACATGCGTACCGTTTCCAGCGTCGTAGAACTTGCCGCCGAGTTTGGTGGAGCGGGCCCTCGCATCGATGGATTCATTCGGTGGGCGCTGCTAAATGCAGAGGTGTCGTCTCTAGAGGAGACGATTTTTGGACTCCACGCCGCAGCGTTTTCGGCGAGCAATTACGATCTTTTCAGCATGTTCCAACCTTTTCTGGCGCTCAATTTCACGGGAGGAGAGGTCTCCAACTGTTTAAAGAAACTGAGCACAGTGGCACCATATCTGCCGTATGTGCTCCATCGCCCTCTTTGTAAGTGGGCAACCAAACTCGAGCACGGTCTTGTTATGACATTGGTAGAAATGCTAACGCTTCGTTTTATCAGTCTCCAACAACGTTGTTCGCCGCCGCATCGTCCACATCATCATGCAGATTGTCGAACGGGCCATCGACGAAGCCTGGCAGGAGCCTATCGACGTCGCTCGCTTCCACTTTTTGTGCGCTCTCAAGTACCGGTTCATGAGCCAAGCGGCGCTGACAAGTGACAGTTTTGACCTCTCTGGCCTGATGCATTACATGCGAGAAGTCGTTCTCGTCCACAAAGAGCCCTATGGCCAGCTTCTGGCGGATTTCCGGTCTGCCTTTACGGGCCAGGGGCTGAACCCGGACTTTTCGCCCTTGTCGCTTCTTCAGCACTACAACTGATCTTTCTGATATTGCGTGCTCGCTGGATTCGAGTTTTTTTTTCGTGTCTGTTCTTATTCATTTCTGCTATTGCTCTCATATTCGCTGATTTCATGGGACATGGTTCGTTTTTGCTATTTTCTGCTGCTACTGATCTGGGATTCATCTTCTGCGTTGCGTTTTCCTTCACATTTTATTCTGCGACGATTACGGGACAATTCTTATGATGACGGAAGTCAATGGGCGTTCACAAAAGAGATCCGGGTATGAAAATGGCACCGCGGGGCCACAGTCGGACAACGACAAGAAAAATTTGCTTATTTCGCAGGCGTTATTGTTGCGTTTACGATGGGAGAAAATGGGCTACAAAATGGAGGGTAAGATAACAAACCATGGGCCATGGTAGAACAAACTACAGACCAACGATATTAGAATCAGTTCCAATCAAATGCAAGACTGTCGTTTCACTTCTGTTTACTTTTTAACAATTTTTTGGCTCCTTTTTGATAAGTTGCAATATGTGTAGAATAAAATAAAATAAACGAATCATCAAATCGAACGCAAGGAAACCAAGCTGTGTGCAAATATACCAGACATTTAAATTAATTTACTACTTAATATTTTCACTATTGCAATCATAGAATAGGCCTTGCTTGACAACTGTGATCTATTGAAACCTCGCGTTGCGCACCTTGAGAATGTCCTCGAAGAGATTGTGTTTCCTTCGCTTTGCCGTTGCCGTAGAGCATCTGTATGACTTTTGCATCACTTTCTCCTCACCTCACCTTTAACTCCCGCCTCGCACCCAATCTTGTCCTACAAGACGGGTGGCCTGCCAACTGCAGCCTCGTCTTTGCTCCTCTTCTCTCCAAATTAGCAGCAAACATAAAACAACACAAGACATCTTGTGCAGCACCACAGAGCAGTGCGCGTCGATAGAACAGCAGTGCTTTGATATTTCTCTTTCCTCGCTGCGAGCCACTCCCCGAACCTACGCGTCTCTGTACTTTGCATCGTGGCATTTTATCCCACCTATTATTCCCTCCTCTTTTTTTTTTTCGAGCGTTGACGTCTACAACCACACATATTGACAACCAACTCGCACTTGTCTCATCACAGAGTCGACTCGATCACGAACGACAGTGTCACAAGGCGAGAAGATCCGGCGACGTCGAGCCCTGCGCTCTCGAACATGGCCTACCCGTATCCGCCCTATATGCAGGCACACCCGCCGCCGGGCTACGGTGCGCCCGGCTCGACAGGCTACTTTACGACGCAGAATCTCGGTGGCTTCTACGCACCCATCTCCAGCAACCCCCCGTTTGCGGCCCTGCCACAACCGCAGCTGCTCGGTAGCGCGGGCAGTGGCGGCGCCATGTTCAATTGCTGGCCCGGCGCGCCTCAGGAGCAGGAGAAAAACAAGGGAGAAGAAGCCACCAAGCCGGTACATAAGACGCAGCGAACAGGCAGCCGAGAGCACGAGCAGCGTGGCCGCCGGGACGGCGGAAGCAAGGCCAAGACGAAGAAGAAACCGGGACCTCGCCTGATGCCATGGGACCAGGTGGTGGAGAGTTTGAACGAGAATACAGCCGACAACAAGAAAGCGGCCGACGACAGGGACCACGACGATAACGACAATGATGACAACGAGGACGACGGAGCGTACGATCATTGCGACTACAGCGCCAGTGAGGCCTGCTCTGGCTCCGTTGCCGATTCCCAGACCGGCGGCACCTCAGGCGACGACGTCAACGACGGCATGACCGAAGTCGTCATCCAGCCAGGTGGCTCCGCGCATGTCTTTGTACACCTTAACCGCCTGGATCGCTCGCCCAACACGACGGCCTTTGTCGTCTCGGCTCGGCGGATGCAGAGCATTGCCCACAACTGGCCACGCGTGTGCCACCAGGGCACCAACGACTACGACCTGTCGGCGACCGACGAGGCGGCCGTGCTCGGCATGTATTGGCTGCTGCAGGTGCTGCACATGGAGGTGGAGACGCCTCCCGAATTTAGCTACTATCATGGGCATGGGAGCGATTCCGACGGTACCAGCAACAGCAAAAACAACCAAAACAACCAAAGCAACAACGGAAGCGGAAACGGACACCTACGCCCCGGCCTGGCTCCGGCGACGACGCCGTCCCGTGCCATAGTACACCCACCGGCCATTCCGCCCGAGCTGCCGGCCCGCGTGCTGGCCTACGCCACGCTTTTTGCCCACCAGTTGGGCGTTCTGGAGGGCGAAGAAGAGCACAAGCTGCTGCAGACCAACAACCAGTACGATGCCGCCATGCCGTCGTCGCCCCAAGGACCTGCGGGCGCAGGCCGTTTCCGGAACCGCGCCGAGACCTGGATGCGCGCCGTCACCAGCAACCCGCGCTGCCGCCGCACGCTCGACGGTGCCATCGTGCCGCCGGCCGACTGGCCGTACGTGCTGTTCACGGCGCGCGTGCTGGGCGACCGGCAGCTGTTTGCCGTGTGTCTGCGGACGCTGCTGGAGCGGTGGTGGCTCAACGAACGGGGTGTGTTTTGTGACGTCAACGGGCCAGCACGGATTGACTTGCTGCCCGAGGCGATGCGCGAGATTGTGCTCCGTGATCTGAGTGAGTTTCTTCCCTGGTCTCCCCGTCCCCCGTTTACTGCTGTGCCGGTCACTGACTTGCAGCCTCGTTTAAAAACGCACGCGAGCGGTCGGTCGAGTCGATTGTCAATGGCGCGATGAATGCGTTCTACTGAGCGGTCGCGGTCGGCCGGCATGGAGGAGAGTACTCGTGAAACGGATGGAAGAATTGAGGCCGGCGAGGCAAGCGAAGGTTTATGGATGGAAAGGATTGGACGTTACTGGCAAGGGCTCGGCGCGTTTAGCTAGCCTTGCGAGGCCGTGAGCCCAGGTCGCTCATCGGGCGGACAGAATCAAATCACATTCGACAATGAATAAAAGGCACAAAGGCATCGTAGCAAAGGACGCAGCAATGTAGATCTCAAAAATGAAACAATCATCAGATGGACGGCTGATGACAGAGATTAACGAAGGATCGCACTTTCTTCTCCGAGCGCCCCCAAGAGACAGAGAAAAACAGAGACAAAATGCCTCTCCCTTCTCCGCTGCGTACCCGTTGGCCGCGGACAAGACCCGAACCAGGGGTGCACAAGAGCACTCGTTTATCTATCTGAAGAAGAAAAGAGGGAAGAAAGGAGGCGTCCAAGTCGAGATCACGAAAATTTCCACTGTGATTTGGAGAGAGCTCGGCGCTCCCCACAGTTCCCCACTGTGCACGTGATCACAAGTCAAAGGCCAAATATTGATCCGATTTTGCTGCGGTGCGCCTGCCTCAAGCATGTGCTCTGCTCTGTACGTATTAAGGTGGGGAACAGGTACTGATGACGAGCGGACAGAATCGGCGGCGCGGTGATTGGCGGGTTTGACTCGCGCGCTGGAGCCAGCGCCCCAGTGCCCCAAATTGGGCCCAGGCTGGCCACCGCTGCAATCCCCAGGGCCAGGAAACTGCTTGTGACAGCCGAGGAAGCCCGAAAAACCAAGCCGAATTGGATCTGGAGGCCATTGTAACTGGAAAGCAAAGCATCACCAAATTTGTCGCAAAGCACAACCCTTTCGCGACCACGACGACATAACGACAGACAGGCTCTTGTCGTTTTCTTTTTATCCATCTTCCCTCCACCGCCCTCCTCCCTCCAACACACAGCACAATGAACGCCCAGCGGGTAGGCGTGATGGCGCTCCGGAGAGGTTCGTATCTTGACTCCCCTGCCGCCACGTGGTGATGATGATGGTGACGATCTACTGTGGTTGCTCTATCCTCTCCAATGACAGCCCTTGCTAACACACCGTCGCGCAGCTGCCGCCAAGCCTTCGATGGCCCTCGTCGCCCCGAGCATCGCCCGCGGCCTCATCGTCCGCTCCGCCCTCCAGGCCCAGGCCCTCCAGTCCCGCGCCATCACCACCCAGAAGCTCTCCCACGACGAAGCCAACAAGGTCCTCGCCTCCCAGCGCCTCAACCGCCCCGTCGCGCCCCATCTCACCATCTACGACCCGGCCCAGATCTGGTACGGCGCCTCCATCATGCAGCGCTACACCGGCATGGCCTATGCCGGCGCCTTGTATGCGGGCTCCCTCGCCTACCTGGCCGCCCCGCTGCTCGGCTGGCACCTCGAGTCGGCCAGCCTCGTGGCCTTTGCCGCCAGCCTGCCCGTCGCCGCCAAGGTGGTCCTCAAGACGCTGGCGGCCTTCCCTTCCTGTTCCACTCGTTCAACGGCGTGCGCCACCTCGTGTGGGACGCGGCCGTCAAGGGCTTCGGCAAGGCGGACATTGCCAAGGCGACGAATGCCATCTGGGTGGCCAGCGTGATTGGCAGCCTGGGCCTGGCTCTGCTATGGTAGATGCCTTGTCGCATGGTGCAAAGGATGACGGATAGGTGCAGGGAGAAACGATGACGAGGAAAGGGTCCCAACTTGCTGCATTTGCTGCATATTTTATTTGTTCTACATACGGATTTTGACTTTGGTCTTGGAGGCGGAGAGGAGACGTCCAGAGATCCCTGAACCCAAACATGTTTTTGGCAGGGAGAAGTGTCAATCCTTGGCTGTACTTGTACAAATGAGAAAGAAAGTGAAGGAAACGAAAGAGATACGAAGACAATAAAAACATGATCAAAATGCTATAACATGTATTGCCCTGTCTCATATATACCTGTGCTGTAAGAATACAACCAACACACACTCCATCGTGGACGTGAAGTAGTTCATTTTGTGACGGAGACAGGGACATGTCGAAGGTAATGTCTGAAGCTCCCACGAAGACCTGGAGATAGACGGACAATTTAATTAATGACGCGTAGAGCCGATACAGCGCATACCGCAATCCCGTTACGTTGTATGGAGTGCATGGCACAAATGCGAGTAATTTGTGTTGCGTCTCGTGTCCTGCTTAATTTCCTCCGCTTGGCTTGTTTTCGCAATGACATCTGGTCGTGGTCCGCGGCTGTCTCATGGAAGGATTTTGGAGAGAACATTTGCATTTGCACACAACTACCTTTGGAACGCGATACGCCTCTGGTCTGCAGCATTGTGCAGGAAGTATGGTTGCAACGGGCCGAGCTGAGCGGGCGGAACGTTCATGCACGACAGAGAGGAGAGAGAGAAGAGGAACAGGAAGGCCAGGAGAGAATAAACTGCAGAGATGAGTGGCCTCGGCGACCAAATCATTGCGGGATTTTCACCCAGAGTAGCTCTGTGGGCAGAACGCCACGGTCGTTCCAGAGGATGCAACGGACCTTCCAGGGACATTTGAACGCGGAAGACACAGCAACCAAGGCAGGATCTCGGGCGCTGCAGATGCGAGACACCTTGTGCGCAGATGCAGAATGCAGAAATCTGCACAGCTGAATGGACAGAACGGACGCGAACCACATGATCTGATCCAACCCGTCTGCACACCCATCCGACATATACCTGAATCAGTAGATGCCCGATAATTACAGAATGAACACCGAGTGAACGCCATCATCTCGTGGAAGCAGCACGGTGATGGGGTGACAGATGTTGCTCCTCGTTCTTTTCTTGGTCCCGAAGCCACAAGGAAGCTGTGTTCGTTCCAGTCCTGCATTCTAATCTCATCGCCATCATTTTTTACACTCTCTGGTTCCGCGTCACGCAATATCATCAATAGACAAAATCATGGGACACAACAGCGAAACAGCTGGGGCCGGTACAGCAGCCACCCGCATGTTGCGGCATCACATCATAGGTCTCCCATCGACGGTCGCCAACCTACCCTCCCTTGTCGTCGTATTGACTTGCCTCGCCGTCTATGTGACCGTGTGCCGCCTGCTCCGCTTCCGCCGCGCTGCCGCCATGCACCGCCAATTCGACCACGCATACACAGACCGCGCGTCCCTCGCCGCCATGACCACCAACGACGCCCAGGCGATCGTGGCCACCATCCAGCAGCGCGAGTTCCCCTTCATGTACACCCTGGCCATTGAGTTTGGCATCTTCAAGACGTATGGCATCCCCACCATTTCGCGCATCGTCGGCGCCACGCGCGCCGTGACCGATCCGCTGCCGGCCGCCAAGCGCGCCGCCGACACGCTGGCAATCATCAGCGAGTTTTCGGTCAACCCGCCGACGTCTGTCCGAGCGCTGCAGGCCATTGCGCGCATGAACTACCTGCATAGCAAGTACCGTGCGGCCGGCCAGATCCGCAACGCCGACCTGCTGTACACCCTGGCCGCCTGCGTCACGGAGCCCATCCGGTTCATTGGCCGCTATGAGTGGCGCCCGCTCAGCGACCTGGAGCGCTGTGCCATTGGCGTGTTCTGGATGGGCCTCGGGAAGGCTATGGGGATCGAGTACGGGCCGACCAGCGAAACGGGTCCCCGGGCCCAGGGCCTCGAAAAGGGCGCCGGCCGCAGCTGGCGCGACGGTCTGGAGTTTGTCGACGCCATATCCGCATGGGCGGAGGAGTATGAGCGCGCCGCCATGGGCCTGCACCCGGCCAACATCCCGCCCGCCCGGCGCCTGACGGCCATGCTGCTGCAGCTCGTACCGTCTGCCCTCGAACCCTTTTGTGTCGAGGCCCTGACCGTGCTCATGAGCGACCGCATGCGCGCGGCCTTTGCCTACGAGACGCCTGGCCTGGCTGCGTGCCTCGTGACGTATGGCGCCCTGGCCGTGCGCCGGTTTGTGCTCCGGCATCTCACGCTGCCACGCTTTGGCGTCTACCGCGTGGCCAGTGCCCAGGCCGATCCAGCCACGGGCCGTGTGCAGCTCAACGAGTACCTGACACACCCGTGGTACAACGCGCCGACGCTGTGGAATCGCTGGGGGCCCATGGCGCTGCTGAGGCGGGCCGTCGGTGGCGCGGTGCCGGGAGATGCGCGACCTGCAGATAAAGATGACCGACGGGGAGCACACAGGGAGGGTGGAAGGGGCAGAGGCAAAGGGGGCAGAACTTATTTGCCTGAAGGATTCCTGGTATTGGACCTGGGACCCTTCAGTTTCATGGGCGTGGGGAAGGAAGAGACGGCGGCAGAAATGGAGCGGCTGCGCACGATACGGACAGGCGGCTGTCCGTTGGGGTGAGAGGCCTGGAGGTTGATGATGGCGTAGGAGACAGGATAAGATACCACGGGAAAAGCTGTCTAGAAAGCTGTCTAGAAAAATGAGGCCTAAAAATGTGTGGTCCGTGATAGAATGCACAACTAGGAAGGGGCGTGAGGTTGCCGAGAGAGGAGGGAGCGAGACGGTTCGAGTCCTCCTTCAAACGCATAACATAAAGCGTATAGTTCATAGGAATATCGTCGTATATTTGGAAGAGGCAGAAGCACGTGGTAATGAACAAGGGATAAGTTTGATGCGTCCTAGTTGAAATAATTGACGACAGCTGCTTCGACGTTGTCGATGTAGATTATCGTTAGGCCCACTGTAACTAGTGTCGATAGCGCCTCAATCTGCCGTATTGGCAGCTAATGCCGCGTGGGGATCAGCTCCAGCGCTGTTATCGCAGTGGGCTTTACTGGTTTTGCATGGTTCTCTCAGCAGCCCCACTACCCACGCTCCAGCGGATGACTTTCCTGCACGGGCCCAGACAAACCGCCTAGAACCACGACGAGATTTATGGTCTATGTTCCCCGCCTTTACAAACGAAGCTCAAGCTCACCTCAACAGCCCAAAGCCTTTCCGGCCGCCTACACGACCACAACGAACAACGACCAACGAACAACGAATGCAACGATAGCGAAGCGAAACGACCACTGCATACAGCCTGAGCGCCCATCCACGAATAGCTGGCTGCGCAGCTCTTGCGACACTCCGACGGCCTGCCCAACCAACCTCTCTCATCCGATCGCACGCCTCTCGCCGGATCTCCCGTCTTTTGCACGTATTGCACGTACCACGCCACGTGCCCGCGAGCATGGCCGACAGCATCCCCTTCTTTGGCGCCGACGTGCGCAGCGAGGTAAAGAAGCCCAAGAAGCGCAAGGTGCTGCTCATGGGCAAGAGCGGCTCCGGCAAGTCGTCGATGCGCTCCATCATCTTCAGCAGCTACCTGGCCCGCGACACGCGGCGCCTGGGCGCCACCATCGACATTGACCTCTCGCAGGTCAAGTTCCTGGGCAACCTGACGCTGAACCTCTGGGACTGCGGCGGCCAGGAGGCGTTTACGGAGAACTACCTGTCGCAGCAGCGGCAGCACGTGTTCAGCAACGTCGGCGTGCTCATCTACGTCTTTGACATTGAGTCGCGCGACGTCGAGCGGGACCTGGCCACGTACGTGTCGGTGATTTCGGCGCTGACGCAGTACTCGTCGGGCGCCAAGGTGTTTGTGCTGATCCACAAGATGGACCTTATTGTGGCGGCGTCGCGCGAGGCCGTCTTCGAGGAGCGCGTGCGCCTGGTGCGGCAGAAGACGGCCGAGTACCTGCAGAACGTGCGAGACAATGCGCGCGGCGAGGTCCTGTCAGACGGGGGCAGTGCTGTGGAGGGTGGTGGCGGCGGTGATGCATCCATGGGAGGCGAATACGACGACCTGCCCGACCTCGAGCTGACGCCGTTTGCCACGAGCATCTGGGACCAGTCGCTCTACAAGGCGTGGGCCAGCATCATCCACGACCTGGTGCCCAACCTGGCCTTGATCGAGACGAACCTGGGCCACCTGGGCCGGCTGCTCGAGGCCGAGGAGATGCTGCTGTTTGAGCGCACCTCCTTCTTGGTCGTCTCGCACTGGACCTCGGCCGAGGGCGCGTCCAACCCCTGCGAGGACCGCTTCGAGCGCATGAGCAACATCCTCAAGAGCTTCAAGAGCTCGCTGGCGCGCTACACGGGCACGCCGCGCAACGCCGAGCAGTTCAAGCTCTTTGAGCTGCGCTTCGGTGTGCGCTTCAATCTGTTCATCGGCAAGTTCACCACCAACACCTACATCTTGGTGGTGTTGCCACCAGGCGAAGCACGCTTCAATGCGGCCCTGCTCAATACGCAGATCGCGGCAAAGCAATTCGAGTTCTTGGACGTGCCAGTGGGTGTGACGACAAACAAGGAGCAGCAGCAGCAGCAGCAGCAAAGCCAACCAAATCAACCGGGCCAACAGCAGCAACAGCAGCAACAACAACAGCAATACGGTGGAAATGGATCGTCAGCCGTGTATGCGTGACGGAAAGGAGGCAAAGGCACACAAACGATACCCAGATTGTGGGACAGACAAGAGAAGCAATGTGGCGTTTGGGACACGGACTTTTCATTGGGCATATATTGTATTTTTGGGAACAAATTAGCACCGAGCTGGTGTCGATAACGATCATGGCATACTGCATTTGCATTTCTCTTTCTAGGTCGTAGTTAGAATCAACACACAGGCACTTGTGCATCAAGAGGACGTTGTCCATGACATCAACGCAAATCACCAAAAACAATGTTATCAACGGGTGAAAACAGCTGGGTAGCATGGTCTATGTATTGCACCTTACGCATGCATCATGAAACATGAAAATGAAAATGAAAATGAATTGAACACGTGGACCTGTTGCACCGTCCGTACCATACCGCACCGTCCCATTTCTTACTCAAGTATCACTAAGGGCCGACCTTCTCTACACCCACTTCACAACCGCTGCGCCGCCCCGCTTGAACTCGTCCGTCTCGCCCAGCACCAGCGACTTGTCTGTGTGCTCCTTGTTGGGGAACGTGGTCGCCAGCACCCACGCGCGGCCCTGCGTCGACGAGGCCGGCAGGGCCTGCTGCACAAAGTCGTAGACGTCGCTAATGGTCTGGGACGTGTTGAAGCGCGCCGGCAGCCGGGTGCCGTCGGGCAGCTGCACACGGAGGTTGACCGTCGGGAGGCTCTCGTCGACGTGGGTGGTGGGGTTGGGATTCGACGTGGTTGCGGCCGGCGCGGAGGACGACGCAGGACCCGAGGCCACAGCGTCGATACTACCAGCAGCAGCAGCAGCAGTCGTCGGGGCGCCCGGCACAGGGCTGCCCAGACGGTGGCCCTCGCCCGCAAAAGGACGGTACACGCGCGGCAGCTGATGCCAGTTCTCCTCGTGCTCGTGCAGCTTGATGTCGACGGCCTGGGCAAAGGGAACGTTCATCAGGTGCAGCGGCGCGCGGCCCTGGCGGATCATCTGCAGATCGGCGGCGTTCTGGGGGTCGTCGTAGCGGTGCAGTGGGCCGTCATCAACGCTAAAGCCGTCCTGCCAGATATGCAGGACGCGCTGCTCCGCGGGGGCGTCGGCTGCTGCTGCCGCACTCGGCCGACCTGACGCGGCCGCTGCCGGATCCGGGATCGTGCGTGATTCGGCACCCTCGCCGCCCAGCGTCTGGCCCGAGCCCCGAAAGCGCGACGGTGGCGGCTGCGATGGGCCGGGCGTCTCTCCGGCTTGTCTGTTCCTTCACATGGTCAGCGGGATACAATGTACGCTGTGTATGTACGTCGCACAGTCCTGGGGAAGGACGGAAGGAACGTACGCCTTTGCTTTGGCCACAATATCGCGCATGACGCGGCGGGCATCGCTCGAGGGACCGCCTACGGTCGGGTCCTGGACAGCCAGGCCAGACTTCTCGCCACCGGCAAACAGGTCGCCGCGGCCGCGCTTGTCGTCTTCATCGTCGCTATCGTAGTTGTCGTCGTCGTCGTCGTCGTGCGCATGCCCATGGCCGTGACCACTGCCGCCGCCGCCGCTGCTCTGCAACGAGCTCATTGTCATCAGGCCCTTTCGCTTCGGCTGGGGTTGCCGGGAGGAGGACGAGGCGGCGCGGGAGGAGGACCCGGCGTTGGAATACGACTGCGGGGCAGGTCGGCCGTCGAGGGTGCGGGGACCTGTGTAGGAAGCATCGGTGGCGGCGGCCGCGCCTGCAGCTGGGGCAGCGGCCACAGAAGCAGCAGCTGCTCCTGAAGTGGCATCTTCTTGGCTCTGATAAAACTCGGCGAGAGCGGCATCAGCGTCCCAGTCCGCCGCATCTAGAAAGTCGGTGGCCTGGAGACGTTAGGCGTACAAGTCAGCGGTTGGTGTTCTCGCCGTCAGCGGAGCAACGCCATTTAAAAAAAGCTCACCTCGGAGGACGAGACGCCCGTGATACCGCAAAAGGAGCTGATGATTTCATCTTTGGAAAGGCCTTCTGCCATGGTGGCAAGCAGTTGATTGATCAGCGGTAGTGGGGAATAGGACGTGTCGTAGCTGTCTGGCAGTCGAGAGGCAGCTGAGCTGTTTGTGTCGGTAAAGAATGCGAGGAAGAGAGAGGTGAGGACGTTGTGAAATACGTTGTTCCTTACGGTATTTGTGAGGAAGTACGACGTAGTGTCAAATGTCAAGAACTGGCCGAATCTCTAGCGAGTCGTGCTTCCTAGCTTAGGCAATAGGCAGCTTTGTGGCGACGTCAAGCTTACAATTGGTGCTGCCGCGTTGGCGACAGATACTCGAAAAGCCACCCTCTCGACCGTCCACTCTCCCACTGTAGAGATGCTGCCCCGCCTGTAAACTGTAAAGCGTGGCCCGTGGTGGGCGGTAGAAGTGGGACCGCTGGAACGCCGTGGAAGCTGAAGGCCGTTTTACAGCGGCGACTCAGATGGACCCAGTTTTTACCTGAATATGGCCCAAAACGGAAAAGCGGCAAAAGGATCCTCCGAGCTCCGGACGTTCGCTGAACGTTGAAAGAGGAGAGGTGATTGGATCCCTAAAAATACACTGGAGAAAGTAAATACAGTAATCAGGGTCAGAGGGTGTTGTAATTTCGTCCCACAATGTAAGATGGTTGTTAGCTTGCCCGGCCGAGATAAACAACCAGCCGTGCTAGCATGTCTCATCGACGGGACATAAAAGACCAGCAGTGCTGTGTTGACCAAATCGGCGGTCGAGCCCTTGGTGCCAGCAATGTGATTGGCGTCGGCGTCGATGTTAAAGTCACTGCAGGTCGCGCGGTATAGCACCTGAATACCTGAGCACCTGCAGCCACTTGGGTGTGTCCTCAGCTTAATGTAATTGTGTGTTAAGGGATGGCTGGATGGTAACACGAAACTTCGTATGGCCAGAAATATGTGCGCCTAGCGTTCGCTCATGTCCACTCTCCGCACGCCTCTATCCGTGTTTTTTTTTCGTTAGCACCGTGAACTCTAATATAATGATATCATGATTTTGCCACGATGGGAATAGCATTCGACGCAAAGCTATCTGCTTGAGAAAAGAGTGACTGATAAAACACAAAAGAACAATGAGTGGAATATGATGGAGAGAAAGCCTAGAATTTGCATCGTATACGTCGAACCTAATTTTCCATGAATCCGCATCTTTGCCACAATAGCCAATGGCTATTAGTCCGTAACACCAGACCTCGAACCTTACTGTTTTGTGTATAAAAGACCATCTTCGCACCTGTGTTCATATTCGTTAGTGAGAGGAGCACCGCGTCCTATGTGTGACTCTTCGGGTCGTGTGGATTTTCATCGTTGGGGAAGTATAAAAGTCTCACCTTTGAGGGCACCGCCATGATCAGCTCGCAGACATCAGAACCTTGCGTTCTTAAAGAGGATGCAATGGACGCTGCATAGTTGCAGTTGATGCATGGTATTGACTGTCGTTCATTTTCGTTAGTGAGAGGCGAAAAGAACACTGCAAAGAAATCTCTGGCATTTCAAACTGGCCCCAAAATCAATCATCGGACGTGCCCGAGCACCGCGTCCTATGTATGACCTTTCAGTCAATTTTGCCATCGTTGGGGGTGAAAGAAAGCGAAAGACTGCAATGCAGCGAAGAAAAGCCATGGTATTCCAAACATCCCCCAGTCCCTTCGATGTCCCAACGATCATCGGACGTGCCCGAGCACCGCGCCCTATGCTAACTGTCCCCCCAGTTCATTCGATGTCGTTATTATCTCAACAATCATCGGACGTGCCCGAGCACCGCGTCCTATGCTAACTGTCCCCTCAGTTTCTTCCAAAGCTTTATTTCATAATCAATCATCGGACGTGCCCGAGCACCGCGTCCTATGTGTGACTTTTCCAGTCTTGTGTTTCTCATCATTGGGGAAGTATAAAATTCTCACCTTATAGGGCACTCCTAACAGGTTCCCGCAAGCGCCTTAGAACCAATAGTTCCTCTTGAATGGGATACACTGGACGCTGGGTACTTGCAGTGGATGATGTGGTGTTGTGTCAACAGCTGGAAGACATCTTTCAGTTTCAAATTTTTTGTCACCCAATCAAACGTTGGTCATGGCATCATGGCCAATGTCGTTGTATCCATGCTGGGGGATCTTGTTCGGCAATGAGGGCTCGTGTGAGAACTGGAGGTTCTAGGGAGCTTGGTAGGCGAGGGCATTGACTGGGCAAAGAAAAACTGTTAGATTGTGCTCAAATGTATCAGGACTTGCTTGTGCAGAGGACTGGAGGACTTTACCTGAATGTCTGGGGTCGAGGCCGCCAAGGTTGCGTGTCGAGACATGGTGAACAAGGAAGACAAATGCAAGGAGAAGAGCATGAGGTTGAAAACAGATACGAGGATCGGCAAAGGGAATTGGAAGGGGGAAGAAGTCGGCGTGGTAGACATCGAGACAAACAGATGAGAGAAGAATAAAAGGGCAGAAGATGCAAAATCGAGAGAAACAAGAGCAGTCCAAATGATATTTATATTTGTGTAAAGAGCTGGCTGATCCGGGTTGTTTTGAACGGATTGGGACAAATTTGTTACTTCTGCCTCGCACTTGCCTTTCAACAATGTTATGATTCTATTCTACAACTACATTGCCCGATGCTTCTTTCCGTTAACTCCTCCTGTCCATTCAACTGGAAAGCTTATGACCATCCAAGGCAGGATCGATCAACTGCCCGATCATGGAAACGACCAGGTTACCTAGAAGCTGGAAGGCACGATGGGTTCTAATTGTGAAATTGGAAAGAGAGACTGTCGCCAAACGTCGTACCTGCTCAACATAGATATCACCGACCAATGTGTTCTTTCCTTGCAAAGAGCAGAAGCAAGATCTATCAATCCCAAACGACAGGAGCAACCCAAACAAGCAGTGTCCATAATTTACCGAGGGAAGGAACGAGGAGTACTGTTCTAGAGGTGCCCGGAGTAACAAATAACAATTTTGTAGTGGGCGACAGGAGCGTACGAACAACCCAAGAAGAACGTCCGCATCAAGTCAAGGAAATGAGGTAGGAGGCGTTGTGCGCAGAAACGTTTTGGAAACTTCAACTGACCAAAACGAGACTGAAAGAACGGAATTGGCAGAGTTCTCCTAGAAGGAGAAGCAGCAACAGGGGTTTTACATATAAAAGGAAGGAGCAACAAATTCTGAATCGTCCTTCAAAAGCCAAAAATAGTCAAAACATGCAATTGCACCAAGCTTTTCGCCTCAAGATCTACGCGTACGTGGAAGGCGCGATTGAAAATTGGGACAATCAAGAAGGTGCGCAAGAGAAACGTGCTTCCCCTGACGTACTGAGAAGGAAAGACCAATGCACTTTAAGGGAAAGAGCAACCTCAAAATTTACGAGATATGGAAATACCCACCTGGTCAGTCGGAAGGAGGAACTAATGCTTAGAGACGAAAATAGAAGGAACCATCAAAATAATGGATCCCCCCATACAGCAAAGCCGTGCTCTCCACGGAAAGAAGCACCCAAAGACTGCAGTCACATGCCAAAGTTAATTCTGTAAGACGGAAAGAACAATTCAGAAGTAGCTCTACCAAGGAAAGAACACTCGAAACGGAGGAAAGAACGATCTTGAGGTCCGCCAACAAATGGCAGGGACAAAGGTCCGGCGTAGGATGTGCGTAGGTGGCGAAATACCACGATAAACAGAAGGAAGCCGTAGCGAAGTCAAAGGGCAGGAACACCTAATATCATTCTGCACATGGAAACAGCAAGAAACATGGGAAAGAGCTACTCTCTCGTGAGGTACTTACGCACTCTCTTCAATTGCATGGGATGAGACGCCTTTCTTAGCCTTAATAATACTGCTAATGGGGATGGCGAAGCGTATTAGTGATTGCTTCATATTTCGCGAGTATCTCACCAAAGCGACTTTGTTGTTTTTTTGCTCTCGTTGCGGTCATCCACCGGCGTGCACGAGGTTGGTGGACACGAGTTTAGTAGCCACTTCCTCTCCGTAATTTAATATTTTATTATTTGCTGTTGCCTTGTATTCTAAACGCTCAGGATTCGTCTTTGCTATTTGTTTTGTATGTGCTCTATTGGCGGACTGTATGCTGCCTCTTGCTATTACATCTTATGGCACAGTCACTCTTGCTTACATATCATTCCACCACGTCTTCGCTCAATCGGATGCCACCTTGATACGCTTTGGCTTATTTGATGAGTCTACACGAACGGCCTTCATAATGGGCAGCCAAAGCCATTGGTCGTCTGTTTTCTTTCAACGTATTTTGCAGTCTTCTTTTACGCATGACTGCAATCATAAAGTAAACTCAGTGCACCCATCAATAGCTCATTACTACAATCATGTCTTTGGATTACGACACTGGATGAAAAGCATTAAGCTTGTCTGTAGAAGTGGCCGTCATATACAGCTGGGTGCCAGCATGTGTGGATATTCGGTTGCGTGCGACAGCTTGTGGAAGGACACAATCAACTCACCGTTCAAATATTTAATTTTTCTAAAAAAAAGTAAAATCATAGTAAATGAACAATAAAGTGGAAGGTCAAACGAATCAAGAAAGTAAAAAAAAAAGACGAATAATGACGATAAGTAATGCATGAACAACAAATTGGCTTAAAGTGTTCTGGGGAGAGAAACGCCCGTTCAGAGTTACCGTTGAATTGCACAAAAGAATAAAATCGCATTTATTTACTTTCTCTTGTCATCAAGAATCGCTAACATTTTATTCGGTGTTTCTCATCACGTGACCTCGACTCTGACTTTCGTGCACTGACCTTCTGCGCGGTTGAGCGAGGCTAGCCGCCACGGCTGCGAGCTGTTTCCAGCGACTAACTGCTGCGATGCGGAGCATTCCGTAGTGCATTGCCGTCCTTTCTCGGCTCCTCGATTTCCCCTCAACACGGCGCCACTCCCCGTTACTCTCGACTTTTGAACACGCTGGCGGCCTGTGACGACGACGAGACGACGACGGCAACCCTGCGGAGAGTGTCGCTTTCTATTTGAACAGCATCTGGTACACAAACCTGTTTCTGGCCACCAACCCCACGCCGAACCGCAAACCCACCCCCCCCCCCCCCCCCTTCCCGCTCGTCCTTCGGCGACTCTTGTCCGCGACGGACGTACGGACAACGCACAGCAGACTCCGGCGATCAACCGACATGGCCGACGATGTACCAAATCCCATGGCGGAGTCCGGCGTGACCATGCACTCGGACAGCGAGCAGTACTCGGGCGCCGAGGACCTGCCGTCGGACGTGCCGTCGACCTCCTCGTCGCAGGACGACCAACCTATCATTCTGTACCGACCGCCGACGCTGTGGTCGCTGTTCCGTGGGGCGACAATCAACCTACTCTTGCCATTTGTCAATGGCATGATGATGGGCTTTGGCGAGCTGTTTGCACACGAGTTTGCCTTTCGGCTAGGCTGGAGCGGGACAAGGGTAAGTGGGAGAGGGAGTGAGAAGGGTTGGGACGCAACCTGGCGAGGGCAAAGAAAGCAACCAAGTCGACTAACAGTGAATAGGTATTCCCTCTCTCGCGGCGACAGGCGCATGCGGTCGGTCCGGGCGTCGAGCTGCGCGAGCGGCGGTGACTGCTGCCGAGTGTGGACGAGATTGCTGCGTTGGAGTACTGAAGGAGGTTGAGGGAGGGCACGCTTTGTGGATAAAGCCATGTGAAAGGGCATCGACAGACTGACCGTCTCGGCCCGGCTCAGTCTGGCCTGACTGCGGACGCAGACGACAGCACGTTGAGTTGGGGCCATCGATACCAAGTTTGCTCTACACCCACGGCGACATGTCAACATCTCAATCTTACGAACTCGGCAAGGGATAAAGGTACTCGACGAATGAAAATTAAAAACGAAAACAGCCGCTGCGGCCGACAGATTATGAATGATTCACAAAATAGACTTGGACATATGGCGCATGACACGGATCTACGAGGGTAGCCGAAAGGAGGAGCGTGCAAAATGTACATAGGATAGCATGAACATGAGCATGGCATGCAAAAAGTAAAGAACAACCTTTCTCATAAGAACCTAGTCTGCGAACCACTGGCCGTATATACCACATGCTCCCTCAAAGGATCTACCAAGCTCTGCTGAACTCACCACTCTCCCCTCCAAAACCAACTGGAGCCAGTCTGTGATTGGTCCATTTTGCTATGCAGCGGTGTGCCTAGGGGCTCCCAGCGTAGTGGATTGGCCTTTTGGGGGAAATGCTTTGGGGCTCTTTCAAGGCCGGTCTAGCTAGCCTAGGCCCTGGACTACTGTCCCCGCCGCGCAGGAAAATACACGGTAAAAAAAAAAAAATCGACTCGAAAGATTCGAAGCGACGACGGTAATTGGTAGCACCGCATTGAGCCATTGTACACCACGTTTTGCAGACCACACACCACAAAACCGGAGGGACAATCGATTGTCCTGTTTTTGACGGTTGTGTCTGCAAGAAAATCACCATGCTTCCGAGCAGGGGCCTCGTCCAGTCCAGCCAAGCCCTGCGGCTTCGGCAAGTGGTAGGTTCACAAATTCCATGTTGTGCGCACTCGGACGCCAACGTTTTGTCGCATTGTCGCTGACCGGCCCTCCTGGCAGACCTCGCGAGCAGGATGCGCGCGCAACTTTAGCACGGCCTTGCGCAGCCGGTCTGGCTCACCAGCAACAGCCGCCTCGGGCCTTGCGCTGGGCCAGCTGTCTGGGCGGCGCGCCGGCGCTGCTGCATTGAGCGGCAGCCACCACTCGACGAACTCCACACACAACCTCCTCCGCACCAACATGCCGTCGTCAGCTGCCGCCTTTTCCTTGTGGCCCTTCTCGTCCGGCAACAAGAGTTTCAAGGAAGGCGACATCCTTCCCGCCGTGAGCCAGACACCAACAACGCCGCCACCACCATCATCATCATCAACGGCCACGCCTGCGCCGACCGAGTTCGTCCCCGAGCCGCCGGCTTCTACGACCTCTGCCTCTGCCTTCCCCGACCCGGCCGACCCGGCCGCCCTCTCCGACCTGCTGGACGGCTCGGCGCTGCTCGACATGGCCGAGAACCAGATTGGCTACCTGCACGCCCTCGGCCTCGACTTTGGCTGGGGCCCCACCAGCCTGTGCCAGTGGCTGCTCGAGCACGTCCACGTCTACACGGGCCTGCCCTGGTGGGCGTCGATTGTGGGCGTGGCCCTCCTGTTCCGCGCGGCCATTTTCCTGCCATCGCTGACGGCCGCCGAGCAGAGCGCGAAGCTGCAGGTGCTGCGCAAGAATCCGCGGTATGCGGCCGCCATGGCCGAGATGCAGGCCTCGGCGTTCAAGGGCGGCGCGCAGGGCCAGGGCAAGGCCATGGAGGCGCGCCTCACCATGAAGCGCATGCAGGAGGCCATGGACGTGTCGACGTGGAAGATGTTTGTGCCCATGATCAACATCCCCTTTGGCTACGGCATGTTCCGTCTGCTGCGGGCCACGGGCGCGCTGCCCGTGCCCGGCATGGAGACGGGCGGCATCCTGTGGTTCACGGACCTGACCGTGGCCGACCCGTACTTTGTGCTGCCGCTCGCCTCGGCCGGCATCATGTACCTGATTTTCCGCACCAACATGAAGTACATGGCCCCCGAGCAGCAGCAGACCATGAAGTACATCCAGATGGCCATTACGCCCATCAGCGTGCTGGTCACCATCAAGATGAGCGCCGGCCTCACCTTCTTCTTCCTGACGTCCTCCGTCCTCCAGATGATCCAGACCTGGCTGTGGCACCAGCCCTGGCTGCGCGCGTGGAAGGGTCTGCCGCCCATGCACGAGATGCTGCAGGGCGGCGCCCTTAACAACCTGCCTGGTGGCGGCTCGGCCCACCAGCAGCAAGCGGCCCGCCCCGTCGCGTTCCGCGTCGATCCAAACTCATCCTGGAAGGCCCCGCGGGCGACGTCCACGGGTTTCAAGGAGGCAGCCGAAGACGCGGCGTCCGAGACGAGCCAGGCCGCCAAGGCCGAGGAGCTGCTGACGAAGCCGCCTTCTGCCGTCGAGGTGGCCAAGAAGGGCTGGGGCAAGCTGATGGGCACAGCCAAGGAGAAGCAGGCCGCGTCCAAGGACAAGGAGCTGCTGCGCAAGGCCCAGGACTACGAGAAGCGCCGCGCCATGGAGGACGAGACACAGGCGTACCACCGCCGGGAGGCGGAGCGGCAGTACCGCGCAGCCAAGAAGACGCTCGACGGCAAACAGAACAAGAACAGCAAGTGGCAGTAAAACTATTAGACGTTTTGGGGAGTGGAACGGGAAGCGTGTAAAATATGCATCATACATTTTCACTTCTGGAGATTGTATGAGAAGCGAAAGAAAGAGAAAAACGGACAAAATATTTACACGTGCGCGACGAACGGGTGGTTCATATTTGGCCATTGTCGGCTATTTTATGTTTATGCTCTGGGTATTGGGACAGAAGAGGGCATATCAGATGGTTGGCAGCCATCCTGACTGTACATTTTTGCATATAGGGGGTTTTATTTCATGTTTCCATTTGTCTTCATGTACCTAGACACAACAAGAATCTTCACTCGGAGCATATACGCAACACAACTTGCAAAATGTATCATGGACATTGCGCAATCTATATTCAGAAACATAATAGTGTTGATGCACCCCGATTTGTACATTCAAGTCAAATACGTAAACGTGACGTTAACAAAGTTATCGTAGCACAGCTAAAAGACAGTTCCGTCGGAGTCGATCAGAATCGGTGGCTCCTTGGTATTCGGCCGGGACATCTCGGCGATTTCACGGCCACCCTGGACAATGTTAGCAATGGTCTGATTTGCGACGTCTCGTTCCTTCCTAAATGGTTGACATACCTTCCAACTGCCTGCTTCGAGAATTTGTGGAAGGCTCAGCTCGTGGCCTTGCAGGTCAGCCCGCAGTGCCTTGTTCACCTCGACGGCCAGGCGGTCTAGGAAGCCGACGGTCACGGCGCGCCACTCGACAACGACATCATCGCCGGGCTCAAACATGGGCGCAACCTCGACGCCTGTGGTGCCCGTGCGCTCGTAGTACGACCGGTAGTGCGCTAGGCCGCGCTCGACGTCGGCGGGCTTCAACGTCAGCACGCCCAGGTCGACAAAGAGGCCGCCGTTGCGGTACTCGGGCAAGCCTGTGAGCAGCTCGGTGCCGGCAAAGTGGATCTTCAGTTGTGACTGCATGGGCTGCATCAGCGAGTATGTCAGCCACTGCGTCAGCTTGTGGAAAGGTACAATCGACTCCCAGGCAGCGACATCAGTCGAGCCAACCGAGTTCGACGAGGCCGACGACGGGAATGGCGAAAACGTAGGGTTCGACAACTTGCGGCCCCTTGGTGCTGTGGGTGACGAGGCGCCGGACGGCTGGGGCATAGTGCTGCACGGCCAGGCGTCACCTAGCGAGATGCCGTTGACGGCAGTCCGTGCGTCGGGCCAGATCGGTGCCAAACCATCCATCAGCAGGCTCCACAACACGGGTAGGAGCACAATGGGCATGGACGACGCCTGCGTCGTCGGATGTGCCAGTAGGTAGTCGACCATGTTGCCTGGGCGGCCGTCCATACCAAAGACGTCGGGATTGGCGGCGAGCGCATCACCAAGGCGGATCAGTAGACTGGCACGGCCCTCTAGGCCTGCCACTGTGTTGCCCGGCCGAGACTGCAGACCCTTGGCAAGGTCGTCGACCGTTAGCGAACGTAGACCGTCCATGTCGACCTGGGTCTTGTTGGCCGAAGGCATGCTCGAGAACAAGCCGGCCTTGAACATCTCCAGGCTGGCCACGGCTAGGCCTTCTGACCGCCGGTAAAAGCGGCCGTTCTCTGTGCTCTTGTATTGCCACTCGGTGCCAGCACCGGCATCGAGCAGCACGCTGACAAGAAACAGGTCGATCAGGCGGCGACAGCGTTCGGTGTTGTCGATTTCTGGTGGGAATGTCTTGAGCAGCATGGCCACCCGGTCGCGGCCACCCACGGCGAAATGCTGATACCGGCCATGGGGCGGTATGGAAGAGGCGTAGGGTGCGTCGTAGTCACGTTTGATGATTTGGCTGACGAAGCGAACAACATCGGGGAATTTAGACATGTCCACGTCAAAGTGATGGAGCTCGTTTCGCAGTGCCTTGTCGCCGATAATACGCGACCGCTCGCGCACGGCAGGTAGACTCCGTAGGTAGCCTGCCGGGTCTAGAGCTGGGTCGGGCGGCCGAGGCAGGTCGACTTTAGGCAGGTGAACGGGCGAAAATGATGAGGCGGGGGTTCCTGGAATGGAGCCGGAGGAGACGGCGGTGGCCGACGTAGCGGCAGTGCCGGCGGTGCCAGCAGACGAGCGGTTGTTCATATTGTGAGAAGAAAATCCGTATTGTTGGGATGCAGACGAAGGAGAGAGGGGAGATTTGAGAGAGTTGGCCGAATTTAGAGACGCATTTGAATTGGAAGAACTCAAGCCATTGGCGTTGTGGTCTGCAGCCGTCCTCGGCGAGGCCTTATCCTTTCGTGAAAAGAGGCCCATTCTCTGACCTGGGCTTGTCCGCCCGTTGCGAGGGGAGGCGGGCGGAGTGCGGAGGAGGGGTGCCGATAGAAAGCGAATGGCCGAACTGGGCGAGATAGGAGGTCAGCGGACCAGTAGGTTTGGGAGTTTTGTCTTGGTGTTGGTAGTTTTGGTGGTAGCACCAGAACTCCGTAGATAGATTGTTAGTGAACTTTGAGTGGAACTGGCCGATGTGAGTCGGGCGTCTTATCGATCGGAGGCGCGAGAGAGCTTCTGAGCTGTGCGGGCGAGTTGGAGAGATAGGAATCGGCGCCGAAAGCTGAATTTATTTAGCTTGAGGAAGAGATCAGGGCGGCCAGGTGTACTTTCTTGAAACTCGTGTTGTCGCCTGTTCTGTGGGCTATTGTTTGTGGCCCTCCTGTTTCGTTGTCTCCAACTACTCTGCAATTCTTCGAGCTCTCGACTTTCAGGTTCCTGGATTTTCGTGTCTACTTTGGAGAGTCTCAGGAGAATATAAGGAGACGAGCTGTGCAAAGTGAGCTGTGCAAAGTGTGGATCAACAGACAGAGCTTGCGCGAGCTGAAAGTGGCGAAACGACCAGGTACAGAACCTGCGGTAAAGGTGAATGAGTGGATGGCAGGTGACGAAACTGCAGGTGCGAGCTGCAAGAGATAAAAAAATTAAAATAAAGCGAGGCCGAGACGAGTCGAAAGGTGCAAGGGAGGAAAAGCGAGAATTGAACAAAGGGAGGACGAGAGGGAAAAGTCCAACGTGAAAACACGGTCGGACACAGACAATTGGTCCACGGTGGCTTCCCTCCCAAGAGACAAAATGAGCAAGGAGCTCGCTTGGATTGGAAGCTGGGACAAGCTAGGACAAGCTCCTGAAAGAATGGAGTACAACCAGAGAGCAGACAAGCTGTCGAGCATACAAGCTGTCGAGCATACAAATGGCGGCGGTCAGTATGGGTCTCGACGAGTAGAAATGTGTGGAAGTAGAAGAGCAGCCAACGGTTTTTGATGAGAGAAAAATGAGGAAAATGAGGAAAAGGGGGGGTGTAAGGCGGCGAGGTAGACAGAGGGTATTGGAATTTGGTAGATGGCCGTGGCGAACTAACGAGTGTTACAATATGCCCAGAACCGGGGCGCAAGCACGATACAATGTATGTCAGTGGGCGAAATTGAGGCGTAACAGAAAGCTGACACCGGACGGTGAGGTCAGCGGCTTGGGGTGGAGAGACAGAGAGATAGCCCTGAAGTGAGGGAAACGAGGCAGTTCGTTTCGTGCAATGCTGAGGGCTGGGCTGGCCTTGTAAGTCCAGTTGCCGGAGGGCGAAGGGCAGACGGGAGGAAACAAGAGCAAGGCTGAAGCTCTAGTTTGGAGATGCGAAGAGGATATGGAGGAGAGAGGAGGAGATGAGAAAACTGAGAAGGAAGAAGGAAAGCTAGAAACAGCGAGAGAAAGGGCCAGGGATGAGGCAAGAGCATTTGGGGGGGATGTTAGAGAGAAAACGGAAGGTCCGCGAAGTTCGATGGGCAAGTCGCAATGACAATTGGGGAAAGCAAGAGCGATGGGTAGCTAAGCACACTACGAGTACTCATAAGAGATACCGAGACACAGGCAACCACACCGGCGATGGTGAGATGCTCTGTGTCAGGAAGGGAAGGCGCGCCGGACTGGACCAGTTTGGGACTACGAGGAAGGAGGAGGGACAGGGCATGGCTCGAGAAAAAGCAGGAGCGACCACAGCGAGCACAAACGCAACATTCAAATAGGGGTTGAAGTGGAATACAAGCCGAAAGAGGCAACCGCAATTCAGGGGAACAAGCGAGAAATGGCAAGACGAAGACAAGCAATCATGTTGAGGGTATGGAGGGGCCTGGCCATGGCGAAAAGCTCGAAAAAGCTCGAAAAGGATAAATCGAGTAAGTAAAACTGACAGACTTTCACAATACCTTCTTCCCCTCGTCCAAGCTCGCTTTTCTCCAAGCCCGATTCGATACAAGGTCAGTGCACTTATGCACCCACAGAGGCCAGTCGAGAACAATAGCTCGGGAAAATGCCCCGGTTGCGAAGATTTAGAGCAGAATAGGTTGGTTGGCCAAGCTTTGTGAGCAAATGGATGTAGGAGGGGAGAGGGAGTTGGCGAGAGAGCAAGGGCCAGGTCAAGAAACAAAAGAGTGCAGGCGCGGCCGTCACTCCACGCGGACGTGAGACGCCTTGAAGAGGCAAGAAAGATGAAAAGGACTGCAAGGATACCATGGTCCAAAGCATGGGTCGTGACGGTGTGCCAATAGCGTGGCGCGTCGGGAGGACCTAGCCGTGTATAGGCCTGGTGAGCGACGGGGCCGATGGTGAATGGTGAATAGCCGATGGAGAATAGAGAATACGGTGCAGAAAGGAGGGCTACGAGGAAGAACGCCACGGTGGGAGAGGATGGCGAACGGGTGAGACCGCTTGACGGGCAGATCTACGACAGTGAAACAAACAGTTTGTGTTGTGCAGAAACACAACACGCCATGCGCCGTTCACAAGCCGAAATGCAGAGCACAAACAAACGGGCGCGCTGTCCAAGTCGTGGGACGTGAGACGGACTCGGCGGCACCCGTCATCCAGGTCTGCATGCAGACGTGTGACAGCCAAAGGGCGCCTTGTTCGAAACATTCGTGCCATGGCCCCTTGCTGGCAAGACCGCGCAAGCCAAAAGCGAGAATGTCGAAAACGAAGCACCAAACAAACGGGAGCAGTACAAAAGACGAAACCCGGTTTTACACCCTGTTGAGCCGAGTACGTGGTACGTTTATTCGTTTTGCAGATCTTTTGGACATGAGCGCAGCAGTCAAAACTACGCACCCGTACGACGGTACCAGGGACGATTGACGAGCAGCAAGCCAAGCTCTGGCCAAAGCGTCTTCACGGCGTACATGTACACAACGCCGGCAACGTACGACATGGGGGCCCGTTTTGGAGGATTGTCTGTTGAAGACTGACACAAAGAAGCTAACACAAATATGCAAATCGGACGGTTGAGTGCGTTCTGTGTACGGAGTACTTCGTACACGAACGGGAAAATAACAGGAAAGGAAAGGATGTGCAGAATGTGCCTGGCCCTGGCGTTGGGTGGGGAGCATGTTGGATTCGAAAGAAGGCAACGAAGAAGAGGAAAAAGAACAGGAATAAAGAAAAGGAAAAAGACAATACGGCAAAAGTCGGCCAAAGACGACAATCGGTCCAAGAGCGGTCGAAACGCGAACGGACCGCAAATTGGTGCCTGCGCAAAACTGGTGCCAGCCCCGTTTCTGGGCGAGTTGAGGTGGACCCACGACGCAGACGGACAGGGGTTGTGTGGTTGACAGGGTTAAGTGGGAGAGGAAAAGGAAAGGAAAAGGAAAGAAAAAGAAGAACAGAGCAGGGGGGCTTGACGAGTGAAAGGGAGGGTCAATGACACCATATGCAGGTACCAGGATCGGGTAAAGTAAGTGGGAGGAGAAGACAGAACGGGACGAAGTACATTCGTACGGAAGGGAGAGAAGACGAAAGAATACGAGCCAGAGACAAGACGACACAACCGATACAACCTATGCCGTACTTTGTATGTTGCATATCGTACTACGGGTTACGAGTTTGGCGGAAAATCTATCAGAAAATCTGGCGTCAAGTCGTCCATTGCCAGAGATGGCGTTCTCAGTCATTTTACTCCCCGTTCCCTTGAACGTTGGCTTCTTCGGACACGCGTTTTCTCGGCTGCGAATCAAACAGCGTCGTTTCGCGGACCGGCCAGATTCAGAGGGAGCCTCGAAAGACCAAAGCTGGGGTCCTCTTAACCTTAATTCGAATTTGTCAACATGCCTGAGAGTAATCCGTAACTCCGTATGCCACACCCACAGCGAAGAGGAGTGCATACTTCATCTGCACACGAGCGGCCATTGTGCCTGGCCGAGAGACCGACCATCACAGTGACCGAGAACAGGGAGTACTTCGCGTCTCACTCTTGCCCAGTATTACCGCCGGCGGTGGCCGGTGGTGTGGTGTGGAGGCGATACCTCGGGCGAGGAAGTGGGTGTGGATACGGAGATTGGCAAGGATCGCATGGGCCTGGACATGAACGTGGTCGGTGGATAAAGTCGGTGGATTGTCGGTGGAAAAGGTGGAAAAGGTCGGTGGACAAGGTCGATGGACAAGGTCGATGGATGGCCAAAGGTCCACCCAACGATCACAGAAGAAGCATGGAAGAGAAAAGAAAGAGTCACTCTCCGGAGACCAGGTCCGGGATGCGCACCTCCTGCAAAAGCGCACGGAGCACGGCACGGCTCTGCATGTTCTGTCAAGACACTGCCAGACACGAAAGAACAATCAACCGCGAGGAGAAACAAACATACGAGGAAGGTAAAAGACACGGGAAAATATAGATTTAATACGAATTATGGCCTGGTTGCTTTTGTACTTTGGGAAACAGAGATAGGAGACAGGACATGGGCTGGCATGGCCAAGTGACGAGACAACTTCGCTTACAACGCCAGATATTTATGACCACCTTTACCACCACACTGGTGTCCCTCCTGACAGGATCGATGCGACCTGGTACCTGGGCCATCGACGGGATCCAATGACCCAAGACGCTGGACCGGATACAATAAACTGGACCGAGTGTTGACTCGATGTCGTTGGAATTGCTGTGCCTCGGGAATCAATGATACCAACATAGTCATAGAGTCTTTTTCCTTCCACCGTCACGTCACATCTCGTCTTGTTCTGTGCATACTCTCAAACAGCCTAGCCACCTGGTCTGTGCTCGAGAGCATCTTGGTCCGCGGAGCGTTCCGTTTGTGGCAAAACGAAACAGAGAGCGGCCTGTCCAAAGCCGACGCAAGTCTGGTTCTGCCCGGAGGACGGTAATGGTCAACAACAGCAACATTCCAAAAGTGCAAAAAATGGCCATTCAAACGCATCCATTTCCACATTGGGCTCTGACGTCGGGCTGGGTGTACATGTAGCATTACTAGTGAGTTTACGTATGGCTGAGTATGACGCGCCCCGAAATTTGGATGGCGCAACAGGTCGACCTCTTATGCAACGCTCGTCCATCACATTACATCCTCCTGTCACACAACTCCGTCTCCCCTTCTTTCCTATCGCCCCATTCCTTGGCGCTATGTATCCTTTTTCAGTTCCTCAGTCAGTGCGATGTAAGCTTCTCGGCTTGCCCTCTGTCACGCGAGGACACTATCCTCGGCAGCGTCTTCACAACTCGTAGCTTTCTTGTGACGGTCGTTACGCGGACCTCTCCACGCGTCGGTGGTGTCGTTGGGTTAGTATGGGTCTGCGGGTTTCGGCACGGTGCAATGTCTTGGTCTTGGGGCTTTTTGCTTTGTCTTGGCACAAAAATCAATCTGGTATTTGAGACTGGTTGGGTCAGAACGGAGGACCAGGACAAAAACGAGGAGCGATAGAAGGTGCGAACTCACCGTTACGAGAACACGCCCATTTCCTCCCACTCTGCAACCCAGGCGTGCAGCTTATATGGAATCCTTGACGCGACTTGCTTGCTTTCTTCGTGCCGAGCCTGCTCTATATCTTGGTCGGCGCGGCGCCGTGGATCAGTGTATTTTGAACGTCATTGTCATTCGTTTTCACTTGGCCTTCCGCTGCCTTACGACAGAATGTCGGCCACATTCATTGGCATCTCGTCAATCTGGGTGGAGTAGTACACTGGAAGGTTGGAGTCAGTAAGAGTGTACAAATGAACGTCAGTGTGCCAAAAAAAAAAAAAAAAAAAAAAAAAAAAAAAAAACAACACCTACACTCAATGTCCCGCAGGATGCGCACGTCCTCGTTGGTGACAAAGTTGATGGCCACGCCCTTGCGGCCGAAGCGACCGGACCGGCCGATGCGGTGGATGTAGTTCTCGCGGTTGCTGGGCAGATCGTAGTTGATGACGAGGCTGACCTGCTGCACGTCGATGCCGCGCGCCCAGACGTCGGTGGAGATGAGCACGCGCGTGTTGAACTGGCGAAAGTCCTGCATGATGCTGTCGCGCTCCTTTTGCGGCATGTCGCCGTGCATGCTGCTGACGGTGAAGTTGGACTCGCGCATCTTGTCGGTGAGCCAGTCGACCTTGCGGCGCGTGTTGCAGAAGATGACGGCCTGCGTGATGGTCAGGGTGTCGTAGAGGTCGCAGAGCGTGTCAAACTTCCACTCCTCCTTCTCGACGGCAATAAAGTACTGCTTGAGGCCCTCGAGCGTCAGCTCGTCGCGCTTCACGAGGATGCGCACCGGGTCCGTCATGAACTTGTACGTCATCTCGAGCACGTCCTGCGGCAGCGTCGCCGACACCACCACGACCTGCGTCGCCGGCGGCAGGTACCGGTACACCTCGTAGATCTGCTCGCGGAAGCCCTGGTTCAGCAGCTCGTCCGCCTCGTCGAGCACCAGCATCTTGATGTTGCGCGTGCGCAGGTTGCGCCGCCGGATCATGTCGGCCACGCGGCCGGGCGTGCCCGACACAATGTGCTGGCCCTGGTCGAGCTTGCGGATGTCCTCGCCCACGTTGGTGCCGCCGATGCACGCGTGGCACTGCACGTTCATGTAGTCGCCCAGCGCCTTGACGACGCTCTGGATCTGCGTCGCGAGCTCGCGCGTCGGGCTCAGCACAAGCGCCTGCGTCTCGCGGGACGCCGCATTGATGACCTGGAGGGCACTGATGGAGAAGGTCGCCGTCTTGCCCGTGCCGGACTGCGCCTGCGCGATGGTGTCGCGGCCTTTGCAGATCTGCACGATGGCGCGGGACTGGACGGCCGAGGGCGTCTCGTAGCCGTAGGCATAGATGCCGCGGAGGAGGTTCTCTGACGGCTGTGTTAGTCGCCTGCAATGGAGAGCATCCCGTGCGTTCCTGGCGGCTCCTGGCGGCTCCTGGCTTGTACTTACCCTTCAGACTCATCGACTCAAACGTCGGAAACACCTTGACTTCCTTGGAGGTGGTCAGCTCCACGCGGTCGTCGAGCTTGCCCGCCTTGCCGCTGGACTCTGCCATGGTGTGGGTGTATGTGAGGGGGGGATCGCGGGCAGGGGAAGGTCAGTTGGTGTCGCAGTCGTCTGCGTAATCAATCGTGGTTGTCGTGTCGTATCGTCGTGTCTCGTTTCCAATGCTTTGCTTTGGTGTTGTTCGGCGTCGGCTTTCACTCTTTGAAGCTTGATAGGCACTAACGAAAAAGTTCAAGGCTAGCCCGCCACCCAATTGCCGCCTGCAGCGCGCGAGCCTTGCGCCGGAAAATTGAAACTCCGAGCTATTGGCTGCTTGGCTTTGGCGCCTGTAGCGATCAAAAACAGTGCCTCCATCTTCATCGGATAGTAAACCGCACTCATTGCAACATCACCAACGCCACCCAAGCGACTCCTACAGCCGCCATGCTCCTCGAAGAAATCCGATATATCCTCGAGGACCTCGAGCGCCTTGAGCAGGCCGTCGTCGACCGCCTCGTCGACGAGCCCACGCAGGTGCGCGACCGCCTCAACCGCGAGCACGAGGTCGCGCAGCTGCTGGACCACATGCAGGCGCAGTCGGGCGAAGCCCTGCGGCTCTACGGCGACGCGCACGACATGCGGGCCGACGAGGTCTCCCTGCTGGGCGATGACGGCGATCCGCTCCAGCTGTTTTACCGGAACCTCGACGACACCCTGGCCTACCACCAGCGCTACCCGACCGACCAGGTCGACCAGCCCGAGCTGCGGTACCGGCACCGGCCACCGCAGCCGCTCGGCGAGTACGGCTACGGCGAGTTCCAGCCGACGCTGGTGGACACCATGTTCTCCGGCGAGGAGGGCTTCGGGCGGTACTTTGACCTCAACGCCAACTACGAGGCGTTTGTCAATCTGCCCAACGTCAAGCGGCTGACGTACCTGCAGTACCTCGAGGTGTTTGACCAGTTTGGCGAGAGCAACCCCTTCTTGGCGTCGCAGAAGCGCAGCGACAAGCTGACGGACGACTACTTTCAATACGTCGGCGGGCTGGCCGACTACCTCGAAGGCTTCATGCGCAAGACGCGGCCGCTCGAGAACCTGGACCGCGTGTTTGCCGGCTTTGACGACGACTTTGAGGCGCTGTGGAGCCGGGACGAGCTGCCCAGCTGGAAGACGGCCGGGAGCCTGGGTGCCGCTGGGGAGGGCGCGGGCAGCACCGCAGATGGCGGGGCCGGCGGCAGCACACCGCAGCTGAGCTCGCCCGAGGCCGTGTGGTGCGCCGACTGCGAAAAGGAGTTTAAGAACCAGAACGTCTACAAGGGCCACTTGTCAGGGCGCAAGCACGTGCGGGCCGCCGAGCAGAGGGCCCAGGCGCAGTCTGCTGCGTCCCGCGACGGCAGCAACGGGAACGCGTCCGGTGTCGGTGGTGCCGCCGCCGCGGCGGCCCACCGTCTCAAGGAAAAGGCCGTCGCCGCCCGCGAGTACCGTGTGCAGCGACTCGTCGCGGCCATGAGCACCGAGAAGGACGACACGCGCGTCAACGTCGAGCGCCGCCAGGGCATGACGGAGCGCGAGCGGCGGCAGGAGCTGGACAACCTGTACGCCATGCTGCAAGAGTCGGCCGCGGCGGCGCAAGCCATGGACGTGGACGGTAGTGGTGGTAGAGCAGACGGCCGGCGCGGCGAGGCCGAAGACGACAACGACGACGACGACGACGACGACAAGGTGTACAACCCACTCAAGCTGCCCCTGGCGTGGGATGGCAAGCCCATCCCTTTCTGGCTGTACCGGCTGCACGGCCTGGGCGTGGAGTTTGACTGCGAGATCTGCGGACAGTACACGTACATGGGCCGGCGCGCCTTTGAGAAGCACTTCAACGAAAGCCGGCACATCCACGGCCTGCGGTGTCTGGGGATCAACAACCCGGGTCTCTTCCGCGACATCACCAAGATCGAAGAGGCGCTGCGGCTGTGGGACAAGCTGGAAAAGGAAAAGAAGCGCAACAAGCAGGACGAGAGCTCCGTGGTGCAGATGGAGGACGCCGAGGGCCATGTGATGCCCGAAAAGGTGTACTACGACCTGCAGAAGCAGGGGTTGGTGTAGTGAACCCGCTTGTGTGTGTATGGTTTCGTTATGTACAGTAGACAATATACCCGTTATGTATATGTTCCTTTTTGCATTGTCTACGCCTACGCCCCCTTTTCCTTATTGTTTGCCGCTACGGTCCAAGGATCGTGTATATGTAGAAGAACAGGAGAAAAACGTCGTCCTGAGCAGCGGACAAAGATTATGAAAGGCCGCGAGGTTATGTTTTCCGAAAAGAAGAATTTGAATGTTTATTGCGCCGTGATAAAACAAAACTGGAAACTCACAAACGCCCGTCCGATGGCTATATTTTTTACATTTGTGGACCATCAGCCACCTCCCAGCGCATCCGTAAACCCAAAGTAATACATGTAAATAAACAGACTCCTCTTCTGCGTCCGCTCTTCCACCCCCGCACGCATTGCTACTCAATGTTCCGCGCCTCCAGAATCACGGCATTCAACCGCGAATCGCCCAGCTGCGCCACCCGCTGCCCAACCACAGGGCCCAGAAAGTCCACCAACTCGGCCGTCTCAACGCCGCTGCTGCCACCACCACCACCGCCCGCACGGCCGCTGGGCGTCAACGGCGTCGCTGGCACCAGGGTCCGGATCGCCTTGAGCAGACCGCCCGCGACGAGCATCTCCAGCTCAATGGCAATGGCGGCGCCGCGCTCCTGCAGCGGCTGCAGCACGTACGTGTCAAAGGCCTTGAGATTGGGCAGCAGCAGCACGCGCACGGCCTCGGGCCCGCCGGCGGCCGACAGGCCCGCGACGGCACCAAAGAGCACGCCGACGGGGCGGTCGGGCTCGAGCAGGGTCTTGAGGCACGTGCGCGTGAGCTTGGGCCGCAGCAGCGTGCTGCTCTTGGCGAACTTGCGGGCCAGCAGGCCCAAGAGCGACGCGGCCAGCTCGCGCAGCAGGTAGATGTCGCGGACGGCGTCGGTGCCCTGCACGCCTGCCGGAGCGCCACTACTACTACTACCACCACCACCACCACCACCACCACCATTACCGCCGCCGCCGCCAGCCGCCGCCGCCTTGTCGCCGCCCAGGCCCAGCTTCTGCCCGAGCAGGCACGTCAGGACGGGCGCGCACAGCGGCGTCACGTAGGGGTCGAGAAACACGTGCGGGTTCTCGACGAGCGCCGTCGTCAGCTCCATCATGTGCCGCAGGATGGTCACGTCGTCGATGCGGTGCGTGACCTGCGTCGCCACAAAGCTGACAAAGTACGGCACCAGCTGGTGCAGGCCCGGGTCCGACCGCACCGACTCGAGCGCCGCCTCGCGCAGCCGCAGCACCTCCTCGTCGGGGCTGTCGTCGAGGATGGCCGCCTGGATCTTGTCAAAGTACAGCACCAGCTCGTTGCTGATGATGTGCTTGACCGCCGGCTTGAACCCGACGTTGTCGTTGCCCGCCAGCGCCGCCAGCGCCGGGTTCGCGCCGGGGCCCTTGGCCACGAGCTCCTGCGTGCTGCGCGCCTCCGCCGCCGTCGGGTTCTGCGGGATCGACGGCTGCACGCCCTCAATCGCCAGCCAGTGCGCCGTCATGCTCGCGTCGCGCGGCACCTTGGGCAGCGGCGCGTTGATGAGCTTCTCAAACTCCACCTCCTCGTCCTCAATGTAAAACAGCGGCTGCCCGGGGCCGATGCTGGCTTCGCCGTACCGCAGCGGCCGTGTCGATTCGTAGCCGTAGAGCGGCTCCACGTCCAGGACGCGCAGCGCCAGGGACACGTCTTGCACGGTCAGCGTCGTGCGGCTGGCCGCGCGCATGAACCGCAGCGCCTCGACAATCACCTGGCCGATGCGGTACTCCACGTCTTGCGACAGGCAGCGCAGCGCGTCGTCGCCAATCTGCGTGATGCCAACAGACTCGGCGACGTCCTTGACGTTTTCTGGGTTCCACAGAAGGCGAACCGCCGCGTCGTCAGGCTTCGCGGCCATGGCTGCTGTGCGTGGAGGAAGGGAGGGGGGGGCGTGTGGTCGGATTCAATCCGTCAATTGTGTCAGTGGTTCGGGCCGTCGTCAGTCGGCGAATTCAGGGAGAGGCATCAATCGCAGTATAGCTCGTCATCAGCCGCCTATCGTCTATGTTGCCGGGTGTCGCCGGAAGTTGTGCGCGACCATGAACAAGGGCCGCGAGTGACGTTGATGCAAGGTGAGTTCTGAGTGGCGGTTGACGGTTGTGGAAGCTTTACTTGTGCGGAGGCGCAAGGAGAATTCAGCGCACGGACCAATAGTGGCACTAGCGCGGATGGCCACACTTTTCCGTAGCCTTGTCAGAGCGATTAGTTGACAACTCTAAACTGCCGACAGATGACAACAGATACCTGTTTAAAGTCTGAAATAGAACAAACAACTGTCTATACATCTGCATATATCGCTGGCATAGAACACGGTCAGTGAAGTGTGCATTTGGAGTTGCCCTGCATTTGCCTGTGCAGATCGTCACATATGGTTACCTACTAGGGACTAAAAGCACTGAATATAGCCTTGCCAGGCCTAAACTCGTACACTAAGTACTCACAGCACTTACTATTGTCCTTCTAAAGGGTAAACGACACAAAGTCATCGACGGTATATTATGGAATGAGCTGGGAATAAATTACACTGTAATGGACGCAATAGAACTGGAAGACGAAAACATGCCACCGAAGGACCAGAAAAGATAGAACCTCCAGGTAAATGATAAATGCACAAAAGGCATTCAAAAGAAAAGAAAACAATGCGACAGCCAGACACAAAAAACAACAGGGAACAAGTTGACAAAGAACACAAGACAGACCAAGAAACAGACCCGGACATTCAAATAAACTGACAAGACACCGCCTCTGAAGTAACAATAAGAACCGTCTAAACTCCCCGTTGACTTTTGTGTGTAATAACACTGCGCCCTGCCCACGTCTCTTGTACATAATATTACGCTCCATATTTTCGTCAAAAAAAACACAAAAAACACTCCTTCTTCTAGATATGCCCAGGAAACAATAAAATGGCGGAAGCAAGGCAAACAAAAGTAAAATAAATAAAATAAAATAAAAAAACGCACATCTCACTTGGCACCGCTGTCGACATCCATACGGTCGCCAGCGTCGTTGCCGCTCTCCGCACGCGGCGTGTCCTTGGTCGCGGTCGGCACTGCATCAAAGAGGCCCGTTCTCGGCCGCTTCGCGTCAGCGTCGGCCGGGCGCGCCGGAACCGTCGCGGGCCACGACGAGTCGCTACCTGCACGTGTATGCCCAGACGATGCAGCTGTCGCACCGACCGACGCCGGCCGTCCCGCATCGCCGGGGCTCTGCTGCTGGCCGCCGTTGTCGAAGCTCATCACCGTGCTGTGGCGGTCAAGAGGCTGGCGTTGCTGCTGCTGCTGCTGCTGCAACTGCACCGCCGTCGTTGGCGACGCTTGCGACGGCTGTGGCTTGTTCCGGCCAAAGTTGCTGAAGCTGCTGGCGTTGTACGAGCCTTCCGAGCTGCGGCGGAAGTTACTGGCGTCGGCGGGCGGCGACTGCTGCAGATCCGCGTTGCGTCCGCCAGCGCTGGCGCTGCCGGCCGACGAAGGGGCTGCCGCATCGAGGGGGCTACCCAGCGCGGTGGCCGGGGCCAGGGGCATCATGAGGCCCGACGAGCGAAACGACGCCGCGGCCGCCTCGGCCGCCGTACCGGCCGTCAGCATCTTGCGCCGCGAGCTGTTGGCGCGCAGCTTGACCAGCTCCGGCAGGTCGTCCGGGTCGTCGACCTGGTACTGCGCCATCATCTTCTGCAGCTTGGTCGGCCGCGGCTTGCGCGTGCTCTTGGACTCCTCGATCAGCGGCGGCGGATCGGGCGCCACGGGAAAGCGCTTGTGGAGCACCTGGCGGAAGAAGTTGGTCTCGCGCGTCAACAGGATCTCGGCGCCCTCAATCTTGCGGAGGTAGAAGCGCTGCTTAATCGCGTCGCTCTCCGACGTGAGGTTGGGGTCCAGGTAGTCCTCGACTTTAGCGCGGAAGTCCATGGCGCCCTGGATGATCTCGCCCAGGATCTGCTCCTCGTCGGGCTGGAAAGGCAGGTTGGGGATCTCGTTGAACAGGTTGATGAGCGACTCGAGGTCAGGGCGGGCCGCATCGCGCGGAATCTTGACGCGCCAGTCGCAGATCGGGCAGGTGTACTTTTCATCCTCCTTGACCTTGCCGCGCGCAATCTTGAGACACTTGCCGTGGTACCTAAACGAGGCCCGGGTTAGATATCAAAAATACAGTAATAAAATAGTCGTAGGGAAAGAGGGGGGGAGGGACGCACCACTCGTGGCACACTTCGCACTCAATCATCATGCCCGCCTCGGTGCGCCGGCAGATGCAAAACACCTCACGAAGCTTCGCGTTCCTATACGCGGCCGAAGATTCGTCAGGGCTTGGCTCGCGGGATGCGGGCTCGGCTGGCGTGCGCGGCTTGTCGTCTTGCGTGTCGAAGCAGTCGTTGTTGCGGTCCAGCACGTACTCCAGGTGGCTCTTCAGGATGTAGAGCGGCGCGTTGGTCTTGCCAAAGACGCGCTTGCCCTTGCGGATCCAGTCTTCGCTGCGCTTCTGCTCCCGCTCCAGCTCGTGCGTGCCCGTCGGCTTGGACTGCAGCTCCTCGATCTTGCTCATCAGCGCCACCACCTCCGAGTACTTGGGCCGGTTCTTGTATTCCGCCTCGCGGCAGCGCATGTTGAGGTCCATGACTTGGCGGTGCGCATCCCTGTGCTTGTGCAGGATCTGGTCAATCGCCGCCAGCGTAGCCGCCGTCACCGGAATCGAGCCGGACGTCGCCTGGTTCGAGAGAGCCTCGAGCTGCGGGTAGTGGACAGCGTCCGCATGGAGCAGCTCTTTGGCCTTCTTCTCCCACTGCTGCCCCGCGGCCGCCTGGCCCTCTAGGAACATCATGTGGTCGTTGTACTGCGGGATGCCCATGCGCTGCCCGTCCTCGAGCAGCTTGAGCACCTCGTCCAAGGCCGCGTACTCGGTCCGGCTCGCTTCCGCCTTCTGGCCCCACTTGAGCTGGTCTAGGAACCGCGTCAGGCTCTCGACCTCGGGCACGTCGACATTAAAGCTGTGTCCTTCGTCGAGCAGGTTCTCAATGGTGTCGACCGTTTGCGTGGAGACGTGCGCTAGCGCGCGTCTGGCGTCTTCCTGGAAGATCTTGATGGCGTCGGCGCGCTGCTGGAGGAGCTGGATTTCGGGGCACTCGAATCCGATCTGGGCGGCTTCGTCGAGCAAGCGGTAAATGTTGGAAATGTTGCGGGTCTCCCGTTCCTTTTCCTTTTCGTCGGCCACGGCTGCCGCCGCCGCCGTTGCCGCCGCTGTCGTCGATCCCGTGGAGCCCGCTGCCCCGGCTGCCGTCGAGGCTGAGCCGGTGCCGGCTGCTTCGGCGCCGCTGGCCGCGCTGATGGATTTGCGCGTGTCGGTCTTGCGTCGGTTTTGCTGTTTGCGCACAATGTATGTTGTAGCCTCTTCAACCCAGTGATTACAGCGGTCGACAAATTCGCGCAACACCGGCAAAGAAGGCAGATCATAGGGGATCCTCTCACCTTCGTTCAGGATAGCTCGCAGGGTCTTGAGTGAGGGGGTCGCGTCTTCCTCCAGGATCTTGTCGTACTTTTCTTCCCAGGCCTCCGGCTGCGCTGCCTTTTCGGCAATCTTCTTGCACATGGCCTCAATGTCGTCCGACGACTTGCGATAGACGACAAAATGGGATTCCCCGAGGAAGCGGCTCGCCTCGCGCGCGGTGCAGCAGTGGTTGAACCCGGCGTGCTGCAGACACAAAACCTTGCCTGTTTTGACACACTTGAAGCGCGACAGGTACGTATAGCCCTTGCAGAAGAAGCACTGGTACTCCTCTTCGGGGACGTCAGCGTCGTTGATCACAATGTCAAGAGAGCAGGTCTGCGCGGCAGATTCGCCGCCGCGGCGGCCCACGCCCGTATCGCGTCCTACAAGCGGGCAGTGGTGTGGCACTCCGTAATGCTTGGCCATAAAGCCGTCGCGGTTGGTCTCCTCGAGGTACCGTATCCGTTCAAGCGCAGGCGCGAGCCATTTGGCCGTCTGGATCGTCAAGGGTCCCGTGGCCGCGCTCAGCACATCATCCGCAGCCGTACACAGCAGCTCCTCGTGTGAGAAACAAGGCTGGCGACGGAACTGCTGCAGCCGGTGGACACCAGAGAGGCCAAAGGGCTCCCAGTCGGACGGCGCAAAATTGACGGCCTCGTTGAAGTTGAAACCATGGTTGAAGCCCGCATGGTACGCCTGGGGGAACGTGATGACCATTTGACCAGCGCGCTGGTCGACTGCGTAGACGCGCACGCCGGCTTCCTTGAGCTTTTCGGGCGGGAGAAGCGTTACAAGCTGGAACAGCAGATCGGGCTGCGTTTCGAACAGGTCGGGGACGGCCTCGCGCATTGCGTTCTCAAACTTCTCCGCATCGGCGCCGGGAATGCCATACCACGTCTTGGTGGCACCAAAGTGCTGGTAGTTGGCAGAGTAGGCGTAGTGGTCCTCGTTGTGCCAGCAAAACGTCGAGAAGATCATGCCGACGTAGACCCAGGGGACGGTCATGCCGGAGATGTCGGACTTGATGTAGCGGAAAAGACTTTCGGGGTGGAGCGGAAGCATGTTAAGATTCCAAGGGTCCGTCGAGTATGGCTCGTTGGGGTTCTTCTCAATCGTGGGGAAGCCCGATCCGTGTGTTGTGCAGTGGATGTCGGCACCGTACTCCACCTCGACAGTGTCATCGATGCTGGACACTAGGCGCCAGAACTCGCGCTCGACGTCGTCCTCTGTGATAGGGCGGTGGCAGTTCAGGGTGGGGTCGAACGGCATCTTGTCCTCAAAGTAGCTCTGCTTGAACTCAAAGGCCTTTTCCTGGAACTGCTTGAGCGAGTAGAGGCCGCCATCTTCAAAGCCGTACTGGTTGTCGCCGACAAGGCAGCGCGGGCAGTTCCACTCGGAGGTGGGCTTCGTGGCTATTGGTGGGTCGACGCACTTTCCGTGGTAGGCGTGGTCGCATGACTCGCAGACGATCAAGAAGCCGGCATTCTCTGTCTTACCGCAATGCTCACAGCTCTCACGGGGGTCGCCATTGTTGTCGCGGGGTTTGCGTGGCTGCTGTGGACGCAGCAGCGACATGTACGAGCCGGCCACCCGAGGCACAGCTTCCTTCTTTAATCGCTTACTCCGCCTGCTGCCCGAGCTGTCCTCTTCGCCTTCCGCGGCAGACTCCTCCTTCGTGGGCGTTTCAGACTCGCCGGCAGCAAGCTGGCGTTTGAGGGGATGTGCCGGTGCCAGGCCCGATCCTTTTTCAGACGAGTCGGCCGGGGGCGGCGTATTGTTGGCTGTGCCGGGCGTGTTACGGCCACTGCCGGAAACCGAGGCCTGGAGCGCATCACTAGCGTTGCGGGCCGGTGAGCCCCCGGGTACGCTGGATGGAGTGTTGACATTGGACCGGACCATGGGGCTCGCAGCAGGGCTTGGTGTGAAGGGGCCGCCGTTCTCGATCTCGAGCTGCTGGTGCACGCCGGGTTTGGCCAACCGCAGGTAGTCTTCGTAGGGGCACAGCCATTTCTGGTAGGAGTTCTTGAGAGAGGTCGACAGAGACGACATGATTTTGCCGCTGTAGCCCAGGTCACGGCCAATCTCCGCCCACTTCTTCAGTCTGCACACCATGTCGAAACCGCCTCGCGAATCGACGGCTTTCTTCAGTTGATAGAGGTCAAGTGGCTTCTTGTCGACGTATGGTAACCGAGTCAGGGTATTACCCATGTTCTTGTGGTATTTGAATAGGCCTTCGAGATAGCCAAGGTTGACGCGAGTGCCTGTGAACAATGCATGGTTAGAAAGACGGGTCGAAAAAACGACAAAGCAGGCAGGAAAAGATGTACGTACTGCCTTCGACGGAATTTAATTCCTGTTTTCTTGTTTGGAAGTGGAATTTCTGTGTGGAAGACAGCAATCGTTAGAGAAGATGGTTCATTTGGCGTCTCGCGTCGGACTCCGCAAGGATCGTGCAATTGTGATGGCGCAGCTCACCTGTGTGTCAATGGCAAAAGGCGGGTTCCACGAGTCAGGAGGGATGATCTTGCATATGCCGTATTCGCTCGCCTCGGGCGCGATCTTGCGCATGTAGGCCATGGGATCCTTCCACTCCTCCTCGGTGGGACAGTATGTCGGCGCCTCCTCCAGGTTGTGCGGGCGGTCCTTGCGCTTCCCAGTCTCCTTACTCGCTGTAGGCTGGCCGCGGCGCTCGACCGAGTTCAGATCCAGCGGCGCGCTCCGCATGGCGCTGAGTGGTGGCAGGGGACCACTACCGCTGCCGCCGCCCGCAGTCGACTGGCCGCCCATCCTTGTTCGTGTTGGCATCGACGTTGAATTGCTTGTCTGGGGTGCCGGCGCGAGGGCGGCAGGTGACGCGCGCGAGCTAGTTGTGGTGCTTGGCGCGTTGGAGGCTGCAGCAGCCGTTCTTGACGAGCTCTTGAGCAAAATCTTGTTGCCTGACTTGCCACTTCCACCCGAGGCACCGTTGCTGCCGCTGTCCTTGCCATTGCTCCGTCCGCCGTCTTTTCCGCCGCCATTCGCCCCGCCAGAGCCTCCTGGCAGAGCAGGAACAATGGCCATCATCGTCGGCGCAATGTGTGGGAGTATATGTATGTACGTGCCGAAAGGGAAGGAAAGAGGGAGGGCCGTATGGGCCGGATGTCGTAATCGAGCTCAGGTGGACGAATCGTTGTCGTCGTCGTCTATCAATCGTTCGCGTGCTAGTCGAGTATCGAGTCTATACTGTCACAAATGGTGTGCCGTCGAGAGCGAGTCGTCGAGGCAATCAAGTCTCCCGCAAAACGAAACGAGGGGAAAGGAAATAGGGTGCCGAAACGGCCGTCATCCGTGGGTTGTGTCTATCCGGATATGCATCTGGAGGCGGAAGGTGGGTTATGGAAGAAGGGTGTTTCGAGAGGATGGTGCGAAACGAATTGGAAAGAGTGATGAGAGTAGAGAGGAAGTATTGGTCGAAGCGTGGTCGGTTTGCTCGAAGGTGGTTATGCCACTTCGCCGTCGTGACGAAGTTGAAAGGCCGTATGGTAAGAAGAAAAAAGGCTGGCGAGTCAGACGAGCGAAAAGGGCGAAGATAGATGCCGAAGAAGAGCCAAGTACGAGGGCAGGCTAGGCCAACTTGGGGGGGACTGTGGGATTATGAGAGTTTGATGGGCGGGCTGCGTTGGCTTCTGTACTAGACGAGACTAAAGAATTTAAAGGGTGCGAAAACCGGGACTAGTCCATCGACGGAGCAGACAAGAGTTGACCAGAAGGGGAAAAGAGAGGGCCCTGGGGAATCGTAGCCTGAACGAGGCCAAGAGATTGGGAAACTGAGGAAAAGACGTCGAAACTAGGAGAGACGAAAGTTGTGGCTCGGCTGTACAACAGAGTTTTGGAAACTCTGGCGGCACAGTTCCTGAGGAGCGGTAAATATCAATGCGAATTGTGGTCGTGGGGCGTGGAGGTCGTGGCTGGCTGGCACACAATCGATACGAGGGTGAAAGAAGTAGTGAGGGAAGAGAAGAAAAAGACAGAGAAGAGAACAAGAAGTGAAGTTTGTTTCCGGTGCAGTCAAAAGATGTATACGGTGGACCAAGGGATATTATTGGATCGGGGCCTGGGAAGGGAGCGCTGTAAATTACAACGAGGAAGGTGCGCAGACATAACACGATGCGATGGAAGGAGCGACGGGCCAAAACAAACCGCTGGACGAATTCAAGGGCTGTCGAGTTCCAGCGGGAAGGAACGCAAGGCCGAGACCAACAACTAGGGAAAGAGCTACGGACATCAAGAAAGAACCAGGTCCGGATGCGCTGGAAAGAATTCATGACACAGCCAGGTGAGGTTAAAGGGCGTGTGAAGTGTGGGCATTCGGCGTAAGATACAGAGTAGCCTCCATTTGCGACCAGAAAAGAGAGCAGCTGAGCAGAAAGAGAAAAGTATGGCGACCTTTGTGGGTAGCCAATGGCGTGGGGATTGGGAAGGAGGCTGTCGCCAGAACCAATGCTGGAACAGGAAAGAACAACCCCGGTGCCCACTGGAAACCACACCAGAAGCGTGATATCTGGACTATGCGTATCGCAAATGGGAAACGGGCGCTGGACTGCTAAAGCTGTTTACAAGAGTCGAAGTACCTAGTACTTTATATCACACATGAAATGCTAGTATTAAAATGTACCGCTCCCTGCAATATACTAACCACCTAAAGTCGACGGCGTAGATTAAAAAGTGGAACATGGCCCACCAAACGTTCCTGCGGCGGTGGCTTTGAATAAACATCTGATAATACGTAGACAAAACGACACGAATAGGACTGTTTCCCGGTTGGCCAGGAACAGCTGTGCGTGGTTTGGATATCCGAGTACGTTCGAATGTGCCAGCCTTTTGAGAGGCACAGAAACTGCGGCACAGGGTGCCCTGGTGCCCTTCTCCGCCAGCAAGGGTTGCAAGTACACGGTTGATGTCGTATGCTCCGTGCATTGGCATTGCGCATGACACGAGTTCGCCTGGAAGGTGTGGGAGGGACGGAGGACGTCACCGAGAAAGTGTCCGTGAGCTATGTGCCCCCTTTCCCTTCGAAAGGGCCCCGACCGCAATGTGCAGGACGGACTTTACGTGACAGCGACAGCATCCATGTTTTCCCGGCGCTCAACCTCTCCAAAAACAATATCGCCCACAAGGCTGTACGAACGGCGATGCTCTTTATTTGTTATCAAAATGCCGGGTTGTTATCTAGTAAGAGCTGATATATCGCGTCCGACAAGGAGACACAGAATGGGAGTCGAAGCGGAAAGGTTTGCTGTGGCGCTGCCTGCGTCGTGCTTCGTGCGCCGCGCGCCGCGTGTAAATGCGACACAGGGAACAACGGCCGATGCATGTTTCTCCCTTTTTTCTTGTCCCCCGATGTGCCTGACAGCGAGGCGGCGGTCGTTCCCGCAAGCAAGTACTTTGTCCGCCTTAAAGTAGCTTTTCCGTGGAGTGCGCGGGAAACTCGTTCACGTTCGCTATCTCGACTACGACTGTGGCTCGGTGGCACTGCTGTTTTTGGACCGCAACCTTTAAGAATGTCGTAAAGTGGTCGCAGCAACTTTTGTGGGTTCCGAGGCAGCAAAGTGGAGTCTGATGCCCGGTTTTTGCACGTTCGTCCTGTAGTCAGAAACTGCAGTCGAGACTGGCGGCGGGGGTCAAGACTAAACATGGAATTTGTGGACAAAGAAATGACAGAACGCCAATACCTCCGGCTCGGAGGGTTTCTGGATTGCTGGGTTTCTATCTGTAACTGGTAGTATATACGTATCATAAGTCGTCGACGTTCTCGACGCTGTTCGTGAGTGCAAGGTGAAGCCCCATACAGCCTAAATTTGCCCAAAAATAAAAAGAAGAGAAAAGAAAAGAAAAGAAAAGAAAAAGAAAAGAAAAAAAGAACGGTACTCAGACGGTGCCTCCTCTGCCAAAGGGTACTTACACAGACACCGGTCACGCTGTATGGCACTGCCAGTTTCTCTTTGTCTCTCACATCGGGACGTACGGGTCTAAACAAAGACTAGACAAAGACAGCAGGCGACCTGTTCAACGAGCCCTGCCGTTCCTTTATGAGCCCATACTCCAGAGCCGTTGTGTCAGTTGGGATCTCGTGGCTCAATTCTCCGTGGCGCTTTGGGTCGTTTAGTATCCGCCAACTCCCGCTCTGCCATTCCCGATGCAACCCTGCTACGACTTCGCGCAGTACGAACTTTCCTCCACCGCGCGTGAAGAAATAAGGAAACAAAAATCAGGACTAGCTGACCTGTCCAATCATATTGCGTTAGAGGACTCAGTATGGGTCCGTTGTTCCGGTGGGAACGCTGATAACCGCATATCCCGTGGATGTAGTTCAAGGTCGGCCTCAAAACGAGTATGTAAAGAAGCATATTGTACAAAGTAAATTAAGGAAGACGTGTTTTACGAGCAGGTTTGCTCAAATTATAATTACTGCTATTATTTTAAGTCTTAATTTTCGATATTATAAAATTCCTTTTTTAACATAAAAAAAGAAAATGCTGAACTAAAACCATGTTAATATGGCAACACGTAGGCATCAAGTACGCAACACAAGAGGATTTATCAGCTCAGTCACAAAGCCATGATGGTGATGAGGCGGCCCTACACGAATGCCATGAATAAACGCGCAATACATATATTTTGAGGCGTATCTATGCTTCTCGATCGTGTGGTATCTTTGTGAGCGTTCTTCCTGTTTCCGTTTTCTCTCACATGACAATCACCTCCGGCGACTCGCTGCTGTCGAGCAGGGCCGCACGGCCAAGTGCTGCCGTGGCCGCCTCCGCTGCCGGTGTCTTTGCCGTTGTCACGTTGGCTGCTTTGCATGTCTTGGCCGTGCCGGCCGTCACTTTTGTGACTCTCGTCGTCTTCGTAATCTTCGTAGCCTTGGTTGCTGCTGTTGCAGCCATCGCTTCGGCTGCCTTGCCCCTGGCTTTAATTGTGGCTGTGGCGGTGGTGGCCACCTTGGCTGCCTTTGTCTTTCGTACCGTGGCCGTGGTCTCGACGCTGTCGGACAGGTCGTCCAACTCTGTGAGGGGGGCCGCGGCTTCTGCCGCTTTTCTGGCTTGTACCGCCTGTCCTGCTTGTCCTGCTTTGGCAACCTTGTCGGCCGCGGCCGCCGCCTTATCGGCCGCCTTTTCCTGTCGCCGCTTCGCCTTGACTAGCTTTTCAACCTCCTTGGGACCCCGCAGCCGCAGCGTCAGCTCCTTCATCATGTCGCCCCAGACGACAGGACCGCCGCAGTTGGGGCAGTGGCCACGGACGGGGACGAGGGGGTGCAGGTCAGGATTGGAATTGCCCAGGGCCTGCGACGGTGTTGCTGACGCGTCCGCTTCCTCCTGCAAGAGGTGCCCGCTCCAGCAGCGCAGGTGCCCGACGGCCTCGCACGCTGCGTTGGGACACACGGCATAGAGTCCCCGTCCCGCGGGCAGCGCGCCGTGGCACACGGCGCAGTCGCCCTCGCGCTCAAAGGTGAAGATGTCCTGGGCCTTGTCGACGTAGTCGCGCATGGGTCCGTAGTCGAGCGGCAGGGCGTGGATGCCCCAGGGTGGCCCGACCTCGGCGGAAGTAGCGGCATCGGCAACATCAGTAGCGCTGTCGCCTGTCGCAGCGCCAAACAGCATATCCGGTGTCGGCCGGAAATCGGTCAACACCTCCACCTCGCGCACGTCGTCGCTCAGCTGCTGGCTGGCACTCGTCTGCGACCTGCTGTATTTGCTCCAGGCTGCGTGCACCTCGGGCACAAACATGTGCAGCCGCAGAGGCCAGCGGGCAAAGCTGGGCACCCGCAGCAGCAGGTGCAGGTTGGCCAGAATGGAGTGCATGCTCGCGGGTGGGCGTTTGGGGTGGCCATTGCGCTTCGTCTGCCGGGCGACAGATAGGCGCGACTCGGCGGGGATGTGCAGCGACAGGTGCGGGTTGGTCAGGGCCCACTCGAACTTGAGCGCGGCGACGGCGCCGGGGAAGCCGGACACGAGGCCGACCATTTCCCAGGGCCGTAGGCTGGGGCGTGCAGTGCGGGCGGCGCCGCCCTTGATGGCGCCGTTGTGCTGCTTGAGGCGGCGCGGCGGGTCGGTGGTGGAGCCGATGTAGAGGGAGGCATGGCGCATGGTCGAGCGGAGGATGTAGACGGTGTAGAGGGCCGGGATGGGTCGGGAGGAGACGGTGGACGTCATTGTGAGGGGTGAGGAGAGGAGAGGGGGGGGGAGGGGAGAGAGAGGTTGGACGAGGAGGCGTGAATCGCCGCGTGCGGTTATGATTTGGTCATTGGATTTCTGTCCGGTGGCGGCTTATGGACGCTGTCGAATGTGTGAGCAGAGGGACTGCATGTCTGTCGACGTGGGTAGGAGGTGGCCACGTCGAACGGGCGAACGTTTTGTCAAAGGTTGAGTTGAGGCTCAAGTGCAGTGCCGCCTTCGCGGTAAAGGGACTGACATAGGCGCGTGTTTACGCGGGGTCGCGCTATTGCTGGAGCGACGACACGTGACTTGCACATGTCGCGAGAGTGCGCAATATTAAAGCATTCGTTTTACAGACAGAAATTAGGACAACGGACATTCGACGCGTAAAACACATATTTCTGTTAGATTTGAGAGGATATGATCAACAGCGAGAGGCAAAGAGAATTGCCATGAAAACGACGGGCTAACGAGAAAGGAGGCTACGGCAGTGATTAGAAAGTATGAGGCTGTCAAGGATGCTCTAAGCGAGGACAGTGGCAAGTCGTTCTGGCTGCACGATGGCTGCTCGGCGATCCCAAACTTGTTATTCACAGTCCAGTTATTGGGTATGAAGACACGTTTAGGAGACTTGAATTTACGGCATTGGGTTTAACATAAATTGGTGTATAGTAATGTCATTAATCTACGCAGATATGAAAGGGCCCGTCGTGACGGCCGTCTCCTGACAGAGAAAAGAAAGAGAAGATATCCATGTAACCATTTTATGTACACTTTACGCATACATCCGCATACCGGGGATGTACACCCACGTCATTCCAACAGCACTTTACTTGCGGAAGCGCTTGGCCTTGACGCGGAAGGGGTTGCCCTCGGGGAGCTCCTCAATGGTGGTGCGCGCCTTCTTGGTGATGAGGCCCTCAAAGGACGGCGACCACTCGACGCGGGGGTTGTAGGGCTCAAAGTCAAAGAGGTAGCCGAGGGTGCGCAGGATGGAGGTGGCCGAGTAGGAGACGGTCTCGCCGGCGGCGTTCTTGCCGAGGCCCTCGACGTGGGCCTTCTTGACCCAGGGCGAGATCAAAAAGGTGGGCATGCGGCCGCCGAGGCGGTCAAAGTCAAAGGTGTAGTCCTGGCCGGAGGGCGTGGTGGCGGTGTAGGCGAGGCTGTCGGGCTTGGGGGCGAGGGGCGGCGCGACGTGGTCGTGGAAGCCGCCGGTCTCGTCGTAGGTGATGATGAAGAGGGTCTCCTCCCACTGGGGGCCGGCGCGGAGGGCGTCGTAGACGTCCTTGATGAGGCCCTCGCCCAGCGACACGAGGCCCGTGGGGTGCATGGAGGTGGTGTCGACGCCGCAGCAGGACGGGTTGAGGATGCTAAAGCTGGTGAGGTTGCCGGCGGCGGCGTCGACGTAGAAGCGGTCGAGGTTGACGACGTTCTTGTCGAGGCCGGCGTCGTAGGTCCACTGGAACCACGAGGCCTCGGGGCCGGTGCCGCCCGCCGGGTCGTGGTAGTTGCGCCAGTCGTAGCCGTTCTCGGTCAGCGACTGGAAGATGGACCGCTCGTTGAAGCCCTTGGCCTTGAACTGCGCGTCGTTCTTGCCGTGGCCAAAAGAGCTGCCCGCCACGAGGGCCAGACGGTTGGGATCGGTGGGCTGTCATGCATTACGTTAGTGGTCACCGTCAGGTCGACAAGAAGAGTGCCAGGGGAGGGGGGAGAAGAAGACGTACACCGGGAATGGCCGAGTGCCAGTAGTTGAAGGTGACAAAGTTCTGCACCAGGGCCGTGAGCGTCGGGACCTGCGCCTCGGTGTAGTAGTTCATGACCTGCTCCGACAGCGTGGTGCTGTTGACCTTGGCGTCGTACAGGCGCAGCTGCTCGTGCACAAAGCCGTTCTGCTTGGGGACCAGCTTGCCCGACGCAATGTCGTCGTTGCTGGGGTTGAAGGTGCCGTAGAACTCAATGTTGTTGCCGTAGACGGCGTGGTCCGGGTCGTCGGCAATGGAGTCGTAGTCGCGGGCCGTGGTGCAGGCCTGGCCCAGCGCCGGGTTGGTCAGGTTGAGCGGGTTGCAGTAGGGGCCGTTGTGGTACGGGTTGTCGAGGCCGCGCAGCGTCTGGCCGCCCAGGATGTTGTCGAACGAGCGGTTCTCGAGCACCAGCAGCACCACGGCCTTGATGTGCTCCTTCATGTTCTTGACAGCCTCCGAGCCGTTGGGCTTGCAAGGCGACGGGTGTTTGGCAGCCGCCACGGCCGCGAGGGCCAGCAGGCCCGTGAGAGAGTTGGTCAGCATCTTGACGTGCAAACGGCGGTTGCGAGAGTCTGTGGATGGGCTTGGTTGCTCGAGTGGCGATCGCAGACATCCACCCGCGAGCGAGGCCCCGGGCCGTCACATATATACATTCAACGTCGGATCTTTACTACCTGGACGGGCTCCTACCATCTAAAGGGTGCTTGTCTGTGCATGTCCCGGGAGCGTTCCGTAAAACGGAGGTCGTACGACATGCAATAGCACGGAACGTTGGCTGCAGACGGGCGTGAGAAGTAATTTGCGAGTCGTAGGAGCAGGGAAGAGTGTCCACGTGGGAGGCAGATAAGCAACAAGTTCTCTCCAACGACCGTCGAGGTATTCACAACGTGCCATCCCATATGCCGATCCGATATGGAATTATCTTAGTGGCAGACTTGGCGATGCTGCCCTTGGATCGCCTTTTGCTGCGCTCTCCTGCGTGATCGTTTCTTTGCTGCCTTTGCTGCCTTTGCCTTTTGCCGACTTTAAACTTTCCCCGCCGCCTCACCGACTGCCGAAAAAGGCATTGAGCGGCAGGGACAGGGCCGTCGGGGTGCAGGGCGTTGCGGCGTTCAGCCCGGCTAATGCGACGTTATCCCACGCACGTCATAATCCAAGTGTGGATGGTGGGTCGACAGGCAGACGGGTTAACCGGCAAAGGCGGATCCCGGAAGAAGGGAAAATGGAAATACGCAGGATGCAGTACGGAGTACGATGCATTTTAAAGTTGTCCAGAGGTGGGCCGTTGATCAGAAAAGATCAAGGGCATTCCGTATTCTATTGTCTGGAGAAGTGGATGCCCTGAAAGAAACAAGAACCCAACTCTTTGCACGAGTCGTTTTGGAAATCGATGCGATGGACGAGTTGGTGGCCATCTCGCGTTAGCGCCAGGGGCAGACACACCTCTTGGCCAGAAGAACCAGGTCCAGGCGAATCAGAGGCCTCAGGATCGTGGCTTACATGGCGCATAGAACGCCTCCCAAGCAACCCAAGATTCCCGGCCCGGTCCCGGTGCATTTGTATTGGACTGCCGCATTCTTAAGTGTGCACGTCTCTCCGGCAGTCCATTTTCAGAACGTTTAAGCTTTTTCATAGCTGGTGTGGCTTGTTCTCTTTGTTCGCGATTGGCTGCCACAGGAATGCCCTCGTATGATATTCTAAAAGCAGCGAGCCTCGGCAGGCAGGTTGGGGCGATTTCGACGACGCCGTCGCTGGAGAACTGGAGCTACAGAGTCCTTGGCTATTCCATCGTCCTTGACTCTCTTTTCCAACCCCTGGGTCTAAGGCAGTTGACTGAAATGACCGCCAAGACTAAATGGAACCGAGTTACGACAGGAAAGCGACATTTACACCTCGAGCAAACCGTGGGCGAAATCTTGTTCGCTGACAACACAGGCATTCTGATTCGCCCCGATGAAACCTTGTCCTGGTAATTTACGTGGAATACCACGCTCCTCGGCAGGCATCTTTCCCGCCTTGTCTCCTTTTCATGACCGACGTCGACAACGGACATTGGTATGTTGGACGACGTATGCACTCTTAGCCCAATGCGAGCCCTATGCGAGAAGACACAGAAGCGAAATTGGCGATCGCGTTGTTTGTGGAGATGTGCAAACGTAAATCCCTCCCACGCGGACGGGACGCATGGGCTGTCGACTAACAGCGCTCTCTTTTTACACGTGCTCCTCCTCCAGCCTTGCCAACCCTGTCCATCTTGCCAACGGCGTCAACGGCGCCAGCGTTATCATCCTTGGCAAACCCCGCAGGCATCGCTTCCCGCTTTCCGGGATCCCGGCGCTCGTTTGTGACCGTTGTGATGCCGACTATTTTGTCGACTGGTGTTTTGCGTATGCAAGTGCCTTGCACGTGGTGAGATTCTTCACCACTCCCAAAAAGGAAATAAACAACGATGGAAAATACAAAGACTCTTCCGTGCTAGAAGAACAGCAAGGCCGTGGTCCTTCGTCCCTACCATACCCGCTCGCTTCGCATGTCGGGCATTCTCGTGATTCTATCCTTGCCTCTCCACACCTGTTGACGCATACCTCCAAGCAGCCAACATGCATCAACAGCAGCAGCAGCCTGCTTCTCTGTCCCCGCTCGCCTGGACGTCGTCCATCTCGCCGGCCGCACTTGCGGAGTCTCAGCCCCGGCCGCGTGACCCGCACCGTAAAGTCATTAATAAAGCTGAGGGCGCTGACAACACCGACGGCCGCCGCAACAACAACCACGACAGCAAAAGAGTGCAGAGGCACGCGCCCCGTTGGTATCTGCCAACGGCCCGCCGGTTCCGGGCCGACTTTACGCTCGGGTTCTCCGATGGCTTGACGGTGCCCTTTGCCATGACGGCTGGCCTCTCGTCACTGGGCCAGACAGACACGGTGATTTATGCCGGCATGGCGGAGCTCACGGCGGGATGCATCAGCATGGGCATCGGTGGGTACCTGTCGGCGCGGCAGGCATCGACGCCACGTGCGAGCGAGAAGCATGGCGAAGCCGACGACACCGACGCCGACATGGCCACAGTGGCCACTCGCTACATCGCACCGCTCGGTCTGCCGGCCCAGCTGCGCGACATGGTGTTGGCCCACGTCGTGGAGCATCCGGAGTCTGCCGAGGCCATGTTTGTCAAGAAGGGCGATGGACGTGCAGACGACGACGACGACGACGACGACGACGACTACGACGACTACGTTTGGCCCGTTGCCTCTGGGCTGTCCGTGGCCCTTGGCTACCTGGTGGGCGGCTTGATTCCGCTGGGGCCTTACTTTTTTGTCAGGCAAGTCGGCGACGGCCTGCGGTGGAGCATTGGTGTTTGCATCGCTGCCCTCTTTCTGTTTGGCTTCGTCCAGGACGTCGCGCGGGATAGGGCCGTAGAGACGGCGAAGACGACGGCCACAGGGTCCACGCGGCGCCTGTGGAAGAGCATTGGAGAAGGAGTCCAGATGGTCGTTTTAGGCGGCATCGCAGCCTCGGCGGCTGTGCTGTGTGTGCGTTTGTTTGACGACGCGAGTTCATAAGCTCGGCATAGCGTTTGTATTTATAGTTGCGGGAAATAGACCATTTGTTTCTGTGACAGAGTGTGTCCCTAGATAGCGAAGGGCATCCTTGCGAGTCCGACCTCCAGCAGTACGTATGGAGTTTGTATATAACTCGTAACGACTCCCGTCCTGTGGTTTCCAGTATGAACCCACATACCACTGCCTATGCTTAAAGAATGTACATGGAATCGAGACTCCTGTCTCCCTTCATGCCATTTGACGTGCTTCCTGCCGATAGGAGTTTCCTCTTCTTCATGTTTCTGCGCTTGAGCAGATACCAGCTGGCGGTGTAGAGGAACGCAGCCACACACGTCAAGCCGGCAGAGACGGCATTGCCTTGAACATATCGAGGCGCTTGTGTGCTCGGATACAGCTGCGAGGACACCATGGACGAGATGTCGGCCATCGTATACACCAACGGCATGGAGATGGCCCGTTTGGAATCGGGCGCAAAGGTATTGGTCGCCCAGGTGACAGCGAGCGTGGAGATGGGATAGAGACCTATGCAAGGCGAGGGATTAGCTATGCAACGGGACGTTGACATGGCTTTGCTTGTGCTTACCGATGACGAGAATAAACATTCCCGCGTAGCCAGCTCCAGGAGCTGCCGTTCCAACACAAATCAGGTAACCGACGGCCACCGGCACATAGCAGCCGATAATAAAGAAACCTCGTGACTTGAGCTTATCGGAAAAGTAGACCTGGGTCAATAAAGAGACGGCACCAAGAACATAGACGGGGATGGTCATGTAGTTTGCCTGAAGGGACGTATATCTAATCAGTCAGTAAGGGGTAAAATATGCAGCACATGTCGCACTGGTCAGGTTCTTACCCGAGTCCGTTGATGATCGACGGCAGGAAGACGCCAAAGCCGTTGATGGCGACAGAGGACGTGAAGAACGCCGTGCCCAAGAGGTAGACAAACGGATCCTTGAGCGACTCCTTGGCCCACGTCCAATCGAACGTTTGCTCGCCTCGGAGAAGGTAGTCTCGCTTCCTCTTCATGCGCATCGCCTCTTTTTCGTCGTCACTGAGATACCATGCCGTTTCGGCCGAGTCCGGGATGAATATCCAGCCAATGCCACCAATGACCATGGTCACGCAGAATTCAACAATGAAGAGCCACCGCCAAGCCGCAAGGCCGCGTTTTGCGCCCATCGACTGAATGCCGTACGCGAAAAGACCGCCAAATGCGCCAGAAATGCACTGGGCGAGGTTGGTGGTCATGATGCGCTTGCCGGCTTGTTCTTGCGGGTAGATGGTCGAGTACACAAAGGCAAAACCTGGCGACAGCCCGCCTTCGCAGGCGCACAGAATCATGCGGACAGCGATGGCTTGCCCGTATGTGTGGATAAAGGCCGTTCCAAGCGTGCAGATGCTCCACAGCAGAAAGGCAGTGCCGAGCGCTTTCCTCGCACCAAAGCGTCGGACCACCAGCGTCCACGGAAGCTCACCGGCAAAGCTGCAGAAGCTGGACAGCGTTTGGATGTTGTTAAACTGGTTGCCCACGAGGCCCAAGTCCTCTTTGAAGCCGAAGATCACAGCATTTCCCACCTAGACGATGGTCAGTGACTAAGCAGGCTTCCCTTTCCTCAAGGCTCTGCTTACATTGTTTCGGTCCAACGCGGACAAGACAATGAAGATGAGGGACACCGGGACGAGATACGTGTCGAATTTCCATCGAGCGGATGCTTCTTTTTCAGGATCAACATAGACAACCGGGGTGGCATCGTCGGATCGAATGTCGACAACGGCCTCGGTGTCGACGGTGGCGGTCTTTTTGTCTTCCATTTTCACGTTAACCTAAAGTAGCAGCAGTGTATACTGGCTGCAAGTGCAAAGGAAATTCATTTGTTGTCCGGAAATCGACAACAACGTCGTCCTTTTGTACTTATACATCATGACCCAGAACTCATATTGCGAGTTGCACATATGTACGAAAAAAAGTGAATTGTACGGTTGTATGTTACATAACGGCTCCCATTACTACGGTCCTCATTTTTGAGTGTAAGAGATTGTATAGCCAAGGATCGTCGTCGGGTAAAGCCGAAGATATCGTATCGATAGATAAGTGCATGTCACTATACCCAAGTCAGTTTACTTTCTACTCGTTGCACATCTTTATCGGATAGCGTTGCCCACTTCCATTGGCTAGCTACTGTGCAAATAAGTCGCCTTGATCGGCTTTATCCAAAAAGGTCAAAGATTCGTACTCAACATATCTCATATGAGCGAAGCAAGGGTGCAAGGGTGGCAATATCTCGATATTCCCAAAGACATTTTGCACAAAATACCGCGGCCTCTGTTCAGTTCCGAGGCTGAATCCTTGGCCATGAAGATCCGCGCTGCCCAGATTCAGGTGTTGGATAGCAGCGAGAGCGAAGACGGCGTCCATAAAGTCCACACATGCCCGTCGTCCGCTCAAAAGATTCCCACCTTGTCCTCACAACGACTCGCCGCCCGGCGGCAGCGCCTCCTCTAGATCGTCCAGCAGCTGGTCGTAGACGCCCACCTTGCCGCCCTCGAAGGCGTCTATCGCGTACGACAGGTTCTGCGCGTGTTCGTCCGCCAGGCACGCCGAGAGCGAGCGGTCTACCGGGCCTCGTTCCGGCGCTTCCCGCGCTTCCAGCGCCGCGACCGTCTGCACGTACGCACGGCGCTCGCGCCACCGCTGCTGCTCGTCGGTGTCGTGTGGCTGGCCGTCCACGTCGTAGCCATCAGACGGACCGAATCGTCGCGGCATGGCGTTGAGGAAGCGCGGGAAGCGGACGAGCTCCCACGGCAGGGTGCAGGCGCCCTCCCAGTCGATGATGCCGAGGACGTCAAAGTTGGCGTCGTCAACAACAATGTTGCTGTGCAAGAAGTCGGGGTGGCAGAGTGGAAACGGTCCGCGGTCGCGGTTCCGGTCGTGTCGGCGCGCGAGCCGTGGCGCGATGGCGCGAAACCGGCTGACGAAGGTGTCGACGGCGCGAACAATCTGCTTCGCTTGGGTGTCTGGGGCGCCACGCATCAGGTCGACGATATTGTCGGGCGAACGTGGAAACCGCGCGTTGTCGGCCCATGCCGCAAAAAAGGCCGTTGCGGTATCGAATGGGCCACCGATGCGCAACTTGGCCATGTCGGCAGCCGACCGCCGCAGGGCAACACGGGCCACCCACAACACGCCGTCCTCAAACTGCAACAAACGGGCCATGTTATTGAGGCCGTTGGTGGCGTGGTCTAGTGGCACACAGGGAACGTCGTCGCGCAGGCTCGCGGCCAGCCGGCAGAGCGCGGGCCAGTCTGTCTGCCGCATGGTATTGTCCACGGACGCGGTGTGGTCATACTCTTGCTCTTTCCAGTTAAGAGACACTGACACTGTGCTACTGGTGTTCGACAACGACATGGTGGCAGGAGGAGCGTCTCGTTTTGCTGCTGACTTTGACTTGGGAGGGAGCAAACACACTTTGTGTAAAATCGGGTGCCGCGACCTGTCTGAATAGGCAGCCTCAGAAGTGGGTTACAGTGTAGTTCCCCGCTTCACCTCAGCCTTGCACGCAAAGGCTGAGCATTCGGTGTAAGCGCTCGGCATGTTGTATCTGCGGGATGTTCAGCTGCAGTTGCATCAGACCAAAGAGCTACAGTATTCTCACCAAGTTGGACTGATAATTGGATACGCCCACGCGTTCTTCGAATAAAAGAGAGTAGAGGATGGCGAGGAGTTGCGTATGGGAGGATACGATGGTACTTTGGTGCTGGAGGGCCTTTGCATATTGTGGTTCGTTCAGCTTTGCGTAAATTGGCATGTTCTCATGACGACGTAATCCAACGCAAGTTATGATGTGTACAAGAATGTATAATAAATTAAACAAAACCTGAATCAGTTACGTAAAGACGACCTGGCATTGCATACGTCCGCTCTCCTCCTTTGTCCCGTCTTCTCTCCCCACTCACTTCTCGACCTCGCTGTTTGCGGGCTCGATGACGTACGTCTTGAACTGGCGGGCGGGCACGTTGCGCGCAAACAGAATGTCCAGCTCCTCGTAGGAGCGGCCCTTGGTCTCGGGCACGCGCAGCCACGCCCACACGAGGCACAGCGTGGCCAGGCCGCCGTAGAAGAAGCCGAGCTTGCCCTGCATGTTGGCCTCGCCGGGGTTGATCATGTAGGGAATGGCGACGGTCATGACGATGCCGAGCACGCCCTGGGCCATGGTGGCGACGGCGATGGTCTTGGAGCGGACGCGCGTGGCGGAGCACTCGGAGAGCAGCACGAAGCAGATGGGGCCGACGGTGAGGTCGTAGATGCCGTTCCAGACGATCATGAGCACGGACTCGGCCCAGATGGCGCCGGAGGGCCGGCCGGGGACGCAGTCGAGGATGCCAATGACGAACTGGAGGACGGCGAGGACGGCGAGGCCGCACACATAAATGGTGCGGCGGCCGACGTGGACCATGGCGTACCAGGAGAGCAGGGTGCCGACGAAGCCGACGGCCAGGAAGCCGACGGCCATGTTGAAGGCCTCGGCGTCGGGCAGGCCGGCCTGCTCAAAGAAGTAGGTGCCGTAGTTGATGAGGTAGATGCCGCTGAGGACCTGCGTGCAGTAGACGCCCATGGACACCTCGGTCTGGCGCCAGTTTTCGCGCTTGAAGCAGTCGAGGTACGTGCTGCCGAGCTCGAGCGCGAGCTCGAGGCGGTCCGTGTGCACGATGAACGCGAGGGCCGCGTCGAGGTCGACCTGCGGCGCCGACAGCCGCGCGAGCGACGCGCGCGCGCCGTCCAGGTCGTTGCGGCGGACCAGCCACCACGGGCTCTCCGGCACAAAGGCCAGGCCGGGCAGCAGAATGGCGATCCACACCCACTGGATGGCAAACGGCAGCGAGTACGCCCAGTGCGTCGCCAGCGACGAGGTGCCGTTGGTGACGCCGTTGCCGAGCAGCTGGCCCATGACAAAGCAGAGGTTGACAAACGACGTCATGTGGCCGCGCAGCGCCGTCGGGCACACCTCCGACGCGTAGGCCGGCGCAATGACGACGTACATGCCCAGGACGATGCCGCCCAGCAGCTCGCCGACCAGCAGCACGTTCAGCGACCGCGCAAAGAACTGGATGAAGATGAGGCCGGCCGTCAGGACGACGCACGTCGCAAAGGTCTTTTTGCGGCCGTACCACTCCATCGGGTACGCGGCCCAGATGGCGCCGACGACCTGGCCCACGGGGTTGCCCATGCTGAGGCCGGTTTGCCATGCGGCAGCTAAGAGGTTAGGCTTGGTAAGATCTATGGGAGGCGGGGCCGGTATTCGAGATTGAACGTACATATGACATACTGTTCTGTTAGCTGGTTCACTATGCTCTTCTCAACTCACGTCCACCTCGCCAGCACGTGACTCACCTCGCCATTGCTGAGCTCGCCAAAGTCATTGGTAAACTGTTTCATTGCGTACAGGTTGCCCAGCAGCTGCGGGTCAAAGGCCAGCATGATGACGCCAATCGACACGTACGCCGACCACGCCACGGCCTTGGCGTGCAGCCGCAGCGCCTCGCGGAACGGCAGATGGGCGTCGTGGGGCGCATTGGCATCAAGAACATGGCCGGCGGCCGTGTCCACGGGCGTGTCGATGGGCGTGTCGATGGCCGTGGCCGCGACGGCGGTACCGTCCATCTTTGTGTCAGTCATGGTGCGTTGTCGCCGACTGTGGATGCAGGGAATAGAAGATGGCACCCGAGACGGCAGAAAAGGAAAATGAAGAGATGAGAAGGGAGGGACGGCCAGACAGGCAGGGACAATAAGATCGCCATCCCGCAAGCCTTTATATCAAACGAACAAGGAAGAAGGACGAGCCGCACGCGACCGCAGGACATGCGACCAACCGACTCCAGATTTGGGACGGACTTACTGATTAGACTGGAAGGTAAAGTCGGGGTTGACCCACTTGGCTCCGTTCTGTTGCGGAGGTGTTGTAGATACCGGCAAACAAGACCGGTTTCACCGGATTGCCGAGCAGGGGATTCGGCATGGCCAAAACGTGGAGACTAAGGTCCTTGTCCCTGGAGGCAGTGGGTGTTGCTCAGCTTCGACTCCATCCCCAGATTACCAAGGGCGTAGATACCGTTGCGAGATACGATCTGGTGATGATGGTACTTTGCCGAGGTTGGGCGAACGGTCGACGACCGTTACAACGCAGGTTGATCCGGCACAAGAAAAACAACAGAGACAATGACAGCCATATGTCAGATCCCACGTGCATCTGTTATGAACGTCCGCGATGTTTATTTTGCGTTGGACATTGACATCGTTCACGATTATGTTGACTGTCAAAATGACGATGCAATTGTCTGCTAGACTGGTTATATCACCAGTCAATACACTCCAGCTTTTGCATCTTACGCAGGTACGGTAGTTTTAAGCTCTTTGTTTAGTGGGAAATGAAAGCCCCGCGGAGGACCGTTGTCTCGACATGGTCGCATTGCCGACGACACCGGCAATCTCCGGTGAACATACCGGTAACGTTGTCTTTCCCCGCTTCACACCACCGTCTCTGAAGGCTCGTGATGGATGTGATGGAGTGTGATGCAGATCGCCCAGGATCGTCCAGGATCGTGCATGCAAGGCAAATGCAGTCCGGCAAACCCGCCGGTGACGGCCGGCAGTTGACGCGGGACCCATTTCACTCGTATTCCGTAACGGCAAAATGGCGAAGCGGCCAGGGACGGCTGTAGTTCGCATTGCTGCTTTGGGATACCGACGGTCCGGGAACAGTCGGCGACCCGGACGACAGTCAACATTATTCAAACTGACCCAGACTCGGAATTCACACAAGGACCAGACACAGTTCACACAGAATACCAGATATAATTCAAACACAAAACATAACGATTCTACGTGGACCACAGATAGACCGTTGCCAACAAACGCACCTTTGCCAACATGCGCCTTCTTGTCCGACCTGACCCCGAAGCGGCCTCCCGCTACGTGGCGGACTACATTGTTGGTGAGTCTGTTCACTAGGCCCGCCAAAGTGAGCGCTCACTCACAGCAGACCGCATCAATGCCTTTGCGCCGTCGGCCGAGCGGCCCTTTGTGCTCGGCCTGCCCACCGGCTCCAGCCCGCTGCTCATCTACCGCTTCCTGGTCGCCGCCTACGCCGCCGGCCGCGTCTCCTTCCGCCACGTCGTGACGTTCAACATGGACGAGTACGTGGCCCTGCCGCGCGACCACCCGCAGTCGTACCACAGCTTCATGTTCGCCCACCTGTTCCGCCACATCGACATCCCGGCCGACCACGTGCGCATCCTCGACGGCAACCCGCCCGGCGGCGACTACGCGGGCGAGTGCGCCCGCTACGAGGCGGCCATCCGCGCCGTCGGCGGCATCGAGCTGTTCCTGGGCGGCGTCGGCAGCGACGGCCACCTTGCCTTTAACGAGCCGGGGTCGTCGCTGGCGTCGCGCACGCGCATCAAGTCGCTGGCGCCCGAGACGCGGCGGGCGAATGCGCGCTTCTTTGGCGCGGACGCCGCCGCCGTGCCCCAGATGGCCCTGACGGTCGGCGTGGCCACGGTGCTGGACGCGCGCGAGGTCGTGGTCATCGCCACCGGGGCGCGCAAGGCGCTGGCGGTGCAGCAGGCGGTCGAGGGCGGCGTGAGCCACATGTGCACGCTGAGCAGCCTGCAGCTGCACCCGCGCAGTCTGGTGGTGGTCGACGACGAGGCCACCGTGGAGTGCAAGGTGAAGACGATCAACGTAGGTGGCTGCCCGCATCCGCCAGTAGACGATGCGATACGTTCGACGCTCTGTCCACCGCTAACACACATGCAGTACTTTCGCGGCGTCGAGCAGACGGTGCAGTTGGCGTCACAGCCCGGGCTGCCGCGGGCCGCACAGACGCCGCCGCGACTAGACACAGCGGTGGCCGCCATGGCGGCCGAGAACGGCGAGCTGACCCCAGACAGCATGTCCTCCCGCATCGGCAGCCCCAAGATGTTGGCTGTGCGCTCGGCCACGATTCCGTTTGCGCTCATGCGGCAGTGAACACAACGACCTGTTGTTCGCTGTTCGATTGGGACCATCGAAGCGTGTCTACTGCCGCAAAATGGACCAATCTGGGTAGCCAATGTGCTCCAGACTGGCCTGATCAAAGATGTGCCACGACTGGTAGCCGAGGCCCGACGAAGTGCGGTCGAGAAAGGACGGCTGTGGCGCCTGGAACTGGCTTTGGTTTGGCGGCGGTTGCTGCGCATTGTTGTACTGCTGCTGCGGACCCGGCGCCACCGGAGTGTGGACGCCCTGGAGGCTCGCCTCGAGGCGTGCAATCAGGCGGCTGCACATGGGCGACTTTGGCTCGTAGAATTGCTTGAGCATCGTGAGATGGACCTGGATGTTTTGTAGATCTGTTTTGTTAGACATGGCCGCTTTACTGTTTTCCTTCAATTTGATTGCTTTCACCTTCACTGCAGTATACATACCGTCCACCTCGCCAACGCCCCCTTCCACCCCCTGGAGGACAATCAGCGCCGCCCAGGTAATCATCACCAGGTCCCAGTTGGCCCAGATGCTGTCGTCGTGCTGGTACAGCTTCAGGGTCGCCCGCGCGCTCAGCAGCAGCTCGTGCTGTTCTTGCGGCGTGATGCTGTTGCTCCACAGATCGCACCCGCGTGCCGGGTGGTAGATGCTCAGCACGACCAGCCGGTGCAGCACGTACTGCCGGAACACGAGGCGCCGGTGCTCCGTCACCGCCGATGTGTCGGTTGTGCTTGTCCTTGTGCCGGCGGTCGTGCTTGTGCTTGTGCTTGTGCTTGTGCTTGTGCTGGCGGCGACCAGCGTGGCCAGCTGCGGCGTGCTGCGGCTAAACTCCACCAGCCAGTCGTCGAGCTGGCGCGCCCAGTCGCGGATCACAGCGGCATCAATGGCCGTAAATGGAGGCGTGCTGGCGCCGCCGGTGCTTCGCGTGACGTCCGCATCGCTCGTAAAGACGGACCAGATGGTCGGCAGCCCCCGTCCGGTGAAATGCGTCAGCCCCGTGTGCATCATGCGGCTCAGGCGGTACAGCGGGTCGCGGTAGCCGACGTGGAGTGCCGGCAGCGGGCTTTCAATCGGAATGACGGGGCAGCTGAGGTGCAGAGACGCGTGCTCGAGATCGATAATCTGCACGCCGCTGAACAGCTTGCGCCACTCGCGGCGGCCACCATCTCCGCCGCCGCCGCCACTTGGGCCCTCCCCGTCCGCCAGCGACGATGGGCAGTGCTCGAGGATCAGCCGGTGCGCCACCGAGATCCACAGCCCGACCACGCGGTTGCTCGCCTCCGTCAGCAGGCCCGCCAGGACAATCCCCAGCACGGTCTGGAAGGCCCACTCTTCGTCGGCGTCCGTCGCGCCCGCCAGCCCGCCGTCCGTTGGCGGGTGCGGCCGTCCCATGGCGCTGTCTGGGATGCTGAGCTGCGCAATGGCGTTGCAGAGCACCGCATAGTAGTGCGGCGCGAGATCCGCCGCCGACTCGGCCGGCCCGCGGACGCTCGAGCAGAACAGGATGGACGCCAGCAGCAGCGGCTGCGGCACCGAGAAAATCTGCTTGCGCGGCATGAAGTGCAGCCCGGGCATGCGGTCGTGGAACGCCAGCCACAGCGCGCCGACCGTGCGCTTCTTCCAAAGGCGCCGCGGCGTGGACGTCGGCGCGGTGGTCCGGAGAACGCCCACCGCCTGCCAAAGTGCGCCGAGCGATGCGTAGGAGGGAGGCAGGTCCGACATGTCTTCGTCGTCCACGGCAGAGTTTACGTCGTTGGCCGCTGCATCGTGTCCCTCGGCACCCTCCACCGGGGGGGCTGCGTCCACATGCCCGGCTGTAGCTGCTGCCGACGACGACGGCCCGAGCCCCAGGTACTCCTCGACGGCGCGCAACCGCCGCAGCACGTCGCTCTTGAAGGGGGCATCCAAGGCTCCTGTGGCTGTGGGCGGCGACATGGACGGCATCAACGGCATCAACGACTGCGACGGCAGGACCGCGGCGTTGGCACGCGGCACAAACGTGCACGGCACGGCGGTCCGCTGGCAACGCCGGCACGTGCGCGGGTCGTCGTCGCTGGGCACGCAACGCATCTTTTGGCTACGGCAGTTGACGCAGGCCTTCTTCGCCTTGGGCACGTGGCGGTGCTCGGCGGCGTCTACGGACGGCGCACGATCTCGGCCCGGCCAGGGTGTAGAGAGAGGCCGTTCATCCGGCCCGAACGACACGCGGGGCCGCTTGTTGGACTGGGTCGTGGAGTGTGACGCCATTTGTGTATTGTGCGTGGTGGGCGGCAGTGTTTCCGTGTTTGCGCGGGACACGTCGGCTGGCAGCGGGTGTCTGTGGGTTTCCGAGCGTTTGCCTTGGGTCAATCATGTCTGTACTGTTGGTGTAAGACGGCAAAGTACGGCGGACGACCGGGTGCCGTGCACATATAACCTGCTAGAAGGGGGGTTTTCCGGTGATTGTCGGCGTTTCTCGGTGGGCTGCTCGATTGTGATTTAACCAGTCTGAGAGATACCTTCCTCTTTTGGTAAACGCGGCATAATCGCCGGCATTCCCCGCTCTAACCGGGTAGTTCCGCACTTTGCCGGCCGGTCATCCAAACCAAATTTGTCGTCTTACACCGGTTTACGGGTTGTTCTCCATTTCCAACGAGAAAATAGTTGTTTGGTCCGGGTTATGTACTCTTGTGGACTGCTACCGTGTTTGTGTGGAATGGCTTGCGCACGACATCCAGCTAGCTCGGGCCGTGTTCGATTACGTCGCGCCTTATTCTTTCTTTCGCCTTCATGATTGTGGATTACCCAAAGAGTCCTCTTCATAAAGTGTCAATCCGTCTTCATTTGGCCATGTCTGCGCCTGTTTGTTTTATCTTCGTGTCTTCACTGTGCTGGCCGTATCGGATTGCATGATTGACACTGCAATCGTTCCCGACCATGACCTCCCCTGGTGCATCATCCGACCCGTCTCACAAAGCATCGTGCGTCGACGATATTGTTGCATCGTTTGCCTTTTCGTCCGATGACGTCCGCGTGACAGCAGACTATTTGCTGCAACAGCTGAGTATGTCTATCCAGGGAGCTGCAGTACATGGATGAGCACGGACTAACACGATATTCGCATTCCAGAGTCCGGCCTCCGCGACGACCGCCTTCCCTTCCAGCACCCATCGTTTGTCACCGCCATCCCCGACGGCTCCGAAAAGGGCCGCTTTCTGTCCGTCGACCTCGGCGGCACCAACTGCCGCATAAGTCTGGTGGACCTGCACGGTGACGGCACGTTTTCCGTCGAGCAGCAGAAACACACAGTGCCCCATCATGTGCGCGTCAACGCACGGCATGAACCACTCTTTGACTGGGTGGCCACGCAGATTGGCGAGTTTCTGCGAGCGCGGCAGGCGCTCGGTCCGGATGCCACCCAAAAGGAAGCGCTATCCCTTGGTTTCACATTTTCCTTCACCTGCACACAGACGTCGCTCGCCGCCGGCACGCTGCTGCACTGGGACAAGGGCTGGGACATTCCCAGCGCTCTGGGCCGCGACCCCTGCGCGATGCTGCAAGCGGCGACCGATGCACAGAGGCTGCCGGTGCGCGTGGCCGCCCTCGCCAACGACAGCGTCGGGTCTCTCCTGACGCGCGCGTACACGTCATCCGGTCCAGGCGCCACCACCCTGACCTGCGTCATTGTCGGCACCGGCACCAACGCTGCGTACGTCGAGAAGCGGCAAAATGTACAGCGGACTGTCAACCACGGAGCCGACCACAGGGCCGACCATAGGGCCGCCCAGACGGGCGTCGTGGCCATGAACACCGAATGGGGCTGCATGGATGACGGCATGCGTGTGCTGCCGCGGACGCGCTTCGACGACATGGTCGACGCACAGTCGACGGACGGCGGCCTCCAGATGCTGGAGAAGCGCGTGTCGGGCATGTACTTGGGCGAGCTCCTGCGACTGGCCGCGGTCGAGCTGTACGGCAAGGGTGTCTTCGACTTGCGCGTGCCAGACGCAGACGCCCCCCTGTTCCAGAAAGAGAGCATCGATGCGTCGCTTCTGTCTGGTCTAGCGTCTCTTGAAGGAGACGACGATGCCTGCATGGCCACGGCAATTCAGCTGCTGGCCAGCACGCTGGGCGCCGCCGGTGTCTCGGCTGCCGATGTGTGCATCTTTCAGCGCCTGTCCACCGCGATTGTCACGCGCGCCGCGCGGCTTATTGGTGCCGCCACAGGGGCCATTGTGCTGCAGTCTGGCCTTTTGTCGACTGACGGAGCCATCTTGGAGGAGAAGCGAGGGGAGAAACAAATCATGACAATAGCCGTGCACGGCACGGCCACGACTGTACCAACATCTGCCCCGAAGAGGAGTCTGTCCTCTATCTTTGGTAAAGCACGCCGCATCCTGTTGGCACCGTTTGCTTTGTGCTTCGGCCGCCATCTAAAGGCAGAAACAAAACCGGCCGTGTCTTTGCTGCAGCCACCCTCGCCGTCACCGTCGACATCACCCTCACCGTCGGTCTTGCCGTCGGTCTTGCCGTCGTCCTTGCCCATGATTGACATCGGCATGACCGGCTCCGTCATTGAGTTTCATCCGACTTTCGAGAAAGACATGCGGGTCGCCTTGCGCCAAGTTTCCGGCATCGGTCCGGCTGGAGATGCCCGGATTCGCACCGGGTTCTGCCGTGACGGAAGTGTTGTCGGTGCGGCTCTGATGGTCCATGCGGCCGTCAAACAGGAATCTACGGCGGAAACTTTAGGACAGCGTCCCAGGCCGGTGAAACACAACGCAAGTAATTAGACGGCGTGAAATCATAGAAAAGAAACTACTTTGGAAAAAGACTACGGTTAAAAATGAGACTACTCATTGTGCGCTCCGTGACCGCAAACCGCATCACAACGTTTCTGAAACAGCACCAATCCCACATAAACCCCAAAAACAGCCGCATTTTCCATGTACGGTTATAGATACAAGGGAACACGGGATCTCGTAACATGCCACCAGTTCTACCAAAGTTACGATTCTGACTCTCGCGAGGCCACACGAAGGGATACAAGATCACCAGGGAGGGTGGTATAAGACCTGAAGACCCGCCGATCACACACATGTATCTCGAGAACTCACGGCTACGTGAGCCACAACTGTGTCTAGCAATAACATGGCAAATAGGTCATGAGTCTTGTGTCTACGGAATTCGTCCACTTAGTATAAAAATGTAGGACCCACAGCTCAGTGGGGCACGTGTGTCTCCTTAGATATGTGGTCAGATGACTCGCCTTCCATTCTCGTTGATTGCCATACAAATCATCCCACAAAAAAAGTTTATAGTCACGTGATCACCCCAATGATACATCACGTGTGTGATATTGCCGAATGGGAGTCTTTATGCGACAGCCCAAACATTCCTCCTCAATCGGCGATCATCAACAACCCAAACTCCTTCACAGTTCCTGGGCATGCAACGCTCTGCCACAATGCCGCTGCGACCTGACAAGGCTGTACCGTAATGCTATGGCCGATCAGTCCCCGTCATGGACAACGGCGGCGCAGGCGGCAACGCCTCATCACCGTCACCAGAGCTCGCCGTCGACCTGTCGACGGCGCAGGAGCCTTTGAGCCAGGCGGAGCGCGCTGCGGCTCGCGACACCTTCTATCGCGTCGTGCAGCACTTTGAGACGACCGACCCCTACAACACTGCGTCACGCACCACCCGTCGCACGCTGTACAGCCAGCCACTCCTTGTACGGTACACTTATGAGTTCGCACGGTCGGTCGAGTCACAAGACATCTTCTTGCGGTCGTTTTGCAACGCCCTTGCTCTCGACGTTGCGGCGATCGACGTGACGCTCGACTTTGACGAGCTTGCGCCTCTGTTTTCGGCGTTTGCCGAGTACCTTATGGATAACTTTTTTCTCCCCTGTACGTTGTTGGCGTTCCAGTGCTTTTCTATATAGATACTTTTGGTTCCCTGACCCGATCCGTGTTCTAGTAAAAGCGTCGACGAGGAAGACACCTCAGCCCTCACCCGCCATCCATTCTGCTGTCTTGCGTGCACAAGGCGCTACGGACTCACAGGCCTATGTCGGGACCGAGGAGCGGCTATCGACGCTGAGAGCTGAATGCCTTATCCGAGACCGGTATCGCTGCGTTATTTCTAGAAAATTTAGTGATCCCGAGTTTAATCGACGTCAAGAACTGTATGGCAGCGATGCCCGCGACGATGACGGCATTTTGTTCTCGGACCAGGATACGATCGAGCTTGATGCCATAGAAGTGGCTCACATCTTGCCGCATTCTTTAATGAAAGCGAGCACGGGCTCGCACATGGTGTGTCCCTCCCCTTTTTCGGGTTTCATAAAAAATATGAAGAACGTGTTTGTTTCTTGTTATAAGGTGCGCCGATACTGATTCTGTTAGGATGCATCTCGCCATGCTGCATTGTCAATCTTAAACATGTTTGACCGGGGCGTCGTCCACCTAATCGACGGCGTCGACATTGACCGGCCGCGAAACGCACTCACACTCGCGCCTCTTATGCACGGTCACTTTGGCGCGTTCCGGATTTATTTTGAGGAAGTTCATGGCCAGTACAACACGTACCGGATTGGGTCGTTTCTGTCAGCGCTACACAACCGTGCCATCAACCTGCCTGTCACGCGCACGCTGTATGTGACGGAAGACAGGACGATCGACCCACCTTCACCACGCCTTCTCGCCGTCCACCGCGCCATTGCGCACATCTTGCACCTATCTGGAGCCGGCGAATATATTGACTGGATCCTACGGGACATGGAGGAGCACGCTGTGCGAGCCGACGGGAGCTCGGCGCTGGGTCGGCTGGTGAGCCTGGGACTCGGCGGGTGGATGGACGGCGCTGTTTATTTGTGAGGAGGGAAGCGGGTCGTGCAAGGCAGCCGCGACACCGCGGCCAAACTCGCTGCTTTCCCGCACGGGGACGTGCAAGATATTGGTATTCCGATTAATAACTGGAACACCATTGACTGTCTTGTTACGACTCTAGTTCCACGAGGCCTAAAGAAAAGGCGCGGGGTTGTTGGAGACGGTAGAATAAAGGACAGGGACAGTCACCGATTAGCGAGAAGAAAGGACCAAGTAAGACGTATTGCATGGACCGTATTTTACATGGGGTATGAAATAAAGAAAGTATGAAATAAGAACGGGCAATAGACATCGCGCCAAGGGGGACAATGGCCGTGCAGGTTTTCAACTTGTCGAAAGCCAAGATACTCCGCAGTGCGCCACAAAATGTCAAGAACGCCTCACAAGGCTTCGTTCAGAGTGAACCATTCTCATCGGTCGGCGATGCCCCCCAAGACATGGAAAGTTTGGAGCTTGGCTCTTATTTGATGCACCGGACCCTCAGGACCCACTTGCAAGAATACGAAATACGAAATGCGAGCCGAGAAAATGGGGGCACTGCAGGCTAGCGGCGCAGGGCGTCAATGTCTCGTTTTTCGGGTTCAGTCCACAGACACAGCCTGCCGGCGGTCTTGTGTTTGATGGAAACTAACAGAACTGGTTTGGGTTTAGTCTCGTTGTGTTATGTATTGCCCGTCGTTGATGCCCGTTGATGGAGTCGAATGTGTTGAAAAGGCGACGATGATGAAAAGTCTCGAATTCGAGCACAGCCTTCTTTTCTTTTCGTTATTCGTTATGCCGATCTTATGTTGTTGTCTCGTCCTTCTGCCCGCATAGCACTTGGCGTCTTCGTTCAACACATGCACGACTTGGGAACGAGGAGTACATAAGTCGACAAACTCCCTGACTTGACAGAGAGAAAGAAAAGAAGCATCAGTCAACCATCTCATTGTACTGGCAAACATCTTCTGCTCAATATCGAAACAACTCCATTCCATCGTTCCCAAGTGTCGTCCATTTTCTATGCTTTTGGCAGTACTCCCAAAGAACCGCTACAGCATATCCTCCGCCATGCCTTCGTCCATCACCAAGGAGGAGTTTGACTCCGCGCGCACGTCGACCTCGTCTGGTCCCGTCAGAGACAACGCCACAGCCGAAGCCGCCATCCCCGCCCCGGACCCAGCTCCCGCCCAGCGTCGCTCAGATCCCTGCTACTACGACGCCGCCGCCCGCGAGATCAACGGCGTCCCGACCGTCCCCTATTACATTGTCGCCCGCGTCATCAATGTCATCGTGCCCCTTGTCCTGCTCGCCCTCTCCCTCGTCGCCGAGATCCACTATGACCGCGGCAAGTGGCTCAACCCGATGCTGACGCCCGGCTTTACCGTCTGGGGCGTCTCCCTGTTCGACCTGTACCTCATCGTCTTCCGCGGTCGGCGCCACCACCCGCACCTGCGCATCATGTACGACGGCATCGTGCTGGGCGCGGGTACCGCCGTGGCCAGCGGGTTCTTGACGGCCTGGGCCATCAACGAGTCGCCCCAGCTGACCTACGGCTTGTCGGTGCCGATCCTCGTCGGCATGTACACGCTGATGCTGATGGAGTTTGGCATTGGCATTGAGGGTATGGTGCAGCTCATCAAGATGCGCCGCGGAACGTGGCACTATGTGTAACGGAGGGGAGCGATGGAGGTCGAGACGGAGGCGGATGCTTGAGAGGTGTGGTGGAGAGGGAGGTGATAATATTTGTTTTGTTGTCGTGGCGGGGATGGTGACGAAGTATTTGCTCGGTGTCGGTTATTGATTTGCATATTTATGATTCACGGCCGCGGATGTTGTAGACGTTGATGGGGGTTGTCCTGTTTTGTTTGTCTTGTTTGTCTTGTTTTGTTTCCTTCGGTTACTGTACGTATATGTTTCATTAGATTACCTTGCTTTTAGGATACGTTTCTCGTTTACTTTTAACGCTACTTAGACTGTTTACTGTATCGCGAATTAGAATTGTTTATTTGTATTTGTATTTGTATTTGTACCCGTACTTGTACTTGTATTTGTGTTTATTTTATTTATTTTGTCACTTTTCCTCATTTTAAAATAATTTACGACCTGCACGCCGCGCAGAAATGCAAAGAGTCGTCAATGAACCCTCCTTACGACGCGCCGTGTTTTCCTTTCACACCGACCGTGAGCCTCTTGGTTCTCATTCTTTTCAAGTCTGCCAACACAGTTTCTTTGTTCAAAATCGTTTATGCCCCTTTCAACCCGAATGCCCCCTTCAACCCGAATTGGACCTGTCCCGATTCAATCGTATGGCTGTCGTGAATGAAAACAGATCGAATGCCGTTTCCGGACCGCCTTGTTGGTTTGCGCCTTTGTTCGCATCAACAGACCACCGACCCCAATGCGGTCGCTTCAGAGAACGTCAAATGCGACAGGCGAAGGGAGAGGAGAGACAAAAAAATGCCAGGAGATATTTTAATGCCCACGTATTCACCCGAGCCTTGTGTTTGCATCTCATCTGTTTGTGATTTACATAAATTTTCATTCACTCATCTACGTCGATTTGTCTTCATTCACGTCGCAGCTCAATCCCGCTGCGCATTCACTTACGCTCACAGTCCAAAATAAACGTACGTGTCGCTTGCATCTTGAAATTGCAAGTCATGGCCGACGGCGACGGAAACAATGCTGCGGCAAACAATGCTGCGCCAAATCCAGGAGGACATCCAGGAGCACCTCCAGGAGCACCTCCAGGAGCACCTCCACCAGTCAACCCACCAGTCAACCCGCCTGTGAACCCGCCTGTGAACCCAGTCAACCCTCCTCCAAATGCCCAACTCAACCCTCAAGTCTATCCAGCAACAACAGCAGGCAATCAATCTCAATCGTCTGGTCAACCTGTCATCCAGCCTGTCATCCAGCCTGTCATCCAGCCTGCCACCCAGCCTGCCGTTCAGCCCGCCGTACAGCCAGTTTCCCAGACCGTTGTCCAGGCTTTTGCCCAAGCGATTGCCCAGGCTTTTGCCCAGGCTGTTGCCCAGCCTGCCATTCAACCTGGTGGGCAACAGTCTGGTCAACAACCAGCCCAGCAGACTGCTTCCCCACCTCAAGCTACCGGTGCTCCTGCATCGGGGCAAAGTCATGCCGTGGCAACAGGCGCACAGCCGGCACCGAGTTCCGCAGCAGGCGCCACCGCAAACACAGCAGCCACCCCCACCACGGCTCCAGCGATCAACAAGAACATCGCCCACCTCCATAAGCCAAAGAACAGCTCGCCTCTTGCACAACAAGTCGTTGCGAACAATGCGAGTAACGTTGCGGCAGCGGCAGCGGCAGCGGCAGCCGGGGCGGGAGCCGGGGCGGGAGCCACACCAACGCAAACAGCGACACCCGGAAGCGCTTCCGCCAGTGCTCCGGGACAAACTCCCAGTGCTGTATCAGGCCATGCTCCTGCATCTGGTTCCGCCCAAGCTGCTGCCAACACACACAATCCCGCTCCCGCACCGGCTGTGGCTGCGGCAGCGGCTCCGGCTGCGGCTCCGGCTGCAGTTGCGGCGCCTGCCTCCGCTTCTGCCCATGTACAGCATCTCGACGATGCTGCCAATGAGAGAAGGCGCAGAGAAATTCAGTCTCGGAGGCTATTTCTTGCAGAAATGAGGAAGGACAAGCAGTGGAAGGAGTTTGAGCGCAGCGCCATCCAGGATATGGACGACCTCTGGGACGAGACGCTCAAAGTCGCCCAGTCCAAGAAAGCCGGCCTTGAGGACGGCGAGATCGATGAACTTCTGCAAATGCGCCAAGCATATGCCCAGCAGCGCGAGGCGGACATTCACGCCGCCAAATGGCGGGCCCACCGGTACTTTCTGGCCGAGGGCATCGACCAGCCCGAGTACCAGCAGGGCCACGAGCCGCAGGGGGTCGACCCCAACGCCACCAGCCGCGGCGACAACTACCACACGATCGAGCTGCCGTCGGCGGGCCCTGCATTCGATCCGCCGCGGAAGCCCCGTCCCGAGTTTCTGGCGGAGCTGCGTCAGGACATGCTCACGCCGATGCGGCGGCCGACGATGGCGCCGCGGGGGCTGCGCAACCCGAGCAACCTCTGCTACCGCAACGCCGTGGTGACGGCCCTGCTCAACACGCCGCGGTTCCTGTCGTTTCTGTACGTGCACGGCCGCAACATCCGGACGTACATGCAGTGTCCCGACGTCAACCACCACCTGCTGACGCGGCTGTACCACCTGGCCGTCGCCTACTGGGAGCGCGATGGCGTGCATCCCATGTCGGACGCCATGGCCGCCGACAACGGGCCCGACCTGAACCCGGGCCCGAGCGCGAGGTCGCGCTTGTACCCGCCCATGGCCGGCGACAAGCGGCGCCGCGACGGCAGCGCAGCGAGCGGCAGCGAATCGTACGAGAAGATGCTGGCGCTGTTCTGGCGCGCGTGCAAGTACGACCTCACAGGCACGCCCTGGGTGAGCACGCTCAACGTGGCCGACGGCGAGCGGCGTCGGCCGGACGGGACGGGGACGCCGGGCCAGCACGACGACAACTTTGTCACGCTGAGCTGGCGCGACCTGTGCCAGCAGCAGGCGGACCAGTTCGCCGTCAGCTTCTTGAACATGCCCAGCGTGGGCGCCGTCGACCTGACCAGCCAGCAGCAGGACGCCGCCGAGTTCCTGGAGTGGCTCGTCGAGATGGCCGCCACGCAGCTGTACAGCGCACCGCGGAGGTACAGCGCCAGCCGCGCCAGCGAGTACTACGACTGCATGTTCCGCACCTACATTACCGACCGGTTCCTCTGCACCATGTGCAAGCGCCCCGTGCGTCTGCGCGGCGAGCGCATCGAGCGGGCGCCCAGCATCGTCCTTACTGTGGCCGAGGCGGGGCGTTCGGGTGCGGCGGCTGCGGCGGCTGCACCGGGCATCGGCGGCGGGCCGAGGCGCCTCGAAGGCCGTGACGGCCTGATGAAACTGCTCCACAAGTTTTTCAACGAGAACGTCGAGGGCCAGACGTGCAACCGCTGCGGCCAGACGCCACGCACCCTGCGGAGGATGCGCCGCATGCAGACCGCGCCCGAGGTGCTCAACATCCACCTGGCGCGGACGGGGTACGACCGCACGCAGCAGCGGACGTTCAAGACCAGCGACATTGTCGACGCGCCCGAGTTTCTGGACGTCTCGCGCTACCTCGAGACACACATCTTTGCCCCGGGCACGCGCATCCTCTACCGCCTCGCCGCTGTCGTTAGTCATGCCGGCGACAGCGCCCAGTCGGGCCACTATGTCAGCTACGTGCGCGACGACCGCCTCGCCGCCTTGACGTCCACAGCCAGTCGACCGGCCGGCACGCCCGTGTATAACGCAGACGAGGTCGAGCGTCTCGTGAGCGAGTCGGCCGAGCGCAAGAAGATCGTCGCCAACGCAAGCCATCAGCTGTCCGAGACCATCCGCGTCGAAAACATGGGCCGCCGGGACGTGCTACTAACACCCGCCGAGGCCGCCCGCCGCCGCGAGCAAAACAGCATGCGCTACATGGCCATTGAGAGCACCGACAGCGGCTGGGCGCGCATCAACGACGACCGGCTCGTGCCCGGCATCCCGTTCACGCGCATCGTCAATACCTCGCGCGACCCCGCGTACCACCCCAACAACGGCAGCGGTGACTGGTTCGACCCCGTGCTGCTTGTCTACGAGAAGTGGGTCGAAACGTTTGTCGTCGACAAGCCGACCGGCGAACGCACATACCAGCTGCCGCTGAATGTGCCCGGCCAGCATGCCCTGTTCATGGGCCGCACCCGCGGCAACGACCCCGACCCGCATCCCCGGCCGGTGAATCGGGAGGTCGACGAGCGGCTGTGGCGACAAAATGCGAGCAAAGATGTGCGCATTCCCGACCACGGTCCGCCGCGCCGCGTCGCGCGGCTTCCCAGAGGCATCTTCAGGGATGAAGACGGCGGCGATATCCTGTACGTAGACCGGGACGCAGACACCAGCGGCAACGACGGCAGAGGCGATTCTGCGAGTCGGCCAATCACCATTAATGATGGAGATTCTCACGGCAATGGGCAAGCGGCGGCGGCACCTTCGGCATCAGGAGCAGGGCAAACGGGCACGGGTGGCTCTACGTCATCGGCCGCGGCGGCTGCGACAGGCGACGGTTCGACATCTTCGGCAACACCTACGGGTGGTGGTGGAAACGGAGTTGCATCTGTGGCAGCGCCTGTGCCTGGTAACGGTTCTGGGTCCACTGCAGCAGCACTCCCAGCACCCGCAGGAGCAACGGGAGCAACGGGAGCACCAGGAGCACCGGGAGCACCAGTAGCACCAGTAGCAACAGGAGCAACAGGAGCAACAGTAGCACCAGGAGCACCGGGAGCACCAGTAGCACCAGTAGCAACAGGATCAACAGGAGCAACAGGAGCAACAGGACACCAGGAGCAACAGGAGCACCAGGAGCACCGGGAGCACCAGTAGCACCAGTAGCACCAGTAGCAACAGGAGCAGCAGGAGCAACAGGAGCAACAGTAGCACCAGGAGCACCGGGAGCACCAGTAGCACCAGTAGCAACAGGAGCAACAGGAGCACCAGGAGCATCAGGGGCACCAGGAGCACCAGGAGCACCAGGAGCAGCACCAGTAGCACCTGCCGCTGGCAATGGCGGTGGTGGTGGTGACGGCGGAGGTGGTGGTGACGGCGGTGGAATCGTTCCACTGGCCGGAGGCTCAGTTCGGGTCTTTTCCTCGCCGGGACGCAAGGCGGCACGTGGTCCGCCGCCGGCAAAGAGGCGCCGCTTGGGTGATATGTTTTGGGGTTTTTTTGGTCAGTAAAGGTTCGTCAAGCTGTGCATGTTATTTCGTCTTTCATTCGTTAGTCGTGGAGCAATGTATATTCAAGCAATCATACGTATGCTGTGTGGTCTATTGATTTCTGTTCGTGTCTATGCCGCGTTGGAACGCCTCGACCATACAGTACGGCCCGTTATTTTGTTCTGCTTCGATGCATAAATGAATCCTGTCCAGTGACATGGCCTCCTTTCGAGTTCAACTTGGCCGCTGACGAACTCGACATCGCCCTATAGCGAATCTGGGTAGCGTTTGGGAGGGTTGAGGCAGCTTTTGCCAGCCCCACAAGGCGCCCACGTTGTTTCTTTCCTTGCATCATTTTGGGGTCGTCGGTGTGATGTTTCGCCGTGGTATCGCGAGGTTCCTTCGGACACTGCCTAACATCCATCCATTCTCAGCAAGCGCATGCCGCCAATGCGGTAGCCAATCACAGCCTAGACAGCAAAGCGTGGCCTGCGAGAACAACACGGAAACAAACAATTGTCGACTGGCGGCCAGGTGAGCACACGTCGGCAACAGCACGGCCGTCTTGATGTCTCTCGTCAGCGTGTTTCTCGTCTCGGGCTGGTTCACCGTAGCAGAGCTGCGTCTCTCGGTTTTGAGACGCTCGTTTCCTCTTTTAGAAAGCGAGCGTGAGGTGATGGCCAGGAAAACATGCTGGCCGGAGCAGGCTGTCAGGAAATGTCTGTTATTGTCAGACAAATCCTTGTGACATGTCTGCGTGCCCTCTGGGGCTGGCGAACTCGAGAGAAAATTATTGGCTGTGGTGAACGGGCCCTTGCAGACTGTGAAGCACATTTAGCATGGAGGACGCTGGCGACCCAATTGCAGCGGGGGTTTGCAAATAGCCTGGTCAATTCCTACTGTGGAAGACAGCTTTAAAGGAGTTGTGCAGTCCGCCAATGGGAACTGTATTGCTCCGTCAGCAAGAAATCGAGTGTACACTGCCCCATACAATTGATGGCGGGCTGCCAAATACGGCGTGTCAGCTCGTTCGCCCGACTGGCTTGGATTCTTGGTTTTCGCGGTGATATTGGCTCTTGTGCGACGAGGCCATGTCGCGTGTGCAACCCACCGACTGTACTTGGACGTGTCTGTGATACTGTGACGTGTTGTTTACAGTTTGTTGCCGGGTGGTCGTTTGTCGGCTGTCATCCGATGTCTTGGTTTTCGTCTGGCCCCTGTTCTGAATGACGCTGGCGCCGGGGGGCGGACGAAAGCGAAATGTCAAAGTCCCTGTTATTCGTGTCGACACTGATTTGAGCTTTGGGGAGGTGGTAAAGTGCGAAAACGTAAAACGCCACAGGAAATATCACGAGATGTTGAAAACAGGGAAAAGGGGAGAGCGGGACGCCCTTAGGAAGGCATTGGCCCAAAAAGGAAAGTCAGAAACCAAGGGAAGCTACGACGCCGCACGCTGGCATTATGCATACGAATGCACTTTCCGTGACCCGACCTGGCTTGAGAGCTGTTTCCATTTTTATTCAATTGCCTTTTCCATTCCCCAAAACGGTTCCACAAGGCGGCTTGAACTGGGCGTCAATTTTTCCGTCGGCTGCTGACGGTCGTTCGCACCTGCCATTCAATTTAGATTGCTGGCAGCCATGGAGAAAGGGTATCGGCAGGGCAGGAGAGACACAATGCTCCTTCCCTTTTTGACAGGCGGGCCAGGGAAATGGCAACGGAAAGACAGCACTTTATATGTACACGGGGAAGGGGCGATGCCCGTCACAGACGAATCTTGGAAGTCACGTTTGCGAACGCGCGACGTCAACTCGACTCACAAATCGAGAGACAACAAAACCTTGCCTTCTTCTTCTCAGCACACTTACCCCAATGAACGAAACGACGGCAGATAACAGGTAACACTGCTTCCATGCCGCGGCATCGAAACTTTCCTGAACACCCATAGACACGCGTACACGATCGGAACACAACTTTGAAATGAGCTTCAGCCCTGCGGGTTGCTTGCGTACGACGTACTACACCCATCAGCCCGGGGAAGCGCCCACGGCAGCAGCAAACGGCCAAAGCAGAGCTGAGAACGTGACAAGCAGCCAAGGCAGGGCATATGTGCGCGGGCAAGGGAGCTCTCGAAGCAGCCAAAGGGACAGCACCTCGATATCCCAATTCCGCATGCATGCAGGAACCCAACAATACGGCGCCCGACGCTGCGTCCAGCCGTGACCGACGGACAAATAGGAAATAAAAGTAACTCGGAACGGTGTGCTGTGCTGCCGACTTGTCCGGTTCGACAACACCAAATAATTCGATCATTAGGCCACATTGCAAACAAAGACTACCAATTCTCAGTGGTTGGCAAGCATCAAAAACGTGCACGTCTGTCTGTACGCAAGAGGCTTGTGGCCGGGGTCAAATGTTACAGTGCGGTGTGAGCACTAAACCTACGACGTATTAATCACCTCTCTGCCTTCAACATTTCTCCACCAAGAAAGGACAAGGACAGGGAAGGCGGAGTAGCACGAACAACAAAAGAACCCGAAATTGGTCGGGAACGACCCATCACATCGTTCTCGTTCTTTTGTCTGTCGACTGCAGTATTGACTTGCTAGTGCCAGCACTGTTTGGTTTTTTTTTGGTTTTTTTTAAAAAAAAAATCCTCCGTGGGCTCAGCTGAACGGAAGTCGGCATACGACTGAACAGCAGCACATACGACAACAAGGACAACAGGCACCGCTGTCCTAAATCGAGAAACGAAAATCGCAGCCTGCCTTCCGGGACCTAACACAAGAACAGCAGTTGTCTTCAACCTCTTTTGCTTTTACATTCCTCTCCCGTCCTGTTCACCCTGTCTTCGGCCGCCTTCCACAGCTCTTGCCAGGAACAGCATTGTGCGGGTTAAACAGCGGAGTCCATACTCTTGGGATTGCGAGGCGTTGGTGGCTTTGTTGAAGCCGTCCTCTCAAGCCTGCGCCCACTACATCTTCTGCGTCCAAACTCGTTGATACGGCATAGTGGCGGCTCTTTTTTTAACTTTTTTTATTTTTTTCCTCCATTTCCACTTCTTCCCATATACGACACTACTTTTTCTCAAAATATTGCAAACGACATGGCTTCCATGTGGTCATGGTGCCCGGCATAGCCTTCCCGAGAAAAGCCAAGAAAAGAGAAGGTAACGAGCTCGTTTTAACACGCGGAATATTGCTCGATCATTCCCAGGAAAAGGCATTATTGACGTTGATCTCTCATTTTCGTGGGAGTAAGATAGATTCACTCGCATCCTCAATGCTCTTGTTCTCGTCCTTTCCACTCACATTGACTTTTGTTTTTCTTTTATTTACCACTTGTCCCCGCCATCCCTTCCCATGCATCAAAACCCAACTGCCATCGTGATATCATACTTATGCCGGCCACGCCATAACGAATACTTTGCATAGTTTTGCCTTCGGTATTTTTCAGCAAGTGTCAATGGCCGTATGTGTCTTTTTTTCTTTTAGTTTCTAGCACTTGCCTTGACTGAGAGGACAGAAACAATGAAAGTCGTGGCCATCCTCGCAGCCTCACTGTCAATCCTGGTCCCGCTCACCAGCGGACTGGGATTAACAGACACTATCACATGGGGTGGTGACAACTCACGAACGGGCTATCAAACAAGTCATAACATGGACCCGGCCATTGTCGGCAGCAATGACTTTGCCCAGATCTTCAAGACGGCCCTCCCAGGACAATACAATGGCGCATCAGAGCAAATCTTCTCACAGCCCCTTGTTTACACACCATCTGGCAACAACAGCCAGTATGTGTACTTTGCGACTACGCAAAACAATGTCTACAAGCTGGATGCAAAGACGGGAAAGATCCTCCTGTCCCGCAACTTGGCCATTCCGTTTCTGACAGCCGATCTGGATGGCTGTGTCGACATCAACCCCCTCATTGGCATCACGTCCACGGGAGTCATCGACCCGGATACCGACACGGTGTACTACATGGCGAAGACGTATGCCGACCAAAACGGAGGGACCGTCGCCCAGGGAAAGCCCAACGGCCGCTACTACCTGCATGCTCTCAACGTCAACGACTTGACAGAGCGTCCCAACTTCCCGGTGGACCTCGAGGGCATTGTCGCGCGCAACAACCCGATTCGCAGCTTCAACGGCGGCATCCACCACCAGCGGCCTGCCCTGCTCCACTCAGGTCAGTACATTTACGCCGGTTTCGCGTCTCACTGCGTGCAGTACAACTTTACGGGCTGGCTCATGGGCTTCGATAAGACGACCGGCACCGTTGTTGAGCGGTACGCGACGGAGGGCGATGGCGTGCCCAACACCACACCCGGCGGCGGTATCTGGATGTCTGGTGGTGGCCTTGCCTCAGACGACCAGGGCTCGCTCTTCTTTGGCACGGGCAACGGTTTCGCCTCGCAGCTCAGCACGATTCCCGTGGCGGGCCGCAATCCGCCCACCTCGCTCGAGGAGGCCGCTGTGCACATGACACTCAACGACGACGGATCCGTGACTCTTGTCGACTTTTTTATGCCGCAGGAAAAACAAGCCTTGGACGGCGCCGACAAGGACCTGGGCACCTCGCCTCTGGAGCTCCTGCCAAGCGAGTTCTCCTGTGGCGCGATCACGCACATTGGTGTCATCACGGGCAAGAGCGGCAAGACCTACTTCCTCAACCTCGACGACCTGGGCGGCTACCGCACGGGCACCAACAACGGCGACCGCGTCATCCAGGTGTACCAGAACGAGAACTCGGTCTATGCCGGCGCCGGGGTGTACCCGCTGGGCGGCGGCGGCGGTTACATTTACATCAACGTGATCAAGTACCCCACACACGTCTTTCAGTTCTCGTGCGTCAACGGCGTGCCGTCGTTCATCAAGGTGGCTGACAGCCCCGAGTCCAACGCTTACACTCTCGGTGTCAGCCACGGAACAGTGACGTCGCTCAACGGTGAAGAGGGCACGGGTCTGCTGTGGACGACTGATGTCCAGGGGAACAACCTGCGCATTTACAGCGCCATTCCCCAGAATGGCTACCTGACGGAGATACGCAACTTCTCGGTGCCTGGCACCACCAAGTTCACGCGCGCCGTCTTCGGCGATGGCCGCATGTACATGGGCACAACGCAGGGCTATGTCTATGGATTTGGCGCGCCCACGACGCCGCCGCTGAACTGCACGACGCCAGTCAACTTTGGCACGCTGGACATTGCCCACGCGGCCGCCACTGCCCAGGTCACTTGCACGGCCGTCATTGCCACGACCGTAAAGTCGCTGACGCTTGACGGCCCCGACTTTACCATCACGTCGACCACCACATTCCCCGCCACCTTGGCCAAGGGAAGCACATTCACCTTTACGGCCTCGTTCAAGCCGACCACAGTGGGCCTGTTGACCGGCACCGTGTCGATTGCTACCAAAAACGGCGTCACTGGCTACGCGTCAACTACGTCTGTTCTGCTCCAGGGGACTGGCCTCAGTACAGGCGCGCTGTTCTCGGTTTCGCCGCCACTCTTGACATTCACCAACGTCGTCATCGGTGCCACGCCTAGCGGCGCCCAGGAGCCAGTCATTTTCAGAAATCTTGGCAACTCGACCCTCAGCATCACGGACATTCTCTTCTCCGAAACGAACGCCACGGGTCCTTGGGTGACGGGTTCTGCTACAGAAAACGGCACGCAGATTGGTGACTTTACCTTCTCTGCTCTCCCTTCGACGATTGCAGCGAACGGCGGCCAGAATATTGAGGTCACGTTTGATCCCACTGCCGGCGGCAATTTTACACTGTTCGTGCAAGTTGTGACCACCGGCGGCAACCAGACATTCGAGATCGACGCCAACGCCGGCCCTGGTGCCACCTGTCTGCTCGAATTCCAGACAGCCGACGGCCTTGGCTGGGTCACGTACGAGAAGAATGTGAACTTCACCTTTGGCAACGTCACGGAGAACACGTCGCGGTCGCTGCTCTTGCGCGTCACGAACAACGGCACCGCCGACGCCGTGCCCTTGTCCCTCACCGTGTCCAAGCCACCCTTTGGCGTGGCCGGCATCATTGGCGCCGCCAACCAGATCGACCTCGCCGAGGGCACCATCTTGAAGGCCGGCGAAAGCGCCACGGCCAGCCTCTACTGCGCCGTACCCAAGGAGCAATGGAACACGGCTACGTACTACGGCGCCGCCAACTGGACCATGAACACCAACGACCCCACCTGGGACAAACAGTACATCCAGTTCGCGTGCGAGGCCGTTGCCGAGCAAGCCCCGCCTCTGCAAGCCGACGGCCAGGGTGTCTATCGCTATGTCGGCTGCTTCAAGGAGAACAACCCGGGTCGCCAGCTGCAGAAACAGCTCTACAGCAGCACGAACAACACAGCAGCCATGTGCATTGTCGCCTGCGCCGCCGGCAGCTACACGTACTGCGGTACCCAGTACAGCAGCGAGTGTTGGGCCGGCAACACCATCCCCGTCCTTCAGGTGTCTGAGAACGACTGCAACTACCCGTGCTCGGGCAGCCTGGACCAGATCTGCGGCGGCAATGGCGTGGGTACGGACGCCGGTGGTGCCTACATTTCCTTGTTCGCCGTCGGCGGGGCCAGCAACTCGAGCGATCCGACACCGCCTCCCGGTGGACCTGTTGTCAACCCGGGCGACCACGGCTATGTGAGCGTCGGCTGCTACCACGAGCCATCCGCGGGCCGCGCGCTCACCAACCAGTTGTCTGTCTCGAACCAGACCGTCGACACGTGCCTTGCAGCTGCGGCTGTCGGCGGCTACACGTACGCCGGTCTCGAGTACGGCGGCGAGTGCTGGGTCGGCAACGCGCTGAACACTGGCGCTGCAGAGGTCAACCTGACGACATGCTCCATGACGTGCAACAACAACGGCTCCGAGTACTGCGGCGGCTCGCTCCTGCTCAACATCTATACGCTCAACAGCACGGCCGTGCTGCCGTCGTCGTCGTCGTCGTCGTCGTCGTCTACGACTGGTACCGGTAGTACAAGCTCCACGATGCCGTCATCCACACCTACGGGAGGGCCCGTTGTCAACCCGGGTGTCGACGGTTACCAATACATTGGCTGCTGGCACGAGCCATCGACCGGCCGTGCCTTTAGCAATCAACTGACCGTCTCGAAGGAAACCGTCGACACATGTCTTGCTCTGGCCGCCAACGGTGGCTACATCTTTGCCGGTCTCGAGTATGGAGGCGAGGTACGTTTTTATGTTCTGCCAACTTGATTCTCTTACGATATGCTGACACATATTAGTGCTGGGTTGGCAACGCAGTCAATCCTGCTGCGTTGCAAGTCGCTGGTACTGCCTGCACAATGACTTGCAATGGTAAGTTGATTCTAGTCCGCCCCCTCATTCTTCAGATTCTGACCAGACACCTCCTCCAGACAACAAGACGGAACTGTGTGGTGGAAGCCTCCTCCTCAACGTCTACCAGCGCAACACTTCGACGGCCGTGACGTCGGCCACGTCGTCGTCCCTGGGCGCCATCATCACGTCGTCACTCTCGACCGCTGTTTCTCCGGCCTCAGTCTTGACATCGAGCACCTCCACGGCCGACCACGCCGCCAAACCTACCGTCGGCGACTGGGTCTACCAGGGCTGCTACACCGAAGGCTCTGCCGGCCGTGCTCTCGCGGCCTTGTCGCAAACGAACAACGACATGTCCTACGAGGAGTGCGCCAGCTACTGTGTCGACTACGCCTACTTTGGCGTCGAGTACGGCGACCAGTGCTACTGCGGCAATTTTTTGGCCACCGGCAGCGTCCCGACCGCGGAGACGGACTGCTCCACGTATTGTGCGGGAGACGCCGCAGAGCTCTGCGGTGCCGGCAACCGCCTGAATGTGTACCTGCAGACCGGTGCGCGCACGGGACCGCCCGCGCCCAAGCCCCGTCTGGCCGCCACCGACTTTGTGTATCAGGGCTGCTACACCGAGGTCACCGCGGGCCGCGCGCTGGGGTCGGCGTCCGTCTCGGCAGCCAACATGACCTACGAGGCCTGCGCGGCCTACTGTCTGTCGGGCACCGCTACCCGCTACACCGTGTTTGGCGTCGAGTACGGCACGCAGTGCTACTGCGGCGACGCGCTGGCCGCCGGCAGCGTGCAAACAAACGAGAGCGCGTGCACCATGGCCTGCGGCGGCGATGCCTTTGAGCTCTGCGGCGGCCCGGGCCTGTTGAATGTGTACAGCTACTCACCGGCGGCGGTCTCCTCCTCCTCCTCCTCCTCCTCCTCGTCGTCGTCGTCGTCTTCGTCGTCAAGCAGTACGCCAGGCTCATCATCGTCACCCAGCTCCTCCTCGGTGGTGGCCCCGACCGCACCGCCAGCGTCCGTGTCGCCCACTTTGACGTCGTCTGCTGCGGCGTCATCGACTTTGGTGTCCACTACTTCGACATCGTTTTTCTCTCTTGAGAGCCAGTTTTCCTCGTCTTCAGCAGGCTCCCAATCCGTCCCTTCAAACACTGTGCCTTCTTCGTCGACTTCGTCGTCTGCCTCAACTTCGTCTGTGGCCAAGCCATTTGCCAGTCTCTTCTCCTCGGTTGCCGTCTCGACATCTTCAAGCCTCCGTGATGGAGCAACCCCGCCATCCTCGGCCCTTTCTTTGTCTTCGTCTTCGTCTTCAGCAATTTCGACGCCGGTTATCGCAACTGGTAATGTCAATTTTACGGTCCTCCACTGCTACCTGGAACCGTCGTCGGGCCACCTGCTGTCAGACCTTGTCGTGCAGAACCGGACAACCATGTCGGTCGAGTTGTGTTTGGGTACATGCTGGGACCACCAGTACGCAGGCCTCGAGAACGGCGATCAGTGCTGGTGTGGCGACACGTTCAACCCAAGGAACAGCAGCGCCGTGAACGAGACTCTGTGCAATGTTGCGTGCCCAGGTAATACCACGGAGTACTGTGGCGCAGAGAAGACGATGTTGGTGTACAATCTGACACGGCTTGACTAGGTTTGTGCGTGGATGGTGCCAGTGTTGGGTTTTATTTTAATCTCGTCTTTCTTGGTTACTTAAATTCGATTATTATATGTTTACTCTTTCGTAATTTATTTACGCGTATTTTACGCCGTCAGTTTGATGTTTTTTCTTTTCTTCCTTTCTTTTCTTTTCTTTTTTTTTTTTTTTAAAAAAAGTCTTCAATTTTACAAGTTTCACAATTATTTAAACCGGGTTCATAATTTTCTCTTCACTTTCTTTGTGAAATGGGGTATCTACAGATCTAGTTCTCATTCATATACTAACATCTTAAATCTCGGCCAAACAGCTTACATAGGAACCGGCTTCACCTCCTCGTTCATCATCTTGCCGCCCGAATCCATGCCCGGCGGCGGGCTCTCAATGTCGCTGCCCGACTCCCGCACGCCCTCAATCTCGCCGCGCTTCCAGATGGTGTCCGTGAGCAGCGTCTTGGGCTCCGGAACGGCCCAGCTCAGGGCCGTGTACAGCACAATGGACGTGACAAAGCCGAACAGCCAGTTGAAGTCGTACAGCTGCAGGATGCCCTGGCTGACCTTGACCTTGGCGGGGCCGCTGATGCTCTCGGCGAGGCCGGGCAGGAGGGGCGACACGGGCACGATAAAGGCGACAAAGGCGCGCCAATTGACGCCGAGGAAGAAGCGGTAGCGGCCGTGGGGATCGTAGAGGGCGGGGATGTCGATGTGGCCGCGCTTGACGAGCCAGAAGTCGGCAGCGATGATGCCGGCCATGGGGCCGAGGAACACGGAGTAGCCGCCCATAAAGGCCAGAAAGGTCGAGGCGGAGCTGATAATCTTCCAGGGCACGAGGACCCAACCGGCGATGACGCCGGCAATCATGCAGCCGCGCTTGATGTTGATGTAGCGGGGGAAGAGGACGGTCATGTCGTTGGCGGCGGAGATGGAGTTGGCGGTGATGTTGGTGCCGACCTGGGCAATGTACCAGGCGAGGGCGGCAAAGAAGGCGGCGCAGCGGCCGCCGCGGCCCATGTCGAGCCACAGGCTGATGATGTCGAGCGGGTTCCAGAGGTACTGGCCGGTAAAGACCTTGACGGCGGAGGTGGTGATGATGCCGAGCAGGCCGCAGACGGTAAAGACAATGGGCAGAAAGGGCAGCTGAACGTACTGGCCGTTGGCGCTCTTGGCGTAGCGCGTGAAGTCGGGGATGTTGACGGCGAGCGTGGCCCACGAGCCGGTGACGGCGGTCATGCAGCTGAGCCACAGGTAGGCGTAGTCGCTGCCGGACACCTCGGCCTTGAGCTTGAAGATGTCGCCGCCGCCGCCGGCCTTGTGGACGCACCAGCCCATGGTGGCGACGGCGGCGACGGGGGCGGCCAGCAGCTTGATCCAGAAGAGGGGCTTGAGCTTGGTGGGGTGGATCAACAGCAGGGGCATCTGGATGATCCAGAACAAAAAGTACGAGCACATGCCCATGGTGGTGATGCCGGCGCTGGCCGGCAGGTGGTTGGGGATGCGCGCGTACGAGGGCGCCAGGGCGGTCAGCATCACGGTCATGCACTGGGCGCCGTTGGCGCCCTGGATGCCGAGCCAGAACATGGCGAGCACGGACCGCGAGACGATGCAGAAGTAGCGGAAGTAGTAGCCAAAGGACGAGGTGGTGATGACGGAGAAGGGGATGTGCAGCTTGGAGCCGATGGCGCCGTTGAGCACGATGGGGACGGCGACGGACAGGATGCCGACGACCATGCACGGAATGGCCTCGCGCCACGACAGGCCGACGGCCAGGATGCTGGACGCGGTCTCCCAAGTGCCCAGGTTGATGGTGTCGGTGGCCCAATAGGCCATGATGCTCCAGATGCCCCAGGTCTGGTCGGACGCCGGCGTGGGGTCCATGTCGCGGTTGGTCCAGACGTCGGGCGGCGCAATGGCGCTGTCCTCCTTGGGCAGCTCCCAGGCACTGAGCGACGTGAAGCGCGCCTTGAAGGCGCTCGACGACGGTGTCTTCATTGTGGAGAGTGGAGGAGAGAGAGGGCGAGAAAACAGTGAAAAAAAAAGGGTGAACACACACCACACGGATGACACAGTCGACAGGTCGACAGTGACAGGTCGACAGTGGAGATCCCGACGTGGCAGGACGGCCTCGTTTTATATCAGTCCACCCCGGGTTGCGTGGTCTCGCTGCTGATCCCGATACAGAGAGTATTCTTCTTTATCTCATCTGGCGACCATCTCGCGTCTGTCGTGGCCGGGGATCCCTGGTACGACTTTGGCTTATTTTTGCCTCGCTCTTCGTCTCTCGCCACTGATTTGGCTGCGGCAGGCTGCACAGCTATGGCAGGCCAACCAGAGACAGGCTGACGCCGTATCTCTGTCCATGCACGTCGCACGTCGTACAACGTCCGCAAAATAGCTCTGGCTTCTACAACATGCAGCAAGCAGATATGCAAGGTTGTTCTGGGTATGGATGGGTGGAGACGTAGGCGAATCCGCCGTCAACGAGGGCAAAGGCAAAAAAGGATGGCGTCGGTGATCGTCGACTCGTGGTGGGCCATAGCGGCGGCCAAGGGGCGTACCGATAAGAAGCTTCGGTACGGAGTGCGGGTGTAAGATGACAGTTCCTGGGTGTTCTGGGTTCGGCACCAGCTGGTTTCTTGGATCTGGACTTGGAATGGGCCTAGACGTGGACTGCGAGCCCCGTCTTCACCAAAAGGCCCAAGCCGTGTTTGTTCTGATTTCGCTCATTTACAACGTCGTATTCTCGATTCTGTCGATTGTTGAGGGTTGAGGGACTTGTACCCTGCAACAGCTGATCAGGCATCGTGCCGTGTAAGTAAATGTGAGCTTGTATCGTAAGTGTGTCTGTATTCCCATTGCTTTCTGCGCAGAACTAAGGCTCAAGTGTAGCCATTCTCACTCATTAAATGTCCTTTTTCTTCTCTAAATTAGTTGCTCTTCTCCCTCTCCGTTTGTTGTTTCGTTTGACTTTGTAGGTCTGACTGCCTTTCCAGCTTTCTTATGCTGGTGGGGCCGCTTGTTTTTTCTCTTTTCCCCGTATCTACATCACAATCTAAACCAATCACAGCACCGGTTGTTATCAGCCTCAGGGGGGTGGTAACAGACGATTGATGATTCCTCCCCCATCCCACTGGTTTGCTGTCGGCCGGTCCGGTTTCTTGTTTCCAAGATATATCAGTACGACATAATTCAGCCAAACGGGCCAAGACTCAAAAGAGACAGCGTTCGCCTTGGCAGTCCGCACGGCTTCCCAAGAAAACAATCCAGAGCCTGGCTGATCGAGGATAACTGAGCTCGCGTTGGCATTGATTGTGAGCTATCAACAAGGTTGATTGTATTGAATTTGCGTGGAACTCTGCCGTCGCCGATCCTGTCGTCGTTACTTCATCGTGTCCGTGCTTCTCCTATTGACCCAATAACACCTTGGCTACGCATTCTTGTCCTCTTCCATACGCAGCGTCCCGACTGTTCACGCTTTCGGCATGCCGTCAACATTTTCACGCAGCTGGATGTGCCGTCGAACAAGCAAATACGATGCCCTCTCCTATCGGGAGGTTTTATTCCTCTCACTCTCACTCTCCCCCCTTTCAGTCTACCATTACGGCTACCCCTGTCAGTTACCTTCTTCACGCTTATCATCAGCTGGAACGGGCAAGCCACACGGCCACTGACAGCTACGTTCTGATTATCGAGTCAAAAGTCGAAGAAGCGTCCTGGCTTGCTATTCCACTGCTCGATCATACCAAGTCAAGATATTGCTTTAACAATGCCTGCGTATAGGACCGCCCTTATCTTGGTCCAGCGACCTATGTGATAACAAGATGCAGGGCGACGTGCACGCATGCACCCGGTATGACCCAAGACAGCGTCTTCGGCTGAAGTGGCATCTCCGCCGTTGGAGGTTCCCTTACAAACTATTGAGGACGATGTCAGCATCGTGGGGGATACCTTTTCATGCCGGGCACAGGTGAGAACCGCAGCACCTCTCTTGGTCCGAGTTTGACTGCTGCCCCCGCTGTATATCTATCTGTATCTCTCTGCCTGCCGGCGACCACCCCGTTATTCTACCCACCTCTCGGCAATGCCGTTGTTTGCTTTACACGTACCATGTATTGCCCTGGTTCCGGCTCTGCTGGCGTGTTTGTATTTCCGAGACTGCAAGAGTAGTCTTAGTCCATTCGCTGCGACGTACTATCTTATTATTGCGACAGGAAAACAGAATCTGTGTTACTGTTTCATTTTTTTTTCCCCTTCTTCTCCACGAATGACTCGCAAGTGCAGTTCTATGGCCTTTACGGAGTACCTTTGTGAGTTTCAGTAGCCCTTTTGTTGACCTTTCCCTTTACGTGTATATTTATACAAAAAAGTAGGTTCTGCACATTGGCAAATTTCCTTCGTATCAGCTCTCTTTCCTCACACGACATGCCTCCCAGCTTATCCCGGTACGACGTATTCTCATAAGATTCGTTGCTGTCGTTTTCCGAGCTTCCTTTTCCAGCAGACTAGAGATTGCGCCAAATGTCCACAATACAACACAGCTGCGTGCCTTGGACTCGACTTGGTCTGGGCCCTGTCCCCACCTCCACACATCTGCTGTCCTACTAGTGACCATGGAGTAGTACGCCGCAGGCTTATGTTGTAAACATACCGAGAGACACGTCTCCCTAGTTTTCTGCTATCGTCTCATACAAGCAAGATAGGTAGGTCGTAACGTACGTTCCAACTACGAATTTCGCAACGACGAAGAGTATTCGCAATGTCGGACTTTGACGCACATGGCATTCTGAAACAAAACGTGGACATACCATGCCATGCAGTGCGTTGCAACGCTTTGATCGGCGGATGTCCCGGGTCCATGGTATCAAAGGGCATGAACGATAATCAATGAACCAAAAAAAAAGAAAAAAGAAAAAAAAAGAAAAAAGAAAAAAAAAAGAAAAAAGAAAAAAAAAAGAAAAAAAAAAGAAAGAAAAAAAAAGAAACAAATCAAAACATGATACAAGAATAAATCTCCAAACGTACTTGGCCTTTTTAAAGAAAAATAATTCCCAGGATCCATGGTTGTCGACTTGAGTGTACTGACCCGACATGGATCGCGATAGTCAAGACATACATTGTGCATACGTGACAGCTTGTCGGTGGGTCCCGGTCCTACAACAACGGCTCCAGTCCTCCCCAGGTTTCCTGCCCGTTATCTCCTGTCATGTTTTGTGGGCCATTCTGCTACGGCTCCAGCTGCCCTTTTCGAAAGATACAGGACGGAGTACTTAAAGGGGCCGAGCATAGGCGTGGATCTATGTAGGCGTTATTCATCAGGTACATAATTCGTAGACTTGTATAATTCCCACCAGAGCGTCCAGTCCTACTTTATCTTGAGACAAGTGCTCAAAGTCACTTGGGCCACCTTGCATTGTTTTCTGTGTCGCTTGATACTGTCCCATCATGCAATCTGGTATATTAAATTTATCAACAAAATTAAGGGACATTCGGGGTCAAGAGAAAATAAACAAAATATAGGATATTGGATATCAAGTAGTTTTGATTTTTGTCGGGCTTTGTGACTGCCGCCCTTGGTGTATCGCAGCGTGAACTCGTCTTCGTCCTCGTCTCTTCTCATCATCGGATACCACTCATCGCCACCGTCCTCCTTACACAAGACATGCGACAAACGACACACACGAAACATAGCACAGCCACGTCGTCTATGCGTATGCCGCCGCATCCTCCTTCTCAGACACCACGGCAGGGCCGGGCTCGGTGGACTTGACGGCCGCCTCGCCCGGGCTGCCGTTGTGGAGAATCGCCGTGAGGCCAATCTCCCGGTTGATCTCCTCCATGCGCTCAAAGTCGGCCTGCGACGTGCCCTCGGAGCCGAAGATGATGTCCATCTCCTCGAGCGTCAGGCGCTTCGTCTCGGGCACAAAGAACCAGACGAAGGCGGCGCCCAAGTACGTCAGGAGGCCAAACAGGATGTACGTGCCGTAGGTGATGCCCGTCAGCATGTCCGGCGTGACCTGGCCGACAATGAAGTTGTTCATCCAGTTGCTGGACGCGCCGAGCGACACGCCGTACGGGCGCGACGACAGCGGCCAGATCTCGGCGACGATGATCCAGGCGCAGGGGCCCCACGAGTAGCCAAAGTGGATGACAAACAGCCAGACCATGACGACGGCCGCCCAGCCGGCGCCCGCCTCCGTCTTCCAGCGGTTGTCGTCCTTGGCGACAATGACGGCAATAATGATGTGGCAGGTGGCCATGCCGATGGCGCCGATGGTGAGGACCGGCTTGCGGCCGATGCGGTCGATCCAGAGCACGCTGGGGATGGTGGCGATGAACATGACGATGCCGACGACGCCCGTGGCCAGGAGGGACGTCGTGGTGCCGCTGAGGCCCAGCTGCTGGAAGATGGTAGGGGCGTAGTACCTATAGGCAGGTTAGTCAGGACGCTCCTAAGCCACAAGGGAAACTCTATTGGGTTTAGAGGGCAAGGACGAAAAAGGGGGAGAGGGCGGGGTGTCTTACAAAACCGCGTTGATGCCCGTCCACTGCTGGAAGAACATGGTAATGGTCGCCACGGCCACACGCTTGAGCATGCTCCTGGTCTTGAAGAGCGCGGCGACGGCCACAAACTCCAGCTTGAACGTGTTCCAGGCCGTCGGCTGCCGCAGGTGGGGGAAGTGCTCGGCGACGGTGCGCTTTTCAAACTGCGACTGCGCCTTGATCTCGAGGAACTCGAGCTCCACCAGCTCGTGGTCGGCCGGCAGCCCGCGCAGGTTCGACAGCACCTTGCGCGCCTCGTCTTCGCGGCCGTGGTGCACGAGCCAGCGGGGGCTGAAGGGCATGAAGAGCATGCCGACGAACAGCACGAGCGCCGGCGCCAGCTGCAGGCAAATCGGCACCAGCCACGCCGCGTCCGTCTGGTGGCCCAGCTCCGTGCCGCCGATGTGGTTCGTCCCGTAGTCTATCCAAAAGCTGATCATGATCCCGAACGT